GATGACGAGGGTGTTTTTCTCAAAGGGCTTTGAATGAACAACAAGTAGATTACCTCAATTGCATATTGGGCAGTATCACTAGTAGCAGCAGCATGAATCACACACACACACACACACACATACACACACAGTAGTGCTGAGTCACACACACTGTGCTTGCCCTCTGTGTCATATTGCACGCATATTAACCATCCCAGCACAACTCATGACTGCGGGATGTGTGAGGTGCGTGGTGTGTGCTTGTGTCACTCACATCCAGCAGGAACATCAGGGCAGAATCACAAGCTCTGAGGCTTGCAGACATCAGACTGTTTTTTGTCTGTGCTGCAGACATACTGTAATGCTGTTGCATAAAAATAAGAGCCTCTGTTAAAAAGAAAAAAGAAAAAAGCAGCTGGGTTACACGAGGTAACAGAAATTCGATAACAGAATCTCTCTCATTTTTTGATGAGACAGATTAGACCTGCATGTATAAATTGATTCTCCTGTCTGGAGTAAAATACACTCAGGTAAGCTTCACTGGAGCAACATTATTAAGCAGCTCTGACCTTACCTTACACCCTATCTCTTCTGTGTACACTCTGCCGTGCATTCTGGGTTATTTCGGTACACCCAAGTAACCCAGTTTGGCCTTGAAAAGCCCCACTGTAGTGTTCCCACATAACCCTGCTGTGTGAGACAATGCAGAGTGTTGAGTTTTTTCAGTCTCTACCACCCCCTAGTGGACAGATTTATAGAAGAGTGCATGAGAAGAACTAAAGGCCCTCTCATGGTTATTTTGACTCATGCATGTTCTCAGAGAAAGAACATTCAAACACAGGACGACAAGCAGATGTGTCTATGAGTTTGTCATGGATTATAATCTGCAGGTATTTAAGAGGCCTTGCAAAAAGCCGCAGATCCCCCCCCTGCCTTCCTCCAAAACAGCTGGCTGGTGAAGGCGAGCAAGCTTGTGTGTTCAAACGCAGACAAGGCCAGTAAACTTCCCCTAATAACACCGCACAGTTCACAGTCAAAGGCGGCACATTGCATATTCCCTTTGATCTCTGCAGCGCCTCAGAGACAGACACAGGAGTGGGGTTTTTGAAGGGAGGGATGAGGCTTGTAGTCAGAGGAGGAGCAGAGAAGGAGGAGGGTAGGGGGTGTGTGGGGGAGACAGCCAGGCTGAATCTCTCCTTTTTTTTGCCCCAGGGGTGTGTGCTTCTGCTGCTGCTGCTGCTGCTGCTGTTGCTCTCTCTTTGTCTGGAGACTGATTAACAGAGAAGAAGACTAAAGAGAGGGAGAGGGAATTGTGCATGCTGACAAAAGCTTTCATTGTCTCAAAGCTTTACTGCATTTTACAAGTGTGAAAGATGGAGGGGAACCCAAATGTGTCCAGGTTAGGGAACCATAGAATTTTAAGGAAATAAACTCTTTTTAATTGAAGTTGTGTAGGATTTCTCTTGAATAAAAGTATAAATGTAACATGAACATAATCACTCAAGCAAAAATAAAAAAAACAAGGGGGCTTTACTCAGTGTATTAATGTCAGTATGGACCCTGGCTGAAACCATTACACATACTCTTTTTCATTTATGCTTGTTGGTGTATGTCTGACATGGAAGCTGAATAATTACAAACTCTAACCCTAGAACACTATCGCCGGGTGATTTTCACCCGACCAAACATGTTTAGGTGATTTTCATTATGTTGCATTTGTCTGAGTATCATGGGTCCCTGAGTAGCTTCAGCATTGCCTTTGACATCTTTAAAGGCATATTTGTTTCCCTGATCCAAAACCTGCTTTTTCCTACAGGCACATGTTCGTGTGATTTTCACCCGGCAACAGTGATAAGGGGTGAAGTAGGTTTGGGTGGATTTGAGAGCTGCATGTAGGCGAATAAGGTCAGTAAGAGTGGTCCTGGCCTTTCCATACTATCTTTATTTAGCGCAGTGGTTATGAATAATTATCACTAGGTAGTGATTTTCAAGAGAATTTATATGCTGAGATATATATAGATATATATTTACAGATATATAGATATAGATATAATAAAGATATACAGATATATAGATATATAAAGATATACAGATATATATAGATATAGATATATATAGATATACAGATAGATATATCTTTATATCTATATCTATATCTATAGATCTTTATCTATACATATCTATATCTATCTATTTAAATCTATATGTCTATGTATATATAGATCTATATCTATACAAATCTTTATCTATCTATCTATATGTCTATGTCTATATCTATATAGATCTATATCTATACATATCTATCTATATCTATATGTCTATATCTATATCTATATATATATATATATATATATATATATAGATCTTTATGTATATCTCTATCTATCTCTCTCTCTATATATATGTGTGTGTGTGTGTGTGTAATTTTTGTCCATGAATGACAAATTTCAGTTATTTTGTTGTATTTTTATATGGTCACCTTATGGCACTTTTTTCCTTCCTTTGGACATTGCACACTTAAAAATAAAACTACTCTAATTTTTCATGTATTGTCCTATTTTGATGACAAGTACTTTTTCTTGATTATATTATTTTGGGTAAAAATCACCCGGCTATAATGATGGTGTTGCTAATGTTAGCGATAGTGTTCCAGGGTTAAGTCAATTCCAGCTAATTACTGGAACTACATCCATATTATAGAGGCTCAAAGAATGTAAACATTAAAACAAGCACAATAACCTCACATTTCTATGATCATAATGAGTATTTGGTGGGGATACAGTCGCATCAGGCTTTTCTTGTTTTGCTGCCCTCAAGTGGACAAATCTTCTTACAGCACTCTGAGCTCAGAGAGTATGTTGCACACATTTCTAATTCACCTTCCCGGAAATGCAGTGGTGGGGGTTATATTTTGTTAATACAGTTTGAAGCAGTATGTGTTAGGAGGATTGTGGCTGGGGTCAGTTTTGGTGTCGAGAGTACAGCGTTTCCTGCTGCTCTCACTTAATCCCTGAAGGTCAGCAGGTCCTGGAATTCCCGGTTGGAGACGAACTTCTGAACACTTGTTCCTCACAAGCTGTCCAGGAGGGTGAAAATCTAATTTAGTGTTTTTAAGACTGTGATCAAAGGAGTGCTTGTGTGTGGGTCAAGTCTTGAAGGAAGGTTTCCTGACGTTTGGGATAATCATGTTTTCAGACATTTTCAAACACAGTGCTTCAGATTTACTTCATCTCCGGCCTTTTTTGTTGTTGCTGAAAGCAGTTCATTAACTAAGTGCGTTATAGCCATGCGGGACCTCTATTTCTTTTGTGGAATAAAAAAAAATGGAAAGGAAGAAAGCATGGTCATTTTGGAAGTGCCTGTCAGGTGGAGTTTGCAACTAAAAAGAATCAAAGTTGTAGAAATCAACACTAAGACATTTTACTTCATTTAATGTCATAACTACATTAATTTGCTCTGGACCTTGCCTGTAGCACTTTATCACATTGCTTACAAGGCTTGGCTCTTTTAAATGGACAAATACATCACTGCCGTTCACAAGTATCTTGTGTTTGTGTTCTTCCTTTCTATTGTGAACATTTTTCCATGTCAAGTGAAATTAAAATCTCATTCTAATACACAACACCTCTTAAAATCCCCAAACTAAAACTAATGAATTGCTTAAATCACACCGGAGGGCTTTAATGGTCCTTTAGAAATTCTACTTGACAGTTCATACAAAAGCACAGCTTTGCTTAAAAAGTACCACTCCTCTTAACTTTGTGATTAAACCTGTAACATTACAACATTACATTACAATTTTAATATTTAGAAAGTCTTGTCCCTCTTAGGTTATCTTAACTGTACCTGCTTGTGTTGTAAATCCTCTCATATGTTCTTTAACTGCATTTTGAATTGGTCAACTTGTAACATGAAGATTTGTGAAAATCTGCCTCTTTTCAGACTAAACCAGTGGTTCTGAAGTCCAGTCCTCGAGCCCCACTGTCCTGCATGTTTTGGATGTTTCCCTGCTCCAACACACCTGATTCAAATGATCAGCTCATTATCAAGCTCTGGAATGGCTTAATAACGAGCTAATCATTTGAATCAGGTGTGTTGGAGCAGGGGAACATCAAAAACGTGCAGCACAGTGGGCCTCGAGGACTGGACCTCAGAACCACTGGACTAAACCCACTAAAAATTTACCAACAATTACAGACACATAATATCGCATGAAAGTCAAGTATTTGTTGAATTTGGTCTCCATCCTACTTCAAAATTTAGAAGTTACTTCAGCACTTTTGAGAATACTGAGATTTATCCAGAAACACTTGAGTCAAGACTCAAACAGAGAAGATGAAAATTTTCTGAACTTTATACATTTCTGTATTTCAGATCAATCTAGTGAGAATTAGCAGCTATTTGTTACAGATCCACTGCCCTGAACACTTTTTTATAAATCATTTCACACCCTCTGCGGTAATGAGGAAGAAAAACGGACTTTGCTCTCAGACGCTTCACCCCGTGTGCAGGTCTTGTGATGCAGCGGAAGTATTTTCTGATTGTCAAAGTGCAGAGACACCGGCAGACGCATCTGAAAGGTAACAAAACTACTCAATTTTTTCATGATCAAGTTCAACACCTTTGTTTTTAGCGAGACATAAACTATATCCTGCAACAGCACACATTTATTAATCTCTGATTCCTGTGATTTTCACTCTTGCAATGCTGTTAAATTGAATTAAGGCCATTCGTTTATTGTGCCGTGCATTTCTGGTGTTGGAGTAGTGATGATGTAACCTGCCATTTTTTGGGGTTAGAGGTAAATTCTAAGCTTTATCAGGTGATATAAAGCACATTAGTGGTGCTAAGATGAGAGTTAAAACCGGATTTATTGCCGGGTTAATAGAAAGAACAGACCTTTATGTCCAGCCAAACCTGTCTCTCTCTAAAAGGACATATCAGTTCTTATTATCAGTCACGCACATGAAGTTTCTTATATAGTTATTAGCAAACTGTGTGCTACTGTGAGGTGATTGGACATGGAGTGGAAGACTAACCTGAGGCGTACCCAGTCACTGAAAAGCATCCAGTCGTCATGTGACAAGCCCACTTGGACAGAGGCAGGACTGCGCAATAAGACAACATCTGTGTCTCAGCTAGTTTCCAGGTAGACCCACTCTTTCTGCATCTGTGAGAGCTAAACAGCAACATGTTCAACCCTCTGTTATCTACTATAGGCAGTAAATCAGTATTATAGCTGATTACAATGGCTTTACTTACACAACAGGTATCAAACTACAGTGGTAGTAACCACTTCTGTTCAAGAAACTACCATAAATGGCGGTGAAGAAAAGCCAAAGCAGGCTATGAAAGAGGTAACCTTTGACTTCACGTTAAAGTATTCAAATAAATCACTAAAATCAATCTACACAGCTTCATACAATCCTGCATTTTCAGATTTCAGCTTCTAACCTGGAGTCTCTGATGCTGAGAAATGAAGAGAGGGAACGGTCTCGAGCCAAGACCAATTTGACTCGCAGTACATCAGTGGGGAGTCTTCAGAACAACAGCGGGTCTATAGGGTCCCTGAAGGCTCTGTTTGAGTCAAAGGCTGCCACGCCAAATAATTCAAAGAGCAGCTTCAGAGCCACAAGTTTCACATCAACCCACAAAGCAGCATACAGCATGCCGGTGATGAACGGAGAGGTGGGAGAGGTAAAGAGCTCTGCAGAGGAACGAAAGGCCAAAACTTGGGCTGATCCTCCAGCCAATGAGACTGAAACTGATGGAAAACAGCATGTGGCTCGAAAGGTAAGTACAACATTGTCATTACTTTTTAACTCACCAGAGTCATACCTGACAATCTGTTTTAGTTATCATGTATAAGAATACTTGTTAATGGCTTTCGGCCTGCATCAAGTATCAGCTGACTCTTTGACGCATGTTTAGCTTGCAACTCTGAAACTTCTTATCAAATTAATCTAATGGATACGGTTAATATATTACTGCATAACCCTGGCTCTAGTTTCTGACTATTTAATTAGTACCCTTATTTAGATTTCATCCCTAACCTTGTCTTAATCAGCTCAACCCTGCCTGGCTGTAGCTTAGGTTTGCTCAATGCACAGGTCAGAAGAAGAAAACTGTTTGTTCCAGCACACTGGTGATCTCAAAATGACTGTGTCTTCGTCACTCATACCTGGTGATAATTGGTTTCTCATTAATTTAAATAATAGCTAGTTTGATGTACATCGTATTACAAAATTACTGGAGGGAGGGAAGGATAAAGAGAATACAGCATTTTAGAGGTGGGAACACAAACCCTGCTAAAGGTCTAACAGTTTCTTCTTTCTCCCACTAGGAGGCGAGTCAGACTCGAGCAGAGAGGAGAAAAACAATCAGCGGCATTGATTTTGAAAAACTTGCTGCCACTCAAGCTGGTCAGTACCTGATGACATGAACCAAAGATCACTCTTTGATTCACTAACCTGACAGTATCATAATCCTTCCTGTTGCCATAAACCCAGGTTATGTAATTCAACGTGATAAAAAGTAATGTAATGGAAGTGTTTGTCTACAAAGTCACTATCAGCAAAACTTAAATTAAAGCTTAATTAATTTAAGATGAAGGAAATTTGATATTGATAAGAAATCTACAACAAACAAATATACAGCACAGCCATAAACCCCATCCTGTAATAATAAAAACACTGACTAATTCAATCATTATATTGAGTTTCAGAGCACAGACCAGTTGATAAGAGGAGAAACTGACACTGTAGACCACAGATCTGCAAACTAGGCCTTTAAACCACTTCAGATCTTCAATAAATCATACTTTTAGACGTTTAAAATCCTTAAGTACATAAAGTATTATCTGGATAAAAGAGCACCACACAGCAGCAATAACCCAGGATTTACTAATGAGTTTCCTAGCCTCACATTTTGCTTTGAATCTACCACAATAGTAAAGGAAAAGCACATTTGCTTTTATGTTACCCCAAAACCAGTATCTGAGTGGTTCTGCATCCAAAAGAGCCCTAACTCTGACCCTGCTCTCTTGGTCAGTACCCCGCTGTCTCAGTGTCCCTGACTCAGGTCAAAGCCGGTGACAGTATGAATGAAACTGGCGAGTTGAAAATGGAGATCAATAACAGCACAGTGACTGTGCAGGAAGCCCAGTTTGACTCATGGGCCACTTTAGAACAAGATAAAAATAGTAGGACATCCTGCAGGTCCAGAATAAGTGCAGGAGGGTTATGGGGTCAGCTGTCACTGGGGCAGGAATGAGACAGAGGGAGGGAGCACCAGAGGCTCCATTTCCAGAAACAAACCGACATGGACTACGACCAAAACACATTCACGAACCGAAAAGAACATTAGAGGACAGGCAGGGTGGAAGAAACTGTGAGCTGGTCATCATTCGTGAGTACAGAGCTGTATTTAGTTTGAATCTACTCAATCTGTGTAAGAAGAAAAATGTTTTTATATGTTATCGTGGCTTCCACATGCTCTTGACCTGTGTTTACTCGTCCTTACCCATGGTGCTGCTTAAATATCTATGATCAATAATCCTTTGAGTAAAGACTGATCAAATACGATTATGTGGAGACTAATACTACAAGAAGTCTGAATTTTCCACCAAAAGCCACATGAATCCTTAAGTTGCAAACATCCTGCTTTTTCTATTTATAGTTACGAAGTGTTTGATTCACAATATGGCCTGAGATGTTAGATTTAACATTTGCATTTTGTTAAAACAATGTATGTATGCATTTTCTGACATGTTTACTTGTGCTGTTTTGTGCTTTGTCAAATGTAGCTGCAGTGACGTGTCTGCTCCTTTAGCTCTCAGTATTTGTGTCACTGGAGTCAGGTGTCTGTCCCTCTCCTTCACAAGTGGTACATTTATAGCTTGACCACATGGCAGCTGTCTAAAACAAGCTTTGAAAGTGTTGATACTAGTGTGATTTTTCCCCTTTTTCTTAATAAAACTTTGGGTTTTAACAGTTAGAGTTAGAGTTAAACATACACAAACCATAATTTTGATGTGAGAAGTTTCAAATAGTGAACAGTTAACCCTCCTTCTGTGTTAGGGTCTGCACAGACCCGTTTTTGATTTAGAATGCTTAAAAGAACCACTTAAATTAGTTTTTTTTGCATCAAGACTTTTTGACTTTGTCAGGAACCTCTATTTCAACAAAATAAAAAATAAAAAAACTAAAGTGACTAAATCATAAAATGCTCTTATTAAAATTATGGCACTTGTCGTGCTAGGATTGCTGTTGACCCAGTTAGATCAATATCTAATATTTAGAGCAAAAACTGAAATCATGTGGGCACTTTCAGGCACCACACTGACAGTCAGATCCTCTTCCTATCATGTGAGATTCAGGAAAATTTTGCCATGTTTTTCCCTGCACAAAAACAGCGGCATGTGCAGACGTGAGATTAATTCAGTGTAGAAGTCTGTGTGAGGGGTATACTGACAAAGAAAGGTCCAGAGGCCCATTACAAAAACTATTATAAGCAATATCTTTATGGATAATGAACCCAAACAAGGTTACCTAGAAATGAAAACCAAATTAGATGATAGAGAATTGTTTTTAGTGTCATTTACAGCTGATTTAAGACACGTGTCAAAACCAACTCTTAACATGGTGGGTGTGTATTAAAAGCTAACACAGGAGGAAGGTCAATGGCATGACAACGTATCTTACAGAAAGACCTTACTTATATTTTCACAACAAATAAAGAAAAAACTGGTCACTTTGAACTGCTTTGTATTGTGTCTCTGCAGATGACAAGAGGAGATCAATTGCAGATTTCAGAGACAGCTCCTTCTACCATACCAAGGAGATACCGAGTGTCTCAGTCAAAGCTATGTCTGCACTCTATCTGTCCAAAGTGGCACCACAGGAATCGAACCGCGGCCCACAGCAGGTAAACATCTGAGTACTTATTATGATCTGAGCTCTGCATGTATTATTCCCTATCTAATAAGCTTATACTTAAACATGCTGATATCATTAAGTTAGAAAAAGACCAAAGTGAAGCTTTTACTAGACATGCATAATACAAAACTAACAACCTTCTCTGATGAGATAAGAATGAAGGTTTCATCCAGCATGTGGATCATCAAACTTGACATGCTCACAGGATCAGTATCAGGAGTTTACATCACAGTGTCAAATTTTGCAATCAGACTGTGATTGAGACGACAACAAACAGGCAAAGTACAGGCAACTAAAGATAATGTCCCAAAAAGCCATAAGCTGGTAAAATCTTTGGTCTTCCCTCTCAGGAAAAGGTTGCTCATCAAGCGTTGTAAGTTCAACGATTTTATCATTAGTAGCTTTTGTTTTCTGTCTGGCTCTGATAAACTCCCTGCTGTATTCACAATAGGCACTACTGTTCTTGTCTTTGTATTGGTGCTTTGGCTGCTATTGCTTTGTGTTTCTACAATACATATTTGCAATGAAGACAACTTTTCAAGTGACTTAAAGGTTCCTTGTAGTAAAACTTGAGGACTTAAAGTCACTGGAATACTTGCAATAATTGTTTGATTGTAAATGCTTAATTAGGGAAGAGTTTGACCTGACATAGTTATTGTTTATAACCAGGGACAAGAAAAGTCATCTGAATCTGGGAAAAGAGGGAAACCAACCAAGGTAAGGTATATTTTTTGAGATATTTAGCATGATGGTGTGCACTGGTTTGAGTTCTTGCTGTAACAAAAATGTTAAAACAATATCATTCACCTTGAATGTTCAGAACTAAATAAGTTCAAATGTCCTCTACAGGATGAAACAGTAATATTAACCTCCACACTACTGAATTTCTTATTTATCATCATGGTTGTGTTACTTGTTTCTTTGGAGTCCGGACAACCCACTGACCCCAGCATGCGAAAAGCAAACTGTCTGCCGTGTTTTTGAAGGTAACTAATTGCTCGTGTAGCTGCAAGCATGCCCTGACAGTCTGCAGCATGCGTTTGCTGGAAATCTTCCCTCAATAAGAACTTAATGACAAGAACATTACTCTGTCCTCAAAGATGGCTGAAGACCCTGAACAACAGAGGAAAGTTTTCCCCTCTTCAACATCTTCAGCCAGACTTCAACCAGGACCAGATGATTTCTTTGGGGCACACCCCCAAAAGTCAATCCCACCCAATCTCTCCAAAGAAGAGTTATACGAACAGCGGCAGAAATGTGAGCTGAGAAGGCTCCTGAAGCACACTCATCCAGAGCTGAAGATGCTGGATGATGTTGTGGATGAGGAACTCGCTGAGGTTTTGGGCTCGGAGTTTGGGGGGACAGCTGATGAAACTGGATATGAGGGAGAGGTCCTGTCAAGACGCATGTTATTTGAGAACTGTGCCTTGAGTAACAAAGTGTCTCCCTACTCCCACAAAACGCACATGGCAGAGAAGACCGTGGAAAGAAGCCGTGTCAGTAAAACACCAGCTGTGTCTGAGGAGCATGGTGGGAACAAGAGTGTTCAAGGAACCAGTGAGGATGGCGAAATTCTGGGATCCAGTCAGGAGATTACAAGAGAGGAAGAGGAGGAGATGACAAGAATAGATGTGCAGGCTACCAGAAGGAAGTTTGAGAACCAGTCGGCAGTGAACACATGTATGCTGATGCCAGATAAGAAGTATCAGTGTAAAGTTTCTATTTCTGGTGATGAGACAAGGCAAGTCCAAAAACAAGACCAGCAGTTTAAAGGGGGTAGTAAAGAAAGTCAAAACCAAAGCCATGCCTGTACAAAAAGCAAGGATGTAGAAGACCAGATCCATAAAATAAGCCAAGGTTTTCATAGCCCGGATAAAAGCCATCAGTGTCCTGGTATTGAACAGATTTCTTTTGATGAAAATACCTTTGAGGATGAGTCAATAAACCCTTCTGATCCAGAGAATATTAGAGAAATAATCAAAACAAGTGCAGCTCTTTTCCAGAACAACCCGTTCATCCCAACTAACATAGAAAGAGAGCACTCATTTGCAGATCCACTGAAACCTGAAAGAGTACCAGAAGATGGCGCAGCAGATCAGGGTCATCCGATCGCTAATGTGAAGGACAGGACCCATGTATTTGAATCAATGCCATTTCACCAAATAAGGCATCAGGACCAAGACCAAATTGAGTCAATGACAGAGAACATTAAGGAAACATTGGATTCCCTTTATCATGTTAATGCCATTCATTCAAGTGGCTCAATAATTGAAGTGAACGAGACAATGTTAGCTAAAAAAGCTAAATTTACACTTACAAAGAAAGGGCTTGAGATAAAATACGACGAGGTGGCTGAAGGTGGTGCGCAAAACTTCATACTCCAGTTGCTACCAAGGACAAATCTAAAGCCTCAGATCACTTACCTAAAGGAGAGGAGAGATGGAAGTATGAAGGCTACAGTGGTAAATGTGCCTTTGCACCACCATCAACAGGACACAGAGTTCAAAACTGCCAATGTGGTTCAGGTTGTTGAGGATATTCTCAATCAAGATAACTCTCTGAGGAAAGGAGTGATATTCCAGGAGGATGGAGAAAAATGTGCTGAAGTAATGGTTTACTCCCTCTACAAGTACTTTGACAAGGAAGACGTTAAAAGCTACTGTCCTCCACAGGCTGTAGAGTGTGATAATCAAGAGCCAGAAAGAGGTGAAGTGGTTAGAAGGGACGACCAAGAAGCACAGACAGGCTTTGTTGAATCAGCCATAAGCTGTCTTCTAGCAACCTCAAATGACCGAAGTTACAAAGAATCAACAAGGCCTGAAGTTACAGTCAAGGCAAATGTTAAATTGTTTAAGAGTTGTATTGAAAAGGGAGAGCTGGAATATTTGAAATCTCTTCAGACTGAGCCATCACTGGGAGAACAAGACGATCCTTCAAACCAAAATGGGCCTGGACAACAAACCGACTCTCATCATGAAAAAAGAGATGATCACGAAGAGGAAGGTACCTCTGAATGGGCTCCAGTGGATGTTCAGAGGCTGAAAAACATGTTCTCCAAAGATGGAGGACCAGTCCAACCCAAGCAAAACATATATCTGTATGACCATCATACCAAGTCTGTTTGTTCTCCAAGTCATAATGATGAGAGTGATGCCCATGCCTCAAAAGAGCCAAAGGACTTGGCAGTCACACGACAAGGTTCATATGTAAATGTTCAGACACAACATGGTGACGTGGTCCACCAGGCTGAATTAGTTGAGGTAGTAGATGACAGCGACGAAATCTCTGGCCTCCAAGCAGCAATACATAACCTCAAAGTAGCCACACTTGAGGCCAAGTCCTTGCATCAGTCATCACAAGAGATACAGAAGGTTCCTGATCAAGACACTTTTAAGGAACCTGTTTTCTCAACTGGTGTTAAATTGTCCTCTGAAGGTAAGTCAGAGCCTTCATATGAGAATTCAGAGACATGCTGTAAAGACGTTCCCTCTGAAGGATCACAAACTACTGAGACATACAACCAAGGGGGTCAAGAAAGTAAAAAGATGGCACAGCAACAACTCGTCCAGGCTGCCCCTTCAAATGTGCAAAGTTCAGAAGTGTCAGCTCTACAGCAAGATGACGAGGAAGTGATTTTTCAGGGTAAACTTCAAGCAGCTTTGGCTTCCTTAGGGAGATCCAACATCAATGTCACTCAAGGAGATTTCAGAGCAGCTATGATATACAGAAGCTCATCCAAACCTTATAAAGGTCCACCACAATCTGAGCACGGAGAGTTAGCTCAAAAGACTAACAAAGAGGGGATTTTGCCTGTGACTGATCCTGCCGAGCCAATGACACATATGGTTACCAAAACACAGGTGTCAACAGAAAATTTGGAGCCATTAGGGCAAATTGGAACTTCAAATGAACCATCTTCAAGGACTAACTTGGAAAAAAGTAGAAAGCCTGCTGGTCCAAAGCCAGTCATTCCACCTAAACCTGAGCATCTAAAGTTAAAACAAGGAGAATGTCAATCAACCAACCCAAAGAAACCAGAGGCTCTTCAAACTAAGACCATAACTTCTAAAGAAACATCTTCACAATCATTGGCATTTACATCAATTTCAGCCAAGAATGAACATCAACAATACCAGCAAGAAATCAACAGTGGTGCAAACTTTGGACTAGACTCAGATATTTCCTTGGGAAGTGAGAACTCAGAAAAGAGTATCATTGTTAAACAACAGGATGCTCAAGCCACAGCAGAAGGGAAAGGATCCCAGGACTTACCAAATAAAGGCAACATGGGTGAGACAGATGAAAGCCATGTAGATTTTCATGAAGCATGTCAGAAATTTGAAAGTAAAAAGGCAATTACAGTAAAGTGTGCTCCTGTAAAGCCCAAAAGAGTTAAAATAGCCCAATCTGAGAACAAAAACCCTAAACACATACATGTAGATACAAATCTCACACATTTGGTTAATGAACCTCAAGGAAAAATCATCAGTTCATTCTGTAGTAACCAAACAGCCGACAGCAAAGACAAACACCAGAAAAAGATTGAACAAGAAAGCAAAGTAGAGATGAGGGAAAAGAAAGGACGGATCGAGACAGAGGATGAGCGCAGACAGAGGCTGTCCGTTCACATGGATGAGATCATGAGAGGGAACATAATAGCAGCCATGGAGATCTTTGACAACTTGAGAAAACAAGAGGAACTGAAGAGTATCCTTAGTCGCGTTGAAGAAATCGAACAGGACACGAGTGATGTTGATGTAAGGTCTTTGAGAAGAGTTTTTGAGAACGTCCCTGACTGGGTTGTTAGCTCCGACAAAAAGAAACCACAAAAGGAAAAGGTAGAAAACAAAAAGGAAAGGCTCATGCCAACAAGAGAGAGTACAGAAAGTAAGTCCTCAATGGCGCATGTCTTCGGGGACCTTGAGCGAGCCAGTGAGGAAATCATGAATCTCAAAGAACAGACTTTAGCCAAACTCATAGACATAGAGGAAACTATAAGGAAGGCTCTTTATTCTGTCTCTACATTGAAATCCGACTCTGATATTGCAGGTTTATCAAGCTTGTTCAAAGAGTCATTGGGGACAGCACATCCATCCTCTGGTAATATTAGCAAAATAAGCATTGAGTCAAGCAGAACAAAATCACAGACAGCAAGGGAAAGACCTGCAACGATGGGAAACACAGCCCTTCCAGTTGAGCATTCAAGCAATGTATTACCCTCATCAAAACACCAAACAAGTCCTCCATCCTCCCCTGCTTTTATCTCCATCCAGTCAGCTGCAAGGAAGACGGATAAAAAAGAGCCGCCTTTAAAAGATAATACGATGTGTCTGGCATGTCAGCACAACCAAAAGACAGAGGAGAAATTCCGGACAACAAAAACCCTGACATGCAACAGCCCTGCGCAGAACAGAAAAAAAGACCCCAGAAAAGGAGGGAAAAAAGGATCCTCTCAGGACCAAAGGAAGCCTAACCGAGAGCTCAGTGTTCTCGATGTGCAAACCGATCCAAGGGAAAAGGTGTTGTAGGAGCCAAATCAGTCACAGAAAACTATGAGAGGACAGATAGCTTTGGAAACCGGTTTTACTCCTCAAAAACCTCCACTGTAGTCACAACTCAACCAGAAACTACAGCATCTATGAGTCTTTCAGTAGCTTCCCCAGCTTCAAACCAGGTCACCACATATCCTGAAGTTCGGCTGCCAATTAATCAGAAACGATAATGTCATTCAGAAATGCATGCGTTTATCAGTTCAGGGTCATTTTGATATTCTTTTCATATTTTATTGTATTTTGTGGAAATTATTGGTTATTTTGCTTGTTTGTTTATCTCAAAAGGCTGTTAAGTCATGGTTTTACATTTTCTGGCAATGTCCTTGATTTTCATTTTTATTGTACTCTTGTGAAGGGTTTTTGATCTGCAGTTGACTTATTTGTGCACCGTTTGTTGGTTTTCACTCATTATTTTGTATTTGTTTTTATTTAGCCTAATGCTCACAGTTTGAAAAATATAATAACATTGACTAAATTCAGTCTCATTCTTCCATTCTTTAGTTTGTACCCACTTGTCAAGAGATGTGTTCAGCCTGTTTGAAGCCGGTCTATCCGATGGAAAAAATATCTACAGACAAACACATTTTTCACAAAACCTGCTTCTGTTGTAAACAGTGCAAGAAAAAATTAAGGTGAGATAAAATTTCTTTGCCAAAAAAAAAATAAAAATAAAAAATCAATCACAATCTTTGAGTATGATTCCAAAGACTGATTTGCTTTCTGTCCATAATATCGCTCAAATCATTTTTTGTGCTAGCCTGAACTTGGGATAAACCCTCCCACTAAATTTGACCAACAAATGTCAATTTATCACAAAATGCAGCTTTGCAAGTGGCAGACCATGATGTTTTGAATCCACCACTTCAAACAACCAACATTGTTCATAAATGATATAATTAGACTGGCGCAGCAACTTTTAAGAAAATGTGTTTAAGGTTTCATTAAAAACTAATGCTGAACTGCATATCAATCTCTGAATTAATACCAGAAACTTGATATAATGTCCATCTATCCATTTTCCTTAAAGTGTAGTGGCTGTGGCCAGATTTAAATCAGTAGGGCATCAAGCCCCAATGCATTTAAAATGAAAAAGTCTTGAGATGGTAACATGTCTGCCATGGGTATACTTGTTAAATATAAGATGGTGGAGTTGAAATGCCTCTTGAACATCTTTTTTCTCTGCAGCAAACAAAGCCTACATATAGGTCTTCCCTTACCAGTTAACTCCAACTTTTCACTAAACTGAAAATGGCCCAGATTATATTTTTGGAAAAGTTCTCCATAAGCATCTATCAATAAGCTAGCTTGACTTTTAATCAGAAGCTTCTATAAAAGGAGTTTTCTGTAAATTTAATGTCAACAAAGCCCACCCAGGTGAGATAAAGGTGGTCAATTTTACTGTTATTATATAAAGCCCTTATTAATTTCACTGAACCACCAATAAGAGAGCAGGAAACACTGCATATTCAAAGATATTCCTTTATTAGTACCACAGGGGGAAATTCCAAAGCAGCATTTCTGATTAGCTGAAAGATTGGCTCTTTCCATTTAAATCTTCAGATTTTGCTTCAAACTGAAAAAGGCAGGTTTTAAAGGGTTTATCCTCTCAGAAAATATTTATTCATATATTAATTTTCAAATTGTAAACTGATTAAATAAAATCCTGAGTATTTATTACAACTGAATGAGATGTTTGCATCACAGAATATGATTTTTATTGTGCACCATTTCCATTCTTTCTGCTTCTTTTTCACTGGTAAATTAGTCAACCACTATTCAAAAAATCTTTTAGCAACTGTAAAAATGTCTAATGATGTTTATAATTGACCTTTTTGACTTGAACACAGTCCTCAATTTAAAATGTTATCTGACAAACTTTGCTCACATTATAGCATACAGAATTACGTTCCATTATACGGGGAATTCTATTGCATATTTCACTACAAACAACTGTTCCGGAGAAAGGGGAATTATGATGAGGGTTTTGGACATGCTCAGCACAAGAACCGCTGGCTTTCGAGGCGCACTTCTGACGTCTGCAATGAGTCTGAGTCTGAGGCATAACCACGAATGTCCTGACAATGTAAGTACCACAAGGCAACTTTGATCTGTGTGCTCTGATCCTGACTTGTTATGTATTCTTTATTTACTTTGCTTAGGCTCATTTAGTTGTGTTCTGTTTCAGCCCTTTGCTGGTGATGACTTTGACGACAGGGAAACTCTGCTTGAAGATGTATTTGAGTTATCACCGAGATGCTGACTGCTATTTAAATCATGACTGTGCATAAACTGATTCACAATGGATATGAGTGCTTGATAGACCAACCAACAAAAAACAGAAAGTGTGACATGTGCTCACTTATTTTTTTTTTTTTTTAAATCAACCTCATAACACAAATTACATCAAATTGCATTTTTGTAAATGAGGATTCAATCTTAAAACAGAGTTATAGATTTGATTTATAGCTTTATAACATACTTAGTTTGTTAGTCAAAGTGCGTTGACATGGTTATGTCTGTATATTTCATAATAAAGATGCTCTTTCATTTGTTGTCACTGTGGTAAGATTTATGCATTGTGAGTCCTGCAAAAAGTTGAAAAAGTCTGTTATGTGGATTTTTCTTCTTGCTTCAGCATATATGTCATGTGGATTTGAAGGTGACGATATACAGTTACATCTTTGGTGCAGATTTTGTCAGCCATCCCGGGACTGAATTATGTTTCTGTATTTTTGTAAATTTTTTGTAATAGTTTTCAGGTTGTGGTTGAGATCTGGACAGGATTATATAGCTTGCAGGTTTTTGGTTATCACAGTGGCTGTTGGCTTTACCACCTTCACATTATAGTGTAAAAATATATATTTTACATATTTATTCTAACGCAAACAACTATCTGATGAAATAATAATATTAAAGGGTTGAAATAAATAGCACTTCCAGGCTAAGTTAAAAGCAACACAATACCAAATAGGCAACAAAAAGGGAAATACCACATTAAATAACTGTTTCCCTGCTATGCTAGTCACTAATATGGAATAATTAACACTTGTACCACAGCAGGACACACACAAGTCAGATTTTGACCCACAAACTGTAGCTCAATACTTTCATTTACTCACTACATTCACAAATTTAATAAACGAGTCATTTTTAACATGTTTTCTACATGATTCAGCGATGTTTACACAGCTTACCTTCATATAGGAGTGTGAAGGCTACCAACTCAGGACAGAAAGCAACCAACTACATGCAATAGGAGCAACAGAAATTGCTAAATCTGAAAGACAGCACTTACACTTACATACAGGCTACATTAAGGTGCATTAACATGTTCTGTCACATCGATTTTTATGGCAAAAATATTCCAAAGTGTTGTGATTGTTCATCAAAATAAAGAATAAATGCATTATAACATCAATTCTCTTTTTTTCTTGTTGGGTAAGTGTACATTCTGAGGGAAAGCATTAGTACAATTTAACCATTGAACTTAACATTATTAATAGGAATGTAAAAATGTTTTAATTCATTACCTGCTTCCTGTGGGCTCAGCCTCATTTTTTTCTGAAAAAGAAATAAAGTTCTCTACATTACACTGTACAGAGGCATTTCTTAAGATTTGACACAAACATATTTGATTTATTCTGTGACAATAAACATCTGAGAGTTTATTTCTATTTAATTTAAGTATTATTTTTTTTTAATCAAGATTGAGTCCAGTGTGGTCCTGTAGTTCAACATTCAGGGTTTCAGGCAGTAAAAAACAAAACCAACCTGCAACAATGGGACCACTACATAAATCAGCATTAGAATGATGTGATGGTAAACCACCACGAGTCTGATGAGCCGGGCAGAGATCCCAGCAAGGCAAGCACACATTGAGTTGACACCTACACCATTCTGCCTGCAAGAGTTGACAATGAGTTTAACACGTCTATATACACATGTGTGTAAACTCTGAATAAGAAGAGAGTATTTGTTATTTTTAATATTTAGTATGAAATGTACATTACCTTAAAATGGTTGGGTATAACTCAGCGGTATACAAGTTGTGACCACTGCTGGAAGATCCGGTGTGTATGATGCAAGACAATGACATCTTGATACCTAAAGAATAAATTTTAGAGATAAACTGAAATCATGCTACCTTTTGGGATAGTAAGGACTAAGAGGCAAGCAGCACCCCCGAAAATCAAAAGGCCTACTTGACAAATTCTCCTTCTAAAGTGCTGAATTAGAAACAAACCACCTAGCTGTGCAGGAGTTTTAACAAAGCCAAAGATGAACTGGGTGAGATACACACCAAGGCCAAAACTGCCAACATTCAGGCTCAGTCCATAGTACAGAAGACTTGCTGAAAACCTGTGGGAAGAAAGATAGTGTTATCAGTTTTACCACTAGTACCAGAATAAGCTTATAAAAGAACCCTTATAAAAACCATCAGTACTTAGCTCACGGGTGTAGCTATGTCTGTGTTTCTGATCATTGAGCAGGTTAGATGGGAGTTGAACTATAAGTCTCTACCTGATGACATAAATTATCTGTCTCTGTCTACATGAGTGGAGGAGGGACAAAAGTTGTATCCCATGACAAAAGTACCCTCTCTTAAATATATCTTACAGATGTCCCGCATAGTTCCTCTTCTGCTGGGCACTTCCACCATTAGCTAAACAAAAGGAAAACAACTTTTTGAATGATTAATATTGTTGAAATTTGTTAGCCAGTGTGCATTTGACACTGCTTACTTTGTCTGGAAGATCCTCTGGCACCTTCTTCCTGTTTACTCCAGCTGCTCTCTGGAGCTCCCTAAGCCAACAGCCAGTGAGCTGACTCTGGGAGAAACCTGATGAAGATTTGGTTAAAAAAAAAATCATCAAGTAGCCTCAACATTACAAGGTGAAATTGGGCTGGGCAGAAGACTGCTTACCAAAAGAGTACTACCAAAACAAGGAGAAGAGGGCAGAAGAGCACGAGCTGCAGAATCCTCCAGTCACGTACGAAATAAGCAACGCCAGGCAGCACCATCAGTCTAACAGAGATTTTAAAAAAGCATGATTATGGATGCACTAAGAGCAGACTTGGGGAATCAGTCCACTCCACCACTAAAACACAGGTAAACCAAAAAAATCAATCAATACCCTGTTTTTCTACAAATCTCAACTAACTTATTCAACAATATCAAACTTTATTTTTACAAAGATGTTTGGTGAGAAAGCAGTTACCACACCAAATAGCAGTCGGATAAAGAGGCAGAGCAGGAAAGCAAAGCGTCGGCCCAACCTCAAGACAGAAAAAAATATTACTATGCAAGTATAGCATAAAAATTGGACAGACATTTTTACTGTCAACTCATATTAGCAATTTCGTAACTGGCTGTTTTAATCAGCTCAACTGTTTATATGAACATTCACTAATCTTTTTTACTGTTGTACACTGATTTTGAGTTTTGTTGAATATTAACTTACCTCTTTTTCTGTCATAACATCATACAACTAAATACAAAGCAATAGACTGCAATAAGACACAACACAGTATAATATGGTACAATGGCGATTATATGATTTTGATACGACATGATACAATAGGGAACAGTAGGATACAATACAATATCATACAAGAGGACAACATTCATTTAATTTCCTATATAATTATTGTTGTATACAATACATATTTTATATCATACAATATACTAAAGCAACATGTGTTCGTATTGGGCTACAGCAACAAGTGTTCACATTGTATAGATCTAAGTGTCATTGTAGGATGGTATAGATGAAAAACAAACAACATGTTAACAGATGAGCCTGAGACATGTTTCAGTGAAAATACTTTTATTCAGATTAATAATGTTTACAAACGATTACTGCTCGTGTGGAGGCCGGGGGTTGATTTAGCCGCACCACCTATGAGACACATGGGTTAAGTTGGAAAAGTCCGTGCAGATTTGTATGTTGAGTAAAATAGGGGAGGTGCAATGTAAAGTTTAACCTGTTGTGAAAATGCCAAATACTTACCTGTGCTTTCTGTCTCCACTCTCAGGTGCGCTGGTAAAAGAGTCCCCAGGGCAACAAACAGCCTTTTTATGGTGCCCGGAGGGTTCCCAACGGGCAGATTGGTACGGGGGGTGAACAGGGCCAGGTGCAATATTTCTTTGGAGAAATTACAGGGAGGATGTGACAAAGTAAAGTCATAGTCACATATGGTAGTGTGGTCTGGGGTTGTGGCAATTTATATATTAAGGTTTTGGGGTTTTAAATAAGGAGAAATAAAGTTTAATATTTTAAGCACCCCCGCATATGGTAGCACCTGATCGGGGTATATAGGTGAGCATTCCCTCTCAGTAGGGTTGCTCGGTCCTGTGCGTGAAGCTGTGTACTTGGTGTGTTTTATTGGTACTTGAGTGTAGTCATGGCCAAATGAAGCTTTCTGAAGCAATGAGGCTTTCCAGCCCATTGCTTTGCCCTAAGGTTCACTACTAGAAGCTTCATTCAGTGCTCACTAGCCCCATCTGTTGCCAGAGTTAAAATGTGACATTCATTCAGAGAGATTTTAAATGTTTTCACAGTGCAGATTAAGTGGTGATAGAAAATGAATGGATGGATATTATCATGATATAGAATAGTGTTTAATCCCTGTACAATAACAAAAAAGTCTATAGTGTTTGACAAGACTCTGCTCCCCCTTGTTATTTCTAATAAATATTTTCTATCCATTTGATTATTATTTTGGTTTGTGCTTTTCATTCCTATCAGTGTTCATTATTTATTAAACACATTAGGTGGTGTTGTGTGTTGGAATTGCAGTGCTTGAGTGACAGTACAGTATGTTGGGAGAGGGGCGGTGAGTGGAGGGGGTAATCATTTTTCTCTCTCTTGCTTGCCCCATGAAACTACTCACACTACTTCTAGTACTAACTACTACTACTAGTCCTAATTCTACCACTACTTCTACTGCAACTACCTAACCCTATGCCCTCAACGACTACTACTGCTGATTATAATCCAAACCCTGCTACAAGCGCGCCAACCAAACTACTACCTAATACAACCCACAAAGCGTTGCGTTGTTGTTGTGCTTTTATTTTGAAAAATGACACACAAAATGAACCAATTGGTTACGTGGTTTTCAGCAAACCCATGCAAGCCTCGAAGTGGGGCTTGGTCAGACGCGCCCCCTTCATACGTCCCATCACTAGTCATGACCACCTAGAGTGTCATTCTCACAGACTGCATATGTCTTCACCTGTCAGAAAGTGCCAGAAATCCTACCATTTAAATGGACTGTGATGTCTTAATCAGTCCAGTTCTGTCAACGACATCAAATTCAGAAAAAATAAAAAAACGAAGAGGTTCAATTAAAATTAGACAAGCATGGACAACAAAACCATCATGAGAAATTACAGACTCAATCAGAGGCAGACTGATTTTCAGCCTTGACTGTTTATCAGCTGATATTTTATTTTGCATTTTGCTGATTATCAGTATCGGCCTTTTATATCACAGATCTGTCTGATCAGATTAATTGATTAAAACTATGCTACTTCAGTTCAGGGCCTGTTTCTTGCACTACTTTGTCTTATCTAATTCCCCACCCTGAACACTATCTGGCTGGGATGATATTACATGACAATGTAATCTGAGGTGGGTGTAACTAGTTAATGGTCATCTACTGTATACGATAGTGATTCAACATTTACTGATTTAAGATAGGAACTTTATTGATCCCCAAAGAGAAATTCAATAACACAGCATTTAGACAGTTTTGAGTTAAAGTTTGTGGCACTTCATATTCTAAATGTTCACAAAGTTTTTCATTTTCATGCATATCAGTCACAAGTGTTGACTGTTGGTCTCATGATTATATTACTCACATGATCATATTATTCACAATGATAAAGAACATCTTCGCTAAGAACATCTTCACATTTTAGACTTTGATACAGTTTACGAATACAACAGTCCCAGGACGAGAAGAAGAGGGCAGAGGAGCAACAGTTGTAGGATTCACCAGTTTCAGATCACATTTGCACAATAACATGAGTCCAACACAGAAAAAATACTGTGACAACCTTTGTGTAAAAGACAACCTAAGAGGGATCGTCTCATTTTTAAACAGGCAGCTGTCGGCACTCCTGATATTTCAACCGGCCTCACTGATGCCAAACATTACAGCTTTTTCTTATCTATTTACAAACATATTCTTGTGATATAGCAATTTTCACATATTTACAATTTATTCACAAAATTCTTTTTTTTACTTTCATAACTCAATGTAGAATCCAGAACAGAAATTATCTCCTTGAAACAGCAGCTTTCACACCTTCTGACACAAACAAGTCTAGAGTAACTTTAAACTCTCTAAATTTGTTTTCAGTTCAAATCAAAGTTTGTGCTCCTCAATAATTTGTTTAGCATCGCCCCCTGTGGATCCACTGACAGGTGTTCTGAAAGTAAGAACAGGAATTTTTAGTAGAAATTAATTCCACTCAATGCAGTTGTTTTACTTTTAGCATATTTTTTAAACTCATACTCACTCCTCCTCAGTGTGGTCCTGAAGTTGAACATTCAGAGTGTCAGGCAAGAGCCAACAGAAACCTCCAGCAGCAAGTGGTATGATGCCGTATATCAGCATGGGAATGGTGTGATGGAAGACCTCTAAAAGTCTGACAAGTGGTGCAAGGATGCCCGCCACACGAGCACACATTGAGTTCACACCCATACCGTTATGCCTGCAAGAACACACACAGGACTGATTAAAGATAATGAAGAATGAGGATTCTTTGGTTTTGGTTCATGAGTAAAAGAAAGTTTGGCTTGCCTTCCCACATGACAGGAGGGATGGAAAAAGTACATTTGGATGTTGAATGAGGTGTCTCTTGTCAGTATGCTATTCCTCACTTCTCAAACCAAACCCTAAAATTTAATCTTTTGAAAAAAATTGGATCTACCTTTGTCCACATTGAACATATTGCTGAAAATGTAGTCTTAGTTCTAACTAAGTGGATCCAAAAGTGTGTCACACAGTATTGTTTTAGTGCTGCATTGTTTCTTTAACCCTCACATACTGTTCGGGTTAAATTTGACCCCTTTTGACCTTTAACAGCAGTATAAAATACCCTAAACGTCATTCTTTAAGCCTTAAAATTGATGACTTTTTCCTGGATTGGCCCAAAATACATGAAATTAATTAAAAAAAAAATTTCATGTGTATTTTTGTATATGTGCTAAAAACTTTTCCCCTCTGAGGCTGTAATGGGTCAAATTTGTATCTATTTAGATGGATTTTAGATCTATTAGTGTGGTACAAGTGACAAGCAGTATCAATAGTGTTCAATATAAGGTTTGTTGTTCAAAAAATATATTCAAATCATTATGAAACTATCATTACCTTGACAGAAACACACACACACACACACACACACACACACACACACACATACAGTCACATGGACACACCTAGACAGAGGTCAAGATGACCTAACCAGTCAAGAGAACCATCTGTGACAGAAAGCTGCTCTTTGAGCTCTTTGAAGGGGCAGGGGCGGTCCTAAAATATAGGAATAGTAAACAAACAACACATGAGTGATCATTTATGGAGTACAAAGGGATCAGAAGTCATCCGGAGGTCGGAGTGTGCCTTGAAAAAGACATGTGCACCTGCTCCTGCAATATAATGTACAAAATAACAAATTGGAATCTGTTTTGATTGGGAGGGAGGCGGTGGGAGTCATAACATTATGAGGGTAGAGAGAGCGGCCATTTCAGTGGCAAAAACATGTGCACGCTCCACACATGTAAAGTGTCCTACCTTTGCTTTGAATGCAGAGACTAGCAGTGAGGACAGTGTTAGATATGAAGTTTGTTGTTCAATAAAATGTATTCAAATCATTATGACTTTTATATTCTTTTATGTCTTACATGATATTACATGACATTATCCTGTGAAATAGATATTCTTCTCCAAAATATATATTTCACCAAAAACGAGTGGTGTTAAAACGTAAAAAATACACTTTCCCTGTTCTATGAAGCATTTAGGAAGGACTAATCAATATTTTTTTGAAGTAGCAGAGGTCATTTAAACATTATAAATAGGTTTGGGGTTAGAACTTTGATGAAAATACTTGCTACATGAGGAATTCTTGGGCTGGGTCAATTTTGACCTGGAACATACAGTGAGGGTACAGGATTTGAACGGTATGTGAGGGTTAAGTCTGAATGGCACTAAGTACCTTAAAACTGTTGGGTATAACTCTGCAGTGTAGATGTAGGCTGTGTTGAAAGAAGCAGAGGCGGCCATTTTCCCCAGAACGGCCAGGACTGTTACGACCACGGAGAGATCTGAAGGGTAAAACATTGCATGGTTAAAACATCCTGTATGTCAGGAAAACATGAAAAAGTCAAAACTCCCAAATATATGCCCACATACCTTTTGGGATAGCTAGAATAACAAGACAAGCTGTACCCCCAAAAATCAGAAGGCCAGACTGACATATCCTTCTGCCTAAGCGCTGAATTAGCACAGATGAGCCAAGATGGGCTGGGATTTCCACAATACCAAAGATGAATTGAGTGATGTAGATGTTCAGGCCAAAACCTCCAACATTGAGGCTTAGTCCATAGTAAAAGAGACTTGTTGCAAACCTAGAGTCAAAGATGAAGAGATTGGTTTACTTATTTATAGCTGCTTAGAGGGACAGTGTCCTGAACGATAGTGAAAAAGAAATTACCAGTTGAAGCCCATTATGATGGTACGGTTTCTCAAGTATGGTATTCGGAAGATGTCCAATATGTTCTTTTTCTTGGTTGTAACCTTCATATCTACCTAAGCAGGTGAAAGAAAATATCCATCATGAGAAAAATATGATCTTTCGTTGAATCTAAAGTGTGTTTGATGTAGCTCACCTGGTCGATCAGATCAGATGGTAACTTCGTCCCGTTCACCCTGGCTGCCCTCTCCAGCACTTTCTGTGCCTCCTCCTTCCTGCCATGAATCAAAAGCCAGCGAGCTGACTCTGGAAGAAACCTTCAAAAAGACAGATTGAGAATAAGAAAGTATGATTATAGTACAACTTTGAAATCAATGGTGTTTATTGGAACCAAGAAAAAATAAGATAGACTTGAAGGCTGCTCACCAGTAAAAGAACACCAAGACAACCAGAACAGGGCAGGAGAAGACTAGCTGCAGGATCCTCCAGTTAGTGATTAGATATGCAATGCCAGACATTAAACACAGTCCAACAGCGTAAAATACTAGGATGAGTGCTGTGCAAATGACAGCCTTTGAGGGGGACGTCCATTCCAGTGCTGTACAATAAAAAAAAACATTATTTATTTTATTATTCAAGCTATAACACAGACCTACATGTCCTTGATCCTCACCAATAACAGCCATGTTTATAGGTTCATCCCAACACTTGATGCTTTATCAAAATCACAAACCACAAACAATACATTTTATTTTGTTAAGTCCATCTTGGAAGAGAAATAATTCAATATTCTTGAATGTTTCTCAGGGTCCCAAATCCCAGAGAGATTTGATATCTGAAAATAAGAGGTTCTTTCAGCTATAGCGATCCTACCTGGGTGAGTTTGCTCCACATAGCTGTGTTTTAGGTCAATATTGATAGAATAAGCACTAACTGTTGCTGTCATTATCCAGTCCTTATACCATACATCCTTAGTCACAGACTGTGTGTACCTACCCAACACAGAGATGTTCATTATCATCACACCTCCAGATGTCCCACAGAAAAATTTAAAGACCAAGAACACGTAGATGTTTGGTGAGAGGGCTTCTCCCATGCCAAACAACATTATGACAGTGAGTGAGAGGAGTACTGCGAAGCGCCGCCCAAACCTGTAAAAATGGGAGAGAGAGCATTTCTTTAATTTTGAATAGCACAAAGAACCATCATTTTTTCATGTTTACTGTTGCTTGTCATATGGGAAGTGGTACTTTTAGGTGGTTCTTTCCATAATGGTTCTTCAAAACTTGAATAACTTTTAGTTAGCAAGATGCTTCCTTCCGTATTGATTCAAGGCTTCTCCTCTTTATGTCATATGTTACCTAAAATTCATTCTTACGCCGTGGAAAAACCTTTTCTTTTGTTAGCATATGCCCAAAGGATATTGTCCTAACAGGCACTGTAAAACCAAGACTGATCAGTGTAAACTATCCCTTTAGACATGAGGTGTGACTGTTACTCACCTGTCAGATATGGTGCCATAGATCAGAGCTCCAACCAGATAACCTGCCATGTAAATAGACTGTGATGCCTCAATCAGACCACTTTGGTCACAAACCAGATCAAACTGAGGGTCAGAGAGTAATTTGACAGTGTGGTCGGAAGAATTACTCACACAGTAACAAGAACTGTTCATGCAAAATTCTTGAAAGAACCGTCAATTTTGCTTACCTCAGTCACAATGCTAGAAGCCCCTTTGTGCACCTGATAGTCCCATCCATCAGTGCACCCTGTTGTTGTGTTAATCCCATAAACTTCGATGGTTTCCAAATCCAAATCCGCAGGTGTGAACATTTTGCAGCTTTCATATTTTCCATCCTCGTTCACTGGCAAAGTGAGATTTCTCTGCCTCTCTTCTGTCAGGTTTGGCCCTCGTTCCAAGATCCAGTCAGTGTTACAGTTATGGTCAAAACTCATGCCTGTAAAAACCTGACCTAAAATATCAAAAGCAGCAAAAATGCTTGAGATACAAAATGCAGCCAGTAAACGTTTCTGAAACAAACCAAACTCCCCGATCTCCTCCAGGATTTGCTCAAAATTGCTCATATCGATATGTAAATGTTGATGCGGCCCCTCTTCAATGTGCTTTACATGGATTATGAATGAGAGCATGAGCTTCATATGATTAGATAACTCATCTGGGTTATATATCGTTAATCTTCTACTCCCCTACAGTATGATACTACAGTCATAGTTTATTTGGCTTTATCTCCCACAAGGAAATCACATTGGGTTTTTTATTAGCTTGTGCCAGCTGTTAAACTTTCAACACAACAATAAAATGAGCACTAACATAAACAGCTGCTGTACTTAAACACTTCCAACCTCGACTTCATTTACATCGGACCTTAACCAAACAGGAAACCTTTCTGTAGGGTTAACAATGTATAGAAACAAGTCAAATAATCAAAAATAAAAATGAAAATCACATGTTAAACACTACACATGTAGATAAGATAAGACCTGACCATAAAGTAAAGCGACAAACAAACATCCAATATGCCCTTTTGGACCTGGTTATGTGGATTGTTATTCTGCGAAATGCTGTGTTCTGCATCTATTAGAGACCCAGCAGTGTATTAATGATTTGGAGGTATTTTGTCTGCAGGTCATGTGTTTAATAAATTCATTCATAAATTGTTTCATATCCTGTACCTTTCTTTGTGTTTTCCACACCAGTCACTTTGTCACTTTCCCTAACGGGCTTTTTTTTTTTTACAGGTCCACCTAAAGCCCTCAGACTATTTTGCTTTTCAGACCTTGTCATCTCCTTTTCTTCTGCACCACTGCTGTCATGAGAGTAAAGAAGAACAGAACACAATGGCAGGCAGGAAGTGTCCGAAAGTTATTCTTGAGGAATCATCACAAAAATCACAAGGGATTTCAACGAAGAGAAGGAAATCCAAAATCATAAACTGAACTAGATTAAACAATGATAAGTGGGAGATAAACAACCTCTGTTGTGCAGCAACTGGGACTCTGGCACTCAAACAGTCTTTGCCTGGAAACTCTGAGCGAGCTAAAATGATTACAAACAGCATTTCAAAATATGTTAAAGGTGATGGAGCCTGGGCATATCCACATTGAATCTTAACCTCAATTTAACCTCAATTTACTTGACTTTAAGACCTACAAGAAACTTACATCTTACATCAGTCATAAAACATTTAACAGAACAATAACAAAGACAACAGCTGTACTCTTCTCATCATGGCTTTATTTATACACCTTTAACAAACACAAATTCTTATAAAGAACTTTGGAATGTCCCAATATAAGGAAATATAAAGAAAACCCACGAACCTGACGATAAAATAAAGAGATAAAACACTGATAAAATGAAATTCTATACTACCTTTCAGACTTGCACATTTCTGTCTGTCTACTGTCTGCAAAGTCTTTAATCCTGATCTAATCTGATCAGAGACGGGCTATTGTACAAACTTTCCCTTTTTTCTGCCTAATGTATCTGGCCTGCTATGTCCTTTCTTTTTGGCAAGGACGTCAGTAAATTTACAATTAAGTTTCACTAATCTAACAGCAGTTGCTAATTTGACCAGATGAAGATGTGAATGTGAACAAAAGTCTTTTAAAATACTAGAAAATGCCATAAAAAAGACTTTAAATTACTGTAATTAAATTAAAACTATATGATCACTTATTGTTGTATCCTTAAGTGTAGCTGACACCTTTGTTAACTGACAGTATGAGTATGAGAAATATCAACTTCAGCTTCAACTTTCAGATCAAATTACAGTTTGTGCTCTTCAATAATTTGTTCAGCACTGTATGAGCTTACAGTGGGTTTTTTCACAGCGTCTCTGAAATTGAAAACAGAACAAAATAAGTTATTTTGGGAAATAATTGATACATGAGTACAGTCACTGTTTTGAGAATATACAGTATATTCTATATATTCCATTTATCTTTACACTTACTTGTCCTCAGTATGGTCCTGAAGTTGAACATTGAGGGTTTCAGGCAGTAACAAACAGAAACCTCCACCAATAATGGGTACGATGCCGTATATCAGCATGGGAATGGTGTAATGGAAGACATCTAAAAGTCTGACAAGGGGTGCAAGGATGCCCGCTGCTCGAGCACACATGGAGTTCAGACCTACACCTGACTGCCTACCAGAAGACACAATAGACTGATCAGTCCCACACTGATGAAAATGATTCAATCCATGAATTTGCCTACAGAGTACAACTTCATTTAGTTATTGTGAGCAGAAGCAAAAGGTTTGGCTTTACCTCAAGACAGTTGGGTACAACTCAGGAGTGTAAATGTAAGCTGTGCCAAATGAAGCAGCTGCAGCCATTTTCCCAAATACAGCTATGCATGTGGTCACCACAGGGAGCTCTGATGGGTAAAAAAAATACATAAATAAAACATTCACAAAATATTGAACAATCAGTACTTTAAAAATATATTTTTGTGTCATGCAAACATCCTTCGACATACCTTTTGGGATAGCAAGGACAGCAAGGCAGGTAGCACCACCAAAAATTGCAAAGAAGGATATGCATTTCTTCCTTCCTGCAACTTGACTAAATACCAAAGCACTCAAGTTTGCAGGAATTTCCACAAAACCAAAGATGAGTTGTGTCAAGTAGATATCCAGGCCAAAACTTCCAACATTCAAGCTCAGTCCATAGTATAGAAAACTTGCTGCAAACCTAGAGTCAGAGATGAAGAGATTAGATCAGTTAACTGACCCAGAGAGATAGTTTCCTAAACAATAACATTAACTGTAGATAACATACCACATAAAGCACAATATCAGGGTTCTTGTTCTCAAGTATGGTATTTGAAGGAGGTCCAGTACGTTCTTCCTTTTAGATGTGATCTTCATATCTACCTAATCAAGTAAAAGAAAATATCAGTGTCATAAATGTTCTTTTTTTCTTTCTGATAAACTCTACAGTCTCATTCATGCAGCTCACCTGGTTGATCAGATCATATGGTACCTTCCTCCCGTTCACCCTGGCTGCCCTCTCCAGCACCTTCTGTGCCTCCTCCTTCCTGCCATGGGTCAAGAGCCAGCGAGCTGACTCTGGAAGATACCTTTAAAAAGACAGAATGATAATCAAGTATATATAATAAGATTTACTCATGACTTCTTTGGCAATCTGTACTTTGGAGACCAAATAAGACCATAATATGGACTTGGAGGCTGCTGACCAGTATAGGAATCCTAGAACTGGGAGAACAGGGCTGCAGAGCACCAACTGCAGGAGCCTCCAGTCTTGGATTAAATATGCAATGCCGGATAGCAACATCAGTCCAACAGAAAAGGCAATAATAATGATCTCTGTGCAAATGGCCGTCTTTGAGGGATCAGTCCATTCAATTGCTAAAAGACAAAAAAATCATTGCAGAGATTAATTCATTACCATCAAATTTAACAGCATTCTTTTAACAAAAATGTACATTCTTTTGCATTCACCAATTTACAGACCACGACACTGTAGTTTGCATTAGTTCTGACCTTTCTAAAGTTATAGTATTTCAGACTGATTGTGTCATAAAAAGCCAAAAAGTTTGTCTTATTTGTGTAGATAAATTTGAAACTATCGTATAACTCTTGATATGATGGCGAACACTTCGGGGCTTCCTCGCTGCCTGACAACCTGACCCCGGATAAGTAGTAGAAGATGGGTGGATGGATGTAAGTGTAACTCTTTCCAAAATCTTTGCCAAACTTACCTATTATGAGTTTCAAAATTGCATCCAAAACTGAATGTTACTTAGATGAAATGAGAATATTCTTCCCTTTTAAATGTTTGGTTTTCTTGACTGTGGTCTCACACTTTAGATCTATGCTCATGTTCCCCAAAAACTGTAAAAGCAGCAGACTAGCACTACTCATGCTTTCGCAATCAAAATGCACCCATCTTTATTTTATTCATGCACTTGATACTGATGCTGTTGATTCTGTTTGTGAATGTTACCCACTGTATGTGACGTACCTGTACTGTATAGTCAAACGGTCTACATTCAAACCAAGTGGACTGAAATCTTTGACACACAGAAAAGTGCTTATTCATGCTAATTATGGCCGGCATTAGCAAGTTGGCAAATATTCAAACAACAAAAAAAAAGATGACTGTGTACTTACCCAGCACAGATGTGTTCATGATCGTGACACCTCCTGAAGTCCCACAAAAAAATTTTAGGACCAAGAGAACGTAGATGTTTGGAGATAAAGCCGATCCAGCTCCAAATATCATAGTTACAAACAATGAGAGCAGGACTACAAAGCGTCGCCCAAACCTACAAGAGAGGAAAGTATGTCATGTTTCTATGGACACAATAGGAATTGCCCTGTTTTTCTCATGCGAGTAGAAATGACTGGTTTTGTAACTGGCTTTTGATTAATGATGCTATCCTTCGGGACATCAGCTCTGATCTACCCATCTGCTGAGCTCTTAAACAAGATAAATTGTCTTTTACGCCTTTTACTGACCTTAAATCTTCCTTTGACTGAGGTGACCTTTCCTTCAGTTGGTAATCATCACATGCCACTACATAACCAATATATCAGAAATTATTTTTTTGCCATGGACAGGCAGTTTGACTGTTACTCACCTGTCAGAAATGGCGCCATACACCACAGCACCAACCAGATAACCTGCCATGTAAATAGACTGTGATGCCTCATTCAAACCACTTTGGCCACAAACCAGATCAAACTGAGGGTCAGAGGACGAGGTGAAGCAGAGTCAGAAGAATCACAGGCTCAACAGCAAACTTATGTTATATATTATTTTCAGTGCTCACCTCAGTCACAATACTAGAAGCCCCTTTGGGTGCCTGATAGTCCCATCCATCAGTGCACCCTGTTGTACCATTAATCCCATAAGCCTCAATGGTTTCCAAATCCAAATCCACAGGTGTGAACATTTTGCAGCTTTCATACTCTCCATCCTTGTTCACAGGCAACGTGAGATTTCTTTGTCTCTCCTCTGTCAGGTTTGGCCCTCGTTCCAAGATCCAGTCAGTGTTACAACTGTGCTCAAAACTCATGCCTGTAAAAACTTGACCTATCACGTCAAAGGCAACAAAAAAGCTTGGGATGCATAAAACGGCGACCAAGCGTTTCTGAAATAAACCAAACTCCCCGACTTCCTTCAGGATTGGTCCAAAATTGCTCATTTTGATCTGTTGATGTCGGTGTGGCTCCTCTTCAAAGTGTGGAGCGTGAGGTATGATCGACCCAGCCCCATGTGGATTTATCTCTAGAGCTAATTAATCTTTGATCCTTTTCTACCCTAAAACATGTTATGACAGTCAGTTTACTTGGCTTTATCTCCCAGAAAGAACCATCATCAGTCATTTTAACGCCTCCATCAGTTGTAAAACAGCCAACAGACCAATAAAATGAGCTGCAACAACAGTTCAGCTGCCCTAAGTCCTGCTTGAGTCCTGACCTTTAAAATCCTCATTGGCAAAAGTTTTACAGCACAAAGACACATGTAAAAAAAAATAAAAATGACATAAATGACTCTACGGACACAGATTAAAAAACTTCTTACCAGGTTATTTCCCTTTCATTTGATACAAAGCAGACAGACTGTTTTGTCTTTCAGGTATTATTTTTGCCATGTGAAAACTCTGTTTTTTAAAGACTAATCATTACATGGTTGTTAACGTTTCCAGGGATCAATCATGGAGAATACCTTGAATTAGTATCCCTATTACAATTGAGGTGGTCTCATGATGTTTATTCAATCAAAATATGCAGCAGGAAATTTGAGTGTTATAAAACTTAACCATAATTTATGAGATCTTTTATAGCTGCTTTAGGTAAACCATCTCACATGTTTTCTTTGGTTTCTGCCACAGAGACATTCTCCATCTGATTAATGTTGTTAGTTTTAGGGAAGCACTGTACAGTTGTGTTGGGCGTAGGAAAAATTTAAAGTTGACTGACTTAATTAAGTAGTGACAATTTTCCAAATATGAAATGGTTAATCTCAAAGCCAGCATGCATGATGTTTCTCCGTGTGACAAACCAATACACCGTGACCAACAAAACCAGCATGGTTAATTGGTTGGTATATTTGGCTCTGTAACCTATAGCAGAGCTCTTTGTGTAACAAACTGGATGAAATATCCCAAAAACAACATTTTTTAAGACGTCTGTCTACTTCTTAAATCCTAAATAAATGTTTTGATGGTCCAGATTTGAGTGGGTCCAATGGTCAGAATGGGACTGCATGAATTGGACAGAAATGCTGCCCTGACGCCAATCTTGTGAAGTCAACAGATTATTTTTACGTGAGACAAGTTAACAGTCTGGCGCTGATATGTTGGATAAGAGGGGCTTCCAGCTCAGACACTAAACTAAAACATGAGGTCAGAAATGCCCTTTTGGACCCAGTTGTCAGAATTGTCTTTTCTCATGGGGTTAAACTGTGTTCTTATCGAGGATGTTATAAACCTTGACTTTTCCTTAGCTTTTCTGTCTGCAAGTCATGTGTGTGTCGCAAACTGACCTATTGAATATGTATGCAAAATGGGAGCCCATTCTAATCAATGTTATTTTATTGAATAATTTATAATGATGACTTATTAGAAAATCAAGACACTGACTCGCTTGCTTTTTCAAGGTATGACACGGCAACCAAACCAGTTCCAAATGGCTGATTTTAGTAAATCTTGCAAAAACCATTAATGATGATTAATTGACTTTTCACACAGACCTAGATTGATATGCTCCAGACAAGTAAGCATTTAAGCCCAGCATGCTGAGAAGGGTTAACCACAATCTAAATACAAAAGCATAAAAAAATCTTGTTTTTGATAAGTAGGTTGTAGCCTGCAGAAGAGAGTGTGATATTACCTCAAAACTGTTGGGTACAGTTCTGCAGTTTAAACGTAGACTGTGCTGAAAGAGGCAGTAGTCGCTATTTTCCCCATCACATCACTGTCATTGCCACAGGAAGATCTAATGGGTTGGAAAAATGTACATAAAAAAGGAAATCATAGTGAAGTATAAGATGATCAACGTCTCAAAAGCAGATGATTTCAGTTTATAACATCCTTCAGGTTTGATATGTACCATCTGGAATAGCAAGGACAGCAAGGCACACAGCATCCCCAAAAAATCAGGAAGCCTGATTAACTCATCCTCCTTCCAAGGTGCTGAATTAAGAAACAAAGCACTGAAGTTTGCAGGATTTTCAACAAAACGAAAGATAAACTGTGTGAGGTAAATATTCAGGCCAAAACCTCCAACATTCAGGCTTTGTTTTCTCAACTATGGTGTTTGAAACATGTCCATGTTTTGGACTTGACTCTCAAGAGACAGTTAAAATAGTACAAGGATGCAAATGTGGTATCATTACAAGTTAACTTTAAGCTTTTCTCTCTCTCTCTCTCTCGAAAGCAACACTCACCTCAACAAACAAAAGAAAAGGTGCAAGAAGGTTTGCAAAGCATTGATCAAACCTGCAATAAAAGAAGAGTAAATGCTTTACTCATTCAGTACTATTTCAAATGCCTGAGTGTATAATTAACATTTACATCATGAATAAATAATTATAGATCATCTTGTTATTAGATAGAGTTTAAGAGTCTATACAACAAAAGCTTTTACAAGACAGTGGCTGTTTCAATGATCCATACTTACCTGTCAGAAATTGCCCCAAAAGTCAAAGCTCTGAATAAAATACCTGCCATGGAGATGGACTGTGATGCCTAAATCAAACTGTTCTGACTACACACTACATTGGACTGAGGGCACAGAGGGTCACGGTGTAAAAAGGGTAGGAACTGATCAAAAAGACAACCAAAAGCAGAGACATTGTGGGACATTTTCATCCCCATTCACCTCACATAAAAACCCTTCTGGCTTTAGTGAAACTAAAAGTGTGCATTACTTCATTTATCTGTTAGTTTACCTCAGTCACAACAGTCGAAGCTCCTGTTGGGGCGTCGTAGTCCCATCCATCTATGCAGGAAGTAATGCTGATAATCCCACATGCTTCAATGGCCTCTAAATTTAAATCTACAGGCAAAAACATTTTACAGCTAGCTTTTTTACAGTCCATCCTCACTCAAAGGCAGGGTGAGATTTCTCTGTCTCTCTTCTGTCAGGTTGGGCTCTCACTCCAAGATCCAAAAGCACTGAACCATAACACAGCCAAGAAGCATTTCTGGAACAATCCAAACTCTCGGACTTCTTTCAGGATCTGACCAAAATTGCTCATTTTGATCTGAGAATCTGAAATCCTCTCTTTTCAAAGTTCAGTGTGCCCAGTGGATGCACCCAGCTTCAAATGCAATATTCAATGAAGCAAGTGTCTTTGTAAAGTCATTAATACAAGAAATTAATATTAAACCATGGAAGCTCCTTCTTAGAGCATGATGTTCCTTTTGAAACAAACTGTCAGCATTCAATAAAGAACAGCATCTATCATGTCTTCTGCAGCTGGCTGAGCTTGAGTGGACAAAGACGACAATGAGCAATGACAAAGGCAAAACAACACATGGACTAATACAGGACCAAATCAAAATGCTGCAGCGAAGGCAACAATATAGTAAGAAAAGACATCTGCCATCATTTAACTTTTGACTCAGTTCCCCTTTAAAAGGTAAATATTAACTTTTTAATATTCAACATGTCAAACAGGAACAAAAGGAGGTCCCTTTTCCACATGTTGTTTATGGATAAAAAATGTTTCATACAGATACTGCACACATCTGCACTTCAGAAACACTCCTGTTCACACAAAGTGCAAACACCAGGCGGACAGAACAAAGTAAAGCAGATAAGCAGGGAGAATTGGTAATAAAAAAAAAATCATATACATCTGTGGCACAAAGCAGTAAAACAATAAAACATGAGTAAAAATGTAAACAAAAGCATGAGTAAAAATGTAAACGAAAGCATGGGTTAAAATGTAAAAGAAAGCATGAGTAAAAATGTAAACGAAAGCATGGGTTAAAATGTAAAAGAAAGCATGAGTAAACGAAAGCATGAGTAAAAATGTCAACAAAGGCATGAGTAAAAATGTAAACGAAAGCATGAGTAAAAATGTAAACAAAAGCATGAGTAAAAATGTAAACAAAAGCATGAGTAAAAATGTAAAAGAAAGCATGGGTTAAAATGTAAAAGAAAGCATGAGTAAAAGTGGGCTGCAGTCCAAATATAGAAACACAACACCTCTGATCAGACAACTTTGGTTTTAGGATGAGCCTTGAATTTAATATAGAAATTGTGCTGATCACCTTTTGTGGAAGCGTAAAAACTCAATACAAAGAACGACTTCAGGGGTGCAGAGGTGTGTCCACACTGTGTTGACTGGGGTGGCCCAACAGACATAAGCAGAGGTGGCGACCATATGTGTGCTTCCATACACCATTAATGACTTTAACCCTCTCTGTCTTCACCATCTACTTCAACAACCACCACTGAAGTATCATACAGTAGTTATAATTCTGTGAATCATTTTTATATGAAAAAGAAACTTGAATATTAACCTTATTTGTTGAAGACTGAAAGAGAAAATGTTTGTCCAAAGTCACGGTCGAAGGCACCAACAAAGAAAAACAGTTGCTTTAAAATACAAAGAAAGCTACTGCCAACCTGTTAGCACACACAGATAGGCAAGTCTTAAGACTTGAGAGAAATAGGCAATCACACCTCATGATTTTAGGATGTGCCTTGGCTGGTCAAAGGATATAGGGTAGATAGTTGTGTCTTGTCACCAAGTGTGTCAGAGGTTGTCTCAGAGATTAAGTAGAGAGATTTTCTGAAAGCTCTGTCATCATTAAGAATAATACAGACATTCATGTCAGTCTTGGAGACTTTTATTTGAAGAATATCATTTATTATGGATAACAATTCTGATCCTGAGAGGAAACTAAAACATAATACTGATCCGTTTAGAAATAAAAAAAAAAAGACTAGTGAACACATCAGACATTATCCTGTCACAACTTTGATAGGGTGACTGTGTAAACTTTGGTGACATCTGGTGTTGAGGATTCAGATTGCAACTATCTCATCACTGCTTCCCTCACTCCCTCCTTCAAAATGTATGAAAAAAAATCACTTTTTCAAAATATTTAAATGAAACCCCTTTGAGGAGTTTTAGGTGGTTCCACAGGGACCTGAATTAATGCCGCAATCAGAAATGCAAATGAAAGCATCAGCTGGCAGACAAATTTGATTTCACTGCTGGTTAACTGCTAAAAGCATTCACATTGAGGGATACATTTGACATGAAACAGACAAGAGGGGTCTTTCTTTAGAGTCAGACGACTATCTACATAAAAGGGTAAAATTGACAGAGATAAGACATTCAAAGCTGTGATTATACAATAAAAAGAGAGGTAATCACATCACTTGTAATCACAGTGACCTGTATGAAATCCATAATTAATACAGTACCAATTTAAGAGTTAAAAAAAGTTCGTACCTAAAATTTCCAAAACACCAACAAGGGTACAAGGGAGCAGCATTGCCATCTATAAGGCTTTATAATGACCCTTATGAGTGATTAGCATTCATAACAGCTTTTAGTAACGATTATTATAAGCAGATTTGGTCTTCAGTTACGGTTTCCTTTTGTCACACACCTCTCTCTTGTGCTGATGGACCTTCTTCCATGTGTTTTTCTGTGATGATTATAACTGCTCCAATGTTTGTAAATTTACCTCTCCTTTCTGACATTTCATCTGCTGTGAAAATGATCCTTTCCCTTTCCGGCTCTCAGGTTCTCTGCAATTAAAAAGAGGAAACCATTTATACATAATTTCATCAAGCTAAATAACAGCCTAATTTTGAATAGTTCATCACCACAGGACTTCAGGGTGGTCTTGGAGTTCAACGTTGAGCGTTTCAGGCAGCAGCAGAGCGATGCCCCCCGCAGCAATAGGGATGATACCATAGATTAGCATGGGGAGGGAGTAATGATAAATGGCTGTGAGTCTGATCAGTGGAGCGAGGATACCTCCAACGCGAGCAAACGTGGAGTTCACTCCTACACCATTCTGCCTACCAGCACAAACCAGGAAGATCAGTAATCATACAGTACATAACAACTGGAATCATGACCATTTCAATCAATCATAAAGTACAATAAATATTATATGTACTCTCTCCAGGACTCTAAAAACCTTACCTTAGAGTGGTGGGGTACAGTTCTGCGGTATATACAAATATAATGGTGAAACAGGCAGTGGAAGCAAATTTTCCCAATACAACAATGACTGTTATAGCAACAGGACAGTCTGTGGAGAGAATATAAGAACTGAAAGGAGCAGGAGGACATTGTGGTTTCTAAATGATGGTGTGTATAATGGGACAAAATAGCATGTGGTTAAAGAGTCATTTTTTAAACATAGGAATCTAACAAATTACCTTTTGGGACAGCAAGTACCACAAGACAAGCAACGCCACCAAAAAACAGGAGAGCAACCAGACATTTTTTCCTCCCATAACGCTGGATCAAAGGCAAACAGCCAAGGCGCCCTGGAAACTCCACTAGACCAAAGACCAGCTGGGTCAGGTAGATATCCAGACCAAAATTGCCAACGTTCAGGCTCAGGCCATCATAAGTTAGATTTGTTCCAAACCTGTTCACAGATTGAAAGATATAAAGCCTGCATATTTATCAATGTGTGTAGCAGCAGGACATATTTGACATAAATACTTACCAAACAAAGCTCATTACGAGAGTACGTTTTCGTAGATATGGTATTCTAAAGATGTCCAACATGCCTGTTTTATGGGGTGCCTCCTCAACCTCCAGCTAAACAAAACAATAAAATCAATATTCTGTGTTTGTTTATACCTTTACAGTTTATCTTTACAGGATAAAGTTGATACTTGCTCTTGATTTGGTCAAAGTCAAAGGTTTTCTGTTTCTTAATTTACTTTCTCCAGCAGATCTTCCGGGACCTTCCTTCCATTTATCTTAGCTGCCCTCCGGACCTCCTTTATGACCTCCTCTTTCCTTCCCTGGGTGATCAGCCAGCGTGCTGACTCAGGAAGAACCCTAATTGAAAAATAGGGTTAGTCTTTAATGTGGACCTATATTCAAACTGTATTTCCTAAGCGGCAACTGACCAGTAAAAGACTCCCAGAACAATAAAGAGAGGGCTGAAGAGCACAAACTGCAGGATCCTCCAGTCACGGATAAAATAGGCAACAGCTGACAGCAGCATCAATCCGATGGGGTACACAGATTTGCAGACGATGGAGCACAGAGCAAACTTGGAGGACCCACTCCACTCTCCACCTTCAAGGTAGTGATACAAACAAAAATTGCACCCTTTTTAGTAAAATGAGTTGTTCTTTATTTTTGGCGACATGCAATCTTCATCTTCAGTTCAATGGCAGCAACACATCCAGATAGAAGTTTGAAGATAAACCTTTCACCTACCTATGACGTAGGCATTACCAATAATGCCTGAAATCGAGATACCACCAAAAAATTTGATCACCATATAGACATAGATGTTGGGAGAGAAACCAGCTCCAACGCCGAACAAAAGCAGGATGAAGAGTGAGAGCAGGACCACAAAGCGTCGACCAAACCTACGAAGAGAAAAGAAGAAGAGCTGGATATTCATTACACTTGACAAGCAGTTCTGTCACACTGCTTTCCTGGAGTGGAAACAGCATCCTAAGGCTTGAAAAATGCATGGTACTGTTCCACCCTTCCACCTCTGCCATATTCACAGATGTCATTTCAACTCTATTATAACCTCCACTACAGCTTTTACAGTCAAATAATTCTGTCTCAACAGGACAACATGACCAATCCAACTGAAGCTACTTATTCTTGCTGTTTCACTAAGCAGCATAAGTCAAAATTTAGAAAAAGAGGTTGGGGGCTGGCGCCAACATGTACCTGTCAGCCATCTGTCCCGTCAAGGGTGCTCCAATAAGAAGACCCCCCATATAGATGGACTGAGATGCCTCAATAAGGCCGTTCCTGTCACAAACCAGGTCAAACTGGGAACAAAAGAGATGGTGAGAGCAGAGGAAAACACTAAGTACAATTTGTATGTCTCAGCAATGACTCAATATAGTCATCAGCTTAATATTTACAGTTACTACAAAACACAGGCGCTAATCCATCATCTCCTATTTCCGTAAACCTCTTCCAAGGTACACTATTGTTAAACTGTGACGTAGAACTTGCGAAAAACTGAAAATTTTGCATTGAAGTCTATGGGACAAGCAAAAAAAAAAAAAAGTAGTTCTAGGAGTTTTTCCAAACATCTTTTTCTCTGATATACTTTCACCGGGAGACTCCATTTAAATTTTAAAGTCTCATCTATTGGTGTATTAATCCACATTTTGGTTGGTATAGCAGTGTTTTTATCACTCTCTGTTTAATGACCATGATCATTTGGAGAAATTTTGAGAGTGAGAGAAGTTGCATGAAATTGTCTGAAACTTTTTTTCACCTCATGCTCCTCTTGGCCACAAACTACACTCTACATGCATGGTTTTTTTTCCACAGTTGTAGACACATTTTTTTCTGTCTCTAACAATGTGTTTATCTAAGTAAAGAGACTTACAGAATTTAAACACATAGCCTCTCAGTGCAGCAATGTCTCTCTCTGTTCCTCATTCACGCTAATTTTCTGAGAGATGCAGAAGTTTATAACTTGCAAGTATGTCCAAACTATTTACTGTAGAAACACCAAAATCATATCAAAGCATTGGAAGTCCTAAAGATGAACATGGTGTGCTTTGTTTTCTGATAGGAGCTACAGTTTTGTCCGAAAAAGCCTAAATATGAGACCAGCGCTGAAGCAAAAAAAAAAAAATAATAAATCACTTTTTGTCGACGATTTGACTGCCTCAGCCTGCGGTGCATCTATCGTCATGGGCAACCAGCTCAAGTTGCCATGGCAACCTCAGCCGCAGCTGAGACCAATTAACTAATCAGAGACTGCTCTAATCATTGAATCACATCTAATGCAATTTGATTAACAATAAAACGATTACTTTCAATCTAACTCTTTATTAGGACCACAGGGCAAAGACACTTCGGAACTGGCCTATATAAACTTTACACCAGGCGTCTGTACATTATAACTTTTGTTATAAAGTGGATTTTTTCTTACTCCTCTTTCGAAAACAATCCGATTCGCTACTAGTCCTACAGCTTTAAGAGTTGTAGGAAAAATATATCAAAACGTGCAGTTCTATCGAGATTACTTTGCTATTACTTTTCTCTATTTATTTAATTACTCTGCATATATTAAAAGGTTTTTAATACCTCTGTGAAAAGGCTCGAGGCACCTCTTGTAGCATCATAGTCCCATCCATCGATGCACTCTGTTGTTGCGTTAATCCCATAAACTTCAGTTGTTTCCAAGTCGAAATCCACAGGTGTGAACATTTTGCAGCTTTCATATTTCCCATCCTTGTTCACGGGGAGTGTGAGATTTCTCTGTGTCTCTTTTGTCAGGTTCGGCCCTCTCTCCAGGATCCAGTCAGTGTTACAGTAATGTGGAAAGTTTTGACCCACAAACACCTGACAAATCATGTCAAAAGCAACAAAAATCGTGGGGATGCATAATGCAGCCACCAAACGTTTCTGAAACAACCCAAACTCCCCAAACTCTCTCAGGATCTGCTTAAAGTTACTCATGTTTGTTTGTGAATGTGCTCAGAGAACAAGGAGAAGTCCTATTTTAAGTAATGTTCAGCCATGAACAACCACCGTGACTCTAGTGCAGGGTCACGTGTTGCATGTCACGTGCACAGTGTCTCAAAGGGGTAGGGGCAAAAACCCCGGAGAAAGTAAGACGTGTACCTCCAGTTTGTGGTTGGACACTAACGCACCGATTAACCAAGATAAAACATTCTCATTATGAAGATCAAGATCATCACTTTCTGTCTCTTTTTTGTGATCATGAGGAAGTTTTACAACAGGATCGGTTCAAACCGGTCAAAAGTTATGGTGGACAGGTTAAAATTTTACTTTGATAACTCTGGACAGTAGACAATTTGGAGGTTACAGAACTAAAACAGCTTCAAACTCTAGATAAACCCAATAGCATAGGATTCATTTCAATATATGAAGGCATGAATAATAAGAGGAGAATTTAAGGCCTTATTTCAGCACTCTGGAAAATTTTCATGCAAAAAAAAAAAGTGCTGGGACTTTTAGAACAAACACAATACAATTGTTTTTCATGTGGTCAAACTGAATAGAAATCCAATTATTGAGTAAACTGTAAGATTAAGATGTTAAAATCACCAAAAGAGCAATTTATCTGGAAAGGAATCCAATGTGAACTTTTTACCTTCATTTTACTCAGTATTTAAAGAACATAATGTATGTTCTACTGGAGGGACTCCAAAGAGTACCTTTTTTTTTAACCTTGTACACTCTAGAACAGGGGTGGGAAATCATGTGCCATGGAGGGCCGAGAGGCTGCAGGTTTTCTTTCCAACCCAAAACTCCACCAGGTGATTTCACTGATTACCTTACCTCCAAGCAGAGACCAGGAACTAATCAGTGAAATCACCTGTTGGAGTTTTGGGTTGGAAAGAAAACCTGCAGCCCCTCAGCCCTCCATGGCACATGATTGTCCACCCCTGCTCTAGAAAGACAACAAAGGAGCACTTCAAGTTTTATCCTCTGCTCAGGCCTCTTGGGGGCGCTCCTTCATCCTCCAACAATTCAAAGAAACTTCAGTGGGCTGTTTGGCTTTTGGTTTTATATTCTGGTTGGGCATCAAGAGGGAGTGTAATTTTCCAAATGGATACTTTTTTTCCCCATTGTATAGGCTGGAAGGGCATCCAGAGAGGAGACTTCTTCATCTTTTTTCAGCTTCATGCCTAATCAGCACTAGGAAAATCAAGATTTTATGTTCTGGTAAATCATCCAGAGGGATCTTGTCCAGTTCTGAATAGCTTCTTTGTACTCTACCTTGAGAGACTTCAGCTTGTTGCAACTGAGACAAAATAGAATAGAATAATGGGAAAAGGAAAACACACACACTGTCAGTTTTTCAAATACTTGAATTAAAGTAGAAAAAGTCGAATAAGCATGTGGCAAATGTACATACACATAATTTATCATAGGCATATCAATTCAAAATCTTTACAGTTTAACTTAATGCATCTAAAAAACACACGGTAAACATGATTAAGTTGAAGCTTGGCTCGAAAGTAACTGCATTCTGATAAATGACTTGTTATTATTATATTATAGTTATAAGTTAGGAGCAGACTTGCATATATAAGACACACACACATACTCACACTCACTCACACTCAGAGGACAAAAACAGTCATATCCATATAAATTAAAATTTGGTTTTCTTCTCTGATTTTTCTTCATCTGTGAGGGAGCCCAGCTCAGTAACCATCTCTGGATTTCTGAAAAATATAGGCAAGAAAATGTTCATACAGATATGCTTTGACTCTCAGTTATGGACTCTGTTCATGAGATGGTTCACAAACTTACGTGACTTCAGGGTGGTCTTGGAGTTCAACGTTGAGGGTCTCTGGCAGAAAATAACAAAACCCTGCAGCAGAAATAGGCACAAAGCCATAAATCAGCATAGGGATGGTGTGATGGTAGACGGTCAGCAGTCTGATGAGTGGAGCGAGGATTCCTGCTACACGAGCAAACATGGAGTTCAGACCCACACCATTCTGCCTACCAGCATGGACAGGGAATGAAAAAACAAATAGGATTTAGTAGTTGCAAAGATGAGCCTTTAGTTACAAGTTTTATCTCTGTGAAAACTGAGGTTACCTTAATATGGTAGGGTACAGCTCTGCAGTGTAAACGTAGACCACCGAGAAACTCGCAGTGGCTGAAAATTTTCCTAGTACAGCAATGACTGTGACCACTTCAGGAAGATCTGATAAACAATAATAAACAGGAGAAAAACACATCTTTGACTTGATCCTGTGAAGTCAATTTTTGTGTTGTCATAAAGCAAAACATGTCCTAGGGAGGGAGACATCTTTGGAAATCAAAAGATCAGCAAAAATGCTACACAGTTTTAAGGATTTGGCCAGACAACATTTGAGAAAAAACAAAAAACATTTCAGAGACACACTTTTGTGTATAAATTAAGCAACATCTCATTTAAAACACAAAAAAAATCCAAAAACAAAGGAGTGATTAGTTTTGCTGTGTCACAAGCCTTCTCACTTTAGAAAAAAAATAGATAATTTAAAAATATTGACATTTTTTTTAGTCCAGAATTCTTTATGTTCAAGAATATTCAGATATTTTTGTATACATTTTAAACTTCAAGACAAAAAGACTTTTAGAATCTGTTATTTTAATCATTTTGAAACTCGTTAAAAAGTGGGGATAAAATCTGACGTTTTGAATATCTAAAGAAATGTTGCAACTTACAAGAACTTTTTATGTAATATGTTTGAATATCTGGAGATTTACATAGTTTTCCTGATTGTTAATGAACCTAAAAATTGGAAATAGTAGAAAACGTCCCTTTATTTGTGCAAATTTTGGTACTTCAGAGATTTCCTGTTTTCCTAAGTTATTTTCTGGAAATGTGGGAATTGTTGAACACTCCTGTCCGGAAATTTTGAAGACCTTACATGTGAGAAACTTTGAAAAACTAAAATTTCTAACATTTGGAAAAAAATTGTTAAAAATTTAGTCTGAAACTTACTCGTTTTTCTGAAATCCTTTCCTCTACGAACTCTAATGGGAACTCTTTTTAAAAGCGTTGTTTAATATTTTTCAGAAACTTAAAGTCTTGTCTGTATCTTAAAGGAATTTGGGTTCAGGACAGTAGAGTGTTTGGTAGCTTTGGTTACTTCAGTTCAGAAGTCCATTCACAGCCTTTTAAAGGGTGAGACTTACAGGTGTACAAACCATATCATCTCAGGTTAACGTGCTACTTGTATAAAACATCCCACCTTCACACGCAGGAGACAGATTATATCTGGTGCTGAACATGACCCCTTTTTGGTTTCCAAGAGTGAATCAGAATGTCTTTGAAAGAAAGCAGTATTTGTGTAGAATAAACCTCTAAAATCCAAGTGCTTGAACAGGAAAAAGGATTTGGGAAGAATAAAGAATAATAAAAAAAGAGGTACTTCAAGTTAATAGTACTGTAGTGGTGATACACAGCCACCCAATCATTGGAGGCACTGTCAGTTCTATGTTTGGTGTATTGATGTGTTTCCTAAATTATTATGCTCTCTAAATGTTGTTGTATTCTGACCTTCAAGGCCAACTGAACTCCTAATAAATCCATATGAAGACTGCATTCAAGACTGACATGTCACCACGACATCACCCCAATTACAAGACAACTAGCTTACCTTTTGGAACTGCAAGTATTGCAAGACAAGCAGCTCCTCCAAAAAACAAGACCCCCGCTTGACCTATCTTCCTCCCAAAGCGCTGGATGAGAGGCAAACTGCCTAAACGTGCGGGAATCTCTACCAGTCCAAAGATGAACTGTGTCAGGTAGATATCCAGACCAAAGTTGCCGACATTCAGGCTCAGTCCATAGTACATCAGACTTGTCCCAAACCTGAGGTGAAATCTATATTTCAGTGGGGGGAAAAAAGTGTAGCTGTACATGTGGCAGCATATTTCAGTTGAAATGAATACTCACCAGACATAGCTCATAATAAGAGCCCGTTTTCTCAGGTAAGATAACCTCAAAATATCCAACATGGTTCCTGATTTGGATGTATCTTCCGTCTCCATCTTATTAGTATAGAGGTACAAAAATGGTTATTGTGTATAAGTATCAGACTTTTATAGTGTTTAGTTTGGACTGAAACAAAAGTGTATTTGATGCATATTCTTACATTCTCCAGCAGATCCTCTGGGACCTTCCTTCCATTTACTCGAGCTGCCCTTCGGACCTCCTTGATGGCTTCCTCCTTCCGTCCCTGAGTGATGAGCCAGCGAGCTGACTCTGGGAGAACCCTAAATAATGTATTCAAGAGTATATCATGCCATTTTCTAAATACTGTTGAGTCTGTGACAGGGTTGTCTGAAAGGTTTCTTACCAGTAAAAGATTCCCACAACAATAACAAGAGGACTGAAGAGCACAAACTGCAAGATCCTCCAGTTGCGGATCAGGTAGGCAATGCCCGACAACATCATCAGTCCAAGAGGGAAAAAGGAATGGCAAATAATGGTGCAGAAAGCAAACTTGGAAGAATCACTCCACTCTCCACCTGTAAAGGAATATTAAAGTCAGAAAAAGCTCAAGGTAAAAGGTAACATCCTGGATACTTTTCAATACTTGACACAACATTTACCCACCAATCACAAATGCATTTGCAACTATCCCTGAAATAGCGATGCCACCAAAAAATTTGAGCACCATATAGACATAAATATTGGGTGAGAAGCCGGCCCCGACTCCAAACAGCAGCAGAATGAAGTGTGAAAGCAGGACCACAAAGCGTCGACCAAACCTTCGAAGAAAAGAGAAGAACCAGCAGTGACTGAGACGTTATACAAAGACATTATATGGTAACACGTAAACTCCTGACCCCACCTAGTTAATGCCTGAGGGGTCTGTACTTGGATCTTGAGTTTCAGGCAGGAGTCACATCACACTGTTGAAGCATTATTCCTCTAAGCAAGTATATACAAACAAGTTAACAAGGCATTAAGGATCCAAGGAACCTCAAACAGGACTACATCGATGCACCCCTGGAAAAAACTGCAGTTCCTCAAAGATCCATTAGAGCAGTGGTTCTCAAGTCCAGTCCTCGAGGCCCACTGTCCTGCATGTTTTGGATGTTCCCCTGCTCCAATACACCTGATTCAGATGATCAGCTCGTTATTAAGCCATTTCAGAGCTTGATAATGAGCTGATCATTTGAATCAGGTGTGTCTACCAGGTGATTTCACTGATTACCTTACCTCCAAGCAGAGAGCAGGGACTAATCAGTGAAATCACCTGGTGGAGTTTTGGGTTGGAAAGAAAACCTGCAGCCTCTCGGCCCTCCGTGGCACATGATTTCTCAACCCTGACCTAAGGCAACCCCATGAAGTCCTATGTGAGTGTGCCCACTTTTATAGCAGGAATAAACATGTTTACAGCAGTGTTAATTTCATTAGTGAAAATGATACCACAGACCAGCCTGTGCTCTCAATTGTTGAAGCTCCTGAGAGGAACTTTCAATTTGAACCAATTTTGACATCTCCTGTGGACAAAGCAGTCTTTTTTGACAAAAAAGAAAAAAAAAAGTCTTATCATTGTGACTTCCGAGAGTCAAATGTATCATTTATTGTGAATTTTAATGTGGAAAATGTAAAAACAGGACTTTTTCTTCATGAGCCCAGCTGACACCTAAGTTTGAGGTGTCAGCTAAGTTTAAGACACCCAATCCAAGTGAGTAAGATGCTTCTGCTATACAATAAACAAACATATACAGCACATGGAGAACAGGTGGTTGTGTATTTATACCTGTCGGCCATCTGCCCCATTATAAACGCTCCAATCAGAAGACCAGCCATGTAGATGGACTGTGAAGCCTCGATCAAACTGCTGCTGTCACACACCAGGTTGAACTAGAAACAGAAAAGATTGTTAAAGATGTCCGTGGACTTGAATCGCAGTTGGCTGAATACCAAGATTAAGACTGTGACACTTTGACCACACATGGTGCTGATGTTATAACTGTCCCAGGGTTTTTAGGTTTGGAAACCTCGCTCATAACAAGCTGGTGTGTCATTTGGATATTGTGTGCCATCTAGTGGATCCAAATAAATAGGGTTTTCTTTCTTCTTCCTCCTATCATCATATTTTGATCCTTGTGGTGTTGTGCACTCTGTTGGGCAAGTTGGACATTTGTTTTCTTCTTTCTTTGTCTCCCTTTATTCTCATAAAGTGAAAAGCACCCTGGCCTTGCACTAACTGGATGAATATGCCACGGCCAGGATACACTGAAGGTTTCATTAGCATATATTTTGGTAAAGGTAAGGTTGCTCAGAAGGGCCAGATATAAAGCCAAACTGATAAATAAAGAACAGCATCTTTTATACTATTCTTCCTATTGTGTGTGTAAATATATATATATATATATATATATATATATATATATATATATATATATATATATATATATTTTTTTTTTTTTTTTTTTTAAATTTAAGTATTGAAGTAAGATTCAGTCACTTTTACACAGATTGATCATTGATTGGCTGGTTGAATTATGCAAATTGATAACAAGCAATCACCTCAAATCAATCACAAAGATAAAGGGAAATGACACTTTCACTCTGTAAATGAATTAAAATGCTGCTCTTACCTCTGTTACTATGCTGGAAGCACCTGCCGCTGCATCATAGTCCCATCCACCTATGCACTCTGTTGTTTCGTTAAGACCATAAGCTTCAATAGTCTCCAAGTCCAAATCCACAGGACTGAACATTGTGCAGCTTTCATATTTCCCATCCTTGTTCACAGGGAGAGTCAGATTTCTCTGTCTCTCTTCGGTCAGGTTCGGCCCTTTCTCCAGGATCCAGTCAGTGTTACAGTGATGTGGGAAGTTTAGACCTGTGAACACCTGACAGATCACATCAAATGCCACAAAAATGCTGGGGATGCATAACGCAGCCACCAGTCGTTTCTGAAATAACCCAAACTCCCCGATCTCTTTCAGGATCTGCTTGAAGCTACTCATGTTTGTTTCTGAATGAACGCTGAATGCAGCTCAGAAAAGAAAAAGGTCTGGCTTCAGCCAACGTGACTACAGTCCAGCTAGTTAATGTGTAAACCGACAGTCACAGTGCTTTTACGACGTGCTGACAAACAGACTACCAAAGAATTAAAATGTGATGTAAGAATCTCCTAGGCTGAAGTCCAGCTGGGATACGGTTGTCGTAATATATGGCTCATCCTTTTATCCCCCCACCTTAATTACAATGACCCCTTAATAAACTTCATCTTTGTGTTTAGAAGAAAGCAAAGAGCCCAGGAGGAAGGAGGGGTTCAACAGGTCATACTCAGTGTTTTATCTTGCCTGAATATCTGAGCCATCATCTCCTCTCCGATTGGTCAAAAACAAGAGGTCACAGTAGCTTCCTAAAGATAAGGTGCAAAACATGAAATCCTGTACAATAAATCCTGTGTTTATACAAACACTGATGCACAATACATTACTATAAATACCTTTAAGATGTGAGTCACCGCAAAACAGACCTTTAAAGGACCCACTTGAAGGAACAACAAGCACATCATAGATTATCTTTATGTACAAGGAAACTGAACATTTTTGATCAGAATCAAGACTGAAAAAGACTGTAAGCTGTTTGTTCATTCTTGTTGTGATCTTTTACAAAAACATGCTGCGTTTCTTCAAATTTTAGGCCAATGACACCAAGGATGACGCCATGCACAGAGTCCTACAGAAGCTGTTTGTGATCAGATAACTGTGTTTGTCCTCTGCACAGTCAAGCAAAACCTTTCCTCAAAACTGAGATTAGGAAGAGATGCAACTTTGTGTGACTCTTGGTCTTTTTCCCCTCCATCATTTATGGAAACTCTTTTGTCTTTGCTTTAATTGATGGACAAGTAAAGTTACTCCTTTTCACATTCACATCTATATTTGTTCATAACTTTTTGTATTGCTTTGGAGTGACAGTGCAGTTAATCTGATTCAACTCTTAACAAACATAGTGGTAACCAAGTGTTATGCAGACTGCTCCTTTATTAAGAGTTGTCCTCTTATCACTAATACACCCACATATTTATGTGCTTATCTTGTCATTAACTGGTTCTTAATTACTGCTACTTGATTCATTTTGAACACAAGGGTTTTTATGGAAACAGACCATAAATGATTATTAGAAAGAGATTAAACATTTATAATGAAAAGCTTGCGTAAACAAAGAAGACACACACTGCTAAGGTGCATTACGGTTGACTGTATCCAGAGTTATGAACAAGACAACCAGGATAAATATCTCTGTGCTTTGTATTATTGGTACTTATCAAGGTCTGTCCCCTGTAAGTCTCAGACTTGATTTAATTTTCTAAATTATCAGAGAGACGGGTAATGTCCTCAGGTCAGAAAATGGACATCAGGACTTTCTCCAGGTCAGGGTTTATGAAAGGACAACTGTTATCACACTGAAAGTTAATACACAGACACTAGAGACGATAGCAGATAACAAAGGAACACAATAATTTGAAACACTGAAAACATTAGATATATGAAAAGATCTGTAAACAGTTGAAAGGCGAAATAACAAAGCACTGAGTCAGCTCAGCATGTAATTACAAGACCAATAAAGGACATAGTGAATGTGCTCAATGGAGGGTAAAGGGGGAGGTCTGATGAGGTAACAGGAAAATATGATGACAGGAATTAAACTGAGCAGATAGGATTCAACAGTGATAAAATGGAGAGTCATTTTCTATAGCCAGCAGGTGGCGCTGTGTTTTTTTGGAAATTGTGGGACACCACGTTGGCACAAGGATTGTGCAGATGTGTCAATATAGGGCTGAGATACAGCAGTTTGAAATAAAATCACAACATGTGATGATGAAACTGAACTTAACTGCACAGTGCAGACCACGCCCTCTAGTCTAAATAAACTATTACCACATAAATGTAATCAGGTCTTGACCCCTATAATGAACAGTGAGTTTGGGTCGGATTGGGGCATGCCTGGCTGAGGTCAAAACTACTTCCTGTCTAATAGCAAAACACCAACAGACAATTTTTTAAAGAAACCCTGGAGATGACTCAAAAACAGGTGATTTTTTTGCTGTTTTTTTAAATACTTCCTGTGGACATTTAACCACAACATTCAGGGGACTTTTTTAAGTCTCGGGAAGCCGGATATGTGTAAGAAAATCAGCTTTCTGGGTAAAACAGCTGGGAGGGAATGAAAGGTGCTAGTGCCTGTTCTTCTTGGCCACTTTCAAAACCCCTAAAATATCAACAACAACAAAAAAATAGAGCATGTTAAGGTCCTCAAAACTGCAGTGAAGACACAGGATAGTAATCACAATAATCTGAGGAATCCTAATTAGATCCTCGCATCTACTTGGCGTTTGGGTTCTAATAAACGTTGACAATACCAGGTCATAAAATACACACAAAAAAACCATCAGTGGTCAGAGTTGTCTGATATGCTCATTCTTTATTGATTAAAAATAATCAAGAGAAACATGCTTTGAACTCCAAAACGATCAAATATAGAGCAAATGAAAGACAGAAACTGAAAGAACCCAGAACAGTGGGAGAATTCAAATATTTTACAGCCTTGAAGAGTTATTGCCTGGACAAAAGTGTCTTTTGTCGGTCATCTGTTCAGTTTGCTACAGCTTTGTTAGACTACGTGTAAGCAGGACAGAGAAAGACTGCTGGAGAGAAGATGAGAACAAAGCCATTAGATCTCAATTCTGTTAGAAGCAGGGCTCAATCTATGCAGCACACACTCATTCATTCACACTCTCATCCTTTCAGGGCTCATACAAATGGATCCTGTCCTCGCCTGCCGTCAGCTGCAGACTAAACCAGGAAAATGGCACCAAAGATGTAAAAAGTAACATCGGGTCGCTGACTTTGTCTCTCCAGTTTGAGGAGATAACACCGATAAGTGTTAGCTTTGGGTATCTCCAATGTGTAACAAGAGGTACGTTTTAAAGACACAGAAAAGCCAATAAAAAACAAACAAACTTGAAGTTATGTCAAAAAAGGAAAAAAAAAATACACTTGGTCAATTTCATTTTAAGGCTAGTGTAAAATTTGACAAGTTGTATGCAATCATTTCCTTTTTGAAGTTTATCAGCAAAGAAGAAATTCATTTTCTTTGAATTTGGCATCTGGAGAGTTCTGACATTATCACATGACCGGTTTAAACTGCAAAACCTTGCTGGCGTTTGAGAGCAGAGTGTTTAACTAACGTCCTGCTGCCGTCTAATGTAATGCACATTCATTAAAACAATGTCTCAATGCACGAAAATGTTCAAGGATGTGACATCTGGAGTGACACCAGCCTCTGAATCCAAGGCCCAAACACGCTTCTCATCGTTCAAAATGTCTACAATCATAGATAAACTTTTCAAAACAGGAGGACGTAAAAGAAGTATCGTAGCTGTTTAAAAATAGCTATTTAGAAGTGACGAAGCAGCTGTATGACTTCAGTATGACGAGGGTTAAGTAAGTTCTGTAAACAGCCTCCACTTGGAAGAGATGGAGACGATTTCTCTGATACTTGGCTCAAAATTTGGTGAAATTTAAGGTGGACAGACTTAAAGCGATGCAGCAGTACAGCTATTGCTTTAAAGTAGAATCGACTTTTCCAAGGCAAAAAGTGAAAAGCTTTATGAGTAAAGGTAAAGAAGCGCCGCACATGACACAAAATAAGAGAGACAGCATGTCCTGCAAAATAAGAGGATTCAAAGCCAAATCTGCAGTGTCGTCGTTTTTCCTTCACGCAGTGCTACACAACCCACAATCGTGTCATAGGACAGAAAAAAGGCCAAAAGTGAAACACTGAGTATAAAAACAAATCAAAGCCAAATGTTATTATTTACACATTAGAGGTTAAATCAAGTACTTGTGTTTCATCCACATAAACAAAAATGCACTTAAGTTTTTTTTTAAGAATTAAAGACTCTTAACAGACACAAACTGATACCAACAGACATGCTCACACTACACTTGTGGTTTCAGGTGCTGTGAAACTTTGTACGTCACGTCACAGGAATAAGGATGTTGTGTTTAAAATGAGAGAATCTGACATTGAGCCCCATAAATATATTTGAATATTATCCTTTAAAAATGAAGACAATGATCAACTAATGATGGCTTCCTTTTACCTCCTCATTTGAGTTTGTTAACTCAGTTAAAGACAGGGTTTCATCGTTATGTTACTGTCGTCAACCATTAATGCAGAAAGACCAAAATTGTGTTGTTTTTTTTCCCTTTGATTTGATTTGAATCTCTGCTGTTATGAACCAAGAACTATTTGAAAGGCATAACTGGGCTGTAAGGTGAGATTTTGCCAAAATTGACACAAACTTTGTTAGTGCCACGCTGTAGATCTTACTCCTGACACCCAACACAAGCTTTAAAATGACTATGCAGACTAGTCAGTCTTTTCGCTGATGGACTTGTTTGCTTTAACAGGCGTCAATACTATTCTCAGTCTGTTTCCTACCTCTCAAACACCCCTCAAGAGAGCTTTAAGATGTGCACAGGCATGGCAGTTTGTTTGGCTTGGCTGCTAATTCTCACCAGATAATTAAGCGTATTGATCAACAGCTAAAGAGAGTCTGCAGTATGTTTGGTATGCATTACAGTGCCCTTATTTTTAAGATAACTCTGCAGCGACCTCTTAGAATAAATGTTAATTATAAAGAGTACATTTGGAGCCCTTAAAATGTGTTGGTTTTTTTTTTACTATAGTTAACATACCGCTTACACATCTGAGATTTAAAGGCTGAGTGTCCCAAACAGTAAAAGGGAGTAATACAGTGACATTTTCTAACATGCTGTGGTTTATATGACCGTCTTTTATTCTGACATTCATTAACAATGAAAACACTACTTTAATTGTCAAGCTGACCTCAGTTGTATGTCTGTTTAATCCTAACTGCCTCACTAACCAGCTTCACTTCTCCTCTAAAAGTCTGTAGAAAGTTTGACAAAAGCACCTGAAACCACACGTACATGTCAGATAACATAATGCTCCATATGGTAACTGGGGACGTCCCAAAAACGTGCATTCAGTAGTTCTGATGAATATAAGGCATTGTTACATTTATCAGGATTCAAGGGCGTTAGTTCAGATTGTGCAAATGCATCACATATTAGAGAGAAACAATAACAGAATGAGGGCGACCAGAATGAAAACTGTTTCTTGAAGATACTTGCATCCTTCTACATGTACGCTGTAAACTTGTTTTGAATGGATTCTGATACTGTTCGCTCTGATACTTCAGCCAACCAACCGTTCACAGACGCAGCGTCGAATGATCCTATGGATGACAAAACGGTACTGTTTTCTTTGGCAGTAGTGGTTTCTTTACAGCCATAGAAAGAAAATATGCAATAAACTATTTTTTTTTTTTAATTTTCACATTTTTTAGGCAAGTCACGGTCCCAGGTAGAACAACAGTTTAACTAATGCTGAGCTGAGCAAAGCCCATGAGTTTGACGTCATCTGGAATTTCAGATCCCTCTATTCCAGAAGCCTGTGGAGATACAATAAGAGGTATAAAAACAAGTGAGAGAAAGTGTAAAGGGACATATAATATCATTTCAATATCGTGTGAAGACTAACAATTAAAGGGATATTCTGGCATTAATTAATGGGTCAAACACACTGTAACACAGAGCTAGACACCCCTGTCGAGAGATGAATGTTGCTGACCGCTTGCTTCTCTAGTTATACCAACTTTAGTAACAACTGCAGGATAGCAATACACAGTGATCTCAGGAGCCACACCCAAACCTCAACCAAAACGCCACTCTATAGCCACAAATAATGTTCAGAACAGCACCTAACTTCATCAATAGTACATATAGGGTCCCAGCCATAGTACTAGACACCAAACATCTTTTTAACTTTGCCTAATTTTTTTAGCAAAGAGACTAAACACAACTCACCTACTCTCTTCCAGCAGCCACTTGTTTGTAACAAGACCTTAGGCCAGTCCATTACAGGCTACAGTGGGGTTACGCAGCTCAAGGAAGAACATTTATGATCATTACTTCATGGAAATGCAATCAGACCGAGACACTAAGGCAGAAGAACTACCGTGTCTGCAGTGCAAAATGATTTATATGATGATTATTACTTCAAGGAAATGATAAAGAAATTATTATAATTGTTCTTCCTTGAGCTGCGTAACCCCGCTGCAGTCTGTAATAGACTGGCCTGAGTTCTCTGTAAAAACAAGTGACTGCTGGAAGAGAGTAGGTGAGTTGTGTTTAGTCTCTTAGATAAAGAAATTAGACAAAGTAAAAAAGATGTTTGGTGACTAGTACTATGGCTAGGATCCTATAGCTACTGTTGATAAAGTTAGCTGCTGTTGTGAGCATTATTTGTGGCTGTAAAGTGGCGTTTTGGTTGAGGTTTGCATGTGGAGACATAGACAGCTGTGTATTGCTATCGTGCAGTCAGTACTGAAGTTGGTATTACTAGAAAAGCAAACAGTCGGCAACATTCATCTCTTGAGGGGGTGTCTAACTTAGTGTTACGGTGTGTTTGACCCTAAATTAATTTTTACGCCAGAATATCCCTTTAAAGTAAGGAATATCGCTCTGATATGACCTAAAAACAAAATATACACAGCTGTGCAGATGTTCAGTACAACAGTATAACTTTCCTGCAAGAGTCAACAGGAAGCATGAAATAGTGAAAATCGTTGAGCTGAAACTGAAATTCCGTACACTTCTCTCTTGTGCTGCATCTGTGACTCTGCTTGTAAATACTGACTTTTTCTAGCAGGTTAGAAGAAAAATAAAAGTTCCAAATACATTTCAGGGACTTTTTAAACTGAATCAGGTTGAAAAAATTGAAAGTGTTGAACTCACCAGCTTGAAAGTGACATTTTTATTGGCTTGAGGTTCATCAACTATTTTCTGCAAATTTGCAGCAACTGAAAGGAAAAGTCATGTTTCAGTCGGATGAAAATATTCGCGTTTGTCCACTCAGAGGTAAATGTGAATGTTTTTTGACTCTCAAGTGTCCCTATGAAAGGGGAAATCATTTATTTATTCGATCACTAACCTATTACTAAGTCTCTTCCGTCCACTAGGCCTGCTGACACCAGCTCCTGTGACACACCATCTGCTGTGTCTGCAAAAACACATTAGAGAGGACTGTCAAACCTTTTTTGTTTCTTTTACTCATTACTCGAAATGTGATTTATGCAGGCAAGCCTTTGACTCCAGACACTTAAACGAGCTGGGGCAAAAGGGTTCTGATTAATACGAGAGGGAAACTTGACTCACCTCTCCCCGGCATGAATTCAAAGCGGATGTCATTAAGCTCCTTCTTTGAATTTCTGAGGAGATGAATGAAAAACACCCGATCATATCAGAGGTGCTCCATGATTCTTTCACACAAAGTTTCCAACCTGTACAACTCAAGTTCAAAAGCAGCACAGCTAGATCCAAAAGTTTGAGACCACCACTCAGGATACTTTGATTTAGCTTGTTTGAAATTCATTATTATTCACTTTAAAAGATGATTGTGATGACTGTGAGGGAAAGCCAGCAGGAGTGAGTGATCCCCAGATAGTCCTTTCGATGATTTTAGGTGTCATTGGGGTGATTATCCTGCAGCAGGATGAATCACTGCAAACCAGAGGGCGCAGCATGTCTCTGCAGGATGAGGCCATACTTCTCAGCTGTCAGTTAAATGCAAAACAACCCCAAACTTTAAGAGAATATTCAAATTTTCTATGTCGTCTCAGACTTTTGGACCACGCTGAACATTTAAAGAAAAACTTGTAGGCAGCAGATCAATATTTTACAAGCAAAAGAAGGAACATACCTTAACCTTAATACCAAACTAATAGGAGCATTAACATCCGCTGAAGGCTGTGGGAACAAAAATAATGACGGCTGATGAGTTTTAAAAGACAGGGTACAAACAGAGAGGCTAACATGTGATGGACAAAATGATGTCATCGTGTCTGACCTGTGCGGGAGCAGCAGCAGCAGCAGCAGTAGTGGGTGTGCCTAGTGTAGGAGATGCAGCCTGGGCAGTGGGTTGAGTGCTGGCTGGTGTGGGCTGCAGTGGGACGTGGCCTGCAGCCGGAGGTAGTTCTGCCGGGGTTGTTGCAGCCGGCTGGTGTTGACTACTTAAAGGCTCCGGAGTCTGGAAAACCTGAAACAGTCATGAAACAAAAGCTCATTCATTCATTCATTCAGATGCTCGGCTCTCAGCACAGCAGCTGTCAATCATGCACAAAATTTACACCAGTGATAAGTGACATAACAAAGACCTGGTTTCATAACACTGTTTCATAACACACATCATCAAAAGTTTAACTGTAGTTAGGTTAAATTATCCCAATTTAAAGTCCACTTCCTTTATTTAGATAAGCCCCATATTAAGATTTAGTGCTTCACTTTCACTCCCAGTATTATGACATTAAATTAAACTCAGTGTTTTAAAGGGTCTGGAAAGAGAAACTGGAACATCTTGCAGACTATATAGAAGTTTGTTAGAAGGCTAAATGTTGAAACTCACCTCTGAATTCTGCGATCCTTCCTTCACTCTTGGAGACTGTTGAAACACACAGTAAAGAATAACATTCAGGTGGCAGTTTGGATATCAAAAACGGCACCAGTCAAGCCAAAACAGCACACATGGATATGAAGAAAACACACACAAAGCAAGAAAGGTGAACAGATTTTGACGGCTCGCTCATTTACGTTCCTCATATGTCTGTCGTCTTAGTGTGAATCTCATTTAAGCTGAATAAAGTAATATTATAAGTAAAAAAAGAGATTTCAAACGCTTACTTTGCATCAGTAAAAGCTCAATAACTAGCACTGAAATCACCAGGACACAAAAAATATCTAAGTGAGACGAGACTGAGACTTTCCGAAGCTATTCCTTTCAAATCTCTGTTCATCCAATTCTGCAAATCAATCAGAAGTCCTGATTCCTGTGATTTTAAAGGACCATGAATTCTGACTCACTGTGATGAAGTGATTTTAGACATAAATCATCAAAGTCTCTCTCTCACAGAGGTAGAAGATTTCATGAGTACAGTTGTGTTCTCAGTGCTAGTAACTGCTTTATGAATGATTGGAAAGACATTTTGTTCAGCTGGAGTTTTTGTGTTGGATTTGAGAAGCAGAGCGATGCAGAAAAAAGTGATTAAAATCAAGAAGAAAGTCACTCTGTTATATGGTCGCATTGTCAATTTGCGAAAATCAGTAAAAGCGTTTTAGGAGACTGGATCCAATTACTTATAATCAGCTAATGGCTGTTCAGAAAGACTTTAATAATCAAGTCATAGATTTGTGAATGTGAAAATATTCAAAGAAATTGGAGTTTCTGAGGAAAACAAGTTTAACCTCTCAACACACTCCACATGTGCCGAGAGCACATTTATAAAGCCGTATATTACAACCTGTAATAATGACTTATTTCTCATCAAACTACGACTTCATTTTCACAAACGTATGACTCTGTCCTTCTACATCTGCGTCCTTGTTATCACAGTTTTATTCTAATGATATCACAGATTCAGTCTAAGTTGATTTCCATCCTTGTTTGGCTCAATTCCTTTGTTGCCGTTTTAAAATACAACATGCAATAGAGCTGGTGAGACCTGAAATCCAGTTTGTCTCGTATAGCTGACAAGTCAGCGTCAAATCAGCAGAGATTTTGTAAGATTCAAATCCCTTGACTAATCAATGCTTTGTTAGTAAAAGCCTTTTATTGATTAAGTTTGATTTGGTCAGTATGAATAAAGAGTGACTTAGAAATAGAAAAGGAAATACAGATGGCTTCCAGGAAGTTAACTTTCTTGCTCTTGGCTCAACAATGCTTCCTTAACTTAGATTTTTCCTCATTTCATCATAACTGCATCGATGTTTGTATTCTCTTATTTATAGATATAACTTTTGGAAATGAGCAGGTACTGTATGTTCTGCATGTCCATATCTACTCTTCAACAGCACATACAAACAGGCCTGTGAACTTATGGCTCAAACTGTCCTCACATGTGATCAGCAGCATCAACAGAGAAGTGCTTATAAATGCACCTTCTCCCTTTCGCACACCAACCCCACGGCTCTCTCTGTGGTTACGTTCGTTTTATGATGGGTTGGTGCAGGTTGACATGACATTTGATCTTATCTTTTTTTATCTAGGAGATAAGAGTTTATCTGTGTGTAGATTTTCTCCATTAAAATTAAGTTTATCACTCCAACAAACAGAGCTTTAAGAGCTCACTGCACCAAAAATGAAGAAGGCACCTGATCCACGGCTGTAAAGATTAACTTCTACCTGAACAAACTGTCCACAAGCTTTCTCTAGAGTTCGTCTTCCCTTCTTCCCTTCCTTTTTTTCCTGCTCTTTCTATGGATCACAAAATCCCTTGCTACATTTAGAGAGCGTCCTTCCTTGTTAGAGGAATGCCATCTGTATTGTGCTGTCAAGTGAACAACCCTGGACGCAGGCAGCTCGAGTGGGAGGGAGAAGCGCACTTGTCGCCTGGTAGCGCTAACAGGCTTCACCTGCTGCTCCTTGGCCATCAGACAGAACACACACACACACACACACACAAACACGGGAGACTCAGTGGAGGAGAGACAATGGACAAACATGCTAATGCACAGATACGACAACCACAGAATGTTTTCAGGGAGGTACAGACAGGAGGTTAAGTGGAACCAAAGTATGCACAGGGAAGACGAACTGCATGTTTATTTCACCCTTAAGGCAGCAACAGCCAGTTTGCCCTCTTCACTTTCTTCATCGAGCTCATCGTCACTCCACTCCCATTCCCCGTCCTCTGTTTTATGCAGCCGACCACTGGAGCCCGGCACTCGACGTACCTGCAGATTCAGACACACTCTTGCTTAGACTCTTCTTCTTAGAAATCTACAGCACAGAGTTTGAACCGTAACCTTTGGCTTCTCACCCTTTTCGACCTCTCTGTTATTGTGGGCGCCCTCTGGAGCAACTTCTCAAGTAAATACTCGTGGTTCTGTCATAGGAACAAAGAAATTAATGACTGTCAAGCCAAATCCCGCCTGCAAACACACACAACAGTTCAAGATCAGCTGAAATATTTTTAAAGCTTCTTCACTTTTAACCCTGAACTCAGCCTTTAGCAGACAACATAGTGTTCATGTTTTCTGGACCTCTGTTTGGCCATCAGCTGGTTGCTCAAAGTGCAACATGTGAGGTGACAGGGTTTATCTGTAATGGCTCTCAAGCTTCATTCAATAGAGAAACTGTTAATTTCTCTTTCTTTTTTTCTGCATTTCTTTTAATCTCTCTGTTTTTAACCTCTTGTTTGTTTTTTCAGGCTTTAAAATTTGTAATCCACGTCACTGGTCAATGATTTTTTTTCTTCTAACATGGGGACTTGTCATTCAGGTAGAAAATTAAGAATAAATCTTCATACACCAGACTTAATGTGAGAACTTAGAGACTAATGTGCAGCGTTTACACAAAGAAGAGTAAAACTATAACAGAATTCCCCCTCACAGGCAGACATGGATTAAAAGTGGTTTAATGTTTAGCCAATCCTTCCCTCTGCTGCACAGACTGAAAACTACAGTCCTAGCTTGTTGTACAAGATCATGTCCAAAAAGCAACCAGGTTGTTTTGGGGTGTGTGACCTGCTGAGCAAGCGCTTTAGTTGTTCCTGTTGCCTGGATACTGTGCAGCCAGAGGCTGGAGTTACACTGCTTATCCCTGCCTTTGTTAGAAACAGCCCTGAATGGTCAGTAACAATAGGAATGAAGCATTGGCCTGAGTTTGGGTCAGACACACTGACAAGTTGAGTGAGAAGTAGACGGACTCAGACAAAGGGCTAAAGCACACAGACCTTATTGGTTTATCTTCAGTCTCATTACTAACATCACATTCTTGTCTGAAGCCCTCTTTAATTCAGGACTTCAGATTTATTCACGGTCATCAGATTAATTTCAAACAGAGGCCACACAGAGTTCGCTCAGATCCGATCCCTTCTGCAGGCTCAGACCTTTACTCATCAACCAGCCAAACTGGAGGAACAAGGAGGATGCTGGATCACTGACTCAGGCCCGCAGAGAGAGCTCACACACCTACCTTTGCTTTCTGAAAGAATTTATGCTTCAACAGCTCGGAGGATGTTGGTCTGAAAAACAGCAGAGTGAACATGAATGAGTCTGGTCGTGTGATTATCTAACCAGGGTGTGATACATCTGGGAATGCAGCGCAATTTGTGTAAACGTGCTCAGGAGTGTTGATGAGTTTCACTTGCAATTTCATCACATGCAGTTTGTGAATCAGGGATAAACAACAACATCTTTGATTCGATGTGTCAGCTGAGAGCGCCTTTAAAGTACGTGTTTGATAGACACATGTGCTGTAACACTTCATGTGAAGCCGGTGCTGTGGTTAATACCGTTTCTCGGGGTCCTTCTGCAAACACATGGAGATCATCTTCCTGAAGGATTTGCCGTATTTCTTGACCATCTCTTTGTCTGTGATGCCGGTCTCCAGTGATGGTGGATCATTCTGCAGCGTCAACATCAAGACCTACAAACATCAAGAGAAAAATGGAACAAACAAAAAAGTTTTTATACTCCAAAAAAAAAATAGAAGAACTTGTAGTAAGTAGAAGTCAGTGGTAGTTTTCCCTTCTTTCAAAGCGTAGAAATTTATAAACACTTGAGTTTTCAACAGGTTTAAAAACTGCTGACAATTTCTGAACATTTCCAAAAGTTTCAAATCTTTTTTTTTTCCGGAGGAATGTCTCCAAAATTTGAGGTAAAAAGGTTTCCCAAATTTTCAGTCACTTAACCCTTTAATGCCTTTTGTATCATATTTGATACCTACCTTTATATATTTCTATCAAATCAATATGAGCAACAAATTACTAAAAAAAAACCTGAATACAGTCTGATAAATGATAAAAATGTTCTTTGGTAGTTTATTAGTTTCCAAAAACGTATCAAACAAGATAAATAAATACATTTGTTAAATTTTAAGGACATTTTGATTTTTTTTTTGTTTTCAGTAGTAAGTGAAATAAACATTTCAGCTCCAAAAAAATTAGAATTTTCTGGCCATAATTTGTGGTGTCAGACATTAAAGGGCGACAATGTTTACAGGAAGTTTCTGAAAATTCCCCAAAACTTCTGAAAGTTTCCAAAAAATCCAGAACCAACTTGGAAACTGTCTGCATTATATCATTATCATTAAATACACTTTTTTTTTTAACTGAACATCAATTGAAAGTGAACAAAAAACCTAAAGAGTAATAAAAAAGGGGAACTTATAGACATAAACTAAAATAAAAAAAACTGAAGTTCATTCAAATGGATCTTTCTGACGATGCTCTCACCTTCATTGGTGGGTATTTGTGATAAGGTGCCGCCCCTGTTGCGAGCTCGATGGCTGTGATCCCAAAGCTCCAGATATCTGCTTTGAAATCGTAACCCCTGACCTGCAGAAACAGAATGAGAGGATGTATGATCATCTTTCACGGATCAGCTCTGACTTCATCTTGTTGACATGGTAACAACAAATCTTCACATAGTAAAACTTTATTGTTTATTTTAGATGTTATGTTTTTCTAAGGACAGCTGAAAGAAAAGTTGAAATCTTTTAGCTAAAAACTTCAGATTTACAAAATTACTGATTAACTATTCAAAGTTAGTTTTGCCTGTTTAAATGAACGGTGTCTGATTGTAACCGTCTTCTGAGCCAAAGACTACCGACCTGCTCCATGACCTCGGGGGCCATCCAGCACGGCGTCCCCACAAAGGTCTTGCGTACTTTGTTTCGAGTGATGTCACCACCTGTCGATAGAAAGGCACTGACGCCGAAGTCTGGTGGATCAAAGAGAGAAGAAAAAAAGTTCAGTCTGACACAGAAAAGACCTGAATGTAAAGCAACAACAATCAAAGTTTTGTCTTTGGTTCCTCGGTGCATTAACGCACTGAGATATATGTGTATGACCAGAGTTGGAAGTTGGAAGAGGAAGAGGTAATCAGGTCACAGCACAACATAAATACCTCCTCTCAACACTTAATCTGGATCAGCAGTGACAGGTGTTGAAAACTGGTGTTGCCTCATAACTAAATACCTGCAATTTGCACCGAGCCGTCGTCCCCGAGGAGAATATTTCCAGCCTTCAGATCCCTGGGGGAGAGAAGACACGGATTTATGTGTTAGAGCATTTACTTTTGCAAGATCATTAAAGAGTTTTTAATTGGCAAACTTGTGATTTTTTTTTAAACAGGCTGTCAAAAAAAGCTCGAATTTAGAAAAATCAGTGTTAAAAAAAAAAAAAACGTTGAAAGACTTAATGCTTCTTTAGACTTTATGAGCACCACACACACTCTTACACACATACACACACACTTACACACACACATAGGCTGCAGTTAATTCGTTCATCATGTTCAGCCTCCCCTGGTGGCGATAAGAGGACTCAGCAGGGAGGACTGTCTGACTGCCTTTCTGCCTCTGAGCTCATTCGTTCACACACAAAAACATGCCCAGACTGACTCATTGAGCGAATACTGCCAACTCACCATCCGGACGGTCGTCATAGCAACAGACTTTAGCCAAAGGTTCAGGTGAAACATAAAAGTTAAGACTGTAATTGGGGGTGTAACTCAGCTGTTTTCCTTTTGAGGAGGTTTTGTGTGAAGTGATTGAACCTTTTAGGGGTAAATATGACGACACAAAAGAAACACCCGAACAGTGATAATCATTACACCACCTTCAACATCTGAGTGGATTTCTTTGGCATTAATTCTCGAGAATCTGGTGACAGGGAGATAAATGCTTCAAAAGGATGCAGCCAGCCTCACACCTTGCTAAGCAGTTCATGATACTGCCAGAAGGGGGCAGAGGAGGTAAATGGTTGCAGCTCCCCTTCCAGATAAAGACTGTTGGATCATTCAAGCAAAGAAATTGTTCTCAATGAAAGTAAAAATAGACCGGTCTTTGGAGTACTGCTTTAGAGATGACACAGCTTCCAAGGAGGACTTTGAGAGGATATAATTCTGTCTGTTTTGACCGAATTAAAAAACCTTCTTCATATTCATACCAGGTTCATCAAGGGGAAAATGCAGAGATGATTGTGGTGGTTTTGGAGAATCTGTTAGTGCAAACTAATGACTTGAAAGGCTTTCTGAAACTTTTCCAGGATGACAAACTGGCTTCCTGGACTCTTCCTGAGGCCCCACATTTTTAGGTTTAAAAAAGTCAAAGAGGTGGAGTTCACAGCTGGGCCCCCACAGACTTCTTTTTTTTTTTTTTCTACAGCTACATGCTGAAGTTTTCATCCTAGTTGAGACACACAGTGTGCTAAAAGTGGACCAAAGGGTTTACAGGTAACAGTGAAGATATTTGGTGATTGAATATTGGAGTTTAGAGGCCTCTATCAGCTCTTTTTACGAAGACAGAAAAAGCAGATGACAGATTTTGTAGTGACAACAAGAGCAGGGAGTGGCAGATAGTGATCCACAGAGGGAAGGAATGCAGCATGTGTGACATATTAGGAGCATTTGTCTGACAGCAAAGATGGGGATTCCCACTCGAGGGCCAAATCACAGCTGGGATGATATAACTACCCTAATACTGCTCTGGACAAGGTATTCATTTACTCGATCGCATCCTCGTCTAAAATTAGTCTGAGTACTCCTCTAAGTGTACTACATGTGGCCAAACTTTGATGTGCATTTATGTCCAGACGAGTTCAATTATGTAACTGTCACTAGGGATGATGCAGATGAAGGGAAGTGTGGATGGAAAAGCAACATGACAGCCTTGGCCAGTGGCTTTCAAAGACCCTGTTTGGAAATGCAGGCTGTTGTACCGACATCTGTCCTCTCTGGCTTCATCCCACTGTCACTTTGCTGCCTTTGCGTAACGTGTAGGTGATATCAGGTCACGGTATCTTCCAGTTTCTAAGACTCGCTGCTTCTGCTTAATCAAGAACATGCTCAACCTACACCTACATACAACGGGGATGATTTACTGTCGGGTAATTTGAACTGTTGCTTTTTAAGGATTCAAGGGGAGGTGCTGAGTTCACCACCTGAAGCTGAAAGGCAAGTCTGGTGGTAGTATCCCAAAATACTTTTCCTGGTTTACACAACCACTGTCCCTCTCTCTGTGGGTCTGACCGTGTCTTTCACTTCTTGTAATTCATGGCTGAGCTATTTTCTAATCCTGGCTATAACATCACATAACATTTGGAAATGCTCAAATAACCAATCCAATTTGTCCACAAAGAGCTCTGTGAGGCTGCTCGAAGGTTAAGTTTAATTTTGCCAACATGAGCATGCTATAACTGACCATTTTCTTTCATTTCAGGTACTGGTCCCAGATGCCAGTATGTGGTCTTAGTAGGGGTTTAGGATGGGGGAGGATTGTTCTCACCAAATAGTATGACTTTGGCTAAATGTAAACATTTTGATTGAAAAGATTTCCTGGCCAATCTGAATCACTGCATCACTACTGCAGGCAGATGAAGAGGAGGTTAAGAGCTGCATGATACCAGGAGAAGACAGTGGGACGTCAGACTGTGGTGAAAAGATGCCAAGAGAGACAGCAGAATAAAGAAGAAGCTCCTCATGCTGAAAAAAGAGGAAAGAGACGATGCTCTCCAGTCTGCAAAGAAAGTTAAATACACCTGCAATGGATGGACTTGGCCTACGGAGTCCTTGCTGCTTGTTATATTGAAATGAGTGGGCAATCTGTCTACAAGTGCTCAACACCTGAGACTGTCACCGATGTTCCTCTAACAGAAGTGTGACTGAAGGTTACAGAGAAGTGAAAGCTGAGAGAAAAAAATCCAGGTGAAGTCATCGACTCTGCTGTGAGATTTTTCACACATTACTTTATTCTGAATTTAGCTGATGAATCCCTTCTTCTAAAAAGAAACTGTTTTGTAAATAGACTGTGTTTTTGTACTGCTGTGTTGCAGTTACATGTATGCCGCATGTCTCCGTGGTTGAACGGAGACAGCAGAGCAAACGTCAGTGATTTGAAAAGTGTTGACTGGCTCTATAAGAACTAATGTTATGATTGGACTGGCAGTTAGTAGTGATGGGAGAAAAAATCAATACAACATAGTATCACAATACTTTGTCTGGTTATATATCATATTGTTTCATTTACCAGGTATTGATTTTTGTCAAGGTAATTGCTAATATGAAGTCAAATCTATGATAATGATGGAAAAATAAAATCATCTGTTTGTCCAGTGGGGTTTGCAGAGGTGACATCATAGAGCAGAAGAAAGTTAGTACAAGAAATATATAAAGCATTTGAAAGATGTGCTACATGAAAATGAAATACTGTGTAAATAAGACAAATTAAAAACAAATGCTTAATTAGCTAAGTAGTTGAAAAATTGAATAAATCGCAATATATTGTATCCCAATACTCACAGTATTGCAAAAAGGTAAAAATTGCAATAATTGTATCTTTCTCAAGCATCATGATAATATCGTATCATGGCTCAAGTATCATGACAATTTTGTTTCGTGGCTCAAGCATCATGATAATATCGTATCGTGGCTCAAGCACTGTGACAATATCATATTGTGGCTCAAGTATCGTGATAATATCGTATTGTGGCTTACGTATCGTGATAATATCTCATTGTAGCTCAAGTATAGCAATAGTATCGTATCGTGGCTCAAGTATCGTGACAATATCTTATCGTGGCTCAAGTATCATGACAATTTTGTATCGTGGCTCAAGCATCGTGATAATATCATATCGTGGCTCAAGTACTGTGACAATATCATATTGTGGCTCAAGTATCGTAATACGATCGTATCCTGGCTCAAGGATCGTGATAATATCTCATCCTAGCACAAGTATAGCAATAGTACCGTATCGTGGCTCAAGTATTGCGACTCAAGTATTGTGAAAATATCTCATCGTGGCTCAAGTATTGTGAAAATATCTTATCGTGGCTCAAATATCGTGATAATATTGTATCGTGGCTCAAATATTGTGATAATATTGTATCGTGGCTCAAGAATTGTGATTAGATCTTATCGTGGTTTAAATATCGTTATTATATCTAATCATGGCTCAAATATAGTGATAATATTGTATCGTGGCTCAAGTATCGTGTCAATATTGTATCATGATGTCACTGGTGATTCCCACCCAAACAGCTAGTGTAGTTGATAAATCAGACAATAACTTGCATGGCCACCAAAAGAAGTTTTAGCACATTTTTCATTTCTTTTACAACTTTTTGCCGACAAAGATCTCTGAGCTTTGTATCCATGATACTAAAATGTTAGTGCCATGGATATTTCATTACAACTTCTTTAAATTCCTTAAATTCAAAAACAAAAACCCTTGGCTGATAAAAACGACTTTTAAAATTTTTAGGTGAATATTTGATTCGACTCGCTCTACTAGGATAAAAGATGACCCACGCCGCTGCCATCATTCACATTCAGACTGATCAAGGAGATCTAATTGCATCCCTCCAACACTCATTCAAGAACCACAGAGGCTATGGTTCACTGCAGCAGATTGTAATGCTCTGGGAAAAGGCTGCAGAGTGCAGACAGTCATTAACATTCACAGGAGAGGAAGAGGAGGAGGAGGAGGGAGGAGGTGGTGACACAATGCACCATGCAAGTTCAAAGAAATACTGTAGCAGAGAGGAAAAAGCCAACCTGCAGTTAGAGTCCCAACTCCTACAAGTCGTACAGATATATGCTACAGTAGTAGGTGGGCTTGAGACAGAGGAGGAACTGATTTATAATGTGTTTTTGGTCTTTTGTGGTGCAGTAAACCCTATCGAATCTGACGCCAAGATCCAGAGGGTGTTATACAACCAAGAAATATTGAAAAATTAGCAGGATTTGTGCCGTCTCTCTTTGTTTATGACCTTCTGAAATGATTGCTGGTGGGAACAGCCACGGTATGAAAGTGTCGAGAAGATTTATCTTTTTCATCTGGCAGCCCTGTACCTTGCAGCAGCTCCATCGGGTCACCTCCTATGACATCACATCCTGGTGCCAGGCTCACACTGGCCCTAACAGGGCTGTTAAAGAAGGTTTATGAGACGCCCTCTTTGTCCTCTATGGAGATCACATCGCTCCCCTCTTAACCGTGCCCGAATGTTTCCGAATCAAGCTTTATGTCTTTGTGGTAAACCTGGGTTTTCATCGACAGTAAGACCCTCTCTGGTCCTGGAGGCAGTAAACAGGCAGCTAGAGCCATAACCTGGTCATTACTAAAACAGCATGCAGAGTTATTTGTAAGCAGAGCCCTCCCATGTACTCCCAGAAGACATGAGAGGTTTTAGAGAGAAGTGAGGCAAAGAGCTACCCACAACAGCTAGAGCATTGCTGTCTGGGGAGCTGTTTACCTACACTCTGTTTCTACTTACAAATGGAGAGTCTGGATTTATCATGTGGGAAACATTCTTGTTTCTGTTTACAGTTTGTAGTCTGAATATTAAGGACCAATCAGCTATCAGCAGCTTTGGTATAAGCAGAAACTCATGAGCTGCGTTTACATGGGCACAAATAATCAAAATAAATGCCCAATCGGAATAAAAGTGCGTCCCGTAAACATGTTGATCAGAAGATTCTCATCCAATTCGGCTCAATCTGAAAGAAATGGCATTCCGATCGAGAGGGGTGGTTTATGCCGATACATGTCCATGTAAACACTTACTCCAATCGTGAATTTCTTACCTGACTCGATCTTCACTATTTATTTATTAAGGCCAGTACAGGAGGTTTCATCATTAACACTCTGGCATAAAAACACAACCGAAGGTGCCTCGTCTGCTGCTCCGATAACATAACAAGGCGTACAAACAGCGTAATGATGTCACATCTGCACGCACAGAGCAACCTTTGACAGGACAGTAAGATAAGTAAGCAAGGGCGCCATCTAGTGACAATATTTAACAGGGGGGAAAACTCCTGAATTGGATAAAGTGAGCCACTACCGTGTTTGTTGATTTTGACAGCACAGGCATAAATACAACTCTTCTTCTGCAGTTGTTTGAGCGAAATTTGACAACTCTGCTCATGTCCACATGGTTCTAATCTGAATAAAGCTTGGTGCATGTATACACACATCATGATCGGATTATTTGATTCTGCGCCCATGTAAACAGTGGATTCAGATGATCCGATCCCTCAAATTCTTAATCGGATCAAGAAATTTTGCACATGTAAACATGGCTGCTGAGAGCATTAACAGGTGAAAAGCATTCCGAGGTGATGAATATCCAGGATCTATTTACAGCGAAACTAAGACTTACTGACACAAATGAGCATGCATGTGCTGGAATCAACCCAGGATTGATAGGGTTTACAGCACTTTTGACCTGAGCCCATGGTCACTTTCTCAAGTTGCTTCTCAGCTGGAAGTAATTCATCGCTAACCACCAGCAACACTGGAATTACCAAGAAGTTGGTCATCGCCCTGGAGGCATGTTACTGTCATAAGACCAAAGCCGATGAGCTCTGAGTTTGCTTTAAGCCAGATTTTTCAGATTCAGCCGGGCTGTTTTCCTCTCGCTGTTGTGCTTGATATCTGCCCGCTGCTCAAGTTAGAGAACAAGTGTCACCCTTGAATCACAGACCCTTCAAGCTGCTGTGAGTGTGAAGGTGGAGTCAGGGCACTTCACTGTCTTGTGGTAAATGTCTCTGGTCGAGGCTACACCGCCCCGACCGCAACACTCTAATTGCTTTTTCTGCCGTCCTGAGCTGGATGGAACGTATCATGTGACGCTTTCTCTCTCTTCCCCCCTCTTGTCAAGCCTCACCCCCGTTACTCTCTATGTCAACCCTGCCCTGAGGCTCCGGCTCATATGATCCAGCTTACACAGGAGAAACACGCACGGCCATACGCGCACATTTACATCAGCAGACACCGATCAAATGACTGTGGCCTCTTCGCTCTCGGTGTGTCTGTGATTTCCAGCGCTCACGTTTTTATTCGGAGTGGGGGGCAGACAGACCTGATGAATGAATGATCTTTTAATGAATCCCTAATGTCTCCTTAGACCCCCGGCACAGAGTACTCGGGAAAAACATTTCCTCCTCCCTGGCTCTGACCGATAACCCTGTCAAGTGGATAATCTAATGCTGCAGTGGAGGTACACCACAGTGGATTTTCCTTTTAATTAACAAACTCATTTTGAGACTGTCTACACCAATTTCCTACATCTTTACCCTCGATCAGTTTTCCAACCAGAAATCTAATGAGCAAAAACTTTATCCCTGAAAAAAATCAGAAAAATAAAACAAAATCTATCATCCAAGCTCATGATCGAAGCCTTCTATTGATCCTCACTCTGTGCTCCTTGTTAGATTTCTCCTCTAAAAGCTGCCGAGCACTTAACTAAGCTGAGAAGCAATGCATTATTTACACATGTTGCCTGCCTGTCCTGGGCTGTCTGTGTGCCGGTGGGAGAGCAGCGGAAACAAACAAAAAAAAGAGGGTAATGAATATTAAAAAACAGGAGAGGTAGTGTGAGGACTTGGAAAGCAACTGTGTCGGCTGGGTTCATTGCAACAGCTGAAGTACAGGGACTTGGCCAGGTCCTGAACCGACTAAGAAGAGAGCTTTCGGATCAGATTTCCTGTGGTATGCAAATCTGTCACAGACACATTCCAATGCATATTAATACAGTAAGTTAAAGATTATCAGCGAGGAAGTGGCTGTCAACTTATGGACTTCCTACAAGGCTTAAAAACTGCTCATTTGAGGTGAAGTTTTAATAGCTGTACATCCAAAGAATTAAGGATTGAATTTACTGGATAAGAAAACACTGAGTTTGTGCACCACCTCCCTTATAAAACAAAGAGACCGAGTAATCAAAAGAGGTAAAAACGCAGAGCGAACCAGATTCAGCAGCTAATCTATGATTCTCCAGCACAGATTTTAAAGCACTTGTAAATCAAGATGTGAAAAGGACTGCAGGCTGAGCCAAGAAGTGTCCCGATACAATATTGATATCAGGTATCGGTCCGATATCCGCCAAAAAATGAATATCATATTATATCAGCCTGCATCTAAAATCTCCAATATCAGCACTCCGATGCAAGCAGTCCGTTCCAGACTAGCTAGCAGCATCCAGATCCAGCATGCAGAGCCCACATAATCACAACAACAGTATGAACTAAGGCAAAAACAAAGTAGCAAGGAGTAGGAGTGAAGTCGGCCAGTATTTTTTGTCCAAGTCAGAAAAAGACATTGCAGCTGAGTGCAAACTTGTCATGCACAATTTTGTGCCAATATCGAATCAATATCGATATCGGCTAAGACTGAAGGCTACAATATCAGTATCGTATCAGAAGTAAAAAAAAGTTGTATCGGGACACCTCTAGCTGAGTGACTACAGGAGCTGTGAGCTGAGCAACTCATTCTGAGCCTCCCTGCTGTTTGAAATTGGTCAGTGAACCTAATGTTATGATGTCACCACTTAAATTACTATCAAGGGTTGTCTGCTTTTAATACCTCAATATAGCATTTATCTAAAAAAGGGTTTTAATTTGATGAAAACTGATCAGACAAAATTCAGAGCCAGGTCAAAACCTTCTTCACCCCACAAACACGTCATCCCTGCTGCTTCCTCTGAACCACTCGTAGCAGTCTCAATAGAGGAAGCGCGCAGGCTCGTCTCCACACAGATGGCCGTGACACCTCTGTCCTTTAGGAGTGAAGGCGGCTGTCTGAAAAACGCTACCTGTCCAGTCTGCTGAAGAAAACGGATCACTTCCATGTGTTGCACTTTGCACCCGATCACAAACACGGATCATAAAAGACAAGAAAACAACCGATTCAAGGTGATGATAAGGACAGGGTCTCTGCGGGTTCCAACGAGTCAAATTTAAGACTTTCTAAAACTTTTTAAAGACCGCCCATAAAAAATACAATTTAAGACCCATTTAGCCTCTATACAGGCAAAAAAGTACAAAAGAAATTGGAACATTTTACATTACTTCAAATCAATCTTTATTCCTATGGCACGTTATTTATTGTAAGTAGAGTTAATCGATTTTTAAGACCTTTCAAAATCGTATTTAAGACATTTTATGAGATTTTAAGAGAATTTCAGATCTTTTGGGGCCTTAAGTTCAAATGACTGGATTTTAGACTTTTTAAGACCCTGTCGATACCCTGTAAAGAGCAGTAATTGGTGCAATAAGTCAGTATATCTTTCAGGAGCCAAAGTGCTTCTGTCTTGAATACTATACTCACTAAACATGACAGCACATAAATAACATTTATTGCTGCACATAGAAAAACAAAGTGTCCCACCAAGTCAAGGTAAGGGGTTTAAAATTTGTTTGACAAAGTTAGGAGAACAACAGAGAGCCCAAAGTTAAGGGCAGTTCTATTTCAGCCCCATAAACCCCCCAAGGTGAAGTTGATAAAGCTGCTTAGTAGTAATAGAAAGTCCTGTGTCAGCTTTATTACAGCACCAGAGTGGAAGGTCTATGAGTCTTATTACCTGTGGATCTGTCCGTTCTTGTGTAGATACTCCAGGCCCTCCAGCACATCTTTCAACACCGTGGCTATGCTGGCCTCGTCCAGGACGCCCGTCTTGTGTTCGCCTCGTGAGATGATATGCTTGATCACGTCCAGCACTGAGCCTGGAAAAAAATAGCCACATGACAGAAACTCATCATGATGTGCCTGATTTTGTGACTGTCAAAGTCTGGGAAAAATGAAAACTATCCGGTGTTGGACTTCTGCACAAATGGTTGGGTAAACAAATTGTCTGTGTCTGGTCTTAACTGATGATCTCACTCTTGCATCAATGAGAAAGTCACTTCGGGCCAACTCCGATGATTTGTTAAACCTACTCTAATCCAAACTTTATTTGTAAAAACACATACTTCCGGTTAGATTGGCAGGCTATCATTCAAGATAATTACTTTATAATCCAGTGCTGTTTGGATAAATTTGATTGTGGGTACACACAAGCCTTTTCTCCGGCTCCAGAGAGAGGGATTTTATGGAAGGACTAAACAAATTATTTGTTTGTGTCAAGACAAAATCCCTTTGGCATAAACACCAGCATGACCTCTGAAATTAGTCGAGGAAAGAATGCACACAATGGTGGAGAGAAATAAATCAAAACATTCACGACAATGGGTTTTTAAGAGCCTAGAGGGAATGAAGTTGGAGTCTAGCTATGACTTAAGAAACTAAAGTCAGTATCTACAAACACAGTCAACTGTCTCACCGAACAAAGAGCCTCAAGCCTTGAATCTATGATCATTTTTTCAGACTTGGTTCATTGACTTGGAATTGGATTTTACTTTCGAGGTTCACAGGATGTTTAATGCTTGAGGACTTGATTCCAAATTAGTCTCATTTAGATGTTGAGCTCACAGTTTGGGATTTAAAAAGAGCAAGGTAAATTCTCTGTAGCTACTGTGAGAGTCATTCCCTTTATATGAAACAGGATTAGGGCCACAATAAAAAAAAAAAAAAATACAGGAGGGAGATTGTTTTAAATTTCCATTTCGAGATTTAACTCGAAATTTCAAGATTAAAGTCAAAATTTAAAAAAGTCAAAATGATATACTATATGGCTTAAATGTGTTGTAGTCATCCATGTGCCAGAGCGCACTGGGTCCTCGGCTTCGGTAATGCCTGCACCTTAGACGCCAGGTTCATCTGTGCTCCACGCCTTCAGGATCAATCAACTTGATCAATTGTCCTGTCATATCTTGCGATACAACATAGCCTCACTGTATAGCATGCACCTGCATCATGATCTTCGGCACAGTCTTTTCAGAGTTCGATTGATCTCAACATGACGACTTAATTCATGAGATTTCGTCTCTATTTGCGTCAACTTTAATCTGGGAATTTCAACTTCAATCTCGGAATTTCAATTTAATTCATGAAATTTGACCTCGAAATTTCACCTTTAATCTCAAATTTTCAATTTTTAATCTTGAAATTTCAACTTTATTGACAAAACTTTGATCTTTTAATCCCGAAATTTTGACTTTGATCTCTAAATTTCAAATTTAATCTCGTTCCTGTAATTATTTTTCTTCTCTTCAGGTGGCCCTTATCCTCTTTCATATCTTCAAAAGAGCAGCTCCAGGTTTGTGTTCGTTTTTTTTACCTCACTGACATCATCATTGCGTCCGTCTCTTCGTGGTTCAGTTCAACATCAAATGACTTATTTTAAACTGAGCTCCACTCGTGTGAATTCCACTGCGTTTTCCTCTAGTGTCACCAAAATGGTCTGAGATCTGCATGAAAGACTCGTGTGCATGTTGACATTTGGGGTTATAAGTCAAACTGTTGCTTTGTCTTCAGCCGCCTGAGCTGAATGGAGAACTAATGTTCCTCTGCTCACTGACCCAGCAGGTCACCCCATCTCCCTCATCCCGGCTCCTGCTGAATAAAAGGAACGCTCTGGATGAGGAGTCAGACTGCTGTCGGTGTATGATTTCTTTTGTGCCACTCTCCAAAAGAAGAAATCTCTTTGAAAGGCAGTTTCAGTCTTTTGCATTTCGTGTGACAGAAAATTGGACAACGCTGGTGAATGGGGATGCAGAGGGGCTGACACTTGCTTGACAAGCTGCATTGTTGTGCTGCAGTGATACTCAAACACAGGCTGCCACACTGTCCATCTAACCCCCTTCTTCTTCTTTTTGTCACACGTACATCTTCAGCCATACACACACACACAAGAAAACAAAAACTGCATGCCTCTCTGGGCCTCTAACGCACTTGAACAAAACTGATTGTGTTTTAACAACTGTGCCAGACTTGAGGTGCAAAGATATCTATTCGCTAAATCACTTCAGGGTGTCCTCGCCTGCAGCACTCAGTTGAGCACTGCATTACCCAGAGGAGCCGGCGCTGACTGGCCACCTGAGACTAGACTGGGAGTTTTAGACACACCGAGACAGAGCAGCGAGGATGAGCAAGAAAAGAGAGCGAGAGGGAGAGAGGGAGTGATGATGGGTTCAACGGGTTCTTCGTGCAGTGACTACGCACAGCAGAAATTGTGATTCAGCAGCGAGGTAAATAGACAAACCCGTTCCAAGAGCGGACAGATGAAAATAGGAGGTAAAAGCAGACTCGATGTGTATCTGGGTGTGGGAGACAGCGGATGTATATGTGAAAGAAGAGAGCAGCTTCATGTCTCTGAAGTGATTCCTCTTTGAAGCTCATTGAGAAACAGCAGCCCGCTTGACTCTCTTCCTTCTCTGTTCTCGCTGCATGGTTCCCTCCTCTCTTAAAGCCTCTGTAGCCGGTAGGATGTTCAGCTGCCTGTCGGTAAATTGCCTTGGGGAGGAGTGGAAGTGACAAGAAGTGACAGGTGGCAACAAGGAAGGTGTTAAGGGAGGGAGTGTGAGTGGATGCAGCCTAAGTGGAGGGAGATGAAGTCTTGTCGAAGTCCTGATGAGCCATCAAATGAAAATGTAAAAACTTGCAAAAGTGAAGAAGTCACTAATGAGAAGGACCTTTGTCCTGAAAAGTTAGAGCTTCTCATACTTCATACATCCTTCTCTACTGTAAACGGCTTCACATTTTTAGTACATTTCAGCTGCATTCACACATGTGCTACACTCTTGAAAATTCCCAGAATTATTTGGATGGGCTGCATGTGTGAACAGAAATTTATCCTGCTTTTATCCTGACATAACCCAGACTTTGTCCTGCCAGCCTCCCTGGAAAACTTCCAAGATTTCAGGGTGAGCTGTGGTGTGTGAATGCAGCGAGAATCATACAGGAAATTTAGCTGGGGAGCTGTACATCCATATTATGGGTAGGGCTGTCAATGAATATTCTAAATTCAAATATATGTTTATTTATTTAAAAATAAAAAAAAATAAAAAAACGAGATTCAAATGTGAAGATTAATATTCGAATTTTAAATAAAAAACGGGAAAAAATTGAGTGGGAAAAAAAAAAAAAAAAAGTGGCTGCTTTGTGTGAGACTTGACAAAAAACGTCCGTGACATGTAGAGAGAGATGGCGGGATGTTCTGAGTCAAACTCAGAAAGAGTGGTCTGGACTCCAACAAACTTCAGAAGCTGCGTTTGGAAATTCTTCAGATTTTGGGCAGACACGGTAGATGGGAAAAATGTCTGTACCTCTGTGTTTTTTTTAGAACGAATTTTATTTTTCAAACGTCATTTTGGAGCAATTTTGACAGCCCTACTGCTTACTGAGACATCCATCTCTCCTTCTGAACTTGAGCACTTTGTGAAATTTCAGGGGCTAGTCAGAGGGAATATCTTGTGCCACTTCAAGCCTGTGAAGGTCAAAAATTGTGGTAGATCATCTTCATCCAGAGAAAGAAAAACAGGTTGTAGTACACCAACACACTTTTCTTCATCATGAATCCGCAAGCTGAGGTGCCACTCAGGAGAAAATTTCGAAGTACACACATGCACGCAGTACGTAGTGTGAGCTCCGGTGGATCATTAAATGCCAGCCCTGTCAGCCTCTTTCAGATGCTTTGATTGAACTCTTCATGCTCCATTAAACTGTTTCAACAGTCTGACGCGTTCTGACAGGTTAACAATCAGAAGTTCATTTTGCATTGGGAAAACACCATGACTTCAAAGACTAATAACACCTGTCGGCCTGGTTTGAACAGTGCCTGTCCGAGCCCCCGGAGGAAGGCAAATCACAGGGAATCAATTAAGTCTTGACAGTGTGGTGCATTGTAGAGAGTGCAAAAACTTTGGAAAACGTCAAGTCATCATTTCATGCTGGATTAACCAAATCTCTCCGTCTTTCTGGGGATTTCAAACAAAAACGGTGCAGGTGTAACACGACTCTTCTAGACTTTACCTCATCCAGCAACATCACTTCTGCAGCCTTCTCTTTTTGCCGGTCAGAGCTGGAGACTCGGGGTGAGGATGAGAAGAGAGTAAAAAAGGGGGATGGATGAAGGATGTATGAGCTTGTGCCAAGTGTGCAAAAGGCCGACGGGGAATGCCAAGTAAAGTTGGAAGGGCAGAGGGAGACATAGGTGGCTCAGAGGAAAGGTAAAAAAAAAAAAGAGGAATTTTGGCTCGGGCTCAAAGAAACCTCAAGCAGAATTTCTCTTTGCTGCATAGTTTTTGACAGGACAAGAAGAAGGAGAAACAAAAGTTTACAATGGGGATTCAGTGTGTTGATACGATTGTCTCTGCTCCGTGACCCTGGAGCCGCAATCAAAGCTGCCCGTCAGTGGTCTGGCAATAACCGAAAGCCACATCATGATGTGACAAATCCACTGGCTGCAAACTTGACAAAGTCCTTTCATATGCTAAATTCAAACCGTCAACAACAATCTGTCTGAAGATGGAATTCACTCTGAGTGGCATTTGGATTGAGCTCCGCAGCCGTGATTGTGGGTCGGAGAAAGACTGCACACTAATCTCCTGGGAACACATTCCTCTGCTTGCTTTGGCATGACTCATATTTTGTCCCTGTGGGTTTTCAGTGGATGTCTCTCCCATGTGAATTCGGTTGCCGACAGGTTATGTGGCGCACTGATGAAACATTTGTTCACGTCACGCTCGGAACAGGAATTTCCTGAAAAGCTCTGCGTTTGCTGAGTACCTACCTGAAAGACTGAGCTCTACAGGTTTGGCCTTTCAAGGGTTTTCCAGAGAGAAGAGCGATCTTAATTAAAGGGATATTAAAGCCTGGTAAGACGTCAACAACAGGACGCTGCACTGGGACGTATGATATAAAAGTACACACCGCCTGGAGGATTGCCATTGACTCAATAATAACTAATCCTGAAAGTTCACAGGTTCAAAAGTTCAACAGCATCACAGATGACTGTAAGACTCTTACCTAAGGTGGTGTTAAAGCTATTAATCCACTCATGTTCAGGGTTTCTATGTAACATGAGTATCTGCCATGGTAGCTGCCAAGATACGTACACATCAGGATATTACAGTGAGTCATGATATATTTAAGCGTCATAAGCCGGTCCTTGAGGTAGAGTGTGTCATAATAGCTAAAGAGCAGGAGAGTAGACTTTGGAAGATTAGGGTGTGCTATTTTATTGGCCGTAAAATGAGCCGTAAATCACCGGTCAATCAGCATTTGAATAAGAATCAAGTCAGGACATTAGAGAGTTCAGCTGCAAATCTTTGGAAGTTCAATACTTCCTCATAGGGGTGTGAATCACAAGTTTATTTAACGCATTTCCACCAGGCAGTCAAGTCTGGTACAGCCTGACATGGTAAACCCCGGTGGTTTCCCGCAGGAAGCATGTTGGCACAGCTCGGTTTTTTGGTGCCTGTGGTCACATTAGACTGCACAGAACAAGATCAGCTGAGGGCTGGATTCACTCCGCATCAGCTATGTTTATGTCACGAGCATGAAAAAGTTACAGCTGTACTTCCTGGATGCTTTTCAAAGTAAAAGCTCGATCTGATTGATTTTCCTCTGTGAATAGACTTCCTGTTTTTTGTCACAATGCCTCTATTATGAAGTTGTGTCCCAGATGGTTGGCTTAATTAATTTGAGCCTAAGGGGCAGTTTTGCTGGAAAAAAAGTTGTGATGAATTCCTCTGGATGCAGACAGACTATTGGTATGTTAAGTATTGAAAACATCAAGTTATGTAAAACATTTCATAACTGTCTTTGAATGCAGCTCTGTGCCCCTCTTCCTGCTGGTGCTTGTATCCGAGTTAGGGCTGGGCGATAAACCGAAAATTTACTGATACCGAAATCTACGACAATAACAGACGTCATTTTGACCATGTCAGTATATTTGATGTTAAAAAAATAAATAAATAAAAGTTGGTTTTGGATGTGAGTAGGGAGGCTATGGTCTCATGTCCCTTTAAGACCCTGTCTTACATCAAGGACGTGACTCCAGTCTGTAACAAAGAGGGAAAGACAGGCGAGGAGATGGAGGATGGTTCAAAAGTTGTAGCAGCTGGAGCGGCTGCTGAAGTAGACAAAGTTAATGTGGGAGGGGGTGAGCAGCTTGTGGAGTAGTTATCATCCATTTATTGATATCGAGATAACCTGCTCAATGTATCGTGATATTGATTTGAGGCCATATTGCCCAGCCCTAGAGTAAATCACATGATCCAGAGTAATCATTCCTTTGCTCTTGAAGTCCTTGGCAACAACTTTTGTCATCAATGTGGACCAATTGCCGACTTCTAATGGAGGAGTCACCAAATTACTTTTTTCAGACGAGACATCCTGATCCTGACGTTGTAAAGGGTTTTTAAGATTCTGCCATCTGTGGTGTCGATGTTTCAGCTCTTGATCCATCACTGACCAAGATTTCCAATCCTCTGTGGCACTTATGTGGTGTTAAGTCTTTAAGTGGCCGAGCAGGGCCAGCGGTAAGTGCCGGCAGTTGGCCTGTCAATTTATTTTCAAACACACGACGAAGGACGGAGTACTCCAGCAGCATCTTTCTTTGTTAAAACAGAGATCTGGAGGAATGCACTCAGCTACTTCATCATTTAGGACATTACAAACAAAACAAGAAAGCCTGGTATGAAAACTTGTCAAGCTTTGCTCAGATTGACAGTTAAGATCTAGCAGAAAAAAGGTTGGAGTCTGAGGGTGGGGGCTTTTTTTTTCTTACACTGCATGAAGCCAGTGGAGCAGACAGGACTTTGCCCTCCTCAGAGCTGGTATGCTCTGCCCTGTAGAGCAATGGTCTATAAACCCGACCTCATTTAAGGCCTGTCTCTGCGGCAGACGACGCCATGGCCATCATTTAATTACACCGCACAATAAAACTCAACATCAAGGGCCTCTGTTTAACAGGGATAAGGGGAGCTGGAGAGGCCATCTTGAGCGCTGTCTGCTCCTGCTGTGAGGCTGGCTGCCTGATCAAGCGTCGCTTGGCGGGCACCGTGCCCCCCGGTCCAGATGCGAGGCGTCTGCCAAGCGGCCCATGTCTTGAGTGTATCCGAGGGAGGCTGGCGTGCCACCTGGGCACTATCCGTTACAGTGGGATGCTGTTTACACAGAGGGGCTGAGAAGATCAGGGAGGGTGGAGAAGAGAGGGAGTGTTTGGTGTGTAGACGGACTTGTGTGTGTGTGTGTACACTTGTGCTTGTATAAATACGTGCATTAGACTGACAGCAGGATCAAGAAAGCTGAGGGGTAATTTTTGCATTTTGTGAACAGAAACCCATCACTTCACTTGAGGAAGAGGAGCCCACTGCTGCTTTCTTAACAAAATGTCAAAATGCTGTTTGGGTTTGGGATCCCCTACATGTCTGCATTAAAGGCTCTTCTTCCTCAGAGGCTGAGCCACGGGGACAAAAGCTCTTTTTACACACTCCGGCTTACCGTTTCTGGTAAAAAAATCAAAGGAACAAAACAATCCGAAGCAGATGAAATCCTTGGATTTTGAGGTCTTTCTCTCCGCGGTGGCCTCCTTCCTCTTCATGCTCCTCTCACTATTTAATTGCAGCACTGCCACATGGGTGCCATGAAGCCGGCCCGCGGGGCTGTTATTACCTCTGCCCTGTCATTAGCTCCTGCACTGCACTCAGTTAAAGCCCGGAAAGAGCTGCAGCTCACACGGGACACAATGAGGATCAGTGCTGTCACATTCCCTACAATCACAGTTAACATCAGCAGCAGCTAGCAGCCAAGCTCTTCCTACTGCCTATCTTTTATCCTCAGGGACCTTGACAAAAAAAATCAACTGCAAGGCCAGAAAACCGTTAGAGCCTCTTTTTTTTAATCCGAAAAAAAGACAAGGATGAAATCTTCACCCATCGTTGATCAAAACATTCAACACGACGAGCAGAAGTTGAAGGCTGTGTGATGACAAATGTGCACTTACCACCACTGAGCAGCTTCATGACCAACCACAGCTCATCTTTCACCACGAAGGAGGTGTAGTAAGACACGATGTTGGGGTGATGGCACTGGCTCATGGCCTGAATCTCTTTCTGTCAGAGGAAAACAGGAAAACAGAGTTCAATCCATAAAGCAGTAAACTGACTTTAGATGATCTCATGACAAAGTAGCTGTTTATTTACCTTCATAAGTTCAATAAGGGTTCATTTAAAACTCTAAGAAGTTTAGTTTTACTGCAGTTACTGTTTGTGGTGGTGTTGATATGAACACATAATTTGCCTGTGTTGTGTTTTCATCCAGGTTTAACAGTGCAAAGTCGCTGACTATTCTCTTTTGATTCCCGCAGAGAGGTATCAGATCAGCCTGGAGGACATAACCTGAAGACACTCATATTTAGCTTCTGTTCATTTGACGCAGCAGATAGTCCTGATGTTTTAGAGCGATGCTTAAGATCTCTACGTCGTGATAAGAGAAACAGGCTGGGTCATTATAATGCATATCTATGCAGGAGTGAAAAAAAAACAGGCAGTGCTCAGCCCTTTATACAGCTGTAAAGCTCCCTCTGAGTGTCAGTGTGTGTGTGAGTGTGTGTGTGTGTGTGTGTGCATTTGGAAAGCAGAAGAGCTGAGGTAATGCTGGCACAGATGTCTAATCCATCACTTCAGCACCGGTCCCAAAAGTCATCTGAGGATAGACAAGCTTCCGAGGAAACAGAGAATAAAGCTGACTTCAGAGCTGCTTCTGTTTCTGCTCTCCAATGCTTGACAAATGGCTGAGTGTGTAACTGCAGCTTTGTATTTATGCACTACATCTCTGCACTTACTGAGATTATTATGCATATTTTAAGATTAAGACCCGGTACATCCACATTTTAATCTTCACCTTCACTGATCAGCAGCAGAAATCTAAGATGACAGTGGCCTGACTCCAGTACTACGATAACGCTATAAAGCTTTACCACCCTGCAATAAACATAACAGCGGAATGCACCAGTAGGGCAGGTAGATTTATTAGTATTTGATCATCAAGTAAAGGGAGATTATGTGGTTAAACTGGCATATTACCACACAGCCAGATAGGGCTGGGCGATAAACCGAAAATTTACCTAAACCGAAATTAATGACAATAACTGACGTCATTTCGCCCATGTCAATATATTCAGTGTCAATATATTCCCTGATTTGCATTTACATGGACTCAAGTGTCCAGGTTTTAATCATGTTTTCTACTATCTTCATTTTTATGTTTGTCCGTGTAGTAGGGCTGGGTGATAAACCGAAAATTTACTCATACCGAAATTTACGACAATAACTGACGTCATATATTCTGTGTCAATTAAAAATAAAAAAATAAAAGTTGGTTTTGGATGTGTGTAGGGAGGCTATGGTCTCACGTCCCTTTAAGATGCTGTCCTACATCAAAGACGTGACTCCACTCCATCCAGTCCGTAACAAAGAGGGAAAAACAGGCGAGGAGATGGAGGATGGTTCAAAAGTTGGAGCGGCTGGAGCGGCTGGAGCGGCGGCTGAGGTAGACGAAGTTAATGTAGGAGGGGGTCAGCAGCTTGTGGAGTAGTTATCGTCCATTTATTGTTATCGAGGTGAACTGCTCAATATTTCGTGATATTGATTTGAGGCCATATTGCCCAGCCCTACCTGCAATAAACATAACAGCAAAATTCATCAGCAGCACAGGTAGATTTAGAAGTATTTGATCGAAGTAAAGGGAGGTTATGTGGCTAAACTGGCATATTACCACACAGCCAGAACAAACCAGCACTGGCACGGAGGACTGAAATTTTCTTAATGACCATATCCCTCCAAATCCAACACTTCGAATTACAATCGTTATTGAACGCTTTATAACGACTGATGTACCACAAGCCTGTCAACTCAGGTGCCCTTACGCTCAAGCTGAAAACATTAGTTTAAAGAGTCGATCAATAGATGCTTGCAGGGTTAAGAAGTAAGCAATCAGAGCCTGATGTCCTGTCAGCATAAATGCTTAGCTTACACAATGTGCTTCAGCAGCAGTACGCCTCTGCTGCGGAGTCATCACTCTTGTGCCTGTGGCCTTCAGCGAGTGCTTCAGGCCAAGAGAGGCTAAAGAAGGCAGGTTACATCTGAATACCTTTGGAGAGCACATGACAAAGGCTTCTTAAGAGCTAAACTGAGTCATAAGGGTGGGTGTAGACTGAGAATGAGACGGTGACATGTGCAGGCATGTCGAAAAGCTCACAGATCTGTTGAGGACAATAAGAAGGGGAAGTGTCAGTTAGGAAAAGAGAAAGCTACGATGTTCGACCAACAGGTGAGCCCACACACAGTCCTCCCTCTGGGTTAACGCATTTTTATCAAGCAGTCTAATAACTTCCAGTCTGTCGAACCAGACAACGAGCTCTGTGGGATGCCCCCCCTCCCATCAGTCTTTCTACGGCTGAGATAGAACAATAATGATATCGCCCGCTGGCCGCTGACCCTCTCTCTGCCCTCAGCACAGTGGAAGAGGCAGGTCACCGCCGCTCTGTGGGCCAGGGTAACCCCAGAAAAGAAAAACAATGGGATAACAGGGAGGATATCGTGTCCTGGCAGTTGGCAGGTTTCCCCATCTTTTCCAAACAGGCAATGTGACACTCAGAGAGACTCTTTGTTGTGCAGGATTAGATCACTGTAAACCTCTGCTGCTGCAGCAAAGACAAGGGAAATTTCTCATCACTCAAAACATATTCACATTACTCCTTCCTCTGTGGCCTTTGTCACTGAGTGTGATTTAGCTTTGTGGAAATGTTTTTCAAATCTTCATGTCGAGTGGAAAACAAAGATGTTCTCAAGTATTTCTGCATGATGGCAAAGGCAAGAGTTACACAGTCTGTATGAACCCGCTAAAGCTTCCCATTCAACTGATCTGGATTCATTTTAAATTCACTCAAATGTGGACGCTGATGATTGCACACGGAGCACAAAGGTAAAACTATTTTCAATCTCAAGGATAAAGCTGGAAAATCAAACTATGTTTTTAACAAGGACACATGGAGCCACTCTAATAACTCATAGTGCAAAAATCACACATAGCAGAAAATCACTTCAAGCAACAATCCAGCAGGGATTCACTTCTTCAAAATGAGTGTTTAATGTAGCCCCTGTCTTTGTCTGTGGGTGTTGCGATGACCTCATCCTAAAAACTCAAGACGTTCAGAGCACTTTTTATTCGAACTGCTTGACCTGCAAACCGCAGGTGACGCACCTCTCTGCCAACCCACACACTCATGCCATGCTGTTACAGTAAGCCATGATTAAATTTCAGATTTAATATACAAGGTGATGATGACATCAGATGTAGGACTGATGGTAAACCGTGCAGGAGCTTGTTTCGGGTGCCTTTTCATTGTGACCATCTGTGTCACACTCATAAGATGCATATTATTAGCATAGTATTTTCTTCCTTTACACTGTAAGAAAACTCTGGAGCTTATCAAGGGTCTGGATGGGAAATGTGAAGAAGAGAGAAACAACATGCCCTCGATATTGTGAGAATTCAACCTGTGACCACCATGGGGCTGGGGCTATGGCTTTTGCACATGCCTGCACAAATTCAGACAAACCCTCCAACCTGTATTAGCAAAAGTAAGCTATGAACCATCTCCTAACTACCAGAGTAAAATGTTTTTTCTTTATGTGTTGAAATCTTATTTTACGGCATCATCTCCAGCTCCAAACAAAAGTCCAGAAGGTGGCGGTTCAACATCTCTGTCCTGGTTAGCCAAAAAAACATGACACAATAAAGAGGGAAGGAGGAGAAGGATGTTGAAGAAGAAGAAGAAGAAGAAGAAGAAGAAGAAGAAGAAGAAGAAGGAAAAAAAAGAAGAGATAAATCAATGAAGATGACAAACCAAGACTAAGATTAAGATGAAGCAGCCTATTTCCTGAGGTTATGCTTGAAGCCGATGACCGGGGTTTGGTTTCAGCCAATGGCTCTCTTCCTACATGACACTCCTTCTCTCCTTCCTTGTTTCCTTCTCTATCCACTTACCTATGCTCTCCAAATAGAAGAGCATGACAACAAAGAAGACGATGATGAAGAAGTAAACCAACAACAACAAAAAAGAAGAAGATGATGATAATGTAGAAAAGGACACAAAGGAGGGTTTTTGTGCATAATTAAGCATTTTGAAAAGGAAGAATATTTTACTCAAGGTATGTTTGATATACAATCCCACCACCTTCATTTAAGAAACTAAAATTGGCAGGATATCTCCTGAAATTGCAATAAAATATCAAACAAATCAACATTTATATCCGTGTTTTTGTTTCCCTGCTCCAACACACCTGATTCAAATGATGAGCTCGTTATCAAGCTCTGAAATGGCTTAATAACGACCTGGTCATTTGAATCAGGTGTGTTGGAGCAGGGAAACATCCAAAACATGCAGGACAGTGGGCCTTGAGGACTGGACTTTAGAACCACTAACTTAACCATATGTTCTCCTGACTGAGTTGGTGCATGAGTTATTGTAGTGGACCTTAAACGCCAAGAGTGGGCTGAAACTGCGAAACAAATGTCAACATTAAAAACTGTCTGTCTTTAATGGTATCACATTGCTGTAAAGAGTCTGTAACCTTTGACTGACATTTCCTCTAAATGTCAGCTCATTTCCTGTTCGTTAAAAACAAACAAACAGTGAATTCTTTATAACATGAGTGACATAACTTTGGTTTATTTACTAAAAAGAAACTTGTTTTGGGACCATAGATTCATTTTGATGTCTGGCAAGGACAAGGCCCCACACAAGCCTTGAGCTGGTTTAGCCTGGGAAAACCTCTCCAGGAAATAGACAAGTCCCCACCAGTGTGTTTTTCTAAGGCTCGATTGAAGGCAGCATTTGGCGTGTCTGAAGACCTTGAAACTGAGCAAAAATAAATAAATGAGCTATTGTTGCAAACTGAATACAGTGCTGGGTCACAAACTGGTGCCACAGAATCACAGTGACAGCAGACACACAGAGAGGCCACTATAGAAGTAATGTTACGTCACCATGAGTTACTCAGAGCCTCACACACACACTCTCTCTCACGATGACCCAATCTGACTGCAGCCAGCACACTTACACACACACACACTGAGGAGGCTCTCACTTAAATGTGATCTTCATGCTGAAAACTCAAATCCACAACACTGAATCACTTCCTTAAACTTGTGTCAGACTTCCTGTGAAAGACATGATTGTTTTTACCTTTAAACATTGTTTATATTTACTCAAGGCACTGGGATCCAAAGACTTTCAAGGATCTCTAAAACCCCAAATCAAGTCATGCTGCGTTGTTCGTGTCTATAAAAGCAGAGCAACACTCCACGAACAATACGGTAAACAAATCCTACCCTTTTATTTCAATATATAATTTAAGCAATCTGTCGTAGCGGTTATGTAATTATACTAGAGGATAGTCAACCTACACTGCACTCAGGTTGTAAACAATCCTCCTCCTCATCTGATCGAGCTTGAGTCACTCAAAAGCGCCTGTCTGTCAAACTGCTGCTCCAGGAATAACTACCACATACCCCTGCCTGAGGAGACACGGAGACGTGACAGATTCTCGCCTGTCTGACATTTGAGAATTTCACAGGTAAGACTAAAAACCCACAAGCTTCTTTATAACCTCCTGGCATCACCCCGCGAAGCTGCCTCTTCAGAGGAGCAATCTGGGTTCAATTTAATGCTTCCTAGCCGTTTAACTGGTACCCAGCAGGCTGTGGAAATGGAAGGGGGGGGCTAAGGCAGGAAATCCGACCTCTCTGTATTCCATGTGACCGCTTGCTCTGAGAATCCGGGAGCAACATTCCCCTGATTCATCCTCCAGAAATCAGGAGGGGCGTTCGAGAGGTGGGGAAGGGTTACTCTTAGGCGTAGCATTGCCAAAGAGTAGTGAGAAACCTGCCAGTTATTTCTGGCCTTGATCTGTCATGCTCACCTACGAGCTTACATAATATTTATTATCTACAGGTGACTTTTACAGACCTTTAAGATGATGAAAACTGTAAAAATCCATCAATCAAGCCTCTGGTTTCAAGTTGACAACACCTAATTTCCCTCTGTCAGGGTGAAACCTGACATCTGGTGCATGCAGGGGGCTGTGTGTGGGGAAGCAAATAACAGATACCATGCAATGCTGCCCTAAATTCTACCCAGACCATCTGTGTTACATCTTTCTTTACTTGAAAAAGAACCGTGGTTGAATCGTCCAAATCACAACCAATTATGCTCTCAAGTAACCCTCAAAAAGCCACTCTACCAACATAGACACAATAGTCTTTTCACTTCTTCCAAAAGAGTATAAAATAACCACAGCCATCGACTATACTCTCTGTGACGTCAACAACTGGTTTCAGGAAAAGGCTTATGGAGTCAAAACATGATGGTCACCATATTAGAAACGTAGATCAATCCAAAAACTGGTTGGAAAGGTGGAGACGGGCCGGGCCTGAAGGATCCCAGCAAACAGCTGCAGGCACTCACCTGTCAATCGTCTCATCGGGACACTAAGATGCAAATTTAAGTACATTATATAATCGAGAAGGATTATTAACACCTCTGTGCACTTGTCACAAATGAAGATAAGAGTGACAAAACTAGACTTTTCATACCTGACTCTTCATACATTTAATGGACAGCTCAGTCAAGCAGAAACCTCCAGTTTAATAATATTGTCAAAGTGAGAAATAAACTGCAGTTCCTTGAGGCTGGTTCCATAAGTAAAGAAACACAGGTTCAGATCCTGCACCTAAGTTCATTCATTTACATGGACTCGAGTGCCCAGGTTTATTTTTGCATTTGTGTGTGTAGTAGGGCTGGGCGATAAACCAAAAAATTTACTGATACCAAAGTTGACGACAATAACCAACGTCATTTTGCCCATATCTGTCTATTCGGTGTCAATGAAAAATAAAAAAATAAAAGTTGGTTTTGGATGTGTGTAGTGAGGCTATGGTCTCATGTCCCTTTAAGATGCTGTCCTACATCAAAGACGTGACTTCACTCCATCCAGTCCGAAACAAATACAGGTGAGGAGATGGAGGACGGTTCAAAAGTTGTAGTGGCTGGAGCAGCTGCTGAAGTAGACTAAGATAATGTGGAAGGGGGTGAGCAGCTTGTGGAGTAGTTATATTGATTTGAGGCAATATAGCCCAGCTCTATGGTGTAGCCATCATATCATGATTTTAGAAACCAGGTTATACTCGTATCCTGGTTTAAGAGCTCTGAAAGAAAGCCGTACACTGCGGCATTATATGTTTCTGACAGCTTCCTACACAGATGAGGACGAATAGATAAAAGGAGACGAGGGACTAAAATGCGGATCAGCCCTTCACGCTTCATTTCTAATACCATAGGGCCACAACTTACCATGTATTTCTGCACACAGCCCACTCAAACACATAAACCCATTGGGGAAAGCGAACCACCAATATCTCTTTCCTTCTCTCCCCTCAAAGGTGACTCATATGACAGTCTTCATTGCTGAATAAATACAGGCATTAAATAGGCTTATTCCATTCATTATTATTATTTACCTACATACACAGGCAAGGACATAGGCTGTGTTTCAGTATGTGCCATCGTGTGCTGAGGAGGTGGGACATGAGTAATAGTTGGGATCAGTGAGTTTGCTTTAGTGTTTTATGTTAAGGCAAGGAGATATAACTCCCCTACTGAATAAACAGTTTGGTCTGTCCTGTAGCTAGTTCAGCGTGCATCCTGATATAGCCTATATAACACAACATCAGTGCCTGAACCTGATGTAAATAACAAGAGGAGCAATTATTGGAGATTAGGGCTGGGCGATAAACTGAAAATTTACTGATAACAAAATTTACAACAATAACTGACGTCATTTTGCCCATGTCAAGATATTTGGTGTCAAAATAAATAAATAAATAAATAAAAGTTGGGTTTGGATGTGTGTGGGTAGGCTACGGTCTCATGTCCCTTTCAGACCCTGTCCTACGTCAGAGACATATCTCCGCTCCATCCAGTTTGTAACAAAGAGGGAAAGACAGGTGAGGAGACGGAGGATGGTTCAAAAGTTGTTGCGGCTGGAGCGGCAGCTGAGTTATCCATTTATCGTTATTGAAATAAACTGCTCAATATATCGTGACATTGATCTGAGGCCATATCGCCCAGCCCTATTGGAGATTATTAATGAGGTGGTTATGAGACATTTCTTATCCAAGTCGAAGATAGCCGTCTACTTTGCAGTGATATTTATTCAAATAAATCCAGGAACTTCAGGCTAACAAAAGTTTTATATCATAGCATCACCTCAGTCTGATTGCCCGCCCTACTTCTCTGTTTAGTGTGTGTGTGTGTAAGAGCAAGAGTGCAGCCTTGACCTTGTGTCTCTAATAGTATTTTCATACTATTCAATGACACCGAGCCACAGCGGTCCTGTTCTCAGATTTCTAAATCACTGCGGTTCTTGTTGTAAATAGTTAACATCACAGGCTTCTGCGCACATATGATGCAGTAATCAGACACCATGAGTACGGACCATGTATACAGGATCATGAATAACCAACCAATATGAAGAATGATGTGCCAAGCCGTGATACAAGATCGCACGGAGGGTATTAAAACATATGGTCTTTAGAAAGACGTCCCTCTGGGGGTCTAACAGTTTCCTGGCTGTAAGAGGAGCCCCCCTTTCAGACAAACACTAGGATAGTGTTCGAACAGTGACAGAAATAATTGGAGGAGGCTCACAACAAGAGGAGTAATGAAAAGCAGAGGTGGACCGAACTACATCCGCACCCGCCAAGGCCACAGAGACAGAGTGCTAAGATCACACATTAAAATGTAACGAGGTCATTAAGAAGTCCAGTTAAAACCACATTTAGTCCTCCCTGTATGAAGTCATTATAAAGTGAGTGTGGTCTTTATATGTGCAGTCAAAAGGAAAAGAGGAAAATGAGGAAAGCTTTTGTATCCGCCTGAAAAAAAAGAGCATGTTTGGGGTTGAGTGACAGAGCGCCGCTGGTGTGTCACCGTACGAAGGAAAGACAAAACAAACAAACGCGCGTCATAGCGAAAATGTCATAGACAGAGTGTGTGTTGTTAAAGGTACTGGAGTGTAGAGGACCTGACCAGCATCCAACTGGACCAAGGTGACATTTGCAGGTATGTTTACATGCTGTTTAATGTGCTGCAGCTGAGCAGCTAAGTTAATTAGCTATCTCGGCTGTAAACTGACGTCAGCGGGGCCGCGAGTGTTTGTTTGTGGGCTTGTTTAACAAGCTTAGGTGTCTGACAAGATGTGTGTTCATGTTTCAGAGTCAGATCAGGAGACTTTTGAGGCAAAGCTAGCGTGGTTGTTGTTTAAACTCGTATAAAAAAAACAACAAGTGTCTGCTTTGTCTGTGAGAGGAAGTTAGGCTGTAATGTGTGCTGCAGCAGACAAACCAATAAAACTGCAATTTCATTTCGGCTGTGCTTTTAGTTTAATGTGTTTACTCAGCAGTGATGTGCGGGTCTTACCAGGAGTTCATCCATGCTTGTCTGGCACTTCTCTAGATTGATGCTTTTGATGGCCACCTTCTCCTTGCGCGGTATACAGTAGGCTGCTTGAACCACTGCGGTGGCCCCACTCCCTAAACCAGACAAGAAAACAAATCAATGTTTGAAGTCAGCTCAGGTCACACAAAGCTGTCTGTGTGTCAAATGTCTCTTTTTTTTCACATCCTTTGGCTTCCCACACCTCCATTATTTGACCCCTTGAACTTGTGTCTACATTAAAAAAAACTGCAGTGGGATAATAAACTTTTATCATTACTTCAAGTTCTCCTGAGTTCATGACGGTTAAGCGCAGCTCTGCTCAGACCGCTCATCCGATTCCTCTTTTGAAAGAGCTGTCGGTCCATCAATTATGAATCAGCTTTCTCAAATCCCGCCAGATGAAACAGGTCTGATTGGAGCCAGTGACTCCTCTTAACCAGACACAGCACCTTTGAGAGGAAGATTAAACCAGAGGGGACTTTATACAGTTTAGACTTTTACCCTTTTAAAAATTAAAAAAAGATAGCTGTTGATGATAAAATGCTCATAAATACTTTTCTGAAGCTGCAAGACGCTGTGACTCAGCTCTAGTCTTAGTGCTTTCACGACTCTCAAAAGGAAGCTTTGTCAAAATTCTGTTTGCTTCAAAGGTGACCACATGAAGTACAATCATCAGTGAGCTGTTAAACCCTAAAACCCTAAAACAAGGCTCATCTTTATCTGACATCATTTTACAGTCAGAGGAAAATCTTGGGTAAAACTTTAATTGACGCCTGTAACTCATTATAAATATATTTATAATGCATTATAATCACATTATAGCAACATTATAACAACGGTTGCATTGCATTATCTGTGTGGGCATTGTCAGTGAGTTGTTAACAGTTATAACACATTTTAAAACCTGACCTAGTAAGTCATAATAAAATGCTTTATAATGTATTATGAGTAGGGCCCGACCGATTTATCGGTGAGCTGATTAAATCAGCCAATTTTAGCCCATTTGAGACTAATCGGTAATCGGCCAAAACTTGTGGATTTTCGGCAATATTTTCTGAAATAAAATTAGGAGAATAAGATTCGGTTGCACTTCAAAAATGTTCCGCCATTTGAAAAGTTCCCCGACTTATCCTGTAGATGGCGCGGCGACCTCATGACAATCTTCATCCACTAACTACCTCACAGCACAGCAGAGTGACGGTAAATAAACTAGTTTGTGAAATACACAATAAGTCAACAAGTTTCAGTTTAACCCACTTCACAACGTTCCCCGCTGTGCTGGTCTCGGTCACACCAAGTAAATGGTGAAGCACGATGTAATATGCACGCTAAAGTTAGAGTTAGCCACCTGCTGTTAGCCTTGCTACAATGTTAGCTGCGCCGGTCACGGTAGAATAAACAACAGCACACATTACGTAATCGAGCTACTTCTCTGACTGAGGCAGGTGCATGTCTCCAGATGAGACCGGACTGGAAATGAGTAACGTGAGTTAAGACGCAGAGGCACCGATCGGCACGCGGGGGGGTCTGAGTTCCTGGTCCGAGTTTGATTCATGATCATGATGGCGTGATGAGCAGTAGTCTACAGTATATCTACAGTATACAGCATATATCTATTTTTTATAAAAATTTAAAAAATCAGCCGATTAATCGTAATGTCCCCCCCCCCCCCCCCCCCTTCTAATAGTCAGGATCGGCACTGGCCCCAAAAAATCCATATCAGTCGGGCCCTAATTATGATAATTGCTATAAAGCATTATAATCATTAATGAGTGTTTATTACTATAGTTATACAGTGCTATAATGTGATTATAACACATTATACATATATGTATAATGCATTATAGAGATAGGCGGCAAATAAAGTGTTACCGAATGTTTTCCAGAGAAGCCAAGCCTTTGGTTCGGACGCCATGTGCGGTCATTTCACTGCCCTCTCAGTGCTCTTATTTGACACCACGAAGGTACACACACACTCCCACACTCAGGCACACGCACAAACAGCTGTTTCCACAAGATCTCTGGTGTATAGGTGACGCTGAGCAATGCTGGGAGTGCACTCTCCTCTGACAACAGGCTTTGGTGACTGAGAAAGTGAGAAAGTGAGAGAGTGAGAGGTGAGTCGGTCCAGCCTCCAGTAAGCTTTTCCTAACCTCCCTCATCTTAGCTATGCCCAAATATTAACAAAGTGCTCATTGTTTGGAGTTTTCATTGAGCCAGTGGTGTTTAAAAAAATGGCCTATATTAAAAAAAGGGGGAAAAGCAGTTCCCTGACATTAATTAAAAAGTAAAGCTGTCCCTAAAGATGGGACTTTTTTCAAGTAAGATAATTAGGACTTTAGGTTATACAGGAGGAGAGGAGAATAAAACAGCTGAAAACTTTCAATACAGCAAAACATTTAATAAACCACAAACTCTTGTTCCCTTTGATGAATCCAATCAAGTTTTGATTTCCCAAAGTAGGGATGTCACATTAGCTCACAAAAGTTGAAAACTTTAGTGAAACTTAACAAAAACCCCACAGAAGGGAAGAATCCACTTATTAATCCTGGTGATCTATCTCCTTCTATCTACATGTTGGGATGTTGTTGGACAATAAGGGGTTAGGTTCCTTACAGGTAGGGGGTACATGCTGGGATGAGGGTGTAAATACCTGAGGTTGCTTCAGGAGCACAAGTACCTTGTGTTTGTGTGAAACTTCTTGCTATCTACTTTGACCTGTCTTGTTTGGTGTTATTTCTTCTCTCACGTCTTTAAGTAACGAGCATGTTGGCTGTCAATGACGTTTTTCCATTTGAAGATTCACAGCCAGAGTTTTCCTCATTTTATACAGTACAATACCTGGTGAGGCCTGCCAAGGTACATATGCAGAACACTTTGACATTTCCTTATTTTTATCAATAAGGTACTGATGGAAGATCTTTTCTCCTTCTACCTTCCACACTAGGGCTGGGACAATATACTTTTCTCCTGATTCGATTCTTCTACGATTTTTGGATGCCGATTCAATTTAAATTGCAATTCCACAATATTGTTGATCTTCTCAATTTTTAGTCTGCATTTTTAACACCAGTGAAAAAGTTGAATGATTATGATTGTCTACTGACTATTCCAGGAATCAAATTTTCCAAAAGAAACACATCAGTGGCAAGTCAGTTTTTACGATTAATTCTTACATTTGACAAAAAAAAACAAAGATTTTTGAACATAAAAATTGATTTAAAAATTGTAAAACAAAAAATCATGATACTTGGGTGAATCGATTTTTTCTCTCACCTCTATTGCACACATACTGAAAGATCTGTCTGCCCTACTGCCCTACATATTCAGTAAGAGAGATTTTATTCTTTTTTTATTGGCTTTTATCGTTTTTATTTATTCATTTTTATTCACTATGTATTGTTAAGTACTTTGGTTCATGAAAAGGGTTGTTGTAAAGGGCTGTATAAATAAAGAATATTTACATTTACATATAATGAACAGTATCACAAAATAAGAGCTTGTGCCTCTGCAGGTGTGCAATCTATAAGTTTTTTAGCAGTTTTAATTTACTCCAGTAACTTTGTAAGCTTGGGGAAGTGTCTTTTTGTATCCTGTGAAAATAAACTTGTTTATTATTTCAACAGGGTTATGTAAAATAGGGGCAAGGGAGTAAAAAGGAAAAACCAAAAGATCACAATTAACTCCAAATGTTTGGACACAACCTTGAAAACTTACTCTCTTTTAAAACTTGACTCCAAATCCTGAACCCAGCGAGACAAATCATATCACATCCCCAGTTGGGTGTTATTGTTCCCTTCCTTTGAGCCAACTTTCTAATGCAATAGGTGCTGAGGTTAGGTTTCCAATTCAATGTTTACCTCATCTCTTACCATTGCCCTACACTTAAAGGACTTCAGCAGCCCTATAAATAAATCTTTTCGCCTCTTCCAACCACCACCAGCAGCAGATATACCAAACAAACCTCTGGAGGCCGGCCAGTGGTGGTGGAGCTCAGCCCTGGCCGGTCCACAGGGAGCCGGTTGCCCTGTCCACTGCGGAGTGTAAATTCTTCCACACAAACAAACAGCCAGTCGTCAGGGGTGGCTGCCCAGGCAAGGAAGCTGCAAAGCATGTGTGCTTATATGTGTACGTGTACGCCGAGAGTGGAAAAAGGGGCCGGGGTGTTTGGTTTGCATGAGGCAAGTTCAGGGGTCACCAGGGCTTTACAAGCTATTCAGACTGAAGACGCACATTTGCTACAGCACTAGTTCCAAGATTAGTGCAAGGTTTTTCCTGCCAAGAGTAGTCATGCCTCTACAATTTGAATTGGGTTGCATGAAAACTTAAAGCTTAACAAGGCCTTTGAGGTTCTAAACCAAAGCAGTAAAGTGAGTAGTGATACTTTGGTGGCACACAGGGGGGATACAAACAATCCATGTCATCACATCCCCAAACAAGCTCACGCAAAATAAGGCTGTGAGTAAGCCTGCAGATGTGGAGCATTAAAGATGAACATTTGTCACTGAAACATCTGATTTTACCAATGAAGCAACACAGAGTCACATTATTGTCATCCTCACTGACAACATCACCGTCCTCTCCATCAAAACAGCAGGAAGCTCTCACATCCTCACTCAAGGCGACCGCTGCACAAGTGCCAGGGCCATTTAATCTGTTAGACAGTCTGGCACAAATAGAACAGCTGCATATCAAATAGGAAACTGTTTATTCCTTTTTGTCAAATTAGCCATAAATGAACAGAGAAAAGCGCGACATGAGTCAGCTCTTTGCAAATATGAATTTTTGATCAAACTTAAAAGTTCTGATGTCGGTATTTTTCCATTTTAAGCAGACAGTAACAAGACTGGGGTTGTTGTGAAGGTGGACACCGGCTAAATCAAATCTATATATTGAGTTACCACATTAGACAAAATCAAATGATGATTCAGCTGACAGACGGGGATGTGGCATGTTGACATGACTGAGGAATTCTAGGTCACTACGTCTTCTGTTGTCTTGAGTTTTAGTTTTTCCTGTTTGATTCTTTATTTTTACTTTAAACTTCTATTCCCTCTGCTGTTTTTGGTTTTTATAATTTTAGAGATAAAGATAAGCTCCCAATGCTTGGAAGAGACTTTAACCATAAGACATATCGGTAGAAGCAACAATGTTAAAGGTTTCCACATTTGCCTTTATTAGCTGAATGTGGACAGTGCTGTCAACATAACATTCCTGAAGATGTCCGTTACATCTTCACATATTCATCCCCACAATGGAAATGTTCACTTTAATGTATATTGTAACAATAAAGCAAGATAATGTATCAATTTGTCTGTGGATTGAAGTCCTATGAGACATTTTTAAAAAATTTGAATGATCTTGAACTCAATCATCTATGTCAGCAGGTTATTATGCATCATCAGGGTAAGACTTTGGAGTCTTGCTTACCCTGTCAGGATTTCAGTCTGAGTAATCACCTATTCACTATACATTAGGGACGGGTGATAAATTACCATTCACATCAGAAAATCGTCAGGAAAATCCTACACAATGAATATTTGCCATCTCACGATAAATACGATAAACTTTCCTTGTGATTGGGGCTTAGACGAGTGCAATTAGGTATGCCTGACTTTGGACAGTGGATCTGCTGCTGCTGTGCACTCTGTGCAATAAGAGTTTTGAATAAATGTTGAAAGTGTTTTCCCATTTCAGACTTGTTTGATGTCACTAGTTTTCTCCATGACCTACCACTTAAACTTGTAGTTAAGTATCTTATTTGACTATGCCAAAACTTTTAAGTGCCATCCAAGAACAATGGCTGTGGGGTCAAGACAAAATGAGTCAAAAAACATGGATTTATTATTGTGGCTTTGATTGTTATCACCAGAATGGCAAAACTTATGGTGATAAATTTGTTAGCCCATATTGCCCGTCCATACTATACATGATCTCTCACATAAGCTGTGACTGTATCTTTTAATGTCACTTTCTTCTCATTTATTGTCTCTCCGTGTATTCATTTGATCGGCCACAGCTCCTCATGTCAGGTTCTGCTCTCGATAGTGAAGCAAGGGAAACATTGACAAAACAATCCTGATATTTGTAAAAGCAGCCAGTGTTTTCTGTAAGCATGTTTCCTCATAACAGGTTAAGCTTGGCATGAGAAGTCTTTTGAGCGTTATACTATAAAATGTCAATGTGTGAATGAGGCATGCAAGACTGGAGCTCCCCCCTCTTTTCAATGAACCGAGCTGGTAAAGCCTAAATACTCCAGTGGAGGCCTGCCATTAACACACGTGTTTGCTCTTTCAGTAGTTGACCTCAGAGTATGAATTGTTTGCATTCCTCTATTCTGAGGCTTCTCTGGGAAGTCTATTAAACAGGCTTTATAGGGATACGCTAAGGAATAGCACCCGAGTAACAAGTGGCTTATGAAGGATGCAGATAAAGCTACAGCATTAGACTTAATTAAGATTATAAAAGCAGCTTAAAGATCATTAAAATACCAGGAGGCGATTCAAATCTCAAGGTTTCATCATGGAGCTTTTCACCCTAACATCTCGAAGCCAAACAAAACAAAACATCTCATAATTGGTCAGAATGTGCTTGAGGAAAGAATTTCAAAAGGTCTGGTTCAGGCTGGGACGGAACAATCACTGAAAGAGTGTGACTCCACATCACCTATTGGTATAATATCGTATCAGAAAAGCCTGGCCTTGATCCAGCTTCTCTATGGAGAGCGAAAGCAGCTCTCAGTTTGTCTTCCCTGCCCTCACCGGGCCAGTTTGGTGCCTGACGTCACCCCTCTTTTATTACATTTCCTCTACATACCTGGTTGACATCCCACACGAGATTCAAAAGGTACAAAGTGAAAATGTCACACATATCAAGGAGTCCCCCCAGCAGCCACTAGCTTTAGTGGGAACTTCCTCTGGTGCTGTAGGGTGAAATATTTTTAAAATGTATGCGGTCTGAACCTAAAAACCAACGTTAAATTAAAGAAAAACTAGCCGGGGGTTGCTTTCAGATGCAACCATTTTTTTCTGAACATAAGTTTTATAGAACAATCTGTGGGGGAGGATAAGTAACAGGGAGGAGACATGGTTGCTGGTGGATACAAACACTGGGAGCAGAAAGTTTCCAGTCCTGATTTGCCAACACAAAAGGATCCAAGAGTCTGATCCAGAATGAGAGAGTAAGCCATGGGTTCTGTCCAGTATGATCTGATGCTCAGTGGTGGTGAATAGAGTGGGTGTGATCCATGTAATAACAAGTCCTCTTTCCCTGGGGAAGTTAGAAAAACAATAAGCTCTGCTGGGCATGCTGGGTATTCAGAACCATCCTTATAACACCAACCTTTCCAGCGGAGCAGAAGAGCTGCAGAAAACATCCCTTAGGGGTGTTTGAAAGGCTTATACAGTATCTGCCCAACAGTTTCTGTTAGAGAGAGGGGTCAGAGCCAGGTTAAAGTCCAGGAGCTGCTGAATGCTCAAGTAAAACTGAGAATAAATATATGGACACAAGAAGCTGCTACTTTATTTTTTAATAGATAAAATGATGGTTGAAGTCTGAACAATATATCTATTGATCAGTTTTGAAGAGCAGGTATGGTCCCATAATTGGGCATCAGCCTCTACCCATCAATGTTAAATTCTTCGTTCTGGGACGGGACCCCCACCCCCTCTTTAGATGGTCTGTAAAAGTTCACAAGGGTTTTTGTAAAAGTAGACAAGGGGGAATCAAAATTTATCACCTTGATAATAAATTTCCAAAACACAGCCAAAATTTTATCTCACCTCTGTGCAGCACATAAAATATTTCAAACTTTCATAAAAACTTTTAAACATCACAGCCTCTGATCACCTTTGAATACTAACACTTAATATTTTGATTCCTATACTTTAATCTGCCAAAAAAAAAATCTCCAATTCATCTGCCATGTAAAATTTTAGGGGTTTTATCTTTAAATACACTCCCAAACAACTTTATGTTTATATTGTACAGAATAGGATCTACTAAAGGTAACTTTTTAAAGCAATACTGTAAAACAGCTTCTGATTTCAGCTTCAATATTGCAAGTTACCCTTATCTACATTTGAGCTGAGATAACAAGACTGTGTTATCCCATTTATTTCAGTTTTCTATAAGTCAATGTGCCTTATGTTGTCATTTGAATTGAAGGGACTGTGAGGGAAATCAAATAAAACCCCCTTTTTTAATTAGTGAGAGATGCTTTAAGCTGTTAAAACATCAGTACCACCTTGAGGGATGACAGAGGGATACGTAATGAGTTACCTTCTGTTGCAATCAGATAAGGATCTAAATTAAAAGTGTGCATTTCTATTTACTGTCTGATACAAACAGTAGCCTGTGAGAGGTTGGTCATTTGCAGAACTTAAAACTGCATTTGTGTTTACCCATCCACCTCCCTCAGCACACACTCCAAATCACCAGCACAGCCCACCCCTGACTGCATGATTGTGCAATTTTCGAGAATACTCCTTCCAAACATGACCCACGCTGCTGCCGGGCGTTTCTTGGGCGATTTGTTGATCTCTGATGTAGATTTTATCTCACGGGGTTTGTCCGGTGGGAGGTTGCGTTCTTTACTGTGATTCAGAAATGGGCAATATGTCAAGGGAACTCCTGACTGCGAATGTCAGGATGATGACCGGAGAAAAACTGTGACAGGAAGTGACTCAAAATCAGTGTGACCCCAAGTCGACACAGTTATAACAGAAAGACTATTCATTTCAAAGATGAGCATTTTGCAAAACATTTCCTTGTCATGAAGTAAGACGAGGATGTTAATACTTTAAACTATCACTGATCAACAATAAGACTCAGAGCTAATCACAGAAACTTAGAACGACTTTTCAAAGTTCTGTTATTAAAAGAGAAAGACCTGCATGAGTATTGGCAAGGTTTGATTTGATCAGAAGCTGATGCCAAACAGGAGGACAGTGTTTACCGTGTGTCCACAAGGAGCATAAAAACAGTTCTACCACTTTAAACTAAATGAAATATCGGTAAATAATAAAACTAAGACAGTCACAAGACACTGTGTAGAAAGTATCCCCAAAGACTCATTGATGAAAGTGAACTTCATGTTGCAGTCCTGCCTTGAAATAGCTTCACCAGGCTCAAACCCATGCTGACAATTTGTGTCACTCAATGCAAAGGAAAATGCTACAGAACTGGTTCTCTGTACAAGGGGGGCTTTATCTGTGTGTGTATGCTAAATAGCAAGGAAGTATCTTGTGGGGTGCCCCGGATCAAATTTTTCCAAGAAACTGAGGGTTGTAGAAAAAGGTGAAGTTTGGTGCACTAAAAAAGCACACAAGGGTTAATCTAGGGCATGAAGAATGGACCCTCTATAAACACACTGATTCCCAGTAGAGGAAGCTTGCACCACTTAGGGTAAGTAAACCAGAGGCACAAACTAACTGATTCGGGAGGACAATACTTTGCTTGTATGTTACACACATATTTTTCTTCTCTTTCTTTGACAAAGTCAGCCAGAGGTAGGACGGGGTTGGCTATTTGTTGGGTGGGACATTTCAGAACTTAACTCATAAAAGCTGTCATTCCTCAGGCCAACCAACCTGTAAGATATGATCAGGGATATGGAAAGGTGTAGCATGCCTCCAGTCAGGCTAGAGGGTTTCACAGAGAAATGTAGGCATACCTACAAATCGGTTATCCCGGTATCTTCACAAAACTTTCAGGATTAGAATAAGCCTTACAACAATTTTAACACTTGTAAATTTAATCCAAACTTGTACAAACAAAGTATTAATGATGACGTTTCTCATCAAATTATTAAATGACTTTTCCTACTTTCTGTGAAGGAACATGGCAAGAAGCCCCAAAATACTGATTAATCCCCTCAACAGAGCACTCGCCTAACTGGATTAATTCAGGCAGCAAATTGCCCAAAACAATACTCTCACTCCAGGAGGAACCATGAAGCATAATCCCTGGACTATGAAGTGGCAACACGCCTGTTTTCGGAAAAAGTTCAGCGCTTTAATGTCCGGTGAATTTTAATTAGAAATGGGTGTGAACCGTGAACAGACACACACCGACATACACAGTACGACTAAAACACAGTCTCTGCTTTAACCTTGTGTGCCTCATACTTTGCATTACCCTGTTACAATGCTATGTTATCCCTGTATAGAGTATATCAGTAATCAGGGGCACATCCAGATTGTTTGGACTGTGGTGGCCCTGCTGAGGCATTGACTTATGAAGGGGGCAAATTGCTTCCACCATCATCATCATACAGATGTTATATTGTGGATACCCTAAAACTTTGAAAAGGGTAACAACAGATCTGCAAATCTTTCACATTTTATTCTTAAAAGAACAAACAATTGGGTTATTTGAGAGTTAAATGACAATGTGCTACACTCTAGCACTAGCAGCCTGTTGGTTTTTCCACACAAACCCCAGTTCAGGATTTGGGGTGGCCATTCAAGAGGGGGGTGCATACCACCCCTTGCCACCCCTCTGACTCCACCCCTGATAATGTTGTGTCACTTCTGTTTGGGCTGGTGTCTGAAGAGTGGGTTCTCTGTCAAATGCCAAACGAGAAACTGTCATTGTATCGTTACATACAACGCCCTCACTTAGGGAGGTCATTTTTTAAAAGTACTAAGCCAGCTGTATACATGAATTATCCCACACCTCAATGAAAAACTGCTCTTTTCCAGCAAATAGTCAGAGCCTGAGTAGACAGTAACGGTATAACGCTCGTTGACTACTTCGGCACAGCCCCAGCGGACGGGGTAACCGCTCTCACACCGACTTCAAGTCACAACACCGCCCGGCTGGGATTGTCAACTTGCCAAACGCGATGAACTTAGCCTAGCTCAAAAGCAAGAAGATGCCTTCTGTTTGCTGCTACTTAGAGGAAATAAGCGCCGATGTTAGCTGTGATAATACTCATAGTGAGTGGGCTGACGGCACACACTGTCGGTTAACACACACGTTTTGCTAACGAGCTAAGGATCACATACCAATCACCTCGTGCAGCTCATAATCATCTTTGTTGATGGACCAGGGTTGGGAGCTCGGGTCCTCCGACATGGCTGAGGGGTCTGCTGGAGCCGTACTATCAGTGGAAAGGTGGCGAATCCAGAGACTGTACGTAAGAAGAAGTCAAAGTAATCCAAACAGGACCAACAAGGGCGACACTTCCCCTTCTTTGCGAATCCTGCAGCACTCCTGTCATTCCCAAAGTTTGACACTAGCTGAGCAGCCCCGCCTACCGCATTCCTGCTGAGCAAATCTGGACCCTCCCGGCAGACATATTGAATGCACTTGCGGCCAATTAGACTGAGCTCATTTGAAGCAGAAGCGGAACTGTCTGACAGAAAGCCACACGGAAATTTGAGCATTCAACGTGTTGGTACAGCAAGCATTTGGTTACACCGGGTTGAACTTGTAAATATTTAATGAAAATGTACCTATAAAACAGCTACAAAGAGCTATAAATTATAGGCTAGAAATGCTTCATAAGACAGCCCGAATTCCGCCACACTTGTCATGGCGGACGTGCGCGTCTGTTTTCCCCCCCCGAGTTAAAACTGAAAGGCTGCAGTATTTCTCAAACGATACATCTTTATACTTTCTTTATCCTGGTCAAAATACCACATTATATTAATAGCCCCCACCAAACCGATCTTGGGATAGCAAAATTATGTTTAATATCGAGCGTGACACACACCTGACAGGCTAAACTCGGGGTTCATAACACTACGAACTCCGCTTGAAAAGAGGCGTATAGCTTCAGGCACATTCTACTCTCTGATTGGACATGGCCACATTCGCTGCTCTGTGATTGGGTAATGGTGTGTCGACTGTACGATGTATTGAGGCAAATTCAATGAAGTGAAGGACTTGCACAATCGCGACACATGCTGGAGAATTATCACATAATATAGTATATATGAATATACGAGTACATAAATAAAGGACAGAGTAAACTTGACATTTATTTTGTAGAAATTATGTTTACACATTCATAAAAGTGGCAGACAGTTTCATAAAAATGCATTATAAAAATACAATTTCAAAGTATCAGGCATCAAGGTGATTGTAACACCAGAGTGGAGCAGGTGGCAGCAGACAGTAAAACTAAACATGTGAAAGTATCACAATCTCAATATCACTTCCTCTTCCTCTAAAAGTAGGCCCATGAAAGGAAGTAGCCCGCACAGGAAAGCCACAACATTTACAGAGAAGTAGGCTACCTGCTGCCCACAGTACAGAGCCTCTTCTACAATAAGTTACTTTTTAAAAATAAATTTACAAAAATCAAATGTGCTGTGAGAACTTTGCTGGTATTTGGTATCTTTGTGCAGTTTGTGTTCAATAGCGATCACATCCAGAAATCTCTATTTCTTTTTTATAGGCAACACAAATAATAGGATTAGTCATATGCACTTTAAAAAAGTGTGTTTAGACCCCAGCAGGATAAAGCTCACAAGCAACACCGCAGATTGGCACTTGTAATTCTGGCAATAGTCCAGAATTCCCTTTTAGGAAATAAAAAGGCACTTGTCAAATACCATACATTGTTCAGTATATGGTCAGGGTAGTGAGAGGGCTTTGGCCAGCCGTACCCAGAACCAAGCCTGTGTGCAAGGCCGAGTGTAGTCGCATACAGTGAGGAAGCGTAAGATGCTTGGGAACTGCTTTTTCATTGGCTTGTATACCACTGGAATAAGCCGCTTGTTTCTTGCACCTAAAACAGGAACAGAAAAAAAGGCAAGTCAGACAGATGCAAAGGCATATGCGATAAAAATGGCGCTGTGAAATACAATTACAGAGGCTGTCAAATTTTTTACCGGGGCAAAGGCTGAGAGCAAACTTTGTCTGAAAGTCACAGGCATCGCTGTCAAGGTATTCATCGGAAATCACCACCACCATCCGTTTACACCTGCACGGAAAAAAGCTCATGTATTACAAACAGTTGATAATGACACCCACTAAAGTTTCACAGGGGGTGTTGAGAAGCTGTCTTTGACAATTTTATCCTTGGATGGCTTTCAATTTCTAAATTGAAACTGCAATTAACTTTCTGAAAAAGCTTTGAAATCTTTTGTATCTGAACAAACTTTATATTCTTCATCCACACAGGGGAGTGAAAGTCTCAGAATGCAGATTTTGTGGGTGGTTCTCACTCTGGTTGTTTTTCATGAATAAGCACCAGAATGACAAAAACAGAGTAGTCAATAAATAAAAAAAGTGTATTAAAAGCATGTAATTCAGCCATGCTGACCTTTGGCTGAGCTGTCTATAGTAGGTTTAATAGGCTTCATGTGCCAGTTTTTTGTATGTTTCTCTCGTAAAAGTAGAGGTATAGTGAAAATTATTCAAATAAACCTAAAAGGAGTTGACATTTGTAACACTCCACCTTTTCTCAATGAGCTCACTCGTGATGGTCCATACACAAGATCCAGGGAGGACATCTCTGTCAAACACGCACAGCTTCAGCTTGTACTCTGTCTGCTCCAGCTCCTGGATCATCTTGTGGACAAAAGTAAAGTCGCTCTGGCAGTAGCAGATAAAGGCATCAAACAGCTCAGGGGCACCTGCAAACAGTGCAGTTTGATGAGAATCAATAACACAACCTCATGAGGTCAGACAGTATTCCACAGAAGTGAAGTAAAAGTACAAACTAACTGTGCAACGCTAACTGTGGTAGGAAGTGGAAACAGTGTGCGTGTTGGTGATAAGAGCTTCAGATGATTTGATTTGAAGATTGTTTGGAGCTTTTCCTGTTCAATGCTTGACTGCAGAAAATAACAGCTATCTAAATCTGATTTGAGCAAATATTCTTCCTTCTACTGCAACACTATATTACAGTGACTGAAATTTACCAATGTGGATGCTTCAACTTGTCAGGAGAACTTTTTAGAGAAACATTCACAGCTGGTTTTCAAATTGGCAAAGAACTGCAAAAGTTATGGACTGGACCAACAACTACTGAAGACCTTTTGTATATTGTGGATATTTAAAAAGATGCAGTTTTAAATTTTCTGACTTTACAATAACATTTTAAATGTACTGCCATTTTTACCGTTGCTCTGTATGACTGATGAGAGTAAATGAAACCTGGGTTAGGAAAAATTGCAACATGTCTGAAAAGCAGTGCTGAGTAATAATGCGATGATTCAAAGTCTGGGTTTCTGAGTTGACGTAATCAATGCAGGTGGAATATGAGGAGTATTTATGTTGGTGTTGATAATGAAAAAAATGCTTTTACAGATGCTGACCTTCCTCATCTTCCAGAGTGAAACCAAATCCTTCTGAGGAGGGTCGAGTGATACAGCTGTCAACCTCTGGAACCTGAACTGGGGGCTCCGCTCTCTGTTTCAGACTCTCATGATATTTTCTCACATCTTCATCTGGTACAAAAACATGTTCACACATATAACACACACATACACAGTTATTTGGGCTGGATAACGCAGTCAATGTGTTAAAAAACAAGGATGATAATTGCAAAGTAACTTGTATGAAAATGTAATATGATGACATGATACCATAATACTTGCAAAACAACACAAGCCTGCTGGGTATGCGCCCTGATACACTGTCCTCAATACTGTTAATATCATGATATAAGAAATCTGCAAAGATTGACAAACTATAAGATAATTACAGAGCCAGCCTAAGGCATAAGTGAACTTAGGGCCTGCTTAGGGCCCCGTGGCCAATGGGGCCCCCCCAAGAGCAATCAAAAAAATAAATAAATATATTTTATTTTTTGCATGTATGAGTGATGCTTTCTGTATGTGCCTTCTGCTGTGCAATGTGCACTGAGCATCCAAAGCGCAGGCAGTTGTCAGGCAAAACAATGAGGCAAAAAGGGCATATCCTTCATGAGCAGAGAAAAGAAAGAGGCAAAAAGAGATAAAACCGCCAAAATAAAGGTATGTCATATCATGGAATGTTAATCAAAGAGATTTCTGAAGGTGTGTGAATGATCAACAATCAATATTATTGGCAGAAATATAGGGCCCCAAAATCAACAATGTCACTGGGCAATCACAAAGATTTATTAAGTCTTGAGAGCGATTTAGTAGTACCTATATTGCCCACTTAATCTGTTAAAGGGTTTTACTTATATCATTGTACAAAGTATGACGCTTTGTTGGCTGTACATGACTATATTGTGCAATCTTAACAATGTAGTAAGCATGCAAACAAAGAAGTAAACAAAGTACACTAAACTAACTTACCCATTAAAGGGCGCAGGTCCTCCACAATATCACGTCTCTCCACCTCCGTCAGCAGAGACAACAGCTTCCCCACTGTCGCATCTGTGGTCCGAGCCTGCCAGTCGTCCAGAATAGTTTTAGTGGGATTTTTGGACCTTTCGAAGTTCTTAATCTCTAGGTAAGAGAAGCCCATGGCCTCGGCGACATCCATCCAGTCCGCCGCCACGGTGTTCTTCGGGTTTAGATACAGTCCCAGTTTATTTCTCACGCTCACGTTCAGGGCGATGAGAGGAGCCGACTTTAAGTCCGTTTCAGAGATGCCACACGCCATGTTTGCAAGTGTCCAAACTCTAAAAACACGGGTCCAGCGGAAGCGAGATCACAGTTTACCTGACAGAGAGTACGGAAGTGATGCTATCGCGATACGTCACACGGGGGCGGGGATTGACGGGTCACCAGTGTTGACCACTTCCAGTCTTTTTTTCCACAGACGATGAGATCTGGAATTATTTATCTATTCATACCCGAAAAAAACAGACTTGAATTCATGATAATTTGACGTATTCTTTCCTCACTGTACAAGGTGAAGTTACAGGAAGACTGCTGTGGTGTTTCTGTTCCCCTTCCTGAAAACGGTTTTAGGCTACTTCCTTTTTATATTTTCATCCACCATTATAAAGTTATGCCAGATGTTGACACTTATAGCGGCATGAATTACAATGTACAAATACACATGTAAAAAACTCTAGAAATTCAGAAACTTTATTATGAAACTGTCATAAATAAAAAAAACACTATTAAACTTACAACATACATGTTTTTTAAACAAAATGGAGAAACCTGCATTCAAGAAACCGAAGCAGACAGATCCGTGTAACTGCTTCTCAAAACTGGAAACCACACTGTGGCTTTTAGTGTTGCTGCAGAAAAACAGGAAACCTCAAAATGAGAGCAGTAAAGGTAGTCTGTGTGGCTGACTTTCCCATACAATTGATATCATATAAAGTTCAAGCACTGGAAGGACTGAACATTTCCTCAGATCTTCAACAACAACAACAAAAAAACCCTCCTCTGTTAGTGTCTGTGTGTCACTCGGTTTTTACAGAAACAGTCCGAGTTTGCATCACTTTCAGCATTAGTGTGTGTGTTTTGTTTGCTTAGTGAAAGATCACAGGTTTTTGCTCTTGGAAAAGTAGAAATCTATGCCTCTGTCTCGATGTTGTTTTGGAGTGTGGGATGGGCCTTTCTTTCCTCTTGGTGAGGGTCCTGCTCCACTCTGAAAAAGGGGAAACAAACATTTGGATTTACAGTGGTTCTTTACAAGAATGCAGTAAAGCAGCACTAGCTGTTTCACTTAAATGGTGTATTTTTTAAAACACTGGAGTAGTTCACTGACTTAATATTTATAATGGAGGTAACTTAAGAAAACAGCGAGAGGCCTCAATGTAAAAAATACTCCAATACAGGTTCAAACTCTACAATAGTACAGATTAACTGACAAAACACCTGTTGATTTTACACTTAAATATAAAATGATTGTCCTCATAATTAAAGCTCCCTTTGTAACACATCATGCTGTATCACATTAATATAAATGGCATTATAAAGTCCTTTAAGCAGGGTGATTCTGTAGAGCAGATACATTGTACCTTTTCTTTTTTAAAGGTTATTTTGTGGTTCAGTCAAAAAATGAATCTGACCTGCTAATAGTTCCTTAATGCGGCCAAAAAAGATTTTTTTTTTATTCTGCAAGATGAGGTTTTGTTGACGCTATTGGCAAATAGAACTTACTAGGTCTGGAATCAACAAAGTTTCTGAGAAATTTTTTAATGAGTCGACCCTATGGATTGTATATTTTTTTCAGGTTAGATCATGAAGGAAGTTCAGAAAACCCATGACTCGTCCAGAAGTGAAATTAAACTAATCTGAACTTCCTTGTTGTAAAAGGTTTAGAAACCACCAGTTAATTTTTGTCAGTACCTGCTTCCCTTCACTTTAGTTTTGAATGTTATAGTATAAACGCTATTACACCAGCAGCACACATTCATACTAAAAACTTCTCTTTTTTCTCAAAACACCCACCGGCTTCTTGTTAACATGTCTGCTCCACTCAGGCGCCATGACGATGGGGGTGGGGTATGTCTCACCGAGGGACACTTGGGCGCGTGACAGTGCGGCAGTGCTGAGGGTCCAGGGTGTGTGCACATCTGCTCCCCTGATGCTCTGCAGCTCAGGGACCCACCGTCTCACATAGTCACCCTGAAGCAGCAACACAGGGAATCGTTGATTTACTCAATCAGTGACAAAGCTCTTCAAACACTTGTGCAAGTTTCATCAACATCTTGTGACAGCAGTGCTATCAAGAACTACAGAATGACTCTACAATTTTGCCAACAATGAAAAAAAGGCAGAAAAAAGATGTCACAATTTTTTCAGACATACGTTATTGTCGTAGTCAAGGCCTTGCTTAATCATGTTGAACTTCCTGTTCTCTCTGGGGTCATTTCCTATGCCAGCACTGTACAGCCAGTTGCCATAGTTGCTGCAGACATCGTGGTCAATCTTTAAAAGAGAGCAGACTATGATGAGATCAAAACAATCACCTATAAACAAAAATAAAAATCACTAAAGGGGCCAGAAAGATATCTTATTGTCATAACTGAAATAGTAACTTGCATGATTATGTCTTAAAAGTAGCACTTCACTGTATGAAAGTCATGCTGACACCTGGACTTTTCTGCTTACCAGAAGATACTCAAACCACTCAGCTCCCATCCTCCAGTCCAGGCCCAGGTCTTTTGTGAGGAAACTTGCAACGTTCTGCCGCCCCCTGTTGGACATGAAGCCTGTCATGGCCAGTTCTCTCATGTTGGCGTCCACAAAGGGTACTCCAGTTCGTCCTTCTGTAACAATAAATATCAAAGTTTATGTCACTAAAAACTCTCACTTTCAATATGGATTCACCTAGTAGAAGACTGGTGATTTCATTTGATCCAGCCAGCATATTTCCCCTGCTTCATGATTTAGTAAACTGTATTTAAAGTTCATTTTAACGTCTGACTTGCTGTCTGTGTTTGCATCTTGTTGTGATTTCCATCGATTTTGCTTTGTCTTGATGTATTTTATCTGGTCGTCCACTGAACTTTGAATTTCTTGAACCTTGAACACATCTCTCAAAGACAAACCCTGATATAAAATTAAGTAAATTTTAATGACAAAAAGGAATAAATAATGCAAACCTTTCCATGCATTGAAAAGCTTCATGTCCGTTTTCCATGGCACTGATTTGTCTTGAAGCCCTAGAGTAAAAATCCAGCCTGAGTTTACATTCATATGTAAAGTATGTAAGTTGTTTTGGAGTTGCAGTCTTGGAAATTCTTTACCTTCGATTTGAAACAGTCTGTTGCCAAATTTGACAGCCACAAGCTTGAAGTAATCTCTCCATAGAAGTTCAAAAATGACCCTGAAAGACACCAGAGAGGATAATCAGAAAGTCAACATATATTTCCTACAATAGAATATACATGACACTGCAAATATGATGGTTTAACCATTAAAAATCCACTTTAAAAACATTGTAGACATACAGAAAAAGCTACAGCAAGAGCATTCTAAATGTAATGTTAAAGTCTGATTCCAATCAAAGCATCAACCTTTTTTTGTGCATCACACATTTACTTTTACTAGTCCTGTTTAACTCCAGACTCACCAGTATGTGCTCTGATTGGCTGTTCGCTCCCTCTCATACTGCTGGATCTGATGATATATATACCTGGGTGAAATGCAACCCATCGCCAGCCTGCAGGTTTGCAAGTGGAGCAGCGTCAGTGATGTATTTATAGGAATGACTTACATAGAGCAATAAACTCTAGCAGGCAGTGAAATCAACAGTACAATAACACTCACCAGGGTGCAAATTTAGTGGAGTAATCCACACCGATCAAGCCATTACGAGTCTCCTTGTAAGTTGCAACTGCATCCTTGAGAACAAAACACATTCAGAATTTATAACACTCAGAGATTGAGTTTATTGCAATTATACTAACAGCTACTTCATATAAGTGGTGGATGTTGGACGTACAGTATCCCAGAAATAGTGTTTGAGTCTAGCCAGAGCCTGACTCTCACCGCCACTGCAGGGGAAGGCTGAGCGGGGATCATTCACAGGCTCTATGAGAAAATAACAAGAGCAGCAATTCAGCGTCAGACTCATTTCATACACATCAACTGCTCCCCAGTGCACATTTAGACACAGACAACCATAAAAGCTTAATCATATAGGTGGAAATCGCTGTGCCTGTTCTGCGGCACTTAATGAGGAAATCTGTGCTCAGCAGTTCGCCTTTTGAATTCTAAAATGCAAGCAATGTGGTTTGACTCAATAAAGGCGCTGCATAAAATGAGCATTTTATGCCTCCCATTTGCAAACAGCATGTAAAGACGCTTAACTGAAAAGCCAATCTGATAAGCACGTGGAATAATCACATAAAAATCATAGCATAGAAAGGATGTGTGTGATTTTATCTTGGTGTTACAAGAACAAAACAGAAAACTCAAAGATCTGATATCTGCACAAGATATATAAATCTGGATTTAACAGACTTTGATTTATTTAAAACAGAGGTGATAAAAACTAACACAGAAATTTGTGACCGGCTGTCACAATCTAACACCATTTATAGTTTTAAAACGTTTCAAAGACATTGCTGTTATTTTTGAGGTCCATGTTCAAACTGATCCACCAATCTACCCCACAAATTGTTGCACACTCACGCAGAGTGTCTTCAGGTTTCCTCGTTAACTTTGAAAACCCTCTCTGATTATTTTGTTTCTGAAAATAAGTTGGAGGGTCAGTTCTTGCTCTGTGTATAATCTGTGCTGTGTTAAACTCTACTAGATTCATAAATCTGAACTTCAAAACAGAGTGTTGGTGTATTAGCAGAACTCTGCATAATAAACAATACTGTTTTATAATATGCTAAATAGCTGTAGGGTCCTTTTAACCTTCACACAATAATTTTCGTTAGGCAGCATCGCTGATAAATGCACAGTAAGCAGGGATTTATGATTCAGAGCATGTGTTGTTTATTTTAGGACAGTAATATTTCTTGAAAGCTTGAACCCAATATTATCTAAGGTACAGTTTCTGACATGTCTTCTGGATTATTTACCTGTCTGTTGCAGGTCCTCAGCTGTAGGAATGGCTCCCTCATCCAGCCCCTGGGGGAGAGGCTTCAGCTGCTCAGGTGTGGGGAGCAAAGGTCTCACCCTGCTCTGGGTTTCTACTGCCTTTCTGAACTGTGTGTACACATCTGGCAGCCTAACAAATAAACAAAGAGGAAATATTTAAAAGACATTCAGAGTGCCAGAACAGAAATCAGGATATTAGAGAGAGTTTGGATGCTTAGTCGAGAGCTGGACATATCTTCTCTAACCTGGACATGTGAGGAAATGGCAGATCATCTCTGTGGTACAGCGTAGACCCCCAGCAGGTGTGAACTTTGACCTTCATCTGCGCACACACATCCTTCACTCGTTTTTCCACGTTCAGTTCCTCTGAAGTTACCTTAAAACAGAAATGCATGACAGCAACACTGTGTTTAAATTACAAGAAAAATGTACTCAGCGATAATTAAAACAAGACAAGACTACGTGAAGGTACCTCTTCCTGGAAAGCCACAGTGCTGACAGAGCCCAGCTGCTTGATGAGGTCAGCAACCACCACTTCTGGCTTACCCCGTCTCACCACCAGATTGCTGTCACACACACATACACAAATACACCACAAGTTCCGGTCAATTACATTAACATATCAGTATCACTCTGGTCCTAGAGAGCTTAGAGTGAGGTCTAAACCGAGCAGAACATAATAAAGAAGATCATAATCACTTCTCAACCGTGTTGAAAGAGTACTATTACAGAGATGAAGAGAGTGCCAGTGTAAATAAAGCAATATCTACATAAAGACCAGTGGTATACTGTAGGATCAGTTGAAACACAACAGCATTGTTACCTGCCCTTGTTCATCAAAGTGTTTCTGAGGTCTCTGATGCTCTCCAGTAAGAAGCGCAGCCGGAAAGGCCCGGTCTTTGGTAGGTTGTAGTTGTAAGTTCCCACATAATGCCTGGGGTCAAAGCAGTACAGTGGCACTACATACTCTGCATTTCTTTGAGCCCAGTGGAAAAGCTGCAAAAGACACAAAGTTTAAGTCACATAAAATCATCAAAACTCATTCCAATACATGATCATGACAGCCAAAACATAAACATATTTGATTTTGTGATGCTGTCCAAGTACTCTTGGACGGCATCCATCACCCACTCAATGACGTGCATATTCAGTGCTAGACTCATTCCCACTAAATGCACCACAGAGCGTCACAGGAAGATATTCATGCCTGTGGCCATCAAACTTTATTACATTTCCCTTTGAGAGTCATACACTCTGTCTGTCTCTGAAATTGATTCTCACATAGTGACTTACCACTACATGTAATGACATTCAACTGTGCAATCTGATTGTAAACTGGTTAAAAGTTAAATAATCTAAGAGCGCGATACTGACAATACATTGTTTGTTACGCCACACTGTACAATACTCTATTTTACTGTACAATCTTCTGCAATATCTTACAGTGCAAGACTACAAACTGGTGTTATACTTGACTCACTACTCTCCCTGCTTGTACATAGCTTAATTCTGAAACACACAGTGTGTTTTTAATTGCCTTTTTCCTAATAGTCTGTAATTTGAACTGACTGTTGTAATTTCTTGTTAAATCTAACTTCATTTGTTTAACAATTCTTCTATTCATATTCATATTTTCAAGCGCAAGTGTAATGACTGAATTTCCCCGGGACACATAAAATATTCTGATTTTAATGGATCTAAAACACTTAAAAAATACAAACACTTTAACATTAATAAAAGAAATCAGCTTGTGTTGAATACACTTTACCAGTGTCATATTTGAGTGACACAGAAAAGTTTTAGAGCATTATCTTCCTCTAATTTCAAAGTGAAAATTCGACCTTTATTTTGGTAAATGCGACCAGAAGTCGTGTGTAGGTCAAAAAGTTGAGCTGACAAACTCAAAGTTTGTAATACTTTTTCATAGCTCAAGGCTTACTAAATTTTAGACTAGATGAACCCTATGAAATTATTCGGACGTGAAATTCATGTTACAGCTTCCTTCGACAAATGTATGAAGTCTTGTCATGAGCCTATCGAAGCTTTTATTGTGAAGGTCCCATACCCGGATGTTTGACTACAGATCTTACTTGCAAACAGAAATAGCATGATAAGAGTCCAAAATAATTCCTAAAGACACTTTCTCTTTATTGCAGCGATATTACAGCAAATGGGTCACGTTGTGCAGTCATTCATGAAAAGATAATTCAATTGAGCATTTTACAGGCTTTATCAGCAACGTAACGTACAATACACGACTACATGGGCTCGTGACAAATCCACATTCTTACCTCGTTGTCGTGCAGTCGGAGGTCATTTCTCAGCAAACAAATGACTGTACGGGAGGTAGTCATGGTTTTGGTTTTCAGTAGTTCTGCAATAGTTGTTTAACAGAGAGTCAGGGCTCCCTAATCGGTGTCAGAGTGGCGTCTTCCCCGGTCTGCCTGTCCTTGTGTGCCTCCTGCGCTCACTGAGAGTCACGTTTCCAAACACGCCGTTACAAAACGTCAGGTTTTGTAACGTTGTTGTCTAACACCTAATTTGAGCAGCCAGAATTACTGCTTTTGCAGGTGGGGTTTCATTTATTCATTTATAGAGAGGCATACACAGTGACAACCTTCTGATGACTACTTCAATTTACTTGACGAAGTCACTTTTTGGATGCTGAACTTAACAAACCTCGCTTCTTCTCATTAACCCTAGAACACTATTTATTATTTTGGGTGATTTTTACCCGAAATAATATACCCAAGAAAAATTACTTGTCATCAAAATAGGGCAATACATGACAAATTAAAGTAGTTTTCTTTTATTTTTAACTGTGCAATGTCCAAAAGGAGGAAAAAAGCTTCATGAGGGGACCGAAAAATGCAACAAAATGACAGAAATTAGGCATTCATGAACACACACACACATATATACATATATATATATATATATATATTTATTTATTTTTATTTATTTATTTTTTTTGAGTGAGAAAAAGAGCAGCTGACTAAAATATTTCTTATCAGCATATGAATTCCCTGGAAAATCACTCCTTTATGACTGTAACCACTCGTAACCACTGCACTAAATAAAGATAGCATGCAAATTCCAGGACCACTGACCTTATTCGCCTACATGCAGCTATCAAATCCACCCAAACCTACTTATCCTCTATCACTATTGCTAGGTGAAAATCACCTGAACATGTACCTGTAGGAAAAAGCAGGTTTTGGATCAGGGAAACAAATATGCCTTCAAAGATGTCAAAGGCAATGCTGAAGCTACCCAGGGACCCATGATACTCAGACAAACACAACATGATGAAAATCACGTAAACATGTTTGGTCGGGTGAAAATGACCCAGCAATAGTCTTCTAGCCACCATCACATCACTGATATTATGGGTGAGCAGGGGAGCGTTTCAATAAAGAAGAACCTGACCCAAATATTGCCATTTTTATGAACTGTAAGTTTTAACAAGCTGAGTAAAAACTCTTAAATTTTAAAACTTAACAAATCAATTTTTTAATTAGTATATTTCAAGGTAAAAATCATTATCCAGAATTCACAATGTAAAAAAAAAACTGGACAATGTCACGTTGAAATAGCATGTTAACAATTTAATAATGGGCAAAAACAGATAGCGGTCCCTCTGGGTAAATAATATAAGCGAACACTACGGAAAACCCTTTTTTTTCCAACACAGATCTGGACCATAATTACAATACAACACACAAACAAATCACACAAACAGTCTTAGACCTTGGATTTATTTAAGTTAAATGTACAAAAGATCAATGACTTGATACATTTCATGTTTCAAGGCTTTGTCATTAAGACAAAACAAACTCTGTCCCAATCAAAAGCCTCCCAGCCTTTTCATACTGCCTGCCAGCTTTCAAAGAGACATTCAAACATAATCCTGTTGAAATCACAGTACATTCTACTTTATAACGTAGCTATTTCATCAAATAGATTTGTTTATAATGCAAAGAAATTCAATACAAAAGTGCAGAACAATATGTATTTACAGTATAATCTTTTTTTTTTTCATATAAAAGAAACAAATCCTGCATGTGCTCTCTACTGAACAGCTGCTTACTTTCTTGAAAGCTTTCTGCTTTGGCAGTGAACATTTGTGTGTAAAAGCAGATTCAGATAAGGCACTGACAAGGGTCAAAGACATTTGATCACTCCTTAGACGCCGCTGTATTACAGCTAGCAACTACACCTCCAACGTCAACCCACCTCTGACAAAGTCTCCGCTTTATTTTACAAAATACAGCATTTAGCTCCATCTTTCCAACTTGACATGAAGTCATGAAAGTATCTGGTGACCCTTTCTTATAGTGAAGGAAGCAAAGGAAAGGCATGGGGTGACTGGATTCACACTGAAGTTGCACAAAAACATAAATGAGACACTTACTTCAATCTTATAACGTCAATGCATCTGATTTGGTCTGTGCAGCGTACTGTGCACGAAGCTGCCATAACATAGAGAAGGCTATAGGGCTCTGAGGTGACTAACAATAGCACGTGACTAATACTGCACATCAACTTTAGCCTTAAGTTTTTATACGTTTCTGCAGCTTTTCTTTGGCCACTTCTGTTTTGTATTCTGTGGACCCGAGGCTCACTGCACGAGAAGCTGGAATGGATCACAGACTCCAACAATAATGTCGGTATTGCTTTAAAGACATTGCATGCTGATGCAAAAGTTTGGTCTTTTTTTTTTTTTTTTTAAGAAGAAACAACATAATTCTTGTGAAATTATATTAAAAAATGCTTCAAATAGAAAAATATCTCCTCAGTTGATTATCCTGCATGTCGGAAATGTGTCAATGCATGATATCAAAGTGCAATGTTGACATTCCTTCTAGATGGGCTTGTGAGTACTATAAAGGTCGGGTGATGCAACCCTCTGAAGATGTTTTAAAAAAAGACATTCTTACTTACAAACTCTTATTGTAAGGCGTTGACAAAAATACATTTACATTTTTTAGGCGTGGATAGAAAACTCATCCTCTAAGATGACTTTGTGTGTGTTTATTTTCTCTCATAGAAAAATATTTTACCATCTTTTTTTCACTCTCAGCTAACTCTAGCTGATGAGTAACATACAGTACTGTCAGATGTGATCAATGTCACCACTCGGTCAGGATTACATAGTGTCTGGCCAAACCAAGACACTGTTCTGTAGCAGAAAATGAGTGCAAGACCCAGTCTGCTTTCTTACTCTGGTCCCTTTTAAGGGCAGCCGTCTGCAGCCTGTGAGACTGCTAAGTGCTTTCTCGTCAGTCTCCTCCCTGTGATGCCTCAGAGGACTCTGCAGGTCTGACGGCGCTCGACTCGGCCTCTCTGGGGAACCAAGTTGAGCTAGATGGTGAGAGAAAGAGGGGTCCTGACAAGGCAGACACTGGTGATAGACAACAGGGCAGGAAGCTGGAGTGAGCCCTGGAGCCTGGTGACTTAGGGGAGGGGCCCTGGGGACAGGGTGGGCCGGAGAGGAGGGGAGGCGCTGAGGACTAGAGACCTGCGCAGGCAAAGGAGGGGGAGGGAGAGGGGGTTCACGGGCTTCAGAAGCAACCCTGGACAAATGGGTGGCTGAGCAAAATGTCTGCAGTGGGCCGCCACTTCTCCTCCACGAACACCTGCCGCAGGAAGTCCCTGCATGAATCGGACACACCCTCTGGAAGCAAGGGCTTTGTGGGCTGTGTGGCGATTTTGAAAATGGCAGCCATGGCCTCATACTCAGCCCATGGAGGTTTCTGGGTCAGCATCTCCACGACAGTGCAAGCAACACTCCTACAAAGAACACAGACGCAGAAAAGCATTTAGTTGAAATAATCTGCAATTTAATCTGAATGTCATCAAATATCAGCTATCAGTTAGGTTACATCTATGAACGTTGTCAGCCATCAAGGTGAGGGTTTTTCTATATCTGAAAGGCCTTAGTCAAAGTTGTGCTTTAGATCTTATAAAAGTCAAGAATGTTTTTTTTACAGAAAACTGTTATAAAAAATAAACTTAAAAATTACTAAGCTTTATCTGTTGAGAATTAGAAACAGTCTTTTGTATGTTGAAACAGGATCAACGCAATATCTCTAATGACAATGACAGTAGCACTTTTAGATCACGTGAAGCCTCCTGTACTTTGTTCGTCAAGTCTTAGATAACCTTATATTTAAGGCTAGCACCAACAGACGAATGTCTTAGCATGTGTGAAACGCAACACATCACTGCAATTTCAAGGACACAAAGGGAATCTTGAAGGAAAAAAAAATCAACCTGCTGCTTCATGAGTGCGCACAGTTGTTTGAAACCATCATGGTGAAAGTCAGGTAAGAATTATGAGGCAAATCACACATATTATCGTTTTTTTTTTTTTTTTCTTGCAAATTCCAGAGATTACAGTCATCCTGGGAGCAGTCATGAGAATGCAGACTCATGCATCCCGGAATATAAGCGATTGCATCATTACAATGATCGGTATCTCACAAAGATATTACTGGACCAAGCTAAAAAGGCAATAACAAGCAGCTACTACACAACAATGGCTTACACACTGGAACACCATAGCTGAACCACACTGTTGGTGGTACACATGCACAGTGATGGCAGCTACTGCAGAATTGCTGCATCTGCATGAGGAATTAAAAGAACTTAAATGTTCAATCTCGTTTAGTTTTTAGTTTTATTTTTATTTTTCAATGACTTTTATAAGATAATATTTTACTGGTAATCTCTGATTTGATCTGATTTTAAATACAGAATCAGTTTTCTACATCATTTTTGTAATATTTTACCCTTGGTAAGCAGAGCACTGACAGCATTGTTTTTGTATGAAAGGTGCCGTATGATGAAGCCATTTTTATGTTAAGTGCAAACAACAAAGAACATCGTAAAATAAAGTCACATTAGTGTGAGCACAAGTGCTGGTTAGGTTACTTTTTACTGCTCTATGCTTTTATTGTCTCTTCTGTTTGTCTACGGCTGTTTTGTATTGTTAACAAATGCGATGGTTCGCTCCCCTGGTTACATATACCTGCCTTGTCAGGTGGTATTTCTGACATCACTTCCTACAAATCTTTTCCTGTAAAATAACCTCAATGACCAAAACATTAGTCTAAATCAGAGATGCAGAAATATACCCATTTAACAAGTCAGAGTGTCACCACTTGTCTTATAAATTTGTTGCTCTTCTGTCCTTTGATTAGGTGACTTTATCGTTCTTCCTCCTGCAGTGTTTACTTTTTTCTTGCACTGTTGTCTCTACAACATTCTTATATCCTCTTTGGGCCTCATTACAGCCCCGTCTCATGTTATTCTTACCAAACATCAGCTTTGCGGCCATAGCCCTCCCCGTTTATAACTTCAGGACTCATCCAGTAGGGGGTGCCAGTGACAGACTTGATTCCAGTACCAGACATGCAGATGGTCTGGATACGTTTGCTGGCTCCAAAGTCTCCCAGCTTCACGTTCCCTGATGAGTCTCTCAGGATGTTAGCACCTGGTGGAATGAAAACAAAAAATGAGCTCAGAGTTATTCGAGGGTCTCCTGAGGACTGACGGCATCCTTCATTTCATGTACCGTTACAGTGTGGTTAGGAAAGCGCCTGGGCCAGCAAGCAAACATCAGGGGTAAGGTTCATTTGCCTTGTATTTGACTAGACTGGGATGATGGAAAAGATTGAAGGTTTACGTCTAAAATTGGGGAATGCCTCACTGGATCATTCAAATCAGAAAATAAAACGTTGAATCAGCCCTCTCCTCCTCAGAGACGGAACCTCAACACCCTCTCTTTTCTCTCTTTAGTAATTTTCCGACATTTAGCTGTGTCTATCCCATTTCCTCCAGGCACTCCACTTGTTTGATCAGTGACTAATGTACACCACTCGCCTCTCAATCTCCACACCCACTGAAAAACGGAGGGCTGCAGGGAAGAGATTGAAAGACTTAAGTGTGACCTTTACTCTTAACTTCTTTATTTCTTCAATGCCTTTCTCTTGCCTGTACACTTTTGTGAGGATATGAAAGGCCAATAAATCATTTTAACCCCATTTAAGACTCCCAGGGACATAAAATTCACAGACACTTTCTAACTTAATGTCATGACTGTTATGCCTAGTTGTATCTAAAACCGGCATGTGCTGACAGCTCCTTTTACTCTCTACAGAAGAGCTCTTGTGTGGTGTCATGAACACACACTGTATATAACACATGAAGAGCATTTTTAAGTGGAAAATCCCACCCACGTGTTCCCTCACTGCCAGTGTCCGGTGAGACCTACTATCTTTTTCCCCACCAGACGGTACATTTCCCACTTCTTGGCCCGTGGCTGAGCAAAGTAGTGACTCCCAAAGCAGCGGGCAGCCAAACTAAAGCCTTTCCATCCGGTGTTGGACATTTTTAGCCCGGACGATTTCACCGGCATGAAGCCTAATATATCTCAGAGGGGAGTTCAAAATAGCACATTTTTCCAGGCTTCTTCTGTACACGGCAAATGAGGAAATGTCAAGTGAAATGAAATGAATGGATCTGTGGTGTTCTCAGCAACAATTGCTACAAAATGAACCGTAAAGAACCGTTTTTAACTCTGACAGCTACCTCTGTGTCTCCAAGTCTGGGTTACAAATCCAATTAAACTCCGTCCCTGACCTTTGCCAGCTTGATGTTTCAGTTACCTTTGATGTCTCTGTGTACAATCATGTTGCTGTGCAGGTAGGAGACTCCTTGGAGAATCTGTCTGCTGTATCTCCGTGTCACCTTCTCTGTTAGGGCCCCGTAGGCTTTTAGCTGGTCCTTTATAGAGCCCTGGAGTGATATAAAAACAGAGAGGCTTAGGAGGATGATGCCACAAAAATGGTTGGTGCATCTTTGATTGTTGTGTTGGATGAAGTACTGGCTTATGTTTTCGCCATAGTTATAGGAGCAACCCATCAAACGTAAAAATACAATACTGGACACAACAGGATACTATAGGAAACAGTGTAATACAATAAGATTATGATACAACACAATGCAGGGCGTTGTAGTGCAAAAGTGCCCAGTATGATACGATACACAATACATGTTATCTGATATTATAAAATACAGAATTATATGGTAGCATATGATACAATGCAGTGTCTTGAGATACAATCTTAAACAGTACCATCAAATGAAATTGTACAGGGTGCAATAAATGATGCAGTACAATCCAATACAGAATGACAGCTATGATATTGTATGATATAAAACAATACGTTATGTTACCATACGTTGATTACACATCGCTATCACAGAGGGACCAGATTTGTTAAGATTGGGTTTAATTCCTGTTCAATTACATTTTACATGTTAGACCTTGAGAGTTCAAAATTAAATATTAAAAATTTACTTCTTCAATCCTGTAAACAAATACTTTGTAGTTTCATGACTCAACACAAGTCTTAGGACAAATAGAACAAACTATGTTCACACTGTTAACAAATTTTAGCTCTGCAGGGCTGCATATGAAGAAGGTAAAATCTTATTTTAAAAAATTATCATTGTTGTCATGGCAACTTCAAAAAAGCTCCTTTCCAACACTTGCAGGAAATGTAATTTCTGAGTCATGCTTTTCAAATCGGCAAATTTCTATGCGAGCTATATGAGCAAACGCGATGGTGTGCAACATGCCGTAACCAGTGGTCACAAGAGAAAACAAATGTGTTCAAAAGACCTGCAAGTTTCTTCAGACTATATTGGAAACAGTCTACCAAACTTGCTTCACATCCTGCTCAGTAAACAGGCCTCTCTCTAAAGCATGACAAGTGCCCATATTGCAATTTATGAGAATAAGCTGCATGATACAACAGCAGGGCAGATCAAGGGAGCACCGATTTCTATCCTAAAGATAATATCACAGCTCATTAAAATGAGGCACAATATGTTAAGAAAGACCGTAAAAAGGCTTGTTTTGGCTGAAGGGATGTCAAATGAGTGGGTTTGCCATTCAGAATTTGCCTTTGAAGGATATGAAAAGTCAATCTTTAAAGTTTCATTGTCTGATAAAACAATGGTTTAAGAAAAAGTGACTGCAGGCTTGCAATAATACATCCAGCTGAAGTGGATTTATTTGGTTTTATTGTAAAAACAGCCTCTCAGCCAATTTTTAAGCGTCAAAACCAAGTATGAAAACAGGCTTTGTGCTGAGCGATATGTGCTCCATTAGTAGACCCAATGCTTTCAACGTCCTGCATTTCCTTTCATTTCCTGTTTTCAGTTCCTCAAGAGCAAAAGACCCGATCCAGCAACACCTGTGACGCACTTTTTACTCAAAAAGTGAAAACAAAACCACTCTCTGTTCACTTATGCCTGTCAACAAGACACCTCTACAGCTTTTTGGCTCTCAGAGGGACACTTGGCCTTAAACCACACCACCCGAGGGCGACTTAAGTGTTATCAGCCTCAGCGGTGCAGTCGTGCAGAGAGGTCACACACCAACTCAGATTTTGTCACCTCCCCTTGTGCTGCTGCCAGCAAACCCCACCGTAAGATAAACATTTCCAAGTTGAGGACAATGTAGGACTGAGGCGCTCACCACCGAGCAGAATAAAAAAAGAAACGAAGGAAATATTAAAAGCAGGCGCAGTGACGGGGTCCAGAGGCGACAGCAGCTCATTAAGACGCTCATTTAGAGAGAAAATGATCTCATAAACTGAGCAGATCTGCTGACATCAACCACAGAGGACATGTTTGTTGACGGCCGGTGACGTTTCAAGATTGTTTCTAAGCAGATGTGGCTGCTAAGGGTTTGATTTAATTTTTGTTGTGAAATGTGTATTACAGTCAAAACAACAATATGACTTTCTCAGACATCATTCATTAGGACAACTGCCATGCTGGCGTGCCTCATGTACACTCAGCTCTGTAGAATACGCACCCCAGGCATAAACTCCACAAAGATGGTGAGTTTCTTCTGCTCCAGATCCCGGAGACTACCATAGTACTGAACTATCCTCTCATGGCGTAGATTCTTCAGCAGCTGGATCTCACACTCCAGAGCGTTCACCTCCTGCAGAAAATTAAGTTTTGAATCAAGAAAAGTTCAATTTAAAGTCAGAGTCTGGAAACAATAAATCACTGCCCTTGAATAATCCAGTTCGAGTTAATATGCTCCTTCTCACCTTGCTTGTGTCTTGACAATCAGGGTCAAAGGGCACCTGCTTGGCAGCCAGCTCCCGGCCTGTGTCTGCGTCATAACAGAGGTAGACCTCCCCGAACGCCCCGCGCCCCAGGAGCTTTCCTTGTCGCCAGTTGACTGGCGCCCGTGGTGCTGCAGAAACAAGACACCACGTGATGAAAAGCCAGCAGTAATTCATTTTGTAGCCGAGCCCCCAGAGACAGACAGATCCACTGTGATATACTGATTCAAGCAAACACTGAGCACTGAGGCATGTGTCAAAATCCACCACAGAATCCCACTCTAACTCGTGAGGAAAATTTAACGATTCCAGACGTCAAATCCACCGCAGGGTTGTTAAATATCTCCCACCGCAGACCCTCTCAGAAGGGGAAAGCCCTGATATCTGAGTCAAACCACGCTCAGCCGACAGAGAGTCGACAAAACCTAAAGAGAGCATCATAACAGCACCAACCCTCAGAGGCTCAGACAGACTCAGAGACTTCTCTGTGGTCAGGTTAGACAGCGTGGTTGAGTGTGGGTGAGTTTGGTCGTGTGTGGGTGAGCGGGACATCAGAGACAGACACAGAGACCACAGACTGCTGAGTGAGCTTTTGTTTAGCGACAATAGCAATTTCTGTATATGTAAACTGTGGGTTGACTAATGATAGATAAGACTGTGATAAGATGATGAGAGGAAAACTCTGTGAGCTGTGAACTGAGTTTTTACTGAATTTTATCTTTGATAACGTTTGATGGTCTGAATAGAATAAGATGAAGACAAAGAAAACAGCTTTTGATTATCGTCCATATATGAAGAAAAACCACATTCAAAAATAATAATGAAGTCATAATTCACATAAAAAAATCCTCAGTCTTGACACTGACAATCTTTTTTGTTTTTGGATATCGTAAAAGGGCATCAGTCTATTTATGAAAGCTGAAAAAACTCCTTTCAGGAGCTTTAAGTTTCACTAGTATACACAAATATATGACTTTTTTCTCATAAAAAATAATGTGTTGGGTTCACATTATTAATAGTAGCATTTTTTATTTTTATTTGTATTTTTTTTTGCTTTGATTATTGTTATTGTTGTTTTGAATATTCTCATTGGTTGTGTTTGTTTTCAGTTAACTTTCTTGTGTTGCACACACATGTAAAAAAATGAATAAATGAAATGAAAGAAACACACACTTTATTCTCATCAAACCTGACTTTAATCTCTAAATCTCTTCTTTTTTATTAAAGTGGCTCAAATAATCCATCAGGGTTGACATGTCAGAAGGTAACCTGAGTTTAAGTACTCATTAAAACACCTTTAGCGATGTTGAGTAGCTTCTGATTCACAAAAGATAACAAAGCACTTTATCAAGCACTGAAGCCTAAATGAAAGACTGACTTTTATTAAAAAAAAAACTTTGACTAATAATGGAGGAACAATTTTAGAACATTGCTTTTCAAAGCTAGCTATTATTTATTTATCTCATAATCAAAGAAAAAAAAACAGCAGATATGACCTTTAGAAATTCAGTTTACACAAAGCTGTGGGATTTTTTTTTCTTTTACGTTTTTTTTTTAAACAACTTTTGAGATCTTAGGCACACTACTTACACTTGGACGTCCCACGCTGGCAGCTTTTGTCTGTGCGTCCCAGTGAGCGCAGCTCGCTGTACTGCAGCGTACTGTCTCCATTATAACTGCGTGTGCGACTGGAAGGAACCAGCTGAAACAGGTTCTCCTGTGGCATGAAGCTGCGCGGAAGTGTCCTACGACCTGAAAACACACATATTAAGAGAAAGCGACGTATTAATGACTTTGCACACTCAGGCCACTGCCTCTATTGTTTGTCCTGTGTGTGATTTTCACACTGTTTTTATTCTACAGGTGCTGTGCTTAAAGTGAGCTCTGAGGGCCAGCCAGAGCAGAGTGCCTCTCGCCACTCCATCCCACTTCCCTTCAGACAGGAAGCAGGGCGCTGTGTTTTTATACAAGTTCGGGTTCACCACAGGGAAACGTAAATCACTGCTAGCCAAGGTTAGCCTCTGAGTAAGCAATTACTAGCAGCTGCCTTGGATGGAGAGCCAGAACTTCGTGTACCAAATCTACCCAGAGAGCCAAAAAAAAAATGTTCAAGACATGGAGAGGATTTCAAAATAAGTGAATTCTGCACCGATTCAAACAAATCTGATCAGATGGGAGAGTCTGGTAGAGGCATGTGTCTGTATTGTCTTGCATTTGTGTTCAAACTGTGCAATAAAAGTGTTGTAATTGCTGCTTGAGCAAAGCTGGTTTCTTACGGTCGCCGTAATCTTTGCTGCGATTGGGCAACTGGAACTGGCGTGGGAAAGTCCCTCCTTTTCCATGGCGGCCTGCAGAGAGAGAAAACAAGTCAGCAAGTAAATGAATGAGCCGCATATTTGAACTTGATTGTGTTTTACTGTCAGAGTCAACAATACGGGTTAACTGCTTGGAGCTTGTCAGAAACACAAACATAACGAGGATGAGAGTTTTAAATGATCACATCTGACAGATCCAACACTCTCGTGCTCTTTTCTGCATGTCAGATGAAGAGCAGTGGGATGGAAGACAGCTTTTCACACGCCGAACAGAGCTGTTATATCGCCTCGCTGCAGCCAAGACAGACAAACTCAGAACAGCTCATGTGTGCTAGCTTAGCCTTTTAGCTCTGAACCCAGTGGAGCAGTAACTAAAGGCAGGTGGGGAGCACTGCTGACGCAGGCGAGCACTGACACTCACTCTCCCTCTGTCTCGCTCATACGCACACACACACTGAACAGAGTACAGCCGAGCCACTCGCAATTGAAAGCAGCTGTTCCGTCAGATGACTGCCTCCCCTCACGCTGTTTTTTTGTGGCCGTATCCCATGGAGACGGGAGTTATTTTTTGTGTTTGGCAGTGCGGGATGGAGAGGAAAAATCTACTCACAGGGAATGGTAAACAAATACTGTAGCCCTCAGCAGGAAGGGGCCACACAGCTTTACATCAGGGAGGGGAGAGCGTGCACATGCACGTGCAAGCATGCATGCCCAAGTGAGAGCTCCAGAGCTGCTGCAGTTATATGAAGCTCCCACAATCCCTGTATGTGTATACATTGTGCAGCACTCCTAATTTACTGCATGGGAGGTGGGAGCAGGAGAGAAAAAGACAGCCAGATTGCTGTGTTTCCTCTCTTCATGAGGATAAGTGTGGTACTATCTGTCATCCTGCTCCATCTGATCTACGTTTACAGGGAAGAGGGACAGACAGGGAGCCAAGGGACACAGACGAGTAAGGGGGGGGATGGCATCAAGAACAAGGAAATGATCATAAAAAGACAGGAAGGACCAATGTCTTTTAGGAACTGAAGTCTGAAAAAAAACGCAGACAAAAAGAGATGACAGAGTGAGAGACAGAGACAGACAAAGGTTGCACAGTGGAGAGTGTGTGGGAGATAAAACAGGAAGAGTTACGATGCTATCACACTGCCTTCGTCGCCTCCTGAGATAAAAAATCAAAACAAAGATCTTTCATATCTTCACAGTAACCCATTCCTCAATTTAAGTATTTACTCCCATCATAGAATATCGTCTCCCTTGGGGAATATTTGAGCTTACAGGGAGTTAAATGAGCAAAGCTGTTTTTATTCGGGGACTCTACTCGTGAGGTTGTAATTACCACGCAAGAAGAAAAAGAAAGTCAGAACAGACAAAACTTTCTAATAATGAACACGCTTAAAGCACCTCTTTATCTCTCTGCAAAGTGTTTGAGCCGAGAGTTTACAACAAAGCTTTCAGAAATGCAGCAGATTCTTCCTCTCTCTTACCTTTGTATTCAAAGTTGAGGTTCAGGTAATTATTGTCCCGGTTGTTCTGCGAGAAAGGAGGGCTGGAATGACAGGAGAACAGAGAGAGAGGGGAGTTGAAAAAGGTTTGCTATTTCATCGGGTAATTTCTTCCTTATCTTCAGAGAGAAGTCTGGCTACAGCTGCTGATGTGAAACTCCAGATGTAAAGCAGCACAAAACACTTCAAATGACGATCGGCTTTCGGGCAGGATTCATTTTAAACAAAACGCAGAGACAGATAATATACACAGGATGTTAGGCGCTTCTCTGCATAACGGATGAGAGGAGAATATTAAGTTAGTGGTGTAAATATTATAGGATCCAACTCTTTGCAACACTAAACAAGAGCTTACAGAATGTTTTTTAAAAGTGCATGGTTTATGATCAGAATATCATTAAACACAATAAGATGTGATATGCTACAATCTGATATAGTTAACCCTTTAATGCCTGAAACCACAAATTACAGCCAAAAAATCAATTTTTTTGGAGCTGAATGTTTATTTCACTTACTACTGAAAACCAAAAAAAATCAATATGTCCTTAAAAATTTAACAAATATATTTATTTTTCTTGTTTGATACATTACATGTTTTTGGAAACTGATAAGCCACAAGAGGACATTTTTATCATTTATCAGACTGTATTTAGATGTTTAGTAATTAATTGATCATATTGATTTGATAGAAGTATCATGAAGGTAAGTATCAAATATGACACAAAAGGCATTAAAGGGTTAAGTTCAATAGGATATGACACAGTATGGGACGCTATCATAATGTTGAAGCTATGACAAATTACAATGCAGTACGATCAAGTATGTCGGAATAGGATACAATCTATGAATCATTACGAGACAATAGATGACAACACAATTTGCCTGATATGTCATGATATCAAATTGTGTGATAAATGTCATTATCCACACAGTCATTTGTGATAAGACCTCTACAGAAGCACGAATGAGTAAACTGAACCAACGACAGTAATCACATATGAACTGTTAATAAAGTGAGGCCCCTGTTGTTATATGTTGGTGTAAATCCAGCCATCCACCCCCCCAGCTGTCTGTAAATCAACCCTGCCCCGCCAGTCCAACAGAGTGACGTCTCTGCTGACCGCAGGGCGGCGTGGGGCCACGAGACCCTGGATAAGGGGCACGCATGCCCGCTCGGAGGGAAAAGTTCCATGCACTCGTTTCCTGCCATTGTTCTGCAGCTTGGAGCCCAGATAAGCCTCGTGCAGGTAGAGCTGTTTCCGTTCTGCTCCCTCTCTCTCTCTCTCGCTCTCTCCCTTTCTCTCCCTCTCTCTCTCTCAATCTGACTCTTGCTCACTTTCTTTTCCCCTTGAATCACATTCAGTCTTTTCCTTCTCCACCCTCTTCAACTCCCCCTCGCCTTCACTCTCACTCTTTCACCACTTTTCATTTTTCTGGCTCTATTTTTCCTCTCATGCAGCATGTTCTTGCTCACACTTTTTTTACGTCTCCCACTCAGTCTCTGTTAGTCTCTCTCATGATAACAGAGGAATCCAAGCGTCCAGATAAGAGTTTTGTCACCATGGCAACAGCAAAGTGACCTGATTCTTTTTTTTTCTGAATAGGCAGTAGAGTGGGAAGGGTCAGGGATAGCTGCCAACCTTGAACACTTGTTTAAGAAACTTCACCAAGCGCCTTTGCTAGCTCCAGTATGCATGACTGTACAACACAGGGTTGGATCCATGTGTTAACATCATGATATGAAGCAGCAACTATAAATAACTCTGCTCTGCTCCGCAAATGTTTACATCATAAATATTTATCCGCACAGACAAGGGTCATAAATCACACACTGCATGATGACTCACCTGTCCAGTGCTTGATCTATTGATTGACAGCTGCTCGACAGTGAGTTGTCTGCGCTCCCGAAAGGATCCAACATCTGACAGATGTAATAACACAGAGAGAAAGAGGGTCACTGAGTACGCAGCCATGTGGGACAGAATATAAAGCAGCGCAGATAGAGTGGTGTCTTTAACGGCACTGTCAAGGAATATTTTGAGAGGATAAGTGCTGCTCTTCTTACAAAGGTCTCTTTATAATCTCAATACAAATTATATTTGTCAAAACTTGGACGTAAAAATCACACTGCCCTGTGAGAGTCCTGGTTTTAAGAAAAACAATCAGAAGACTAAATTATAGTGTTTAAAGTTTAGCAGCTGGGTGACAACAAAGCAGTGGTTTTCTGCAAACGAGTCTCAGAGATAGATGGGTTCACTCTTACATTCTGGTCATGGGTCTCGGGGATAAACTCCCCTTCACTGTGGATGCTGGTGTAGGAGCCCTGGCGGGCAATCTGTTGCTGTTCCTCAGGTACGCTGCCAGGAGGAGGTGATGTCCGACCTGTATGCAGGGAACCTATGACAGTTTAAGAAGAAGTGGAGCAATGGGAAAGCAGAGATGATGATTTAAGTAGAAAAAAGGATGAGAAAGGTAAATTATGTGAAAAAAAAGCAGAAAAAAGAGTGAAGGGAACAGAGCAGGAAGATGATAAAGAGACAAAAGCAAAGGGGCAGAGGGGAGAAAACAGCGTCATGATGTTATTCATGGGTACAAGTTCAACTGTGCTAGAATACAAGAAATGATTTACTAAAGCACACAGCCGCCACCTCTAACCTCAATTACTGTGACAAACGCTCCCCCGAGCAGCGGCAGAGACTGAGCGCTCGTCCTTGACACAGTAAGAACTCAAAGTCTGACTGTCACTGACTGAATACTGAAAAAATGCGCTGAGGCCGAGAGGTGCTGTGATGTATAGAAATAATCAAATATGAAAGTAAACAGTCTGGTTTCTAAATCCACTCCCTTTTCTTGACTTCACTTTCTAACTGCCTCTCTCCATCTTTCTCCTCCGCCGCGCGTCATGGAGGTACCCGGGCTCATATCACATCTTCACTCAACCATCCACTGTGACCGCTCTCCTGTCACCTCTCATCTGCCACCACTCCCCTCTCTCTCTCTCTCCCCTCAGCCTCTCTGACTGGCAGCTGCAGGGGAATCCAGAGAGAGGCGGGTAATTCTATACAGTTTATAAGCCCCACGATCATGACAGCGCTGATGTTATTGGGGCTACGTGACACAGATTGGCGTTGACAGCTATCAAAAAGCACTTCAGCTGCTGTGGGAAAAATGTAAATGGGATGGAGAGGTGGTGAGCGTTGGTCGTTTCAGCATGTGTCTGGGGTTGAGGGACTACTGAAACAGTGACCTTTCTGGACAGGACTGATATAAGGGTGGTGAAAAGACTCAGACATGGCAGGCAGGGGAGAGCTCAGTATTTCACAGAGCAAAATAAACCTTCACGCTGTGTTACCAAACAAGTCAGGGGGGACGGCAGAGCCGGTCTTTGCCGTGTTATCCAGCGAAAGAGCATGACACGACAAGAATAGGGTCTTAAAGGAATCTATCTGTCGGCAGGAAAATAAACATACTTTTGTCAAACTGTGCCTTGAACGCGCGAGAATGAATGCTATAACAGCGGCAAGCTAAGTAAGCAAACCACATACTAGAAAATAACAAATCTAGCTAACTTTTTCTGTCCTTTTAACCTTCAATTTGTACAAAAGTTGTAAAACTCCTCTCATCCCACTCTTGGCAAGAATACTAAGAATACACATATGTTTAACTGCACTTGTAATATCCAAGAATTTGCCCTTTGAGAGAAGCATCTTCAGATTCAAAGTGAGAACTGCTTACTTTTCAAGGTGAAGATGCAGACAAGGAGCTGTTTGGTATGTGAGAGGAAACTTGTCCTTACTTTGACCGGACATCTCACTGGTTGTTAAAGTTGTCACTTTCTCCTTCAATCTGCATTTTTCCGTTCTGACAAAGCACGTCCCTCATCTAGCTATTAACATTCCTACGACAGCAGCATCACTCTGCGTTGTAAATTTACTCCGACAGCCCACCCTTGAGGCCCTCGCAGGTGGGAAACAAATCTTACATCAGCATTTTGTGGTTGTAGCTCTGTCTGTTTGCTTTTCTGGACTCTCTTAGATACTAAAACTGAGAAAAGAGAACTTCTTCAAAGCTCCCGGTCAAGCTTTCACAGTCTTTGATTGCAAAGATGAATGAGCATTTGTGTGTCTTTAACTGTGCCAGCTCACCTGTTGAGTGTTTGCGCACCCTCTCCGAGCCCTTCAGCAGGGAGCCCTTGAGATCTCCCAGTGACCGCGATGACTTCATCTCGCTCTGTTTGTCCCTGCTGTTCACCTGTAGGTACTACAAACAGAAAAGCAATACTTCCTTTAAGCGGCAGAGTTCAGAAGATTAAAGATTTTGCTGCTAAAAATGTCTTTTATGACCAGTTTTATTTGTCAAGAACCTACATGGTTATTCTTGGGGGTCTTAAGCAGTATCCTGAGCAGCCCGTTGGTCCCTGTGCTGCAGCCCAACGTCAGCACCGCCTGATCCAGGTCCTCTTGGGTCTTCATGGGCAGCAGCAGCTTAAAGGACAAGAAAACATACAACACATGACCTTTAAATTGCCTATTATACCATAGTGGCGCCATGTTAAAGCATCGGTGTATGCATGACATGCTGTGATTTTCTTATTTACATGTAGGCCTCATTAATCTTTATTACTTTTCAAGGACAAACACAAAAACTCTGTTTTCTAAGTTCCTCTGATTACAGAGCACTGAGGAAATTTTTAATTACATGCATAAGTATTTCTTCATTCCATATTTTGTCATGTAACACACCCAAACTATAATGATTATATTTTAGGAGTAGTTCATAGTTTGTCAATCACAGCTCTTTTTTCATGAATCGCACTGTAAAAACTCTAAAAAAAAGTCTACACCAACTCCCTAAAATTTGGACCGGGTTACAGAGGTTTGTATATTTTGCAAGCCTGGAGTTTTACATCATGCCCACTTGTCGTCCTTATACCTCTTTTTCCATGAAGTACATGTCCATCTGCTGTCCAAAGGCCTCTGTCACCTTCTGCAGCAGCTCCTTGATCTTAAGCGGCCTCTGGAACGGGATGATTCTGAGAGGGAAAAACGTGCAGCACGGTCAGAGATTGGCGTTTAGTTTCATCGTGTTTGGTTTACATCAGCTCAGACTTTTACGCACACACCGGAGTTGGAGTTGAAATAAGCATCTGAATGACCGCTTTACCTGCTGAAGGCTCTGCATTTTATTTCACGTTTTTCACAATCTTCACGGCTTTACTGTTCTCTTACATAAGCATGGTTTGAAAAATCTTTCTAGGGAAATATTTGACAGCGTTTCTATGGTAACAAGAGGGAAAAATGGACAGGTCAGCTGGGTCAAGGTGACGAGCAAGCTGGTGCGAGAGGGGCATTCATCAATTCCCTGATAACAGACAGTGTCAGTTTATACATATATGAATGTCTCATCTACTGTACGCCTACGTGCACACTCAGAGCTTATCAGCAAGTGTTTGTAGCCAGTGTATATAAAAAATGCGTGCGTGTTTGTAAAACTCTACATGCATGAGTGTGCTTCCCAATCAGTGTGTGCATCGGCCACTGTTTCAACACCACTGGGCCTCTCCACTAAGCCAGCACAAAGGCAGATGGGAAACTTCCTGGGAGGAAAGAGAGGAGGGGGAGAGAAAATTCTGGAGCGGCAGCAAAAGCAGCAGGATGTGTGTCTTTCCCTCCTCTTTTAAAGAGTGACAGAGTGAAAGATACAGAGACGCAGAGATATTTACAGACTTGTAAGAGAGAAAATAAAAGAGACAGCCTAACATAATAAAAGAGAAAAAAAGAAAGAGATTCCCTTCGACATTTTCTTCTGCTTTCTCTTGCTTTCTATCTTTCTGCCCTTGCTCTCTGCTTTTGAAGAATCCGCAGCCCACTATCTCTTTATAGTACCCTGATAAAAGGACTTGTTTTCATCCCATCATTTCCTCATCAGAGGCCAAAGCTCTGCCTATCTTAATGACTGCTCATTGGTTCCCTCATTTGAGGAGAGGATTCTGGGAATAGGGAGGCTTGCAGATCAGAGGCGAGCAGCAGCGGAGCTAAACGCTCCACATCTCTGTTTATACTCGTCGATGATGTGTCTGATAAAGAGCTGGAGGGATGTGGAGAGGGGGCCAAAAGGGGGGAGGGGGGGTTTGAGGATGCTGCTCCAAAAGATATGGCCTTCCTTCCTCTGTGCGAGCATGTGGACACACAGATTTGCAGAGTAAAAAGAATGCTTTCACACATCCCGGCACACACTCTCTTTCTCTCTTTCCCTTTTCTCTCATGGACACAATCACAACCAAATACACAGGGAAAAAAAAAACGTCTGGCTCTGTTCCTTTACTCTCTCTGGCAGGAGACCCTGAAGCAGAGCTGGGGGGGGGTAGAGAAAGAGACACAGCTCCGATTTCCTGCCCCGAACCTTCAGCGCTTGCCAATGAAAAGAAGGACAGTCCAATTACTTTCCATTGTGGACAGACAACACGGTTATCCTGACTCAGGGACTCCTCATACCTCGAGTACTGTCGCTGCTGATCACATATCATCTGTAATTTACTCAACTCCATTGTGTAACACTCTTACTTGAAATACTATATGATTTATTTTTTCATAAAAAGTTCCTAAGAGTTTATCCATTTATCAAAGATAAAGGCAGCGTTTCTGATTTCATTTCAAAGTTATTACCACTGAGTCATGACTGCCTTCGTATTCAGGTCCATCCTTTTACTGAAACTGAGCTTGGAACAGTTTAGCTGCTTTTTATCGCAGTTTCATGAGAAACTCATTAGATTAACCCATGTTTTTATGATAAATAAGACACATTGCCCATAAAGACTCAACTGAGGAGATAAGACAAGACTCAGAGAGTTATTTTCAAATGTGTTTCAGATCAGGTTATGTCCTTCGACCACCACATTCAACAAATTTCCAGAATAGCCTTCTTTCACCTTCACAAAATCACAAGAATAAGAAGTATCCTCCCTTCAGATATTAGGACTCTCTCCTTTGTAGACATCTATCAGTCAGGGTGGTAGACACCCGCTCTACTTTTCAGTCGGCTTAAAACTTTTCTTTTTGACAAAGCTTTAAGTCAGGGCTGGCTCAGACTTGGACCATGAGCTTAGACTCTTGAGGGGATGAGCACATTGAACTCTTGTCTTTCCCTCTCTCTCCTTTATCTGTCCGCACATTACCAACTTTAACTTTCAATCTTTGAGTCCCACTAAAGTTACTAACTAACGTGAGTCGTCACTACAAACAGGCTGCTGCTGGGGTTGTGCCTCTCTCCATATGCTGAATTTATTGATATCACTCTCACCATGACTGTCACTGTTATGCTAACTGTTCATTTTTCTCCTGCCAACTCTACCAACGCCCAGGAAAATAGCTAGCTTTTCAGCCGCTACAATGTGTTCACCAGCTCGTTGCTAATGTTCTTTGAAACTGGGGACAAACTTGGTTACCTCTTAGACTTTTTTTTGGCTGAAGATAGCATCCTGCTTTAGAAACAGTGAGAGTGCATAAAAAACCGTAAATCACGGCACCAGAAAGCTGAAACAATCAGATGCAAGATACCAAAACAATCCCTAGCGCTAATGTGACTCAGCGCTAGCATAACATGTTTATCAGCGCAGCTTTATCTAAATAAATTAATATGTTACTCACACTGATGCTACAATAAGGTATTATTTTATCCCTAAGGGGAACAAACTTAGGATATCCTACCGATTTCCAACACAGGATCTAAATCAGCGTGAAGTCAAAGCTTGGGCAGTATAACATGGAAATAGCGCGCTAACAACAGGACAGCGAAAAGTGAGAGGAAAGGAGGAGTGTGAATTCTGAGTGAATAAAAAGTGACTGTCAGTTCTGGGAAAGCAGTGCAGTGTGAGGAGAGCTCACGAGAAAGCAAAGAGGACAATAAGGAGACAGAGAAACAGAGGGAGGCAGAAACTCAAAGAGACAGGAACATGAAAAACGTGTCTCTTCTTCAGTTGTAGTTGCCAATTAGGGCTGTGAAAATGTGGAGAGGCCCGACGTGAGACCATATTCTGCAGGAGGAAGGTGCTGCTTCCCCTTTCCTTCTCACTCCTTCTAATCAAAGCCTCACTGAACCAACGTCTGGACCATGTTCGGATGAATCAATGCAATTATTCTAGTACGTTCTGGTCAGTCTGCCTCTGATGACTTTTTTTTTCCGCTGGAACAGTACACTCCTGTTTGTCATTCCCCCCCTAAGTGGTTGTTGGGCTGTTTCATAGGGACAAAGTCTGCCTGTGAACTTGAACCTCTCCCAGGATGCAAAGCCAAAGGACAAGGACTTGGGAGGACTCACACAGCGTCCATACAAGGAACGACAATCCACACCAAATAAAGCCTCTCATGCTCAAAGGAGCTGTTATTCCTCCTGTGGTCTTAGCTTTCATAGTGCTCCAACCTGGTAACCAAACTGTGAGGCACCTTGGTGGAAACATTACTTGTGAGACCGTCTGCAGACATAGTGAGAGTAATCATGCCTCGCCTCTTGAGTGAATCTTTGACTGGAGGGTGAAGGATTTGGCGGACGAAGGAAAAAGCACAAAAAACACTGAAGATGAAGTATTAATTTGGGGTGTGCCTGGGAGACTGGACACTGAAACTTGGCACTCTCTCTTTCTTTCTTTTTTTTTTCTGTTCCCGTCTCAAACGGCCTGAAACACAAGGCCACCGCTAAATGTCAAAGCAGGAATTTTTCCCTCTCTTTATGCTGCTCTGGCCGCGTTACAGCGATTTCCCCTTGACACAAAATCCCAGGCATGGCAAAGCATAACAAGAAAGATCCAAACTGAAGAGTTAAAGCTTGGACAGGGGAGTAGAAACAACAATACCAATGGTTCCAACGTACCGTTTTTCTCTCTCATGCTCCAGCTTGACTCTTAAATCCTGTTGAGAGGAAAAATAACAACAGAGGGGAGTTATGGAGGTGGAAAGTTAAGATGATTCATGGTTGTGTGTGGGATTTAGCCCGCTGAATACATGACAGCAATAAACTGGACAATGAATTTAGGAGACAGAAGGCATTAAAGTGATCCATGTTTCTGTTGTTGGATTTGGTCAAACAAAGACAAATTTATCCTTCATCTAGACTCAAGAGATGACATGACACTGTGCAGGTTTTCTATTTGTACAGCCATTACCCCAGAGAGCAGGAATCTGGAGGAGCCTGTAAGTCTGCATGAGGTCATGCTGATAAACTGACATGAAACACCGAAGCGCTGACTTCACATCAGTGAGCGAGTGCTGATTCGAAATCAGGGGTTTGCCCCAGCTCTCGGAACCGGAAGCTGTCTGTGCTTTTCACTGTTTGTTTATGTCTCATCATAAACACGGAGAGGATCTACCAATTATCATTCCAAAGAGAGAACAACCACACCAGGAAACCAAGCTGTTAAAACAAGCAGTTTACTGAGCAGCATTATAAATCATCTTTATAAATATAGATGCCATTAATGGTCATTACCGTGTTCTTGAGTCACGTTAAGAATTTCCATTTCGACAGTGACTGTTAAAATCGCGTATTTAGTCTCTCATTAAGCTCCTTTTAGTCAACCTTCACCTGACTTTGGCAGCCGGCAGCTGTCAATTTAGAAAACTCAAAAGGAGAATTAAGGCTGAGGTTTCTGTGTAAACCCTGAGTGACGGTAAACGCTCAGTACACTGCTGTGCCTCTGCTGTGTTTGGTTATCAAACAGCAATTGAGCTAAATGTGCGACAGCTTTTGTGTGCTACTCAACCAAAAAACTACGCTACCCCCTGTGGATTTGAAAGGCGACTGGGAAAAATTTATGATTTACTCTGTCAGGGGGGACCAGCAGCTGCGGTCAGACTGAATTTGTGTAACAAAAGTTTCAAATGTAGGAAAGTTGAACGGCTTTTCAGAATGAAACTTGAAATTCTTAAAAAACGATCCGTTTCCTCTGTGTCCTTTTTACAAGATCAGCATGTCCTCATCAATCTGGAGCTGATTGTCATGAACATCTGCACGTGGTAGACAAAGTTACATGAGGAAAGAGTTTTAAAAATCTCTTTTCAGTTATGGATCATTAAAAATCTTCTGTTTAACATGATTTAAAAACTTGAGATCTTTTACAGCTATGTTTACAGCCTTCAAGGGGTAGCGAGAGGTTGATTTTAGACGTAGTGTGCCTTTAAATGAGGAAGAACTGAACATCATGTGCACCTGTTTGTAGAGTAAGGTTCTGTTCTTGGGCTTGTGGCTGTTGTGCTGGGTGTAGCACCGACCCAGCGCCGCCAGGTCCTTCATGATGGAGTTCAACGCTTCCTCGTCATCTAAAGATAAATAAAAACAACAACACAAATTTAGTCAATGAAATCTTTTTCACACCTCAGAAGCGCAAGTAAAGCTGAGAAACCTTCGTCACATGGTTTCTATCTTATAATTACAACAATATACAAATTATTTGAAAATTTGAATACAAGTTTTTATGCGAAATGCCAATTTTTCCCCATTTTTATCATATTTTCTGGATGTTTCTTCAGTGTTATATTACCTATAGTCATTCTGAACTCTCTCTAACTCTAGACTCTGCATAAAAAGGCCATGAAAGAGAAAAGGTGTTTAATTATGCAGCATGTGTCTCTAACAGTGGCAGTCACACATGGCAATGTGGTCATGTGCGTGCAGCTTGAGTATTTAAGACTCTGTTTCGAATCCAAGAAGAAATCTCAGGAGCACGCTTCTTCAGTTGTTTATTTGTCTCGTGTAATCAAGCAGATTGATCTTCTCTTTTGTTAAAGAGTGACTGAACCAAAGTCGCTGTAGGCTTGAAAATAAACTGAGCTAATTGGCTTTGATGAAAAAGTCAAGAGTGTCTCAAATTCATTATTCGCTCCTCACAGGGACAGGTCTGCCGTTCGTTTAACACTTCAAATTCATTCTGAAATTCTGCAAGTGCAAGAAAACCCCTCAGCATCTCCGTGATTTTTTACTTCTCCCTCTCTCCGTTCCCACTGTCTGCCGCACGCTCACAAACACACTAACACACTCTCATGTGTAAAGGGGGCAATCATGCAGATGAGCATGTCAGGCATTACCATATCAAGAGACTTTAATAGAACCAATTATCTAAGCGCGGTGATTACAATATAAAGGAGAGGTCGTTGACCTCGGCTCCTGCCGGCCTCTCAGATGAGCCCCGAGTGCATTCATTAAAAACACACACACACATCTCGTTCACCAGGAAACCAGGCCAGGTGTGTGCCACTCACTGCAAAGAGCACCTGCAGGACCGCATTCTTCCAAATAAAAGGGGAGCTGTGTGTTTAGAAACACCTCTGGGAACGTCTTTCACTGAGTGAGTGTGATGGCAGCGCTGGCAGCAGATGGGGTCTGTGGTGCCATTTGATCTTGATCTGTACGGCGCTCACGGCCAGCTGTTCAGCGCCGTACAGTGGGTCAATCCGTTAGGGTTCACTCAGGGGACGCAAACAGAAGCGAACACAAGCCAACTCTGCAACTGGCTTTTTCTGGATTCACCTACTGTCAGTTCAGGTGGTCTCATTTCTTCAGTTCAGAGCAGATTAACTCACTTCATGGAGCTACGCATCCAATCTAGTCAGGCCAGGTTAATCCTGATTACAGCCTATGCTAGCAAACATAATTCATACAGAGACAAGTATGTGTTATCATGCATGCCTCTAGCTTCGAAATTTGGAGATATTAAAAGTAATCAAAATAAAACAGAGAGGTCTGATTCATAAAGCAAAAAGTTCCTGTTATATCTAAAAGTTTGTTGGTAAAGCTTGGAAAAATAACGGGATCATCTCTATAAGTTATTTCAGCGACCTCTGACTCCATCAGCCAGCAAACACACTCTCAGACTGAACTACATCAGCAGCAAACCACAGAGGTGGAGGTCCTGTTTGACATTCCCAACATAGCAGCCGGAGAGGACTGAAGAATGATGAAACTCTTCTCTTCACTGACAAACACACCCCCTTTACAGTTCGACTAAATAAGGCTGAGCGATAACACTAGTTCAACTCACAAGATCTCAGCCCACGCTGCACAAAGTGGGTGGATCTATGTTACTGAAATATACGATAACCTATCAGGTGTTGTGTTATGTCCCAGACCAGTGCGCTGTAATGACTGATATACAAGTATAATTACAGATTTGAAAAAAGTCATTATTTTCTTATCAAATGCAGAAACCTGTTGAGCTGTGATTGTGCAGCATAAGCACATTCCTCTTGACAGTAACAAGTTTACAACTTGATGAGTGGGATGTTTGACTATGATAAGACCAGGTGACCATGGGACAGATGAGTCACTTCCACTGTCTTCCTCCCTCTGCTTGTTTGAGATGAAGGCAACAATATACAGGAAAAATGACTTAACACCTACACATTTAAAACAACCTTGCATACCTCCACACAAAAAAAACACGCAATGTTCTCTCACAGCACAGCGACTCCCAACCTGAGACTCGCTGTTAGGACTCGCAGATTAAAATATAGGCTGTCAGGAGCAGCGGATGACTAACCGCTACACCAGGCCTCTCCTCTCTAACAGGAAGGAACTGAGTCACTGTCTCTGGTTCTGAACATACAAAGCCGGTCTAACCACATTATTCCACGTCAAGAAAGTCATAAATAGTTGTCTAAGTTAGACACTGGGGAAGAGAACATTTGTCTTCAGCTATTCTGTGACCAAAGTACAATTAAACATGCTAATTTTTACTGTTTATGAAAGAAAAGGGAAAGTGTCAAGATTACTACATATTTCTTTTCTCTTTCTTTTAGTCTTTTTGGAAAACAAAAATGTATAAACAGCCCGCCTTTATAACAGTTTGGACCTTACTAATACAATATCATATCTTATTGTATCCTGTCACATCCTATCATAATGTATCCTACTGAATTGCATACTTTTGTATCATATCATTTTGCATCCTGTACTTTCATATTTTTTCATTTCATGTAATATCATTTCATAACATATTTTAACTTATTGCATCCTTTTATACACAATTGTATTGCATCAATATCATAAGACAATGTATGACATGGTATGGTAACTAATCATATTATGTGGTATCATATTGTATCGTATATATTGAGTCATAATGTACTATATAGTATCATTACATCAGATGCAGTTTTGTGTCTTAAAAAATGATCAATTTCCCCCTCCCCTCCCTCACAAAAGTATTTTTGTAAATTTTTTATCTTTTTGTTGTTTCTGTTGTTGTTGTCACTCTGTTTTGTTGTTAAATAAAAAAATTAAAAAAAAAGAAATAAAATGATGTTAATGCCCCTGGAAAAAAAAAAAAAAAAAAAAGATCAATTTGAAAAAAAAAAAAAACATAAAATTTGTACTTTTGTATTTATTAAATTAGCTGAACAGGCGTCAAACAATAACTAGATTTGAATCAACCTGACATATTTGGACATTTTGCAAAAGAAGGATAAAAACAGCCTCCATCTGATTTTTTTTCATTATCACTGCCTTTCCCTCTGTTGACAAGTGTTGTTTCATCTCTGCCTCCGCAGGCTCGGAGCTCCAGACTACCCTGAGCGCTGGAAGCCAAGGATACAAAACAAACAACACAGTCCCATGTGTGCATCTGTGTGCATCTGTGTGCGTCTGTATTTGTGTTTATGAGGCCTGTGCTGTGACCTATGGATAATAGTAGAGAGGGAGGGGGGAGTGGGAGGGCCGGCTGGCGAAGGAGGGGGCAGCGAGTGTGAGAATTGCGGGGTGATGGCCGCCTATAAATGAAGTTATTACATCACTGAGGCCTGGTCTGTGGCTGCTGCCAGGCCGAGGGCAGCCAAGGCTAACCACCGGCACAGTAGAGAGCAACCAGCTCACACATCAGTGCCAGGAGCAGCCACAGAAACCAATAACAGGAACTCGAGGAGCCTTAGTCAACATGACCAAAGACGGTTAATGATTTTTTTCACCGTTTGTGTGTAGAAAAGGATGCATAAAGTTCATTTTTTCTCTCTGTGACTTTGGTAAAATGTGACTAGAATAAGAAAAGGGGGAATTCCAGGAAGCAGAGCAGAGAGAGCAACATTACACAATGGAGGCAGATTGCTGGGGATTGCATCATCACTCTGCATCTTTCTTTTTTTTTTTTTCTCAGGCTAAAGCTGAAGACTGAGAAAGTGGCAGCGGGTGAAATGAAGTTGGAGCTCAAGTCCAAGATGGTTTACATGAAAGAAGTTGATCATATGTTGTTGTAGCTACTCATCAAACCCTCAACTCGGACAATCTGGAGTTGAAGATGCAGAAAAAGAATAGCACAGACTTTAAGAGGACAGTACTGCAACTTGCAAACTCGCAGAGTGCTGCAAGTCCCAGTCAGTCGGTGTCTGTGTGTGTGAGAGAGACAGGCTGCCTGAATGAAGACATTGTGGGGATTTCCTGGTGCAGAGAGACACATCATGGCAAAGGCATCCGGCAGGATTAGCAGCTGGAGCCAAACGTGTCCTCACTCCGCAGCAGTGAAGGCCAAGCTCTGACGCACAACACTCACACTTAAAATCACACACCAACTATGCAAAGTAAGGCACTCTCTTCACTCTCGGCTCACCTTGGTGTTTGTCGAAACTGTGAAACAGCTAATTTAACCTCTAATGGGTGTAGCATTTAAACCCCCATGGTTAATCTTTCACTAAGAATAATGATCGTGATGTAATGTAGAGGGCTGTGGGTGTGTGACAATAGTGGTGCAATTAATGTTTGTACAAGGGCTACACTGAAAGTCTCTTTTCATTGGGGAATGTCTGCAAACATTTCCATTGAGTATCTACAGGCTGTGACATTCCCTCTTTTGGCCGGTGTGTGCTCGTTTTTCCACTGCACAGTAATGGAGATATAAAAAGCTTGTAAAGAGGGCTTTGTGTAAACTGATTTATGTTCAAGAAGTTCTTGACATTTTGGGAAATAAACTTACGGATTTTTGGTCATGAAGTATTTATATTACCCGAATATCAGTGCATAAAAATAGACTAACTTATTGACTTGAGAAAAACTTCAAGAACAGTTTTTTAACCTGTCCTCACACAAAAAAAGCTTTGATACCTGCTAATCTTTATGGTCATTAAATATTAGCTGACTGTGACATTTCAAAAACAAGAAACTTCCACCTTTTTAATTGATGTTTCTTCTGCCTTTCTTTTGGAAGAGGCATATCTAACAACCTTATTTCCAAAAACCTTCTTCAACTCGTCTAAAACTGATTTTATCTAGGACGTTTACCTTGTGAGTTCCTGTGCTGTCCGGGTCCATTTTGGAGACCGTCATCTGTAAACAAAAGAAACAGGTTTAATGGAAAAAAGTCCAAATTAAAGAGCCAAACATGACTGCTGCATCGTGATGCATAGCACACTGTTCTGGGGTCTACATTGTGAAAATATACGACTCCTAATTACTGAGAGATTTGCTTGCAGAGGTTTTGCTCTTTTGGACCTGAAGCTGCAGCTCTTGTGCATATGAAAATATGCCCAGTAAGTGTGACTATTGTTTGAGATGAAATGTACAGAGGAAGTGTGTAAGTGCAGCTGACTGTTTTTGCAGAGAAGTAGGAGTGCACACGCGTGTTAACACTCCTGGTAGGCGTGAATTTGAATAAAAGCAAAACTGGGTTCTTGCATAATTGCCGTTTTTTGAATGAGTTATTTGTGCACCCTGAACCTTATTTTCCCAAAGCAGAACAAAGAATTCTAATCAGACAACAATATTTTTAATAACAATGTACAAAAACAAGCCATCTGGAGCTATCAACAGCCTCCTCTCACTTTCCTGCTTTAATACATGTGTTATTTTTTCTCTCTGCACTGTTCCTGCCAGAAGATGTGTGAGAGGTGTGTATGTTTGTGCTTTGTTCCCTATCGTGCAAGTTTCTGTATGCATGCACTGTACAGGGACCTGCTTTCGAATACTACTCACCCATGTTTACTGTCATCATCAGGAAGTGGTCCTGTTGAACTCGAGCGCAGAGCTCAACTTCTTTGTGCAGGCGAAGATTTCATCCTGAGAGCCAAAAACACAAAAACAACACAGTTTCATCATCCAAGAACAGTGCCACTTTCCTTCAACTTAGTGCGCACAATATTTTCTGTGGTTGCGCAAAAACAATGACAAAACAGGACGCAGGTGGTAGGGCCAACACAAAGCTATTTTTCCAATTTTACTGTCACCGCTGCTGTTATTTACTTAATCTTTATTTAACCAGGTCGGTCTCTTGAGATTGACATATCCTTTTCTGACAGCTCCTGCCAGACAAATAACAACATGACAGCCAAGTGCTGCATTTACTGCCATCGACTCAATTCATCTGAATCCTGTCAATGCCCTGTTGTCTCTTTAGTGACACTTTGAGAGGGGAAAAAAACAAGCCAGCAGCAGTGGAGGAACTCTTCACTGTTTGATGATGGATGAGACTCATGCACTCGAGATCCTACAGTGCAGACGCAGTCTGTGCGTGGGAGTTCGCCTAAACGCCTGCCTCAGGTGAAGACGATGTACTTCAAAGAAAAAACTGCAGAATATTTCATGTGTTCAGTTTTGGCTGTCACATCCCATAATGAGGTGATACAGAACAGAATCTGACTCTTGATGGTTTTGCTCCAACGAAAATTGGACAAAATTCAGCCGTTTGAAAATGTCGTTGAATGCTGTGCAGCGAAATGTTTACCATCATTTCATATTCCAGGGTAGTGGGATGTTGACCTTTCCAAGAAAAAAGACCAATCTGGAATAGTCCCCGTGCATGTCATGGAAATTTTGCGTGCACACATTTGTTTTTGTCTCCGAATCAGTGCTTTGCCAAAAAGGGAACAGGAACTAGAGACACAGCTGCAGTGCAGGATATCGAGATTAAAACGTGTGGTTGTTTTAAACTCGTATGCATATCAAGTTAAAGCTGCAGGTTACAAAATAAGCCTAAAAGGTGTTTTTTAGTGTCTCATTAACTTATAAAGCTGTACATTTACAGGTCTGGGATCAAGTGATCAATCTGAGATACTTGGCTAAAATGGAGTCTTAATTAAGCACAAGCATATTGAAGTTAACACATTGGTTAGTACTGGCCACCATAAACATAAACAAGACCAATCAGGATGTATTTGCAAATCTAATTTGTCTAATAAATCTGCAGATCAACCCTAGATACATGGGTCATGCATTCTTCTCATTAGGCCAATCAAGCCTCAGCTTGCCGTTAGCCTGACTCAGATGAACAGTTTTAAAGATCCTATGAGGAACAGTCGGTTTGTCCATTTTGGCGCCCCCTGTAGACAAAACAGTCATTGTGATTTTTTGTGAATATTTACAGTAAAATGTAAAATCACGGCTGTTTTTTTACCAACCCCCTCAGTCTTGTCGATGACTGTCTTGTTTGCTTTTGCTTATCACAAATAAGCATCATTTTGAATTTCAGTCTATTCCATAAATGTCCAAAATCTCCTAACAGGAGCTTTAATACGTCTTTTGGTATGTAATAACATCACAGATTATTCCCTAATCATGCAGATACAGCTTTAAAATTTACACGAAAGAGCTAATAAATAAAACAAACCAAAGGTTAAAAAAACTATCTGTGTCCTTACAGCTCCTAAAGAGGAAGCAGAGAGAATTTATGTCAGAGCATCTATGAAAAGCCTTACTAATAGTAGGTGGATTTAAATTAGGACATGCAGCACAAGGAAATGCATCACTAAACCACTCAAAAATTTCCCCTAGTTCTCATTGAGAAAAAATCTTTGTCATTTCACCATGTGACCGATTAAACAGGGTTAGCAGGTTGTCATAGCTGAGAGATATGACTGCTTGTTGCCTCACACAGCAAACACAGAGATACAGCTTGTGTTGTCAGTGGTTACTGTTTTAGAGTTTTACAGCATTATCAGCCATAACAACAGTGACGAGGTTAAGATGTGCAGTTGAACTAAAAGTCTTTAATTCTGCTGATTTCAAGCAAAACAAAGGAGTAAAACAGGAAACGACTAGTTTGAGTGTAGCTCATGGAGTTTAAGCTCAACCTGATAATGAAGTGACCCAACAGTGAGGCAACTCACTTAAAATGTCAATTAGCGTCAGTCTGACAGATGAGAGAAAAATTGAGATTTGGCTTTCAGTCTGCATTCAAACAAAACTTCAAATGGAAATTTAGAGAAAGATCTGATGAGGAGTAGACATCACTGAAAGAGTGGGGACACATAATCATGGGCAGCAGATGTAGTTTGTTTGAAGTTCTGAAACAAACACAAAATCTTTGGAAAAAAGACTAAAGAGTCTCCGGAGACATTCACAGCAACATTCCCAGGATCATTTCTGTCTTTCTCTTTCAAAGCATCATTTGCTTCTCATTTTGCTCTCTGCTGTCTCCAGTTGCATGTTCTTCAGAGTCCTCAAAGCCTGTACACTGTGTACGATATATGTCCCTAACATTCAGTACAGACAAAAACACTCCAGCTTCTCTCTGCGGGGACACAAATACTTTTCCGTGTGTGTGTGTCAGCCAGAAAACTTTTCATAAAAGCAATAAAGACGGCCACTGGAGCAATTTACAGCCTGAGGGGCAGAGTCACAGGGTGCCAGTGGAGTCTGAACAAGGGGAACAGGCTGTAACACTGTCAGAGGCACAAATCATAAGAGCTGATGGATTGGAAAGCCAAAATATGGAGTCTAGGGAGACGTGTGTTGGTTGTGACCACTTTCTAAAAACAGTGTGCTCTAAATCCATCACAATGTGCGCAGTAAATGTGGGTAAACTTATGTCAACCCCCCCAAACAGGCTGTATTTTTACAGCTTTGATGTTAGATAGCATGGAGTGGATTTAAGAGGAGTCTGATATGTCCCAGAAATCTCCCTGCGAGGCTGCGCTGCTGACCGCACATGAAAGAGATGATGAGCAGTCACCAGACAGGTGGTCTCCTAACACAACATTGTGCAGGCTGTCGTACCCGCGCACACACACACACACACACACACATATATACAGAAGAACAGAGTAGCCCCTGTCCTGTGCCAGCGAGCCACCAGATGGCCCATCTGCTTCGCCCCTCCACCCAGCAGGACACCGGGCTACTGGTGCCCACAGATCACCAGCCCAGTTCTCGGCACGCTTCTTGGCAGGCGGGCGAAGTGACAGCCCCGCTTGTTGAAGATCAAATACTACTCGCTGCTCACTCTTGTTGCTCTGAAGCCAAACGTCCTCCAGAATGAAGCCTTACTTTCTCTCTGTGGATCAGGAGACAGACCTATCCTTCGCACTATCCACATCCAGAGGTGCTTGTGATGCACTTCTCCGTCACATAAGGATAACATCACAGCTCGGGCCAATGTTTCGCTGGCAGAGGCCTCGTCTTTGTCACAGTGTGAGGATTGTGCTGGAATAACAGAAGTTAATTAAAAAAGAGCACAGCAGAGGATGGGATTCGACGAAGGTTGTGGAGAATTGTCTGAGCCAGACAAAGCAGAGCCGTCCTCCGCGAAACACAAACTGAAATGTTATTTTTATTGGAAAGATTGAACAGGAATCACAGCCAAGACTTTGCAGGCGAGCACGTAAATGCATGCGCACACAGAGTATACTTTCAGCTCTGTTACATCACTCTCTGAGCAAACAAACACAGAGATGCTGGCTGTAGATCTCTGAGGGAAACTCCCCCAAACCCCCTTTCTAAATAAGAGCAGGAGGAAGGTCTGCTCTCCAGCTGCACGGTGGCCCCGAGCGCTATGACCTCATATCTGACATCACCCTGGAGGAGTCCTAAAGACATCACCATTTCAGGGGTCAGGTTTTCAACTCTGCAACAGCTTAGAGTGTCTGTGACAGCCATCAAATGCCAAAATAGTACGTCCTTATAGAGAATCGCAGAGATCAGGAGGTCGACAAGACATCTGTGAGTCTGATCAGTGAGGACATGGACTGGCTTTGGGTCAAAACACAAAACGGAGAGGATTACAGCACCCTGAATTTTAATTTTCAACTTACTGTTTTAGACAGAATCTCCCTGAGGCATCACAGATGGCAGATTCAACTCCAGGACTAGCAAGTTGGTCTAAAGGACAACATCCACATATTTGCACATGGAAGCCTCCTAAAGGTAGGGTTAGACACTTTGAGAAGCAACTTCTCTCTTTCTAGCTCAGAGTTGGATGATGAGATTGTTGCCACTCTCCTGCCAGTGCAGGAAAGACGAAAATACAGACCAAGCACCCCCAAAGCGGCTTTTTAGTCTGGTGATAAACAAACAAACGAAAAGGTTAGCTAAGATGTGTTAGCGATGATTAATCAATGACTAAATCCTGATATGATCATTTGACAACCACTAATGACCGCACAGGTTTTAAATGGCGTATCAACGATAAAAACAAACAAGACCCCTACATTATTAATGGATGCGTCATAGTCATGACCTTAAATGGAGAGCAGAAAACGCCTGGTAGACAGACTTGGGTGCAACATGGTCAGGAAGTAAAGGGTGATTACAGAGCCTCGTATATTTGGGTGACTTACTCTTTGAAAAGGTCGATGGCGGGGGTGTCCTGTCAGCTGAACTTTTGCCAAAACTGTTCAGTGGACCAAATGAGTCAGAAGGTTGATTCTGGGAAGTAAGACAATACAGTACGTCCTCCCGCACGCCAAGTGAGCCGAGGGACGCACTTGAGGATTTCTAGGCGGTGGTAGGAGTGTGTGGGCAGGAAAATGTCACTCCATGTGGGGCCTCAGCGCTCATTAATCAAAGCCTTAGTTCCCTGCGCTTTGTCTCAGTGGAGTTTTTCCTCAGAAGAAATGCAAGCTTCACACAGAGACCTGGCTTAAAAGCTCTCTCCAACATGACAAGAGGAGGATTATTCTCCCTGTTCTCTGGCACCAAATTGACATTTTGTTCCAAAAAGAGGATCTTCCTTTTGATATAACACCATAAAACACACATTTGTAACTCTTGTTAATGGGATTTGCACTTGAGAGGGAATTATTCAATCTCCTTGTTATCCATTCAGAATCATATCAACAACCAGTCAACTAACAGAGTGATAGTTTTGAATGGCTTCCTCTTTTTCTTCTTCTTCTTCAACAACCAGACATAAGCACAATCTCAACTGGGATGTAAATCACAGATGAAACAGCAAGTCCCTCTAAGGCATCAGGGTTACCCCAGTTACCATATAGTCAGGTAGGGCTGGGCGATATGGGATATCACGATATTTTTTTTCCATATCAGTCGATATATCAGGATATAAAAAATGAAATTTAACAGTGTTTATTGGTAGCATGTCTTTTGCAATACAATAACCTACTGCATCTGTGAGGTCTTTGTGTCTCCTCTAGGTTTTGTCGTAAGGCGTTGCACTGTTCAAGTTTTATGGTTGCATGTAGCTGCAGCCTGCTACTACACGATTGTTTGCTATTTGGTGCTAATTCAGCACATGATTGGTTCAGCACAAAGTGAACCCGGAGAAACTCCCCTTTCCATTGGCTATTCGTATAATCTACCAAAACATTGAAAAGCATATTGACCATGTTTTATATCGATATTGAGGGAAATTAACTTTAAATAAGGAAATAACGGGAAAATAACTTTAGATATATCGTTATTGTTTTTATCGCCCAGCCCTATAGTCAGGTCACTCCACTGGGTGTAGCTACAACATCTTCAACTTTAACTCCATCAACATGCATCGAATATATATAACTTTTTAGAGGGTTGTGTTTGAACAAGCATATAGCCACTCAACTGGACTAATACATAACTTTAGTCAAACAGAAACAGACAGGTATCTTATCTATTTCAAACCAAGTGAATTCAAAAGGAGCCATATTCATCATTGGGAAAAGTGTAGTTTGTTTACTCTTGGCCCAAAGAGGAAATGAAGAGTGGAGCTAGATTTACCATGCTCACTCAGTCCACTGGTACCAATCAGACTCCAGAGTAAGAGGATCCTCCTCAGTGAAAGAGATGGCTCTATTAGCTTGCCGATAAGTAGATCTGTCTGCCATTATCATCAGCCACACAACACAGGCTAAAAATAGCAGAGAGAAGGAGTGATTTATCCTGCTATATATCCACTCTCTGCATCACTAGAACCATACTCGACCCTCCAAGAGGAATCCAAGCACGACCTGTAAAGTATGCTGTCTGTTTCCATTATGCACCGACATGCTATTACAAGCTCATTCATTCATTCATTCATTGTGTTTCTCCACCCAGATGCAGCCATGCAAAGACTCAAGTTCATGGACCTAAACCCATTTCACGAGACTAACTGTCAAACAAATGCAGACCAACAAGAAGTAAGAATGTATCTTTGCTCGGTCACCAAAAGTTTGTCCATAAAAAGTATGTCGGTTTGAGGATTTTGACTCTCAAGAGGCTGAGTGAATGTGACGATGCAAAATCCAAAAGCAATTCCATGATTTTATTTCAAGCCCCCCCTGTCGATTCCATTTAACTCCCCTGCACAGACTACAAACAGGCCTTGCTTTTTATTCATGTAGTCACATTAGAATACATCAAATACAATCACAGTCAAAGATGCCTGACTGGTTACGCTGTTTTGCACGACACTACACAAACTTGTACTGTGTTTTTCTCTCTGTTCGGCTGTCCTTGCAGGGCTGCTGACGGCATTGTCCTTACAGTCAGACAATCCGTGCAGACAAAGCCCAATCAGGACAACTTCCTCTTGGTTTCTGGGGAAAGGGGGCTGGGGGGTGGACTGGGTTTTACAGCATTCTCAGAGATAAACAAAGGCGACCCAGACTGACTTCAGAAATAGTCGAGGACCCCGTCATTGTCTCCTTATTTTGCTCTGCTGCAGACCTCATTTAAAGTTACAGAAGTTGCGTGCCATTTTCTTTGCCTTTCGAGGATTACACATCGAGACAAAGTAAAACATTGTTGTACTTTTTTGCAGTACATGGGGAAAACTTTGAAATTTGACTAATGAATCCCTCTTTCATGCTGAATGAACGCACCACTTTAGCGGTTTGCCCTAAATGACATCTTGGGTGTGCCGCAGTCAGTGTGCACACCTGTATTTGTGCTGTGTCAGAGTTTCTGCTCTGAATATGAGCTGAAACTCTGACATACTTTTCAGAAAGTGTCTTTAGATCTTAAAACAAATTTATAGATTTTACCTTTTAGGGGAAACTTTCACTGCAGAATTGTTACAACTTTTGCAAGCTGAGGTTCTACCTGATACTACCGTAAAAATGCAAATATGATCAGCAGTTTTTTATGAATGCACTGCCAGATACTAACAAGTGTAAATATTTCTTTCCTAAAAGATATTTTGTGTTTGTCTCCCACTCGCCAAGAGGAATTATCTTGCAACTACTTTATTCCCCCCATAGGATCTCTTTAATGCAGGTGGCTGGCTTTTGCACAGTGCTCAGATACCGTGAAGCACTTGGCAATGCAGCACAGACCTTTTTCTTGTCTTGTCAGACGAGACAATCTCCTTTCCTCTCATTTAAAGAGTCCTCTCCTCTGTCTGGCTTTAAGAAGGTTTCCTTTGGTTTCTTTTTCCTTAAGGGTTTGTTCTTCAGGTTTTCTATCTCCTTTCAAACTCTGATTGGTGTGATCAGGCCTGCAGAAATGGTCGCCCTTCTGCCTGGCTCTCCTATCTCTGTGTCATCAGGATATAATGGGACATTCTCTATTATAGCCCCAAATAAGGGAGCTCAGACTGAACTGAGACACCGAGGTTGGTGTCAGTTTTTTGACGTTATCCCAGGTTCCCAACTTTACTACACAGTTATATAAAAAATGGGCTGTATTGGGGATTTCATCATTTTGTGGTTTTATTGATTATTTTCAGGGTTTTGTGCATATTAGCTCTGTCATTATTAGTGTTTACCCATCCACTGAAAACTTACAGGACTCACAATTTATAGTTTTAGGAGAAAGACGTCAAAAATTGAAGAAGAAATTCTTAACTTTCCTGAATCCTTCAAGTCCCACAATGCACTGGGTCAAAGTTTTCATTGAGAGCTTCTTGCTGCATTCGAGGTACCTTGGAAGTCAGATGTCCGAGCTGCGAATGACGTCACACTCGAGTTACAGGCGCCAAGTTGTAAAAAAGCAAAATCGGAGGCGGAAACAAGATGGGTACATCTACGAAAGTTATTTCAGATGTAGCCATCTTGTTTCCGCCTCCGATTTTGCTTTTTTACAACTTGGCGCTGGTACTCGGGTGTGACATCATTCCCAGCTCGGACATCCGACTTCTAAGGGTAACTCAAACACAGCATCTCTAATGAATGAATTCCCATTTCTGTTCCATTGCTGGTCTTTCTGTTTCCTGTTGTCTGGCATGCTTTGCACTGTCATGTACAGTATCTAATTACGCTGTGTCAACCTAAAAGGCTATGACTCTTCATCACACCTACTGACAAACTTGTTGTGCTTTCTAAGTAACCAGGCAACAGCCACAACAAGCCTTCAAGGGAAGAAAAGAGGCCTGCTTATGAGTCATAGTGACCTTTCACCTCCAGCCCCTGTGGTCAGTGGGCGTCTGGTGAGTGTTCGGTCTTCTGCAAATCTGAAGGCATGACCTCACACTCCTCCTCACTAAACGGACACAGCGGAGGAGGAAGAGGTTGCATTCGCTCCAATTGAGACTCTCAGCTAATGACTCGCAAAACACAAGCCAGCGTGAAAACTGTCATGAGAGTTGACAGCAGGATGTTCAAAAGATTTAATGGATGAACTTTGATTTCTTGTTAGTGGGCTGCTGGGAAATACAGCCTTCATGGGAAAACTGTAACAGACATGACATGCAAAGGGTAATGTATCGTGAACAGGCAGTTTATAGAAAAATGGAGCCAAGACAGAGCGAGAAGAACGCTAACACATCATCTTGTGTTGAACTGTCGCTAAAAATCTATCGAAATAATATAAGAAATCAAAGTCTTCTGCTAAAAAAGTAGCAGCGGTAGCAGAGTATTTTGAACATGAAAAAAGAGTCGAACAACCCATCACCATATTGTTCATTAAGTATCCAATCAGAGGAGGCAGACGTTGAGCAACCAGGACACAACTGATTCCACCCTGTGGGTTCTTGTCACATGTGAAAGTGTAAATATGCTGAGGTCAGCTTCTTCTCTTGTTTGATATTTTTATAGTTAGTCTACCAGAGTCTGTGACAGGAGGACCTGTGTTTACTCTTCAAGTCAGGGTGTCTGTGAACAAAACTGACAGACCTTAGCATGTCCCAATTAACCAATCAGAGCCAATTATTCTGCACAGCTGGGTCGTAATATTCTACACTGCTCTTTTTAAAAGGGATATTCCGGCATAAAATTAATTTAGGGTCAAACACACTGTAACACTGAGTTAGACCCCCCCCCCCCCAAGAGATGAATGTTGCCGACCACTTGCTTCTCTAGTTGTACCAACTTTAGAAACGACTGCACAACAGCAATATGCAGCAGCCCCAGGGGCCATGCGCTCAACCAAAAAGCCACTCTATAGCCATGAATAATGGCCAGAACAGCACCTAACTTCATCAACAGTACATATAGGGTCTGAGCCATAGTATTAGCCACCAAACATCTTTTTAGCTTTGCCTAATTTCTTTAGCAAAGAGACTAAACACAACTCACCTACTCTCTTCCAGCAGCCGTTTGTTTGTAGGGAGACCTCAAGCAAGTCCATTACCGCAGTGGGGTGACGCAGCTCAAGGAAGAACAAATAAACTTAAGTCCTAATGCTGCTGAAAATTCAACATCTATTTAAATTCTTTTGTTTTTCCTTTAAAGTCTTCAGCAGTATCAAAGTGTTTTTAAGTCCAATGAATGTGTGCGTATCAAAATAATCCTAATGATGATTTTTGCCATAATCAGGCAGCCACAAATGCTGTCCTGTACTTTTTAATTAGGATGAAATCAGGCACCATAAAACTCTCCTTTAGTAGAAAACAAACATTATTGACCTAAGGATTTTGATTTAAAAGCCCTTTTCCCCAGCTCTGTCAAAACATAATAAAGCTACTATACCTCCTTGTGTCTTTGTCTCTTTAACTGTGGGATCCTGCTCCATTATCAGCCTGATAGATTGTTTGGCTAAAGGCACACCAACCATATCTGTGGGCGGTTTCCACATGACACTTTGACTTGCACTTTAGGGCTATTTCGGACCCCCTCAGGGGCACACCAATGTGCTGATAAACTCATCTGTCAGTCTGCTGTTCAGACTCCTGCGAGTGCTGTTCACATTGATTCGCTTTGATGAACACGATGGCCTCATTAAAATCTAATTTGGCAGATTATCTCAGAGGTCTGCCACTGCTGGGATGAGTGGCAAGATGTGGACGGGGCCCCTCAGCATCCTCATCACTTTGGCTCTGAGGGGACCTCAGTTTGGACTTTGGAAATACATGCATGAGTGTATAAGCACAAGATGACAATGTCTGTCCTCAGATCACATACAGCTCTAGTCATGCTCACTATGCTTCAGTTGTGGTTTGAGCTAATCCAGCAAATGAATGTGAATGTATGGACACAATTTAAGTTAGTACACCATCAAAAAGGCTGAAAATGAGACTGTAGTTGCAACAACTCTACAAAAACCTACAGTGTCACACATTTTAGGTTACAAAGTCAGAGTTTGTACTTCCAAAAAAAAGCTGTAAACATGCTTGTGATTGATTAGAGCACCAAATTCCTGGCTTGTAATTTGCCACAAACAGGAAATAACAGTCTAAGAGCATTGTTCACAGTAACCAGCAACAAACAGAGAAATGATCCGGACTTGACTCTTACCTTGTTATCTAAGTGTCTCCATGTTTTTGTTGTGGCTGCAGGATTCTTCAAGACGAGGATAAGTTCTGACAGATAATCGACAAGAAGAGCGGAAAAATCCCAACAGATGCAGAGCAGAAAATGTTCCCCAAAACAGTGTTCTGATATCCGGAAACTGCGCTCTTTACGCACAAATTACAAATATAAGCTGAGTTCAGGCTGAGAGATGTCCTCCTCTCCCACATGCACATCCACATCCAGAGCTGCGTTCACAGACAGGACCAAAGTGCAAATGTGTTTCAGAGGAAAGTTTTACTGTCGTCCTGCTCTTCGCTCGTCTCCACAAACACAACAGAGAGAGAGCGTTGAGTTTCTCCCTCGAGCTGCGCCTCTGATGTCAGCAACAACGTGAGCTCCAGGAAGTGGTGACGCTCTCCGGTGGTGCGTTTCCAAGGAGGCGGCGTCAAAACGGAGGGAGCACCGCCCCCCTGTGGAAACCGAGAGCAAGTACAAGACCTGCAGCGAGTGCCTGTTTTCAACCTTGCCACCTTATAGTTAATATAGATTCGATATATATGTTGATTGATTTTCTAATTAGTGAACTGTTTATTTATCCCCCATAAATCTTAATAAAATAAGTGATTACAAAAACTGCTCAGTTCTTTTATCATAGTGACAAAACAAACTCAATCACGGTGTGTTAGTAAAGCAGAGGGAAGGAGAGCATGATACGAGAAGCTCAATTGAAAATATACTAAAGCTACTAAATATCGGACTTAAACATGACGCATCCAGATTACTTAGTCCTATCTGTGAAAATTCTATAACACTTGCACATATATATATATATATATATATATATATATATATATATATATATATATATATATATATGTCAAGGGAGAGAAGGATGAGTCAGAAATCCCTATTTACACTTCTGCTAACTTGACACAAACAGAGAGTTCTTTATAGGAGCTTTGAGTTATATTTTCTCATTTCAAGTAATTCTCTTCAAAAATGTATTCAGAGTTAAAGCAGTGAGTAATAAAGGCTTCACATCAGTGCAGCGAGTGTGAGTGACTGCTGTGTAATTATCCTGGCAGGATTCTACAACTCTGTCTCTGCTGTTAACAGACAGAGCTGCTCTGGAACAGTGAAAACAGACAAAGAGCCTAAATTATCAACTTGTCACTCAGCACTCACAAAATAATCACTATTTACCACATTTTTTATATTACAGGAGATTTGCACAGACCAATTGACTAATAAGACATGATGAGTCAAAGTATAAGAGTAATGAATAATAAATATATAAGGTGTGAATGGATCGCACACACATTTCTTCTACTTTCTCTCTCGTTCATAAAGTCCACCCAAATGCAAATACACTCTCTTTATCATTAGCCTGAAAAGACAACATTTGCTCCATTGGCTTATGATCTGTTTTCATATCTACTCTACACATAACAGTCTTAAAACCAACGTTATTTTAAGAAAAAGGTTAAGAGGAGTGCGAGTGCAGCTGGGAAAATTTGGGCAGATTTAGGGACAAAAATGTCACAATGGCAGAAATCTAGAGATCCCTACTATGCAGCACCAATCAAATGTCATCAAATCAAACCATTTGATCCTGCTTCTTCAAAAGCACTCAAATAAATAAAGAACAAAGTTAAAATGTCTCATTTTTTCTCTAGTTTACCTTCATATAATCCATAACAACTTCCTTTTTTGGCAGCATGGAGAGCATGAAATGTTCAATCAGAGAGGAAGTCGAGTGATCTCCAGACTACAGAAAGACTGATTAATAGCATTTTGACATAATTGGCTTCATATCCGCATCAGTCCTCACAAGGCTAAAATGCCACCTGTGGACTACTTGTCTCAATCCTGGGTAGTTCAGTATCCTCTCTCTTGCATATTATTCCTGACTGTAAGAGGGAAAAATGCTCCTCTGACCTTGGCTGCAGCACAGCACTGTCCAGATTAGTTTCGTGCAGCGCTGTTTTATTGTGATCTGACATACCCTCTCTCGCTGTAAGACTGCCCAAGTGCAATGAATATCAAGTGGACATTTGCATCTCTCTGTGGGTTTGCTGCGCCTGTAGATGTCTCTAACATTCAGCTGTGCCGTGGACAAACACCACAGGCGGCTGTTATGAAGATTAACAGGCCGAGGGTGTGCTGTGTTTCTGGTTAGTTCTGCTGCATCGTTTTAGGGTGCGATGAAGGCATTAAGAGTTCCTTCAAATACTGAAATAATATCATTACATTTATACTTCATCTTGTAAAAGCTGAAGGATCTGATCATCAGACATCAGGAATAGAGTTGCACCTGTGCAGACTCTTGTTCTGCGTATTGAACCAGCCTCTTCCCCCCTGCAGCGCTTGAACACGCTTGTGGTAAGACAGTGAGTGTGTGTAAGTCCGTGTGTGTGCTCTGGTTACCCTTCTCCTTTTTGATCTTTATGCTTCACTAAAAGGGTCTTCTAGAAAAATCCATTTCGCCCCTCTAGGGGATCTGCGGCTGATATCGACTTGCTGGAAATCAATGACGCCTTTGGCAGTCTGGTGAGCTCCATGGGAAAGCTAAAAACAGACGGGAAGTCTCTTTTTTTTTTCACTGATGAAACTTTGAACTAAATGGTGGATTTCCTGTGGGCAAAGCTGAGATTCCCAGTGGAGTCACTGTTGATGGTTCCCCTCTGGACAGCATGTCTTATTAAAACTGCTCAACAGACACAAGAGACATTTCTGGTGATTGAAAACGCACATCAGGCGTAACTATGTTATAAAAGAAAAGAGACATGGCCATTTTTCCTGTTTATTTACATTCATACAAAAATAATGGAGATATGTTAAACAGCAGATTGAGACTGTTGTGTATCAGGGTGTCTAGCAGGACCTGTGCACCTCATCAAAGGATCCTACTCCCTGAAGCTGCAGAGAAATGGGGGTCTTCACCAGAGGAGAGTGGATCACCACAGTAGACTTGAACTCTCTGTTTTCACTGCAGAACATGAAATTCAAGCATTAAGAATTTTAAAGCATGTTTTATTAAAATCTCAGAGTAGAACGTTTTAATTGCAGTGTGTGTCTCGTTACCTGGGAGTGAAACTGATCTGAAGACTCTGGCTGCATCTGCCGACATGACGCTCTTTGGATCTAAGAAGACCGAAGTCTGGCGTCACTTCGAACACATCTGACTCTGCACATACATACAAACAAATACAGTGAACACATCCGCGTGTGGGTCTGTCACACTGACTGTATACTAATGCTGCATTCCAGTTGTACTCAGAAGTCGGGATTTCCGAGCTCCAAGTCGGAAATTCACCTGAAATGCCCCCCTGAAGTCGGATTTCCGACTCAGAAAGTCGGACGATCCTCACCAACCCCGACTTGACAACAACATTATAATCCAAGATGGCAGCGCAGTGCATCAACAGTAAAGAGGAACACTGGAAGCTCTTGTAATGTGTTATTTAATAGCACTTCTGTTTTGTTTTCGTGAAAATGAATAAGTGGTATTTGTTATGCTGCCCAACGTCTAACTGTGAACACAGCGCTATGGTGTTTGTAAGAGTAAAATACGCTGTTATGCGTTGTTTACAACTGGTATAGCTGACAACTAACAACAACTGACAACGGCTAACGACAGCTGACAATTGTAAACAACAGCTAACAGTGGGTAACTGTAGCCGTCCATCTTGGTTTTCAGACTTGTTTATTGGAACGCCGTCAACTCGAGTGTAAAGTCATTCTCAGCTCTGACATCTGATTTCCGAGGTAACTGGAACGCAGAATAATAACTTAAAAAGACTCTAACACATGTGACATCTGTTACAATGCAGGAGGCTGGCATTGTGATACATACTGCAGCCAGTCAGCAGGGGGGCTGCAGACAATTTGGTTTTGCTTTCAGAGAGATGTTGTGTTGTCCATCTTTTTACACTGTCTATGGTCTAAATATCTGACAGACATCTTTGCAAACACAGTAAATGAGGTAATGTAACTGTCATTCTACAATAAATATCAATATACTGTTAAAGAAAGTAAGGTAGTCCAAAAAAAAGGATATTCCAAACACGTTTTTTTACTCATTCTACAAAATTGTTAATTATATTTTTTGGCGAAATCCCTCAAAATATTTGAACATGATTTTTTTTGTCAATATCCTCTACCCTGAACAAAATAGAAGACAGCCGAGTAGTTACCTATATTCAGTCTCCAGTAGGTGTGTGCTCCATAGCCATAGAGGTTGACTGCAACTGTCTGTGTCTGGCCCACGTAGCAGAATCCAAAGTCAATGCTGTCAGTAGACAAACGTATTGTAGCAAGATCCAAGCGGGCACAAAGAGGTACTGTCTGCACAGAGGAAGAAGGAGTGAGCTCTGTGGGGTCAAATGTTTTATTTTTCCGCAAAGGACTCTACAGTTCTGAGTGGTTTTCTTTCGATCGCTCACCTGGAGCGTGTTGTTGCTGTGGTGAATCTGAAGGTTTTGCTGGAACCTCAGCTTCCTCCGCCCACTTTCACTGCTGATCAGTGTCACTCCAAGAGGATCTTCCTCATCTGCCTGGTCCAAGAGGGACAAAGAGACATGGAAGGCCACCTTTACCTGGAGGAGAAAAGCACAAATAATCAGATTACTCTTTATCAAAATTTCCTGCTACTTAATCCAGACTTTTTATTCTCCAGTTCTTACCTGCACACAGTGCTGTGGCCTCAGCACCAGAGTCTGACTGTCACCAGTTTGAGGGTTACTGGAGGTGCTGGTCTGCACTCGAGGCTGCAGCTTAAGCACTGAAAATGGTGGCTGGGTCCTCAGTTTGAAGTATAGAGGCATTTCTGAGTTGTTAAGCAGCTTGAGGCTCTGAATGGTGTCAAATTCATGCACTACCAGCTACAAAAACAACCAGAAAAAAACAACCAATAAGTCTGGCTGAACAGAAATATTACAGACATCTGGGGCTGACATCTCAAGCTTGAGCTTCAACGTATCAGAGGTGAGAAGATTAAGTGTTGTGGGTTTTTCACACAGACCTCCTGCTTTGATTGTCCCATCCTTAGTAAATCACCGGCCGAGGCTCTGAACTCCAGCACCCCTTCATCCTCCTCCATCTGCACACACAGCCTACAGCGACAGGGAGCCCAGAGGATGATATGCAACTTAATCAGACCACCTCCGAGCTCCTTTTACCCAACCTCAGCTCATTTTAATTCAGGAAACATAAATACAATCAAAGTCATTGAGAGTTTTATCATAACATAAATAGTGGGATTGTATTTGCTCACAGCGCAGGCTTTACGACTGCTAGTAGATCCACTCTGACAGGCTCCAAATCCGAACCCTGAGCTCTTATTACTTTACCCGGGACACAGGCAGCCAACTGTTAACACAAACAACACAATAATATGAGAATCCAAGCCACACCAGTCCTCTGTTGTTTGCCTTTTCCTGGATTTAAAAGTCAAATTTGTTGTTAAGTAGTGTCGAAATATTACCTCAGAGTCTAGACTCAAGAATCCCAGCGCCAAGCCCACACATTTGGACTCACAAACTGAACCTGAGAGAGTCAAAGGAGTGAACGATACATGGACTGTGCTGCTGCTCTTGGCTGGTATCACCTGAAGTTAAAAAGCAGAAGAAGATTTATTATTTTTCTCAAAAAAAAGAAAAGAGTTTTAAAAGACAAATGGGCTTCAATTCAGTCCACATACTGTTTGCTGAGGAGTGATGCAGTATGGGTAATCTGAGAGGTTGTAGGTTTCCTCTCCCTCACTGGCAGCCTTGTTTATGTTTTCCTCCTTGTCCTGTGATCAATAAGATTAACCAATACGGAGTTAAAGGGTTGCTGACATGCTCAAAGTTTTTGTAACTGTGCTGTACTTGTTGAAGGGTCTCACAGTCGAGCTTTGGGTTGGGGTTCTTGCTCCCTCTGAACTTCCTTCCTTCACTGCTTGAATGTCGCCATCAGAGTCCCTTGACTCTCCACTCAACACCTCACTGTCTTCTTTCTCAGGAGAGGACCCTCCCCGTGTCTCCAGTGTACGATCATTCTCATTTATGTTATAAGTTTCCCAGTCCATACGAATATCTGTCATCAAAAAGTGAGGATTACATAACATGGAAGTTCACAGAGGGGATCAAAGTTTGGTGTCTTTTCCACTGAGATGATTTAATGAATTAGATTAAATGTTAAAGCACCCATAGATCCTTGTTTTTTTAACCTTTGCTTGACCTTCAGGGTCATATTTGACCCTGAAGTTGTTTTCACTTAGCTTAAAAATAGAGTTATCTTTTATCTAATTGGCTGAAATTTTAAGATGAGGTTCCAAATTACACTAGTAACAAGTAAAATTAATGATCACTCTCCTGCATTGCATTATGGGTCTTTAGTTTTTATTAATAGCACCTTAGGCCTTCAGGTCAAATTTGACCCAGGATGATACTGAGTAATGCTATCGAGCAGTATGTCCTAATTCTGTGATCTCAAGCACAATGAACACACTCAGACACCTATCCAGGCACACCCCCACACCCACCTGGCCCCCCACCCCCCAAAGCTTGAACTGTATTTAACATAATCTATGATTTCTGTTTTAATTAAATCATAAATAAGGTCATATTTCATCTTATAATAATAAATGCTACCAAAAATTCCACCAATAAGTATAAACTTGGTGTCAATAGATTGGTCTGAAGTTGGTGAAGCAGATAAAACTCAAATCTGTGTGATTTTGTTATGTTATCATGCTTTTATACAGTCAAACCCATATGGGTCAAATCTGACCTGCTAGGATCTGACTGAGTGTAGAAAAACGAAGGATCTCCAAGGGTTACTGATTATGCTCACCGAACATGCTGGGATTATTGATGCGAAGAGAACGAGACACTGTGTCGCCTCCAGACACGTGCGATCCAAACCTTGTGGAGTAAACAAAAAGCTGTTTTTTTTAAAGCAGACTCATCGTGCTGATTGGAATTGTAGAAATATAAAGAAGGAACAGACTGTAAGGTTGGTCCTCTGGTCTGGTTGTCAAGACATGGACCAGTCATCTGGAAATAGAGCGGGCAGCCTTTTACTGTCATCTGCATGGGGATGAGCGTGGCATCAAGATCCCCCACCTGCAAAAAAAAAAAACTTCTTTAAATGGCTTTTAAGAATCAGAGTGCGTGGATGTGCACCAATGATGCTTGTGATCTAAATCTTTCAGCAGAAACTCATTCCTGACTCTAAAAATATCTGTTAGTTTTCATCATATAGCATCATACTTTGCACACAAGGTGATCTCTGTATTCTCCCCACATGTCTGTGTAAACGGTGACATCCACAGTCTGGCTCTCAAACGCTCCCAGCATCCCTGAGGCTGGCAGGATGAAGAAAGCTGCGCCTTTTCCATGAGCCAGCAGGCTGCTTACAAAGTCTGACACCAGAAACAAAATGACAGTCAGAATCTGTGGAGTATTTACTCACTCTCTTTAAATTGAAACTAGAAGCTAACCTTCTTGTGCTTTTTCCTCTATTTTCTTAGCCTGAACTGAGTGAAGCGGCTTCTTGTATGTGAGCCTGTGAACAAATGCAGCCTACGTCACAGTAAAGTCATTCTTCGATCTAATATTCAGGTCAGTGAGATGATTTCTGTACCTTTTTTCCTGCAGGCCACTTGGACTTGAGACGTGGCATTTGAAATACTCTGCCTCTATGGTGAAAGGTGCAGGGATGGCGCTTTGATTTGTGATCAGGAACTGCTTGGCAACAGCTCTCTTTAAAACCACATCATCTCCAAAGTTCAGTAATAGCGATGAGGGACTCTTATCCTCCAGAGTGGACCTTGAAGAAAAGGAAAGTAGGCACACGTTTTGTTGTGATGCATCAGCCATTCTTTAAGCAGAGGTTGATTGGATATCCGACTGAAAGCTAAATTTGATACCCCGCACTTGGCAGTGAATAGCACACACTGAGTTTCTTGATTTTGGAAGCAGCAATGCTGAGAACAAGAGGACAGTTCATGTCCTGGACCTCACAGAGAGCTGCCACCTCAGTCAGCTCCAGCTGGACAAAGAAGTTAAAAATAAAGTTGGTGCTTGTTTTAGCTGTTTATGTCTCGGCAAAGTGTGTACAGTTTTTTGTGAGATTACAACTGATACTTACATCTGTATGAGAGGTAAAAGTAACAGTGATGTCCATGTTGGCATTAGGTCCTAGTGTGCCAGAGGAGGGCTCAAAACTGGCTGAGCACATGTCAGCTTGTTTACCCTGAAGCTGAGACTAGCGGGACAAGTTTAAAGTCATGTTAGAGGCTATGAAGACATTTGAAAATGGAGTTCAATATCAATGGCAAAAAATACAACAATAGTGTGAGTGACAATTAAAATCCAACCATCCCACTGAGCATTTCTAAAAAAGACCAAGTCTAAATCTGGGCTATATCTATGCTACACCATATATTGTTCAATAGCCATCATAATTATTTTGGTTAAGTACTTGGAGATCTGTTATGCGACTCACAGTTGCTTTTTGAAATAAATGTTATCGAATGATGGGTTAAAGTGCAACGTCTAAATTCTCTGTCTCTTTCTTTTTCCTTATTTATTTATTTATTTATCTATTTTTTATTTTATTTGATATTGCTCTTAAATGTGTTTTAAATGTTTTATGCTGTTTTTACTGTGATTTGTACGGTGACCTTGACTGTTAGAAAGGCGCCTTCAAATAAAATTTATTATTATAATTATTATTAAATTCTGTCTAAAAATATACAGAATCTAGACAGATGAAATTAGGTCTACAAAAAAACAAACAAACAAAAAAAACTAGATGTCTAATAGCCGTCTATTGCTCAGTGGGAACCTTCTTAACTTTCAAGAAATACCATAAAAGAGCATGCAAACGTGCAGTAATTTTGTTTTTCACATGGTTAATAATCCATCCTGTCACTGGAAATGACGCAGTGGTAAATAAAGACTGTTAGCATACCATCCAGCTGAAGTCTGTAGGCAGCAGGGTCTGATTGGAAAGTGTGACAGAGGTCTTAGCGGGCACTCCGATGAAGAGTTCAGACAGACACAGCTCACAGTTCAGCAGACACACCTGTGGAGACCTCACATCTGCTCGCACTGACAAGTGACTGCAAAGAACACACAGGTGGTGGTGATACTTGTTCCCAGCAGGACTCCGTCACAGAGTTACCTTGTGATTGTTGCACAGACTGGTCTCTCTGCACCGCTAAGCTTCAGCTGTCTTTTAGCACAATGCGTACAGAAGGGCTAGTTTTCAAAGAGGAGTGGTGAAGCTTTGTACACCCTTACCATCCTGTTCCATTCTCCACCGTCAGCTCCAGCTCAGAGTCATACTGCTGACAGAAACTTGGCACGAATATCACATCCACGCTGCAGGAAGCCAAAGGAGGCAGCAGACCTCTGCAGGGCTCCACTGTGATCTAAACAACAGAGATTCATATAGATGTGAAGAATGAATACTAAATTTAAGAGTATGACTTTAAACTTTGGTGCTGTTTTATCCCAGATGTGTTGCTATATCATCCCACCTGAGGGTCTTGCTGACTGTTGGACTTTTCTTCCAGGGCCCAGTTTGCCTCCAGCGGGGAGGTATTGGTGAGGAGGAGTGTGGTCTGCTTCTGCTCCCCAAGCTTTATGAGCCCTAAATCCACACTAGACACTCCGGGGGTCACTACAGGACCCTAAACAAAATATTAAAAAAAAAAAACACACATCAGTGTTCATTCTGTAAATGATAATTATGACAATAAATCCCAAATATTACGCAAGTTAAAGCATTAAGAGTGTCCTTTTTACCAATTTTTGGTCATTTCAGTGTAAAGACAGATAACTTTTACTAAAAATGTGATGACTAAAATGTTTAGACTTTTGATTAAATACAACAGGTTTTATAAATACATCTGGAATAAAAATGTTTTGATTTTTTCATCGACTAAAGGTTGACAACAACTTTAAAATGTGACTAAAACAAAAAGGCCTTTTAGCCCAGAGACTAAGATTACATTTAAAATAGTTGACATAATTAACACTGCAAAGACAATGTGACAGCAGCTGAATGTGTCCAAAAGAAGAGCTTTTTCTTTCGTTTTTAGCCTCAACAGGTAAGTTTTCATTCTTTCTCACCTTAAAGGAGACTTCAACAGCCAGAGTGACAGGCTCATCGCAGTGCTGAATGTGACAAACCAGACTAGTCACCAGCTTCTCTGGTTTCCCCCCAATTACAATCAGGTCAAAGTCAAAACACTCGTTCTCCTCTGGATACACAGACACAAAAGACAGATTAATTAAGGATATGCAAGAGAACCCAGATTTCACTATTTTAATCTACACTGTAATTTGTAATGCACCTATTCTACCAGCAGAGGGCTCTACTTCCATAACATGGCTGCTGCTGCTGCTCAGTCCCTCCCACTGAAAAGAGATGCAGGTTTTGCTGTGGTTCCACATCTAATACACAAAAGAGACAGAATCACACACATTTGTTACAAATCTAAACATTTTTCATTTAATTTAATTTTAGGAAAAAAATGACTTCAATGACCTTGAACTGCCTGCGGGTGGTGGTGCAAATTAAAATCTCCCCAGGTATCACAATAGCATAGGGGTCCAGTAAGAACTGGTACGGCTCTGTTGACCCCTTGACCTCTATCTCCATGACAATGACGTCACTCACTTTGGAGCCAGTGCGCAAGGGCTGAAGGACACTAGGTTTTCAAGCACAAACAGACACACAATCGAACGCTTTGTGAGATGAAAGGCGCCCTTAATAAGCTTGTGTTGAGTAAACTTGAAGAGTGATGTCAGGGTTCTTTGAAAATGATGACCTTTTCTAATCATTGATATTTACAGTACACACTTATACAACCATCAGACAAAGTCGGGCAGGCTTTACCCATCTTCACTGGGCTCTGTCGGCAGCTCGGGGCAATCCCTCACCACTAAGTGACACACACTGTGGTAATCCTTCAGCTAAAGGAGAGTAAATAATAGAATTAGTACAAAAAATTAATAATAATAAAATAATTGATCGACTTGTTTTCAGTAAATATTGTGTACTTCTTTGGGACAAAAGGAGAGCACAAACTCTTCCTCTTTGCAAGGAGACAGGACTCCAGCCATAGGGCTGATGTGGAAAGCATCATCTGTGGCTGGGTGGAACTGGATCAGAGAGGGCTTTGGGGTTTCCCCTGGGAGCAGAGGGTGCAGGTTGGGCTTCATAATCTGCCAGTGGTAAGGAAGCTCCAAGTGGCTTCAACCCCAGAGAGAGAAAAATGATGATAAAGTCATGTAATGTGATTTTTCTACTTCTTTCACTGTAGGATGCTGTCACACAAAAAAAGAAAATATCATACAACTTTGTTTTTTGACACTATGTAGTGATGATATGTGAGGGTGTGCTGCTTACACGTTGTTTCTAACTATGAGTCTCCTCTCCTGCACAGAGTGAGGGTTACATGGGCTGAATCGGACAAAGTGCTCAGCAGTGAGGTCACGCATCTCTCCTGACACAGGAGGCTCCTCCTCCCCAGATACAGACACAAGCTTGAGTGCAATCATCTCGCCCTCACCTGAGAAAATACACACATCACAGAGAAGACAGAACGTAGTGGATACAAAAACAATTAAATATACTTATTACTGAGGGAATTTTGAAGTCTTTGTTATTTACCTTCAATGGAAATGTCTTTAACCTGGCAGTTGTCACAGACAAGAGTGAAATCCTGTCTGCTCCTGTCTGCGGTGGTGGGAAAGAAAACCACCTACATACAAAAACACACACAAATAGTGTAAACATGTATAGTGTGTCCATTGAACTTGAAAGCATCCCTTCAGATCTTTGCTTTTCTATGAATAGAAATCTTATTAAGCTCTGTAGATAAAACATATAATCTCATCAACATTTTTACCCTCAGCTCTATAACTCACCTCCACTATCATGGCCTCTCCAGGCTGCAGAACAAAGACAGATGGGCTGATTGCAAAGGGTGGCTGCTCGGAGAAGAAGCTTTTTTCCACTGACTGTAAAACAGAAGAAGCGAGTGAATACAACTGCAACTGTCTCTCAGATAATACACTGAATAGACTTTTACCCTGAGGTTCGAGGCTGGCCACTGGTTCTTGGGAATGATGCAGAAGGTCCCAGCGCTGAGCCCAATATTTTCACAAAAAAACTCAACAAACTTCACTCCTCCAATGAAACAAAATCCACAGTCCAGAACCTTTGGTACTGCAATGATAGATAAAGGAGAACATACCAGCAGAGTATGACAGAGACAAGCAAGAACATGAGGGGACTTTGTTGTAATGTAACTCACAGGTGAGCACTGGAGGGGGTCGTGCGGCTGCAATAGGCACCGCAAACAGGTGTTCAGCCTGAGCCTCCACAACTATGAAGTCCTCGTAGTTGCCAAGAGAGTCTGGGGCAAAGCGCACTGTGTATTTACAACTCATCCCTGGTGCAACAATGCCATCTTCACCGGGGAATCTCCCTGCCAAGACACATTTATTCATAGATTTTCTGTTTTATTTGAGAGTAATTCACCTTCTTTTTCAATGAGTGGCGCTGCTACTCACATACAGCAACACAGGAATGCCCAAAAAACCACTGACTGAATTCCTGAGATATGTGACCTTATTTGTCGGGACCTTTCTGCATTCCTTTTAGCTAAATCACTGACACTTCACACATGTTGATTTCCTCCTAACATTAGGGGCAGGCTTAAACAGGCCAATAAGAGCAACAGCAGGAGCTTACCCAAGCCAATAGAGAAGTAAGGAGTAGTAGGAGGGATGAGGCGGACGCGACGGCTCACAGATGTCGCGTTTTTCAACTCTAGAGTAGTCTAGGATGAAACAGAACGAGTCGATTAGATTCGATCTGATAAGAGGACAGTGAAAAGCAGTGGGTTGTCTGTGATTTTCACAAGGTGTAAGTTATCAAAACATACCTCGTAAACATACCCCACAGTGTAGTCAGTGAAAACCACCACTGAGGGCTGTGCAATGAAGACTGGAACAGAGTCATCATTAGATCTTCCAGAGAAAACGACAACACAAAAACACCTGATTACTCTGTTTGCTCTGAATGGAGTCACATTCACAGGATGTGGTGAGCACGGTACTGAGCTAACATCATATGTACATCAAAACCACAAGGCAAACTCGTCTAGTTTTGCTTCCTTTAACTGCTAAAGGAGAAACTTTTCTTTTTAATAAAAGCCAGTGCTGCAAATGTGTAAAACAGGGTTTGTTATTGTTCTCTTGTAATGCTAGCTTGGCTAGCTTATCCTCACCTTCATCCAAACTGAGTGCATAAACACGAGAAGTAAAACAAATTCTTAATAAGCAAATCCATATGTTTAGGGTTAATCTCTTATGCTTGACTATGATCAAATTATGAGTACTCTTGTCATTTTCACTGTGTATTTGGTCCACAGCACAGGATGGTAATTGTTCCACACTCAGACAGGCTTCACTTAAGTGTGTTTCTGTCAGAAGGCTCTCAAAAGCCCAGATATTGATATAAAGTCAACGTTTCTTACATGAGTTCTCCCACAGATGTTCAAAAACTGAAACAAAGTCTGGCAGTTTTACACATCTGTGTTACTTTACTGTACATACTAGCTGTTACTTTTTTAAAGACTTTAAAGAGAGCTTTACATTTGCCAGAACTTCAAAATGATTTATCTGAAATACTAATATACTATCACCAGTCAAGGACGCTAAAGCACACACTACCTGGGATATTTAGTTACACATCCCTAGCAATCGGCTCTGGTACAAAAGGTGTGCTGCTTTTCAAACTCAGGTACAGAGAGCTCATGTTTACATTTAATAGAAAAGGAGTTTGGCTGACATCTGCTCACTGTATTTCTTCAACACTATGTCAACATCGATTTTTTGTATGTAGTATTTGCTACCAGAGTCAGAAAATGGTGAGCATTTACCATGAATTGATTGAGAAAGACCTTTTACTGTATCTAGCTGGCACTTTTAGGTACCTTTTCTCCTGCAATGCGTTCCCCATACGTTCCTTTTTCCCCGCTTTGGCTCTGCGCTGAACAAGAGATGTGCCATCCTTTGGGGGAAAAGGCCGAGGATTGGTGTGTTGCTCTTGAAGCTTTTGTCGTTTTTCCCATCCCTCCTCCCTGTCCTTGGCACTTGGTTCTTTCTTCCACTTTGGTTTGGGTTTGTTCTGGTTTGGCTTCTGAAACAGATTGACAAATAAACAAAGTACATAATCTGGCCCTTCACCGGAGTCATCAGCTGTTCAAATTAAGATGTTATATTCTTTTTTTTATTTTATTTTTTTCACACAGGGCATTGCTCTAATTATCCAGGTGTGTATTGGAAAGGTATCAGTGATTGATTCCTTACCTCTTTGGATATTTTACTCCGTTTTGGGTCGTCAGAGCTGGATTCAAATGTTCGAGTTATACTTGACTCATCCATTTCACGTGCTGCTTTTTCTGGACCAGGAACTACAGTATAACCATCATCCTGAGGCTCCTTGGACACGTGCATGGTGAAAGCAATGGTGGGTTTGGCTGGATTTGATTTTTCTGCCAGGGGAATAATATGTGAAATCAAGAACCAAATGCACGTATATTTTTTTATAAGTAAATACAAGAGTACTAAATAGGGTCATGTACTTGCTGGTGGTGCTTTGAAATATGTTTTTTCTGTAGTCAAGTAATCCTGAGGGGAAATGAGGTTGTTCCTTCTCAGGAGTTCATTGTCCACACACCAGACGAAGGCTGATTTGACTGAGAATACAAATGACAAATTACATATACTGAAGAAAAGTGTAACATCTTTCATCAAAGTAGCTAGAATGAAGCAAGCAAGAATTGTTGACTTCGAACAGCATATCGTATTCATGAGTGTGTTTCCATCTCACCTATGATGGGGATTTGATGATCATGAAACTCTCCCATCCCCTCCATCATCCTCTCATAAGCCTGCCTCTCTGTGGTCGCAGCCTGAGCTCTGGCCTGAATTATGTGACTCTCCAACATGTCAGCCTCATTAATACACCGACTGTATTCAGAATGAGCCTGTGAGGTTAAAATATATAGGTACAGATATATTATTGTATAGGGGAGAGTGGGGTAAGATGAGTAATTTTTCATATTTCGGATCACTACATCAAGGCGATCATAATTTTGTCTCCAACTAGTGTATCTGCATATATTTCAGGATGTTGTGCATCCCTGCAAACCAACAGAATGAGTGTAAACAGAACTGTCTTGATAACATAGCATGACAAATAAGTGGTCTCCTACGGTCAACAATCAACAATCTGAACCGAAACTCTGATCCTCTCATCAGACTCCTTTACTTTCTCAGTTGGGCCAAATGGCTCAACTTACCCCAGAACTACTATGATGACTTTATTTGTCCACTAAGCTAAAATGGTGGACTCTAATGCTAGGTTTTTGACCTCATGTTGTAGCTCATAAATACCACAATTGATGTATAAAACAAATTTAAAATAATCTTTTTTGATCTGAACACATTTCTAATCAAACTTATGACAAACTAAATTCACTTTCAAGGGTGAAAAATGTTGTTTTTGTAAATAAATGTCTAACCCCGTGACCCATACCTTCACAGACTCCATGAATTGATGTCCATCTCCTAAAAATTTCGTCATATGATCCATTTCTTTTACCATTTCCAAGCAACAGGGGGTGGCTCAACTTACACTTTGGCTCATCTTACCCCACTCTCCCCTACAGTAGGCCTATATTTCAGTATATTTCTTCTGTTGGCCTCACCTGTTGAAGCTCTTCCACATATCTGTCATGGTAGCTGCTGCTTTCATTCTTCGACTTGATCAAGTTGGACAAAGTGTCTTTCCCAATGATGTTCCTTGTGTAAAGGTCCTCAAAAGTGCTTGATAGCACATGAGAAATGTCCTGATATACAGAGGAAAAAAAGGTTTTTCACAGCTTCAGTAAACTATCTCTCGGGTTTCTTATTAACCTACAGGTGTTTATTACCTGTGTCTTTCCAGATGCAGGCCTGTAACTGCTCACATGCGGATCAAACCGCGTTGTTTTGCTCGTCCCTGTTTCCTCTGACATGACATAGAAACAGTTAACCACTCTCACTGCTAACGTTGTTTCATATGCTAAAAAGCTAACTTACGAGCCTACTTAAAGAGAAGCACGGGAAATTGAGGATCCCTTTAACAGTCAACGTCTAAAATAGAAACTTAATTTAGCTTCTCAAACACCAGCAAAGCTTTGGTTCGAAGTTATTTAGTTAAATTTCTAGTTTTAGTTCGTCAGCTGGAGGCGTTTGTCTTCACCGCCATATTTGTGTACATGGTGTCGCCATGGCAACAGCCCAAGCAACAGGGCCCTGCAAAATGAAATTTCGCCTATTCACGCTGTGTTGACAGCTTGTTTATGCAGCTCTGCACCTTAAAGAATTTGTATAACGTGGGCTTGCTTGAAATGTTAAGTTGCAAACACACATTGTATTATTTAAGAATGTTTTTAACTGAAGGACATTGATTTTCTATAGCATTTTCAGGCCTGACAAGCTAAACAATATGTTCCAGAGACTATACAACGTAATTGCTTATGAAACAGGAATGGGCAATGTCTCAAGGAACTGCAGACTGAAAGCCCTCTTTCTTTCAATTGTTTCCTCTACTGTTTACTCATTCTCTCAAAATTGCATTCACACCATTCTTTTGTCTTGAACGTGTTTAATCATTCTTTCCTCGTTCCTCTGTTCCCTTGCTCATCTGTCATTTTATTAGATATTTTCATAACTTAGCCTACTCATTCCCTCTTTTACCCATGTGTGTATTCCCTTGTTTGCCTGTTTTCTCTTTCCTTCTATACTCTTGTTGCCTCAAATCCTTTTCTCCATTCACTTTCCCCTTGTTTACTTGATACATTTTTTTATTTCTGCTTTTATTCACTCCTTCTTCATCTCTTAGTGTACCTCTCCGCTCACTCACTAATGTTCTTGTTTCTAGGCACACTCACTTATACCATACCAATCCAATCCAATCCACTTTATTTATATGGCACATTTTAAAAAAACATTCAAGTTTGCCAAAGTGCTGCACAGTAAAATTTAAAAAAACATTTAAAATGGAATAAAACAAATGAAATAAAAACACAAAAGCATAAAAGAAAGAAAAGTGATAAAAGGACCATGAAAAGACATAAAAGGACAGAGATCACACAATTCTGAGCTAAAAGCCAAGTAATAAAAATGAGTTTTAAGACATGATTTTAAAGTAGAAAGAGTGGGGGATTTTTTGGTCTCATGTGGCAATTCGTTCCACAATTTAGGAGCCACAGACAAGAAAGCTCGGTTGCCACGGGTTTTCAAATGAGTTTTAGGGATGACGAGTTGAAGCTGATCAGCAAACCTCAAGGAACGTGGGGGGTATTAACATTTAAGAGGTCAGAGATGTACTGTGGTACTGATCCATTTAAAGATTTAAAAACAAACAATAAAATTTAAAATAAATTCTAAAATGATCGAGAAGTCAATAGAGGGACGCCAGAATTGGGGTGATGTGATCATGTTTTCATTTTCCTGTTAAAAGACGAGCAGCAGCATTTTGGACTAACTGTAAGCATACCATCTTATGTTCCCTTATTCCTATTACTTGCCCCCAATTGATAGCATGTCAGTAAAAGCATTTCAATTTTTCAATCTTTTCAGTAGTATAATTTTATTTAATTCATCCCTTACATGTTCCCTGATTCACTTGTTCCCTTGTTTCCTAAGGTCTGGTTACCCTGAATGCCTTTGATCCACTTTTTCCTAATTCACTCATACCCATTTGTTCTCATTTACCCATCCTCTTGCTCCCTCCTTGTTACCTTGACTCGTACCCTCAAACCCCCTTATATTAACATCATATAAGGTGTGGCATCATCTCTGTTGCTTATGTGATTTCTTGTCAACATAGCCACCTGAAGTTAACAGCTGGCTGTGTTTACAGGTACTGCAAAGGCGTGTAAGAACGGGTAATTTCACCATAAGTATAATTCAAATTCATTTCAAAGCAAATAATAAACAGTCCTCATCAGTGATTCTTATTTGGAAAGGTTCCAACGACATCCTGAACAAAATTTCTTGCAGGCTATAAGCTCATACATGCCGCAGTGGGATTCTCAATGAGGCGATTGTTGAGCTTATTTCGAGCCTCGTGGTTTGCCAAACAGAGCTGCTCCAGTGCAAGAGTTCACAGGACAGAACAGACTGGCAGACACTGATAATTGAGAGGCACAAAGAGGGATTTGTCCATGCTCTCATGTATAACATTCGAACAATGAACAGGAACTTGTTGCTTCCAGTGCATAAACACCATTAACCTATGACTACCTTCAAGTATTTTTCCATATATTTTTCCAAAAGTGTCCTCCCTCTTGGAGACAAGTAGGTTACTTTTGAGAGATGAGCTTGGCATCCATGTCAACCAACCCTGGCTTAATGGACTTTGAAATGTGGCTCTAGCACATTTTTTCGGTTTGAATCAACACTCACCCCAACAATATGCCAAAATATCTGTTAAGGAATGATGTCTGTGGGTGCTGCCGTAGGTTTAAACCCTGTCGATGAAATTCAATGATGTTCCTTACATGAACCTTTTGGTGGGAAAGGTAAAGAGGGGTGAGGCAAGCGCACACCTCATGCTGCAAATTGCAGGTCTGTACCCAACAAGGCCAACACCCTTTACAAATCAAAGTATGCTTAGAGTGCAAGAATGCCATCAAAAACTATGACACTTATGAACGCAATGAAAAGCTATTTGGCTATATCTTATCAGGGTTCACACTGGATCTTTTTTGTGTTTTTTTTTAAGTTTTTGTTGGTAGAAAACTACACTAAGGAAGGTGTAGTTTCACTGTCAGTCAGCTAAATGGGAAATCATAAAAGCAAACACGGCGTTGATCTTGTCAGACCGGTGTTGCAGTGGGTGTGGACTGAGGGTGTATAAGAGCCTGATGGGTTGGCTGTGACTGTGCACTGAGCAGGCTGGCTCAGAGGAGGACACAGATTGAATTTTTTTGCTGCATGGGACCAGGAAAAGGTTGTAATACTTTAGACTGAATCGAGGACTTCATCTCAGTGAATGGTGATTTATTTTTGATAGGACCCACAATGGAGCGCAACGGCACAGCTGGAAAACATGGTGAGTCTGTGTTTCTTTACTTCCAGGAATTTCCTCATGTTGTGTTGATTTTTGCTCTCCAAAACCTTGATATCATTTTAATTTCTTTCCTACTACAAAACCTGATTAAAAACAGACAAATACATCAAACATAAAACCACCCAACAACATGTGTGTCATGGTTGGTGTTGACACAAACCACAGGTTTATATGCTGATTTTTCTGTGAGGCAAATATGTTGGCGGTACTGGTTTCGTTTGTTGTTAGTAAAAGGTCACGTCTTACACAGCAGGAGAAATGTATGCTGGTGTAAATTTTTAACCACAGTCTGAGTGCTCAGTTGCTTACTTGATGGTGAACTTGTAGCTGAGTCATACAGATCTGAAAAATATAAAGTAGCTACTGTAGTTTAATACATTTCTGATTCTTAAAATAACAGAGACATCCATTGAGTTTTAAATGTATTAAGCACTGAAAATTACAAAGTTTTAAACCAGTTTCCCATTAAAAATAATTCTCCATGGGGTGGCGCTGTTTTACATCTAATTGAAAATCCAACAGCATGTCAACTCTGATGTTCAAGATTTAATCCACCCATTTTTAAAGCGGGCTAGACATGCATCCCATGTCTTTATCAAAATAAAACACACTTGGCCGCACACTAAGACAAGTCTATATTCTATTTTTGAGCTTATGAGGGAGCTTATTTGTTGTATGTAGTTGAAAGGTAGAAGAAATGACACATTTACAGTAAGACACCTCTTACTGCAAGGAGCTAAGACTAGCAGTCATTGTCTTGGGTTCCTAAATTTATCATTGAATGAAGCCATAAGTCACTAATCACTACTAATGAATAAGATTCTAAGTCTGGCAAGGCTTTAATATCGACCATTGAGTGCCAACATGCTTGAACAGTACATGGGTGCACAGCTGTGGACAGCTGCAGTCATAACAGAGTTATAGATGAGTTTAGACCCGCCCCATGAGGGGGAACCAGCCGACGTGGTGGTGCCTGCTCCTCACACCGAGTACAGGTTCAACTCCGTCTGGATTTCTTACTCCAAAGTCAGTCTAAGATGTCGTGTTTACACAGACGTCCCAAAAGGACGAAATCAGAGGAGCAGGCTTTCCAGGAGCACATGAGACAAGTTGCTTTGGAGAACGGAAAACGCCTAGGTAAGTGTCCGTGTCCCCCTCTCTAAGGTGCAAACGAGCGAGAACTGAGAGACGCGCGTGCCTACTGTGATGTGTTGCAAACATAGACGAGCGCGCGTTCTTCATGTTTTGATAACCCGGATTTTAAACTACACTAATCTAGTCAGATTGAATCAGTTAAACTTGGCAGGAGTTCTTGCCTGGTTATGGAGCTCTATAAAGATATACATTCTTTTATGCTGAGCTGTGAGGATGCCGTATACACGTTTCCTCGTTGCCTGAGGCGGTGAATTCTTTCCTGACATAATAACAATTCAGAGGACGAGTTCCTTTTGTCTACAACATGAGGGTCAACACACAGAAAAGCCTTCAAAAACTAAAACAGCTCCATGGTTGGAGGGGGACTTCCCTGTGTAGAGTGTGGCAGCAGAGTTTCACAACTTATTAGTCATTTTATGAGAGAGACAAGCAGAGAACCGGCTGTTTTAAGGCTTTCCATGGTCTGTGAGGTCTTTGGGCATAGATACATTTAGTATACTGTTGACCTGTTTCACCATCATTTTTGGTTTGGCTCTTACTCCATTCAACCCTTATGAACAGGGCATTTGGAGCAGTTTTTTAGTGAGGAAAACTCTAATTTTTCTTGAAAAATCTAAAGCGCAGTCTTATCTTAAAATATACCCATGCAAAGGACACAGAGTCCTGTAGTATCTGCATGAACCTTTATCACTTCCCACTTCCCCAAGGGTATTCCTCCCTGTTATTTAACCTAATTTCTCCAAACTTCTTGCCCTAGCTTGCCTCACCTTTAAGGGTGCAGCATGCAAACCAGAGGTTCGAGATAAGATCGTATCCAGTCTTGCATCTGAAACTGATTACTTGGCAAAAAGGAAAAGCAACCCTTATCCTCATACAGGACTGCTGTAAAGTAGTGGCACAGTATGACTCATGTTTATGATTCAAGAAGGGTTGTGTGGCTGAAACATATCCGTCGTCCTTCGTCTTTTTACTCAAAGCTGTTACTTCCTTCTGGGCAAAGCAGATGACATGGAAAGCAAATGACAAACAAGAAGAAGCTGAGAGTTGCCAACAGAAAGCCTGACTGAGCAGAGGCGGTGTTCAAACTCTGGAGTCCTCCTCCCTGCCTGCAAAGAGGCTCATAGATGGCCTCTGTGAGTCTGTGGTGTGAGATGGAGGAAAAAATGTTTGTTATGTTGTGGACCTACCCACAACATCCCTGCTGAGTTTTGGTGAATGTTGCTATCCTCAAATGCCCTCAGATGAAATTAATCATTGTCTTTCTTCGCATTTGAGAACCATGTTGTGCTTCTTTATTACAAAAAGCTGTGCACTCAGTCCCGCCTAAATCTACTGACAAACATCAACACCACCTCACGCATGTGCAGATGGAAAACAAATACACCAGACATTATCCTTGAGCTGACTGTGGCTTCTGACAATGTTGGATGTGCATTATAAATCGTGTCACACCCTTCCAAAAAATCCACGATGAGCAGATTTCCTCACCCAAATGATAAGCTCCTGGAGATGCACATTTGTTGTGAAACATTAAACCACACTCATTCGCACCCACATTTATCAGCGGAGTATACAAATCAAAACATGGTCGATATTGCCAGACATATTTGATATTATTAGCTCAGGCGATGTGGTCATAATCTTCACACTGAATCCTGCTCCAGTGATTATTCTTTGACTTTTTTAAAGCCCCACCAAATGTTGATTTTATTTAAAGACAGAACAATTACAAATGGATAACTGGAAATCTAAAGATGTATTGTCAACTTTTCTGCTAAATAACTCCCTTATTTTTTTTAAATGTAGAAAATTCAAACATTGGTTGGTTTCAGTCACATAAAGTCAAAGATCGACATTTTTTTTCATTTGTTTGTTTGTTTTTCCATTTTTGATCTTGAATAAAGAGTTTCTTGGGCGTTGACAAAGGGCTGTCAAAGTAGTAATTTGCACTCTGCTAAACAGATATCAGTCAGATGGCAGCAGCAGGAAGCAGAGGGACACTGCAGTAGCATAACTACAGTGTGCTTGAATGGACAAAACTAAGATGTTTAAAAAGACATGCTGATTTTGGACTGTGACCATATTTTGGTAACTGGGTCAGTACTGACAGCCCTGATTTTGATCACTATAATCACTTGGAAATCTTGGTCACTTGTGCCCAATCATTGGAAATCATCGGCAGAATGGAGCAGGCAGGAGGGAGTGTAGACCCGCATGAGGGGCTGCAGGTAGATAGGAGTTGTCTCAGCCGTAGTTCTGTAAGCAAAAAGTCGGCTTTTATATTTGATGCTGGCTGCTAATGGAAGCCAGTGAAGAGAAATGAACATGGAGTGATGTGCTGTTTTGGGTTGGTTGAACACCAGACAGGCCGCTGTGTTCTGGATCATCTGCAGAGGTTTTACTATGTGCACAGGGCAGTCTGCCAGCAGGGAACTGCAGTCAGTGCATGATATTACAAGAGCATGTACCAGGAGCTGTGTTTTGTGCTCTGTCAGGTAGGGTCTGATCCTCCTGATGTTATAGCGGGTGAATCTGCACAACTGAGCGATCAAAGCCACATGAACCTTGAAGGTTAGTTGGTCTGGCCAGGCAGAATTAGCGGGTACACATTCATTTGATCCAAGCAGGATACTGATCTGTATTTGTAAGGAGAGACTGGCTGGAATGGCAAGAAGCTCAGTTTTAAACATGTCGAGCTAAAGAGGTTGCAGGTGAACCCAGAAAGAGCTGGGTATCATCTGCATAGCAGTGATGTGAGAGACCATGAGATGATAAGCTGCCTCCTGCAAGCCATCGAATGTTAGAGAATAAAAGCACATTGAAAAGATGTGTTGATCAAGATAAAACAATATCATATCTAATTCACCAAATGTTGCCACTCCTGCAGGTTTGGAGGGAGATCCAGATCTACAGTTCCTTCTGGCTGGTGTGACGCTGGTGAAGATCCGCTCACACTCCTGGAAGAAGAACCGCTTCTTCAAACTGCAGGAAGACTGCAAAACATTCTGGCATGAAACCCAAAAGCCATTCAGGAGAAACAAGACCTGTGAGTATTGTCTTCAGCTGGAATATGTGTTTAGACAAATTTAAATGTGAGCCAAACAGGTTGTAGAGTATGTTGTAGAAAACTAGAATTTTCCTGAATACTTTGAACTTTAACTCCCTTCTTATCCTTTACAGCCATCGTTGCTATAGGTTGCAAACATAAACACAAGGAAACTGCAGCTAAAGACACACTGGAAATCATTAATATGAGTCCTGAGTGTGTGTTTTTTAGTGAATATCCTCCTTTAATTTCTGCTTCAGTGACCCCTGTCAGGGTGTGAAAGTATTAACCCATCCTCTGCGCCTCTGGTTGCTTATATTTCTTTCCATCCTGCTGCAGCTACCAGGCCTGATAACCTCTGCCCTCAGCCTGAGTTTTGAATAAACAGTAGAAGACAGCAGCGGCCTTATAGCTCCCATACAGACACAGCAGATTGTTACACATAATAGTCAAGTGTCGGAGCTGTTTTTTCAACAAACAAGCTCAGGGACCAGCCTGGGGTTTGCAGGCGTTTCCTTGTTTACGGAAGTAAGCTGAATGTTTTATTGCTTTCCTGTGGGCTTTAGCAAGATGCAATTACCAATCAGCTCTGAAGTACTTTGGCACAAGGTAAGAGAGTGTGGGAGGAGAGTCTGCGTTGTTTCAGACCATGTTTGGTATGACTTTTATGTGCCATTGTGGGTTAAAAATGTTTTATTCAGGGGAGAGTTCGGTTTCATTTTCTCATCCTTTTAAATTCACTGGCATAGTTTTAAATGAACCTGCTTGGACATGTGTGTCGTGCTAAATATCACACAACGATTTCCTTAATTTGTTCCTCTCTGAGTTTGGTATCAATCCAAAAAATGCTGCTGACTTTATCAGTTATTTCTGATGACCAATTTAAATGACACAGTGTACGGGAGAGAGGTTAAATATGGGAACACACTAAAATCCAACTATGCAGTATCCCTCCATTTTTAAATTTCCTTTACGTAAGTTGTTTTGGTTTCTGCTCACTACTCCCATGGCTTAGTTAATCTACTAAACACGAGGTACCACTCTGAAGGCTAGAAAAGATATTTGATGTTACAAGCTACTAAATGTAATGGAGCATGATCTTATAAAGAGGCTATTTTCCTTGGGGTATGGTGGACAGATTAGAAAAAGCCCAAAAGAGCTAAAGTGATGTAATGGACTGGTAATAGTTGACCTTTAAATTTATTAGCATTTAGGGGATTACAGTGAGTCAGTCTTGTGTTTACATTTAGTTTTGGCTGAAACATCAGTCCCTGTAAACTCAGTGTTTCCGTATAATCATAAACTTTACTAGAAGTTAAAAGTTTTCTAATTAATCACTATAATATCAGATTAAACGTTTTTAAGCTTACTCTTGAAAGCTGACATTACGGTGTCACATTCTGGGCAGTACTCCAGCAGTTTTCAGTGCCTGTAAATCATCCACACTCTGTGGCTGAAAGAGAGAAAAGCCTTGATTTCTTCCTCTCTTATTTTCCTCTTTTTTAACACTCTGTGACTGTCATTTGGATTGAAACCTCCCTGAGCAAAGCTGAACATGCTTGTACACTGTCAGGTTCATTTGAGGTCAGGAAATCTGGATTCAGATCATGGGATCGTTGCCAGTATTACTTTCTTTCAGCTGCTTGTTGCAAAGATGATTTTGGTGCTTCAGTCATCCAGGCTAACAGTACAAACATCTGTCAACTTATCCGACCAGAATTTGATTACACAGTATTCATGGACCCATATCAAGATTGGTGTGTTGTTATCATGCTGCATTCCATGGAATGTTTTATTATGTATAATTATCCGATGCTAAACTTACACTGGATCCCAAGTAGAATATTAACTATGAGGTTAACCTCACATTTAAGTGCTTATATTGACTAACTAGTGCTCCAGCTCCAGGGAAACACCCTCTGCTCTGCTAAATGTTGTCTTCCCTTTGAAGAAGGGAGTTTTAGAAACAGCAGCATGAGCCTTGCACAATAATCTCATTGTGTTGAATTTAAACTGGCATTCAAGCTACGCCAGCGTGACACAGATGACATGACTTGGACATTGTGGTTCTCAGCTCTCTAGATCAGATTCTCTGAATGTGATCCAAGTTTAAAACTCTAAATTCCAACATTGGTGTGTTTTGCTGGCATGCATCTACAGATTAAACAAACACTCCCGCTGCTGCTGCTGCTGCTGCTTCTTAGGTATTTTGTTCACTCGACCTCTAGTCAGCTGAGTGTGCTCCACCAGACCTTGGGTGTGTTTTCAGCATGCCGCCCACTCACTGTTGTGTTATTCCCTTCAAGTAGCCTGACCTTTAGATTCATCCTGCCTCTAGATAGACTCTGATTCTCTCAGGGACAATGCTCGCTCTTCATGTGACTCTCCAGTCGCGATGTAAAGGGCAGAAACACTGTGATTGTAACCCAGCTACAACACATGGCCTCCTAGATAAGCCTTTGGTCTTTGGGGTTTTGTTACATGGGCGGTTGCTGCCATATAGCATGGTTAGACCATGCGTGCATGCTTTTCTGTACATCATGCTGTTCAACAACAGAGCTGGCCCCCAATGTATGGGTTAAAAAAACAGCAACGGGGACCTCCTTACTGTCCTTGTGTGGCTGTATGATAAAACATTTCTCGTCCAAGATTTGCCGGTACTGTGTTTGAGTGCAGTGTGTTAAGACAAGAGAGGCCAGATTGCATCAAACTATGAAGTGTGGTGATCAGACTCTCTAGGAATGTGTTTGTGTAATCAGGGAACAACAAAATTTCTGGGAAACCATATCAGGGCCGTGAATCTAAACCCGTTCTGCAAAAGTTCCAGTTTGGGGCCTATTTTGTATCCCATGATGACAATGAGAAGTATTTCAGTTCGCTTATTTTCAGTATTTAGTATTAATGCCAGCAAAGCCATAAAAGACAACCTATCAGTACACATGGCACTGCTAGCTACAAGTAGCATGCATACGATGTGAAAGCATTTGTAGCTAAATGTCTTATTATCTGTTGTGTTTAGCCGAGTGAATGAAGGCCACAGAACCAAGCTACAACACAGACACAGAAGACTTCCTGCAGATAGGAAATAAAACAGTTTGTGCCGCTCTGTGGAGGAGTGACGATCAGGAATGACGGTCTGCTGGGAAAAGATATGCTCTTTTTTGAAGGAAAGATGGTTGAGTGTTGGTTCAGAGGTCAACCCAAACTACCAGATGCTTCCTGATTGTGCACAAATATCCCACTCAAAAATGATTGTCATTGCCGATGACAGTTTGAGCAGACTATCAGTGGAAACAGTTCTTAGAGTCCGCAAGAAGAGTCGAGCTTTGAATATGCAACTGTTTGTCCGCTGAATAAACTCTGAATCATATATCTTCTGCTTTATGATTTTGCCTGATCAAGAGTAAACTGATGATGTATGTAGAGACACGTTTTTCACAGTTCAGATTATTATATCAAAGCACCAGTCTAGGCTTTTTTGAGGGGGCGAATGTTGACTTGTTTGTATTTATGACTTTGATCCCTAGCCAAAGATGCCATAATTTCTAATAGACCTCCTTTCTCCAAACAGTCACCATTGATGACATCGATGCAGTGCGCAAGGGCCGCCAATCTGAGGGTCTCAACAAACACACAGACCCCAGTGTTGAAGATCAATGCTTTGCCATTATCTTCAAGGGCCGCAAAAGGAATCTAGACCTGATGGCGGCCAATGAGGCGGAAGCCAGACAGTGGGTCGACGGCGTGGAGAAGATCATCAACAACATGAGAAACCTCAGCCACCAGCAAAAGAGCGAGCAGTATCCTTGATGAACTCTAGCAGGGAAATACTTTTGCATAAGTGATTCTTATACATGTGTAGTCTGAATTTTAGAGTTCATGTGATGAGCAAAATCAGGTGGTTAACAATTTTAAGGGGTGACATCACAGTTGCCATTGGTGCCATTGTACAAGAATCAGCTTGATGTTGTGTTAGCAAAGTCAAGATCAAGATTTTCCAACTCCCTGGAAAAAATCAGAAACAATGGATCCAAAAAGCAACTCTTTTCTTTTATCCCTCCTCTTGAGGAAGGAACTAACAAAGCTTGCACATTTACTTTTAACAGTCTGCATCCTGATCATATTTGGGCAAACGTAAAACCTGTTAATCACAAGTAAACCACAAAGAAACTGGTGTGATTTATGTTCATAACTCTGAAGTGAGACAAAAGAAGTCTGTTTGTAAAGAGGTCTGAAAATGAGACTCATCAGAAACAAAGGAACAAGCCCTGTCCTGGGAAATGTAATGAACCAAGGAAAAATGTCACTTGTTTTGCAGAAATATCTGAAAGGGCAGAGTTTGCTTCGCTTTTGCCCCAAGCATACAGTTGCTATTGAAGTTGCTGATTGGACAGTGAAGAATGCAGCAGAGAAAAAAAAAGTCTTGACTTACAGCTGGTTTTGCTGGAATGCCTGAAAAGTTGGCCATCATTCCCAGAGGCTTATATAAGATAATAGCCAGTTGTACAGCAGGTTCTTTGGTAATAGTAAAAATATATGAAATCCTTACATTTGAATGTTAGCTGGATCATCAACTGCATGAGGAAAGCGGATAAGAACGATGACAACAAGATGACGCTAAAGGAGCTGAAGCACTTCCTGCGACACATCAACGTTGAAGTGGACGACACATACGCTGAGGAGATCTTCAAGGTTAGCCCCTACATCATTCACATACTCTACTTATTTACATTAAGCCTAGCGTCTCATTCAAATATGTCTAAAATCATGTATGAGTGATTGATTGATTGTAATGTGTTGCACAGAAATGTGACACATCCAATTCAGGGTCCCTGGAGGGCGACGAGATCAGACACTTCTATGACCTGCTCACACAGCGGGAGGAGGTTGATGTGATTTATGGAAATTGTGCTAAAACAGAGGGTCAAATGAGCGCCAGAGACGTGCTCGGCTTCCTCTTGAATGAGCAGAGACAACAGGCATCGATGGAGGACGCTCTCAGGCTGATTGAAAAGTACGAGGTGGATGAAACAGGTAGGGTTGACTTGAAATCAGAATCAAACATCTTTTGGGGATTTTATTGTTGAAAATATGGTTTCATGCTGATTGAGTCTGTCTTCTGTATTTTAGCAAAGCAGCAGAATCGCATGACCAAAGATGGCTTCATGATGTACCTGCAGCATGAGGATGGCTCCATCCTAAACCCAGCCCACAAAGAAGTGTACCAGGACATGAGCCAACCCCTAAACAACTACTACATCTCCTCTTCGCACAACACGTACCTGATGGAGGACCAGCTCAAGGGACCCAGCAGCACAGAGGCCTACATAAAGTTAGTCCAACATTCGTTTTTTTATCAATGCTTCAAACTTGTCATAAGGAAGTCAACTACTAAGGTATTAACAATACCACAGGGGAGTCCATTCCCAGGTCCCAAGGTTTACTCTGTCATTTAAACTTTAGGATGCACAAACATCGTAGAAGTCAGTTCGTTCAGGAGTTCATAGAGAGGGTACTGCTGATTATAGTGGTGTGCTGGTTTGCCTTGATGTTGTTTTCTGTCCTCGCAGAGCTCTGATGAAGAGCTGTCGTTGTGTGGAGCTGGACTGTTGGGATGGAGCAAACGGTGAGCCTGTCATCTACCACGGCTACACACTCACGTCCAAAGTGCTCTTCAGAGACGTCATCAAAGCTATCAAAGATTACGCCTTCAAAGTATGTCCAACTATGTGTTACTCTTATTGATCGTGTTCCCTTTTTTGCCCGCGTAGAGAGACCGAGTGCTGCTGAATGATGGTTTCCTTTGTTTTCACAGACGTCAGAATACCCTGTGATCCTTTCTCTGGAGAATCACTGCACGGTGGAGCAACAGAAGCTCATGGCTCATTACCTAATCTCCATCCTGGGTGATGCTCTGGTCACAAAACCCCTGGGCGATACAATGCCGTCAAACTTTCCCTCACCTGAGGTATATGGTCTGAATTTGAACTCACTGATTCTTATCATTTTACACTCACAGTGTTTACCACCTTGCTGTAGATACCTTTAAATATGTATGCATACCTAACCACTCTAGCTGAACAAGGAATTTCATAACAATGCATTTTTATTTGTGTGTGTTTGTGCAGGAGCTGAAAGGAAAGTTCCTCATCAAAGGAAAGCGACTGAACAAGCTGGATGCTGCGTTCAATAATAACAGCACCATCGAGGAAGATACTGTGTCTGAGGAAGACGAGGCTGCAGACAGTGAGAATGGACAGAAAGCCAAACCAAAGGTGAGTCAAGCCTGTCCTATTTAAACAAATATCCTTGTTTTAGTCAATAACACTCACACTTTCTCTTTTCTTCAGAAATCAAAAATTAAACTCGCCACAGTGCTCTCAGACATCGTCATCTACTGCAAGAGCGTCCACTTCCACGGCTTCGAACACGCCAAAGAAAACCAGGACTTCTATGAGATGTCCTCCTTCAAAGAGAGCAAAGCTTTCAACCTCGCAGATACTTCAGGTAAACACCACATCTCACCAACTTCACTGACAAATTCAATCACTGTGACTCATAAGAAGAGTTTGAAAGTTTGGCTCAAGTGTGTTCAAAGATTGTTGTTGTGATATTCTCTCGTAGGTACTGCCTACATTCATCACAACATGGACAAACTCAGCAGGATCTACCCCGCTGGCTCCCGAACAGACTCCTCCAACTACAACCCAGTGCCCATGTGGAATGTAGGCTGCCAGATAGGTAAACTCCAACATCATCTGCATACAGACAAATCCTGCTAATACTACAAAAAAGTGTTATTTTCATATCAAGAGTAACACCCTCTTTCCATTTTCCTCTTGTCATCATTGTAGTGGCGTTGAACTTCCAGACGCCCTCCAAGGAGATGCACATAAACCAGGGTCGCTTTCTGCCTAATGGCTTTTGTGGCTACATCCTGAAACCAGAGTTTCAGAGAAGCCTGTCCTCACAATTTAATCCCAACACACTAACCAAAGGGCCATGGTTACAGAGGAAGACCTTCCATATCATGGTGAGAATGTTTTCCTGGTTAGATACTGAAGTTCTTCATATTTTCAGCATGCTTCAAGTGCATTTCTGGGGCCTAACAAACACTTTAAAATCTCTTAAAATTCTTGAAATACTCTATTGAGAAAAAATTACATAGGTTGTTTACAACCATAGTTACAAGCTTTAAGTCTGCCTTTCACATTGCAATATTTTTAAAACAACCTGTTTCTGAAAGCAAGTGAAGTATCAACCCCATGAGCATGAAATGCACAGTGATCAGGTTCAAACAAAGTGATTCAACTACGCAGGAGGCATTTCATGAGAGCTGACGACGAGTTCAGAGGCTCCTCACGCAGTTAATAAAAACCTGTACACCAAGTAGCAGGAGTGCAGCCAAGTTAAAGAACGTGTTGTGTTTGTGTAGCCAAATAAGTGTTTAGATAAGCTAAAGTGGTAGGGATGACTTAGCTTTGTTTGTTTATATACAGTTATTGTATAACTGTCCACTGAAATAATACTACACTGGAGGTTATGCCATAGTATTCAGTAACGTCAAAGCTGTGATTTTGTTAGTACATCAACCTCTTTATCATGTGTTACTGCTCAACCAACAAAGTGGAATTCTCTGAAAGCCAACATTGTAACGTTGAAACTCAGTTGTTTACTTTGATTGTGTCATGCCCTTGCAGAGTTAAACAAAGAAAAAGACCCAAATGCAGGACAGAAGAATGATTCATTTAAAAAGAACTAAATAAGAAGCAACAAGAACTTACTCTAACTGTCCAATCGAAAAAATCCCAAAGGCAAAAAACACAAGGAGCAAATCCAAAAGTTAAAAAGGGGACTGGGGAAAGATCACATTGAGACTCACACACAAAGACATACATACAAACACAATAAACCGACAAAGAAACAGGGGAAGACAAGGACTATATATACACACACAAGGAAACAAGCAACAGGTGAGACACTGAGACACAGGTGCAGACAATTACAGAGGAGGGAAAACTGAGGAAGTAAAACAAGACTAGAAACACAGGAAATAAACTACTACAAAATAAAACAGGAAACAGGGGGTCAGACACAAACTGAAAACTCACAAGACAGGACTACAGGGGAACAGGAACAATAGGGAACAGAAACATTAAGGAAAATCACTAAGAAAATACACTCAGATCACAAAACCTGGGAAAAACTAAATAAACAGAACATATCATGACAAATTGTTTGTTAATGGTTTACTGCTCACTCTTGTCACTGTTTTTGTTATAGGTGATCTCAGCTCAGCAGTTACCAAAACTCAACAAGGACAAACAAAAATCCATCGTGGACCCTCTGGTGAGGATTGAGATCTTCGGAGTACCGGCAGACAATGCCAGCAAGGAGACACACTACATTGAAAATAATGGTGAGCATAAACAGAAACAGAAATGGACACACACTGAATTGTGCAATGCGTGATTTGACAATAATGCATCCTTGCAGGGTTCAACCCCATGTGGAATGAGAAGTTCGAGTTTGACATCCACGTCCCAGAACTGGCCATGGTGCGATTTCTGGTGGAAGACTATGACTCAACATCTCAGAATGATCTCATCGGGCAGTACTGTCTGCCGCTAACCAGTGTACAGAATGGTAAGAGAGCTGCTCAGGTCTGGGTCTCCTTTGTCCAATTTTACGTTTCACCAAATGTTTTCAATGACCAACAAGTCAGGGTTACTTGTGGGTTACTCCTCTATTATAGTGGAATCTTGTGGTTAAATGTGCAGAATGTGCAGAATGTAGTTTTGCATTGTCTCTCAAGGTCTCCCCTGACAAAAGCAGTGTCTGGACGGCACCATATGTGCAGTCCAGATGTGTAAGCTACCCATGCCTTGAGCCCTTATGTGTTCATGCCATCACTGATGCTGGCTGTAATCAATCAAATACAAATGATACAAATGTTTAAATGATTTGCAAACTATCAAATTTAGTTTTTACTCTCAACCTTTTTGGAACCAGGGTTGCATTTTGATAGTGATTTGTTGACTTGACTAAAACTCACTTCCCTTATTTCCAGGATATCGCCACGTCCCGCTGCTGACTAAGAGAGGAGACGTCATCTGCTCAGCCGGACTGTTTGTGCACCTTATGGTCATTGACGCTGAGTAGGCACCAGTTTGGTGTAACATCATTTGGAGAATTTTACGGATTTTTCCAGTTAAAAAGCTAAGTAGTGTAACTGATCAAAAGTTTCTTGTGGGAAAAAAAAACAAGCCATCAGCCTCAGAGGCTGACTCATTCTTTTCTGTGTAACAGTTTCTGATAATTTTGACTTTATAACAAAATGTTCTAAGAAAGCCAGAGGTGAAATGTGAATGAGAGGAGTGAATGAGCGGTATCAAGCATTATTTAAAGAGAGTCACTAAACTGTATTTGACATAGGCTACGTTCACACTGCAGGTTATGATGCACAATTAAATCCAATCTTTTTGTGCAGTCGTTCACATTACAACAACAAATGCGGCATCTAATGTCAACGGAATGCGTCTGTGAAGTGACCCGCATGGTGACGTTTGTCGCATATTGATGACGTATAGGTCGGATGAACTCGACCTGAGCGTCCACACTGCAGTCACATTGGATACATACCTGATTTATATCCACAAACAAAAGAGGCCTGGGTCTGATATGAAAAAATCTGAATTGCACTGTTCACACTTCCATGACAAAATCAGATATGTGTCACATATGGTTAAAAAATCAGAATTGACCTGCAGTGTGAACATAGACATATTTAAGAGAATAATATGAATGTGAGGGTGTGATTTCCAGAGAAAGACTTAAATGGTTTTGAAATCATTTTGGATTACCTTTGAGGTTAAAAAGGAAAAAAAAAATCTTGCTCAAACTCTAGAAAACTGCACAACAAGCACTCATCCATATTAGTGTTCTGATTTCAACTGGAACCACAAAATGATTTCTGAATGTTAACCATAATTTTGTTCACTAGACTTTATATAGACAGTGTCAATAGTGTGAAATAAAAATGCAAATACTTCAACAGTAGAGTAACATGCATCTCTCTATCCCTGTGTTCATGTCCCTTACCTTGAATAATATATGTAATGTTATATTTTTAAACAGATTTAGATGCTTTTGAATTTTTCACCCTTGATATGTAGAGGATATCTGGATTTTTTAACTCAAAACATTTGGAACTTGGCACACTTCATTAAATACCTTATGTTAGGCAAATCCTGACATTTTTAACCCTTCAGTAACCTCTTTTCTCATCTGATTTACCACAGCAGTTTTACATAACAAACTTATCAGTGTCTGTCTTTTCTGTACAGTTTGTCTGGTCACTTCTGCAACATTTGCACTAGCTCCCAAATAAAACCAGCAGAGTCTCATTCAAGTTGTTGTGTCTTCATTTATTGTCTTCTTTATTCAGCATGCAAATGAAAAAGTTGGCAGATAAACTCAATCATGCTCTGATTAACATACAATTTAACATAAAGATAAATATAAGGCAAAACTATAGGTGTTGTTTTAATCTGTAGTGCAGTTCAATTGCTTGTTATAACATTTTAAAGTGAATCATGATGAGCTAATTATATAAATCCTTTTGGAAGCTGGTTGGAAGAAAAAGGGAAAACAATATTCTGATGGACTGATCCAGATACATAAAGAAATGCTGTGAAAAGTAAGATCAGGTCTAATAAGTGTTTAATCCAGCAATCCTCAGAATAGTCCAGCTTTTTTCTTCAGGTCATTTTGCCTCCACTTTGGCAGGCGGTGGAAGTCTGAGCGACTTGTACCGAGCAGGTTCTGAAAATCCATATCAGACAGGAACTCCTAGAATCAGAGGATAGAGGAGGTTAGAAAAAATAGTGAGGTTGACCTCTTCTGTACACTCTGCGTTATTACATCAAGACACACATGATACCGCCACACATTTAGCACCTCCCATTGAATCTCAGTCATTCTTAGAGTCATGGAAAGATTATACAACAAAAGAGCAAAGAGAGACTCCACCCCTTGTTTCATAAGACGCCACAAAAACACAGGTGGAAAAAAACAGCTAAAAAGAAACAGAAACAACTTAAAGAGATCCAAAATGACCACAAAGAGAGTAAATTTATTAACAAAGAAACACAGAGTTGTATCTGCAGCTTTTTTGCTCATTCTTGTTAACATTTGGTGTCTTTTTAACGTCAATTTGTGGCTCTGAAGTTGTTCATCAACTCTCTGCAGTTGTTTTGTGGCTCCCTGAAGCTTTGCATTTCTTAAAAGTTTTTTAAAGCTTATCATTCCAGTTATTTTGTTTGTTCTGTAAATTATTTTTATCCCTTTGTGTATGGTTTTAGTGATATTTTGCAAGTGAAGCAAGACTCTCTAAAGCTACTTTTGGCTAAAGGACCCGCACCTGAACTTTAGTGATTGGTTTATACCCAGGACAAGGATATTCTGTGTGACTCCAGGGTAATAAAGCTTTCGAAAACAAAAACTACAGCATGCAAGACAAAGTCTGAAATATTCTGTTTTTATGAAATTAAAGCCTTTCATAACAGGTTTTGAGGAAATGCTTTTGCGTGTGTGCTATCCTGAATCCACATGAAGTGTTACAGTGGTCTTTGTATGTCATAGAAATTAAAATAGAAAATAAAAACAATACTGGGTCTGATTTGAAGGATAATAAAATACTTTAACCAGAATCCAAACCTACAAGCCCACCCCCACGTTTAACTGAGTTTTATGAGTTTCCTATAAGACAGCAGTCACTTTGCCATCTGTACCTGCAGTGTCCGTACAGTTACATTACATTCAGATTCACAATCCTGCACCTACCTCTCTCTGGCTGGGGTCCACTCCCTGCGGCAGCTCACTTGGAGACTTGTTGATAAGGAGCTCCGGCTTCAGATACACCCCAGAGCCTCCAGCAGAGGGAGACACTGTGCCACTAGGTCTGAAAAATGACGGGCTGGAGGGAGTGGAGGGTCTGGGGGACAGATCAACTCCCTGGAACCCGTACACTGGAGGGGAGCTCATGGGGCCTCCTGGAGCCCTGTAACCGCCCCCGCTCATCCCAGCAGGACTCTTGTTAAGGTTAGCATTGTTCAGATCCTGCAAATATTGGGGAATGACATGACATTTTGAAGCCTGAGGAGAAAGTTTCCTGTTATTTGTTATATTAGTAGACTCATTCAGTCAGTCAGCGTTAGTATTGTTGTCAGTTAATCACTTACTACAGTTATCTGTGAGATTGATGCTGCATCACCCAGAGTTTTTTTCATTTCCTCATAGGATTTGCCCCCCTGTTCAAAAGATTGGTTTAGTAAGGACTAAAAATGAGTAACCATGCAGAATCTTCTTTGACACATTGACGTAAAATCATCCACATTTCATTGTATTGACTCTTAAATGATTTCATGTGAAATCTCTCCTCCATACTTATTGTTATTGTTGATGTCATGTAAATATTAATCAAACTCTTAAATCTACCGCCTCTGAGCGCGATACGAGAATTCAAACAAACTCACACTCCACGTATGAGGGTCCCATGCGTTGAACCAGCCGGTGAAGGTCAACGGTTCGTATCCCTGCTTGATAAAGATGATGGGCGTGTCGAGGTCGCGTCCCGCAGGGTGGGTCCTGAGGTAGTCCTGCGCGCTGTTCCACGCCTCCTTGGTTTCATACTGGTTGGCTGATATGCCAACCCACAAGAAAATCTAAGGGGATTTTAAAAGGCAAGAAAGAAAGTCACAAAACATCAACTAAACTTGAGCGATTCAGTACAAGGTTTTTGAATTTATTTTCTGTAAGAGAGCTGATACTTCTTTTAATGAAATCAAAATTTTAATCACTTTTGAGCTAGACTTTGCAAAACATTAGTCGAAAAAAAAATCAGTTTTTCAGGTTAATTTTTCTGTTTTTTCTTACAAGAGCCAGTAAATAAATCCTCTTAACTGTGGTAACTGACATACAAAGAGGCTGTATCTTTGTTTTTACAGACAACCGTTTGGATTACAGCTCTTTTGACCTCCCACCTCCTCCCAGGTATCCAGCAGCATGACGTCCTCCTCATCCAGGTCACTCTGGGTGAAGTCTTCCACCTCGGTCATCCTAAACTGGCCTGTCTGATTGGAGCATTCGAACAGCCGTGGACAATAAAAAGGCTCCTCCCTCTGCAGTCTGAAACAACACAGTGCTGGCTTTCATTAAAGTTGTGAAATCTGCTCTATTTTTGTTTGAGGGGAATATGAAATCAGGCACATTTGACTGACCGTGACGTTAAAATAATCCATGCAGATTAAATTTTAAGCTTATTCATGCCTTAAAATATGATTAAAAGGCTTTTTTAGAGTAGTTTTGGGACAAATCTCTGTTTATCAGTTATTTTAAATGTTACATTTTGCTACATTTTCCATTATAGACCAATAATCTCAAATGTGGTTGGACAGGTTGGTGTTGTCGAGTGAACAAGAAATCCCAACAGTAGCAGGAAAGCCAAATGTCAGGTAAGATGTCTCTTGAGATTAGAGCAACATCACTGCTGTCAGATATAAAGGTGCGATGTTGCTGACGGATGTGTTTACCTCTTGTCACTGGCATAGGGGGCTTTTCCTCCGAGAGATACCCAGAATTCAGCTGGCTCTTGACCCTCCATCACCACCTGCTTGTCCTGCCTGGACATCACATCAGCCACGGCTCTCCCCATCTCCCTCTCATCGCCGCTGCAGCCCTGGAGAAGTATAGAACCAACCATCGAATTCACACGTAGTGGTGTGTAGATGCAAAATAAAATTTGCATTCTTAAAAATTCAGTTTGTGTGAGGCTTTTTTTACACACACCTTTCCATACCACAGGTAGCAAACATGGTCGGTCTTCAGTAGGAAAACATCGTTGGTGTTGAGAGACGAGGCCCTGGCTGGCACTTCAGTGGCCTTTGTGTTCAGCTCATCAGTCCCTCTCACGTGGAACAGCCTGGCACCTTGGGAGGGGTTGACCACACCAGGTCGGCCTGTGCCACCCTGAGGACAACAACATGCAGTCAGCCACACGTATATGTAAAATATTTAGTTAACCATAACCTTTGATTAATTATTCCAACGATCTTTTTGTTTTTGTACCTGAAGCAATTTTCTTTAGACAAATAAAACGTTTACTCTCAGTATATCAGTAATTTAACAGTTATCCGAGTCTTCCTCTACCAAAGCAAACATAACCAAGGTAGACATTTTGTACATTTAAGCATTTGTATATGAGAGAATAAAATTTTCCATCAGAAAACACACACCTCAAAGATGATGAGTTTGCCCTTGAAAATAGCCAGGAAGTGGCGAGGCTCCTTTCCCATGACCACCCTGACCTGGACCGGAGCGCCATTGTACTTGTTATCAATGTTTACTGCCTGGTACGCACAAGCCGTGATTTCATCTTTGGTGGCGTGACGACCCTGATTTAAAACCAAAGGGAGATAACGAGAAAAAAATACATTTTCTTTGTAAGAGAACAAAATCTGAATTGCTACTGAAGTTGCAGGTCACAGTCCGTTATGTAAAGGCAAGGAGGCTTATGTTGCCATGACAACAGGAGAAAGCCATAGACCAGCTTTTGTCTTCGATTACTTCCAAAGATTTTCTCAAAAGCTACCAGATACATCTTGTTCATTGGAATTTCAATAATTTTTTTGGGAGATGTCAGTATTTTGTGAAATGAACAAAATCAATTTGGCTTTTAAACAGTTTCAAATTATTACACCCACTCATTTTGAACCATGCTTAATACAATTAATTTTAACTCAAACTAATCCTTTTTAACTTATTTTAACCAATTAATAATTGAAGTTCATTTCAAACTTGATGTGTAAGGTTATGGTCTATTTAAACCAAATCATTTCACCTTCTGATGGCTTAGTTTAAACTACAAAAAGAGACCAAAATTAATCCTAAAGGCGTCAGATTGGTTTAAACACTAAATTTTAAGTGCATAAGGCTTAAATTATCAATAAATGCAAAGTTTTCAATCGCTCAGTCACTAAATTAAAGTTATCTTACTTGTCGATTTGATGAAAATTAAAGTTTCCTCACTACTCTCCTTGCAGTGATGCCACCAAACACTCTCTCTCTGTGACAAAAGGATGACACACCTGTCCCTGAGCCTCTGTATTGCCTCAGCCCCACCATCCCCCACTCTACCTGCATTTGCTGCACTCTACCTGACCTGACGTGACTCTCTAGTGGGAGACACAAAACTGCTAGTGAGAATTTCTCAAGATTGCCCTCACAGTTACATTAGTAACAGTTAAGTTTTATTGTAAGTCACGTGACCAAACGCCAACAAATAGCTGGTGAAATCAATGGTTGGCTGGTATCTCTTCAGCTCTTTGTGAGTCATACTGTGGAACAAGGACTTTGGCCACTAGTGTACTTTTGTTGATTTTTATGTCTTGGTGTCTCACCCTTTTTAATTTGATGACTGTGAAGCACTTTGTGACAACTGTCCTAGAAAGGTGCTATACAAATAAAGTTCATCATTCATTATTATTATTATTATTATTATTATTATTATTATTATTATTATTCATTATTATTATTATTATTATTATTATTATTATTATTGTTGTTGTTGTTGTTGGAGCTACCTTTGATAAATGGTTCTAATTTGTTTCACAATGAAATCAGAAACACAGAGTCATTAGTTTTATTCGTTTAATCCATTAATCATTTTTAGTTTTGAGCTTAATATTGTTTTCTCTCAGTGTTATGTGACGTTTGTATGAAGATTAAGCTTAAATATGGTGGCTGTAAGTGGACACTTTTATGACCGGGTGCGACTGTGATCTGGAACCTACATGAAAGGGATGGAAATAACCTTGCCCTCTGACCATTCAAATCTTATCAGGTCAATACTAATGAGTGTGAGTGGATAAAAATGCAGTCTTTAAAGATATGCATGTCAATCCTGAACTACCATTATCACCAGCAAGATACTGGAGTAATGTCAATAAACGTGATTACAGTAGGCTACACTGTGATTCCACAAAGAGAGGAAGTTCCTGTAATGTCTCATTCATAAGAGTGTGAATGGGCACTGAAGTATGTTAACAATGACTTACTTCTGTGACGATACTGACCTGCCACATGTAGAGTATGTACTGCTGCTGGTATGATCTTTGATAAGAATACAGCACCAGATAGCAGTCTCCTCCATAAAACTGTCCGTAAGTACTTGGATTTACTTCAGCCAGCTCCAAGTCCTCTATACGCCAAACCTGATTTATAAAATTAAAAGAATATCAACTGTCTTTCTTTCACGATACCAGTAGGAGCACCAAAGGAGCACCTTTTCAATCTTTACCTTGACATCTCCGGAGGCGTCATCCACCATGCGCTGCTGTGCTGCCAGGTCAGGTCGAGCGTGGAGTTGCATCACATTGAACTTAACTTGTTCAACCTTTGCTGTACAAAAGACCCAAAGTGTTCAGTTTGAAATAACACTATTCATAGGCAGTATCAAAAGAGAAAACTAGATTTTCTTCTTATGAAAGTCTTACATAACAAAAATAATAAGTGCTTAAATGGGACAGGAATAAAGCCCTCAGAAAGCGCTCTCTTAGCCCACATAGTTTATGGTGTCAGTAATGCAATTTTAAACTTGCAAGGCACTGTGCATTGTTTTCAGCTCTTTATTGTATGAGAACATTAGCTCTTGAAGCTAATTGATCCCTGTGAATATTTATTTCAGGTTAAAGAGGGTACCTATCTTTCCTGGGCTGTAGGTGGTACCAAGACCCTGAGTTTGCCCTTTATCTGTCCAGGATTTGAACAAGTGCTTGAACATGGCTGACTCTCCACCCTCTGTCATCACCTCCACGCTGGTGCTGGAGGGGTAGTTCTTGGCTTTGATATAGCCCTGTTATAAAAGAAGAGAACCTTTTATGACTGCTATAAATTATAAATGTTTCACTGCTGGCAAAAGAGAATAATAGTACTGAGATTGAAAACTGATTTATCTTGAAATTACACAACTGCATTGTAGTTCACAGATATAAAAAAGTTGATTACTCTGATTTCTTATTTAATGCATCCAGTAAACTCACCACTGCTCTGTTGAGAGCTTCCCGCCGCTCCTCCTTGGAGGCATGCTTGCCTTTCCACACCATCACACTGGAGCCTCTGTGGTCCAAAATGTAACAGTCCTGAAATTATGTGAAAAAAAAAAAGATATTAAGACTGGACCCAATAACTGTAACAACAAAATATTGAACAAATGTGTGTGTGTGATAAAAGACAGTTACGGAGGAGTGCAGCAGGTCTTGAGTCAGAGGCTGCGTAGCCACTTCTTGAACCACGAGATTTCCACTACTTTCATAAACGCTAAAGGAGAAAACATTACATGATTGTTTTGCATTACTAAATAATCTCCATTTGGGTTGCAACAATAATTCAACAGATGGATTAAAAGTACTCACTGGTAGAGTCTGACCATGTTTTTTGGTGCACCATCAGGTTGGTCATCAGGGGTGGGATCCCTTAGTGGTCCACTTCTCTGACCCAGCACAGCCAGCATCACCTTCATGAGCTCAGGAGAGTCTTGCTCATGTCCTCCTTCCACAACCCCGATCTGAGCACGACCTCCTCTCTCCCTGTCACGGATGTCCTGAGCCAACACCACCGCCTGCCCATAAGGATGGTGGGAAAAAAGAGAACGATGAGGTTCCTTCATAATTTCATTAGCAGTAATAAAATCAATACCAGGCTCTGCAACATTATGACATTTTTCAAAGAACTTAACTTTATAAAACATAATGTACCCATTGCATTTTTACTTTTCAGTGTCTGCTTTTACTCAAGAGGACAATAACTTACACTCTAAAAACTCTTGGGTTATTTCTTCAACCCAATTCCCGAGTTATACGTGTTGAGTTAAATTTCTGGGTTATTTTTCAGATCCATGCCCATTTCTTGGGTCATATGGATTCTATTGTTACCCAATTTGAGGGTTTTTTGAATGGGTTAATAATTATGGGTTATTTGTCTGAGAGTAACCCAATAATTGGGTCAGAACGTTGGATTTGATTGACTCTACGTGGTTTCTAGGCCTAATGGCAATAAAAGTGACCCAGTGAAATTTGACCTTGATTTTAACCAGCGGGGTGCGGGTTCAAAGTACATCCACCAGTGTGGGTCTTTCGGCAAGACCCTTAGCACTATGGACTACAAACAGTTAAATAAAAGTACATGGGAAAATAAGGTACAGGTTGTGAACGAAAAGCTCCCTAAATGTACATATCAATATAACCCAAGATTATGAGTCAAATTAACTCGAACATCGTGTTAACTTGACCCGTAAAAAGGGTTATTGAGTCAACCCAAAACTTGGGTTAATTTGAATAACCGAACATTCTGGGTAAAAATAACCCAATAAGTAGTCTCTCCCTTTTCAACCCTGGAATTTTTAGAGTGTAGCTATCAAGAATGCAACATCTCTGATGAGGACTCGCCTTCAGCTTCTCTCTCCTGTTGCTCTGGGGGCCATTCCACTGGACTATGGCTTTCCCCATATCCAACAGGAATATGTCTCCATTGTTAAAGCTGCTCCATGACACCTCCACCTGCAGACAAACACGTACTATTAAAATGGAGAATTGTAACTCAATTACCACACACTGACTACCTATCTTAGGAAGTGTGGCTATAAGGGGCATGTCAAACACTCATGGTTTGTGTGCTATAAATGAACCAATATCTTATGGTGATTTTGAATTGAGTTGTGATGCTTTTTGGATAATTGTGTTATGCATTTGTCCTCTTTAACTACAATGCATACAATCTGTTGAAGTTTGTAGCTACCATTGTTCTTTTTTTTTCTTTTTAGCTAAAACCTCCTCACCTGCTCCAAACAATCACTAACCCCATAAATCCCTCAATCACTGTTCCTTGAACACTAGTGCAGGAGCAGCAGCATTAATCCCCATCAAAGCCCTTTCTTATTCCACGCTGCATACCTCTGACGCTGTGACATGCTTCCTCCCTTTGACATGCAGCAATCTCAGGACATTGTAGGCGTTGGTGTCAACGTGGTTGAAACCTGAAGCCACTCCCCCTTTCTTGTAGCTGTCAAGATATCAGGTACAGAAGTTCAAGTGCAATAAAACAACAGCAGACTGGCAGCAGGACAAGAGTACAAGAGTACCAAAGCATGTCGATCTTTCTTAGTATTACAGTTTTACCTTCTTTTTAACCTCATCATGAAGGAGAAAACCCAATGAAAAGAGAGAGGTTTATGAACTGGGCAAGAGAGAACAGTTTTTCTTTGCTAAGCCTCAACCAAACAAGTGTAATTTGTGCCATAATGATTCCATGCAGAGGGATTACTGTTGTAAGCCATGTCACTGGAAGATTACAGCACAAGTGTGACTCCCTCTCTTTATTTAGTCAACAACCACTTCTAGCTGGCATACCAGCCTCTTTTTTTGACTTACATGAGGCCGTTTTTAAAGTAGCTCCTGAACCGTGGCGACTCGCTTCCCTGCACCTCCCTGTGCTGAACTGGACTCCCACCTAGGTGTTCGTCCAGCTGGGTGACAAAGATGGCTGCTGCACCCTGCTCATCCTGGGAAGAGGCTTTTCCAATCCAGTAGTGGATATCAGCTGACTGGACTGAGCTCTTGTTCATACTTATCTGGTGTGAAACACAGAAGGAGAGACAGTCACACTTCTATACATATGAGCAAATCATGCATAAATCACATGCCTTCACTCATTTATTAGAACTTTTCTGTCGTGTGTTTGGAAATCAGGCAGCATCACACTTACATAGAGAACAATGTAACAGTCCCCTTCAAAGAAGTTACCGAAGCCCTGGGTTGGAACTGACACCATCTGCATGTTCTGATCAAGAGAACAACAACAACAGACACATTGATCATTTTGAAATCTTGCTTGAGCTTTCAACAGTCTATCTGTCTGAGGTCTGACTCACGTTGATCGTCCATATCTGCAGACCCGGCTTCCGATGAACATTTCTAAATGCGTCTTGACCGTCATCACTCATGCTTCTGCTGAACTAAAGAAAAAAAAAAGAGATAAGAAAAACTGAGACGTGCTTTTTCTTTAAATAAGTATTGAACAATGCTTTTGATATCTGATAAGACAGTACAGCATACTTATGTGCAGGTGTCAGATTTATCCATTTAGGCATATTAAAAGGCAGCAAAACACAAATGACAGAGAATGCAATATTATTTTATGCACCTTTGAAGCAAATAAATGCAACAATATATATATTTTGAATAGCCAAATAGTCCGCTGTGGAGTGTAACTTTGCATATTTACTCAAATACTCCATTAAAGTAAAGTGTTTCCATTTTCTTCTACCATTTAATTTACTAGTACTAATGTTCTCTTTGCTCTAAAATACGGAAAATGGTTAGGGCCAAAAGGAGAGAGGAAAAATAATTACAGGAGGGACAATTTTTCAATTTCCATTTCGAAATTAAAGTTGAAATTTCGAGATTGAAGTCGAAATTTTAAAAAGTCAAAATTTCCACTTCATTCATGTCGACTTTAATCTTGAAATTTCAAATTTAATCTTAACATTTTAATTTTTCTAATCTCGAAATTTTGATATTATTCACGACATTTCGAAATCTCGATAATTCAACTTTAATCTCGAAATTCCAATTTTTAATCTTAAAATTTCAAAATTATTGACATAATTTTGAATTTTTCATCTCGAAATTTTGACTTTAATCTGAATCTTTTCTTCATGTGGTCGTAATGATTTGATAACTGTTGCTTTTCAGGTACTTTTTCCTTTGTTTTAAAATAAGTACACACTACTCCCACAATGTGCAGAGCTCCTGAAGTCCCATGAGGAGATAATCTTATGAGCACAAGATATTTATCTTGTAGCAACATGTTAGCTTGGGTTTCAAAATTTGCTGTTTTAAGCTCTTTGGGGAAAAAAAGTCATAAACTATGAAACTAGTTCCTCCTCAACCAGCTCAATTAAAAATGCAACTCAAACATCATCATAATATAACAAGTTGTATTAATTGCTTTAAACTATGTTGCCACAAAAAACACAAAATTTTGTTAATGTTTGCCAGGTTGTATGCATGTAGTTGTCTCTGCAAAGCTAACACTCAGAGAGAATCAACAGCTTTCAAGTGCTTCTACATTAGCCTTGGTGAAACTCAGCCTTGCTAACATTGGAACAACAATAAATGAAGGCAAACAAAGCTGCTAAACGTCGGTGGGAAAGCATTGTATAACTCACTTTGCGCTCTCTGTTTACAGAGCCAGTTCTGGGTACAAAAGCCATCAACATATTCTAAGAACTCACAGAGCTGACAGCTAGTGTATTGTTTGGGATGTTTACTGAAAAAGACTAAACTTATAAAGCTGGAATAAAATATCTCATTGTTAAATAAGTAACAATTCGACAAAGGACATTTTGTAAAATAAAACCATTTCTATGTTGGGGGTTTGTATTTTAGGTGCAAATTTCTGCATGTTCAGAATAACTAAATCAGAAATTGGTTTAAAAGAGTTAGTTTATAGTTTGTTTTCAACCCCTAGCCAGTCTATACCGGCTGATGATGGTGTTTGGGGGGCAGGAAGGGTGTATCAATATCTTAATTTTGGGTTTAGACAAAAAAAAAACAAGATTAATAATGAGGTATGAAAAGCTAAGGAGAAAAGAGGGAAAAATTAGTAATCAGTAACCTGCATATCTGACTCATGGTCTAGTTATGATAAGTAGCCTCTCTGTTTTAGAACTCTAATAAAAACATCCAATTGTAAGTCCTCCAAATACTTGAACATACAAACATTTATTTCAAAGCCTCTTCCTCCTCCTCCTCCTCATCTCTGCATTTCCTATCATTTCACTGAAAACAGATGTATCCGACATGGCAAGTGAACCCTTTCAAAAGATTGTATCTCTGACAGTAAAATACCACTAATCCTCCTAATGAGTGTCAGCTTGGTGCCACATCAGCCTTAAAGTTCTGCAATCAGCGCGGCTTAAACAGCCTCTTGACTGAGATATCAGAAACAACAGCACTGATAAGCAAACACGCTGTAGCACCGGCTGAGCCAAGAATATAGGCTTAGTGGTGACACCATATGGAAACAGGCTCGGGGGGGGATGTCACACTGCCGCCAACATATCATGAATGCAAACACAGGATCCACGCAAACAAGAATCAATTGTTGAATAGCTGGAGGAGCTGTCGCTGTGCTCATTCTCCAGAGAAATCACACAGCTTTAATTCATGGCTCATAAACTGCACGCTGCCTCAGAATCTAATCTTTTCTACTAGTAGAGGTGAACTAATGTCTTGGCAGGCAGTGATTGATTGAGTGGGAGGTAAAGGTGAGGTGAACTTGGTCAGGTCAGCTGTACTCTTCCACAGTGTTTACCACGCCCATTTTTAATACTACTAAGGCGTTTTTGTATTGAAGTAATAAAATAAAAAGCTGACACACACACAGCAAATATTAAAAAAGGGTTGAGATTTTAATAAAACGATTGGGTTGGGCAAAATCAAACCTTATTTCGAGTGTTGGTCTGAATGAGTCATACAGGGATAACTTTGGGTATGTCTTCATATGAAAAAATGCAGATCTATCACTAGTTTTGAGGCAGTACTACGTAACTAAACATGAATATAATGGTCAAAGTAAAAATTATGGGATGTCAATGGATGTTTGCATGTAATAGAGAAGAACCAAAACTTGCATAATAGCATTATAGCTTAAGTTAGCTAACTTTAGCATGTATGCAGTCAGTTAAGTGTTATTGAATGTGAGCTCAACTTTCTAGCTCTAAATTTTTTAAGAACATAGGGGCACTGGTTTTCAGCAATAAGTAGCAATTTAGCCATGAAAAGCTAGCTTAAAGCTAACAACTGGATTGATCCTTTGTCTAACTTGGCACTTAGCTCCATATTATATAACCAAATGATAACAGAAATTACCTGGTGAAACCTGGTGTATGTTACATTTCTTGGATTACAGGAAGTTCTTCCACGGTAACACATTTTTTTTATGTGAGCAGGGCAAAGCACAGATTGAACCCATGGCTTCTCTACATACAGTATGTTATTGTACAATGGACAATTTAACTTATAAGAAAAATATGGCTTGCCAAAAATGAAACCGCTTTATTCTGACTGATGTTTTACTGTTTGTGCAACATACATTGTGCCGTGCCACCCAATACAATGAATGAAAAACCTGAACAAACAATATAAAGAATAGATAAATTGACGAGCGCTGCATCCATTACTGTGACAGGAAAGACTGGTTTCGCATCAATTAGGCTGCACTGTCCACTGACTCATTAAACACACAATAAGCTTTGTTGATGCTTTCTATACATCCCAGTGATATCACCTCTGTTAAAAATGAAATGATAAAGGTTGAAAAACTATCACACAAAACATGTTTTAAACAGGTTCTGTCCAACAAATATGATCACAAGGTGCGCTTATAGAAGATGCAGTTTTTTGTAAATTGCAGCAATTGAGAAAAAAGGAAAGGATGAGCAGATGTTAAAGAAAAACAATAAAAATGTTAAATAAAATTAAAGGTTTTCTCTTACCTTGAGCTGTTTCTGACCAAATGAAAGTGTGTGTGTCTCCTACTAGTAATAGAAGTAAATGACTCAGATTTTGTCCTAATGTGATGAGGTATCTCCCTGTTTTCCCCTCCTGCGTTCAGGCTTGAGTGCACTATGGAGAGAGGGGTTGGGTGTATTTGTTTCCACACCCAGGTTTGAACACACCTGCAATTTCCTGTGTGGATATTACCAAGCAACGACCTCAAATAGGCCTCCTCGTTCATTGTCTCCCAGTCACCGATTGTTGCAGAGGATCTGGCTCATTTTAAGGATGAATGAAGCGAGTCATGACCTCAAAGCCAGGATGCTTGAGAAAACCTTGAATGAACTCGAGCTTTACTCAAGGTCCTGATTGTGCTTGAAGTAGCCAGCCAGAGTTGTGTTTATGTCTGAGCCCTCAGCAGCACAGCGGGCATTACAGGGGCCGCTTGACACCAGTTATTCATTTCACAACTGCTACAACTAGCAGATAGGGGAGTTGGACTCAAGGAGCCCTGAGTGGAGCTGGAGAGGAATCGGAGGCTTTCTGGCTCCTGTGCCTCCTCAGAGAGACACTCAAGGAGGAGGCTTGACGCCTTTCAAGGTTTGCAGCTCTGGCCTTTGTCTGACCTATAGAGCTGTCTTTCGTAGATTTCATTTACTTTTGTTTGTTTAATGTCCAGATGTGTTAAAAGGCTGTATGAAGTATTTTTTGCAGCTTTACCTATTTAAGAGAGGACAAGTATTTGCAGACTTTAGATGTTAATCTTGGTCAAAAGGTGAATTTTATGCAGGGAAACTAGAAGAATCAAATACAGTTACTTTTAAATCAAAAGAAAAGCTAAAAAGTGGTAGAAAAAAAAGATTAAGTATTCCTTCAAATACTTCCAAACCATGCAAGCAATCTGTAAAAACCTGCTGCTGCACATTGCAGCTACAGCATGGATCACACATGCATCAGCCCCCCTCTGCTTAGGTTTTCTGAACAGGCAAACATCCATTACACACGTCTTAGTCTTATGTAGTTCACACAATCCCTGTGGCAGGGAGTCTGAGAAAAAGATTGTTACGTAACTAACCTGGTTTCCTCTCCTTAACCAACAGATTCAAGAGTACAGGCTTAAGTTTTTCTTACCTTTAACCACGGCCTCTCATGTTTTGAATCAGTCCTGTACTCCATCATGAAAATCTGCTCATTTCAACAACGTGGAGAACTTTCGTCCCCACATTTCTCAGGGACAACTGAGAAATTAGGGGGAAAAAACAGGCTTGAACAATAGGCTCTGTAATGCCTAATCCACTGCAGCAGTTAAAGTAGCTGCTACGTAAGCGGAAGCTAAAAGTTCACATCAAGATATCACATGAAGCTGAGCGCCTCTTGGTTGACCATTAACCAGTTTATATCCATACAATTAATGCAGCTTGAAGATCACTGAACAGTTCTGACTACAGAGGAAGTCCATGGCGCCTTCTTGTTTTCAGATTGTAACTAACTGGATGTTTTTCAGTCATAGAACAACAGATGTTATATTGTATGAAATGTGGGTTGTTGCTTTTTGGCATAAACATGAAAGTCATTTCAGTTTCTTTCTTTGCTTAAACTGAAGAGACAAACAAAACCCCAATTAAGTGTCATTAAATCTTTTTTTTCCTGAGTGCTCGAAGGTTATCTGTGTTTGCTCAGAACAACAAGATGTTGATCATTAACATCCAAGAAAACTCAGATTCTTCAGTCTGCTGCGGAAATTACACAGTAGGCAAAACACTTTCAGTTGCTGTCCAAAAGGACTTTGAGTCTAAAAAAATCACGACAGTTCTGGCAGTTTAAAGCTACTGTGAGAAGTTTTGTAATCTGTTGTAAAATAGAATATTATTAACATCAGTGCCTCTTTATAACCTAAATAAGGAAAGAAGACCATTTGCAAAAATACCTACAAACAGTTTCTATACTCTAATTTTTTATGCCTGGGGGTAGGTGTCAGATAAGGCCGTTTACAGAACTGAGAAAAACAAAAAGGTTATTTCTCTCCAACAGCAAAAAAATTGTCAGGGATTAGCCTATTTTTTTAACCTAAAAAGGTAACTAATTTAAATTGTGATAACTATAAAAAATATAATTAAAAAAAATCAGAGTAAGAATATTTTGGGTGAAAAGAATCTCAGTCTATGCAGGCTTTAAAAAATGGATTCATATCTCTCAGTCAGGATGTAAACTGGTGTCTTTCGCACATTCAAAAATGTTAGAGATAATTTCCCCTTATTTAAAATCACATGTAAATATCATTGAAAGAATATAGAGAATATATTCCATTATAAAGTATATTCGGGGGGGGGGGGGTCTTAATATTTTGTCCAACAGCAATAATAATAATATCATTTTTGTGACTGCTGAAAAAACAAACAAAAAAAAAAACAAATGTGCAGGACAGGGTTTTTGTAGATATCAGAAATATCACATTGTCCACAGGGGGCGCCAAAGATGACACAAACAGAAACTTCCTCATTGGAGCTTTAAACTCAGGTGGCCAAAATATCTCTGTTCGATTTCAGTTAAACATGAATCCAAACTTTTAGCAGCTAGGGGCACCAAGGATCATGTCTGCATATTTTCTAAGAATTAAAGGCCAAAATTTCCTCCTTTTTCGTCCTTGTTTTTGAGCCCCACCCACTCTGGTGTGCTGAACACTACACAATGTTCACCACTAAGAACTAACCTCCCTTTATGGATGCTCATAAAGAAATATTCATTAAAGACACTTGAAGGTAAATAAAGTCACTACACCATGATACAAACTGACAGTGTGCAAACCTGCAACTTTAATAATGTTGTACAGTACGATTTCAACAGCAGTCTTTACAATGCACCCTTCCCCATTTTCCCCAATAAATATAATTTCATGTGATCTAAGCTAATCTTTATATTTTCTTTAAAAGTTTAACATTTATTGGTGGACAGTGATATCATCACAAAGGTTTCTCTTTTCAGTAATAAAGCGGGGTTTAATGTCTTTAGGGATTATCGATTTACAGCCACTGTCAAGAATCAAAGAATTAATAAGAATTCAATCACGAATCACATTGAATTTGAAAATCTTTGGTAAGTTTCACAATTCAATGTAATCAAACTTAGAATCAAAGTCTCCTCCGGGTCCAACAGGCTAGCTCTATTTTTTTTTAGAAATGATACTTTTCTTTATAGTTTAAATCACAATTATCAAAGACTTATCTTTAACTTGAATTCAAGGGTTCAGTTCAGACGCTCTTGGAAATTTAAGTGAATATGCAGCATCAAAATGCGCACCCCATAACCCCGACACAACAAAATCAGCACAGTAATGAAGGCACTTCATTCTGTAAGAGAAGGTAAATCACAGTTGTTTGAACGAAAGGTCAGACAAGAAACGACAGCCTGCATAGCACAGCTCGACACAAAAAAACAAAAACAGAACAAAAGGTCACTCATTCTTGAAAAAGAAACTTTTCGTTCTATTTGTTTATTTTTGGTAACTAAAATATTACTTGATAGAATAGTAAAACCTCCTCTCTCTGATAGAAAAATTACTTTATGTATGTCTTGCTCTTAGAAACATATAGTATGTACATACAGTAATATAATCTTTTGTCAGTAGGAGTCCTGTACAAACAGTCCGAGAACGCAGAGATCAGTTACTGTCTCTAGATTTCATTAGGACCAGAAAAGTTGCCTGAAGTCCCCAGATCGAGGGCCCTACTGTGACTCCTGGTCTGGTCGGAGCTCAGGGCTGCAGGGCCTGCGGTAGTAGGGTGTGGCCCCTGTGCAGCAGGGTCGGGGTGCGAGGCAGGAAGGATCAGCTGCAGCTGCCGTCTGCTACCTGTTCCTCAGGCTTTGTAGCAGGCTGTAAACATCCTCCTCCTTACTGAGTCCCTCAAACATGGGAATCAGGTCCAGCAGCTCTGTGTCTGTCATGTCGTCAAACCACGACTGCACTGGGACCTCGGGGAGAGAAACGCAAATGATAGAGTGAGAAAAACCTCGATCAAGATGCTTTAATTAGGAGGGAAAACACAGCTGACAGTGGATGTTTAAAGTGTTGCATTATAGGTGACGGGATGGTGCGAGTTTTGTGTAAATAATTAATGTGGGAAATGCATCAAAGGCTTGAAGAGTGGCAGCAGCTCCACTGAGAAACTGCAGCACAAAGGAGAGAAATCTCACTGAAATGGGAACACTACTCTTGGCACAGCACTGCAACAGAGTCAATAGTGCAGATTTGAACTGTTGTCTAACAAATACAATAATTTACCACCAATGTACAATTAATAATATCACTGACTTTTTTTTCTGCATTCTGACTCTCTTTTAACCAAAACATGTAATCTCATCATAACAGGAAAAATCTACGTTTTATGTGCAGAATTATCTTCTTGTAGATTGATTTTGACATCCTGGAGTTATTTTGCACTTCTTACAGTGAAGTTGAATGTTTTTGTAGCATCTTTTCACTGTTTTCAGTAAGTCACAGCCTACCCAGTGTTAAAGTTGAAGGACAGCTCATACTGATAAATATCAGAGTGTAGCTTGCAGTTTACATGTCTGTGGCTGACAGCTCAAATCTATGATAGGGCTGGGCGATAAAACGATGACGATATAAATTGAAAATTAATTTCCCTTAAAATCAATATAAAACATGGTCAATATGCTTTTCGATAGTTGGCATTCTGCCATGTTTTGGTGGACTATACGAATAGCCAATGATAAAGGGGAGTTGGGTCCGCTTTGCACTGAACCAATCATGTGCTGAATTAGAGCCAAATAGCAAACAACTGCATAGTAGCAGGCTGCAGCTACAGAAATGCAGATGAAGGCTCAACAGATGACGACATCCTCGACAACACTGGCAGGAAAATGTCGGTGGTGTGGAGGTATTTTAATTTTTTGAGGTTGGACATGAAGCGGAGTAATGTGCACTGCGAATTATGTCGAGTACATGTTCTCACAAAGTCAGGGAATAACTTCAATCTTTTTCACCACCTGAAGCAGTGCCACACAGCAGAGCACACGCAATACAAATGGTTACAAACTTGTATTGCAGAGGACATGCTACAAATAAACACTGTTAAATGTCCCTTTTTATATCGTAATATATATCGATGTCGACTGATATGAGAAAAAATATTGTGATTGTGATATGAGTATATTTCTACCATTCTTGTGATTTTTTATATTTTTTTCATTTGAGCAGGGGCATGTGTGTTCCTCTTTCTACAGGGACTGAAAAGACATATCTTTTGGCACAGTAAATTCTGTGTCTACAAATTTGCCAGCTGTTACACTGAGAGTAGATACTCCTGAGTATAAGAGCAAATATGACGAGATGCAAAACAAACATGTAGGTGGTAGAGATGGGGGGGGAATTATTCGTCAGTATTCTCTCCCAAAGGAATATTTTTGTTTTTCTGAGGTACAAATGAAGCCTTTTGGAGAACTTTGAGGTTTATTACAAGCTCTCATTCTTTTGTTCTCATAGCCTTTGAATTCCTCAAGCAACCAATGAGTATATATTGACACAATATCATAATCAATCATGGATCTATAAATTAGCTTGTAGTCAAACTGTACATGTTCTAAATTAAGTCAATAGAACAACTTCTCCACCTTTTAGTCTTGAGTAAAAAACTTAAGTAAGAGGTAAAATTACAGATTTGAAAAAACTACTCATTAAAAATGCACAGTTCAGCAGCAGACTTACTGCATTCTCAGGGTGGAAGATATAGGAGGCAGGTGAGTTGTCTATGATGATGACTTTACTGAGCTCTCGGCCCAGCCGGCTGAGGTCTTTGACGTAGTTTCCTCTGTGGAAAACACAGGATTCCCTGAAGAGCCGGGCGCGAAACACCCCCCACTGGTCCAGCAGGTCTGCCACAGGGTCAGCATACTGTGTGTATCAAAAGTATCAGATTTACACGGTGTGCTGAAAGTAAATGTTACCCTGTTGACTTAGTGTTATAATGAGTGAACTGACCTTGGCTAAGCTAGCTGTGAAGAGGACACATTCAAAGAGCTCCCCCATCTTCTGGAGGAACTCATCCACGTGTGGCCTCTTCAGCACGTACACCTGAAACAGAGCGCACAAAGACGCCTCAGTCTCACACTTTTTACCTGTAACAACCATCTGTTACCTCAGCAAATGTCAACTGAGACTCAAGGTATTAAAGCAAGTTAAAGCTGTTTATCATACATTTTAACCTGAACGTGTTATAAATATTCAGGCAATGTTCGTGCAAAGCTTCCTTCCTTACTGTTGATGTTGAATTTTCACACCTAGGCTAAGAAGAAAAAAAAGAGTTCTGCACCCTTCCCCAAAACCACAGACAATGTGATTGTGCATTCTCTTTGTTTTCATCCTCTTCAGCAGCTCTCTGGGAGGGTCAGTCGCTGCAATCAAGAGCAAGTAATCAAGCATAGGCCGAGACAGATACAGAAAGCCTATCCTGGATTACTTGAACTTGGTCACAGCTAGAGTATCGCAGCTGCCGATCCAAAAGAGGACACACAATTCATAAATAAACCTTTGACTTGTGCTTCTGTGAGGACTTTTCAGCTGGTTATGAGACACATCAAAATCACTGCTGATGACTTCTTCCCATTAAAATGTGAAGATTATCAATATAGCGATGCAATTCTTCTAATTATTTCAACATCTGAATCCACAGGTTCAGGTGTCTTTATTGAAAGATTAATAACGTGTGACATCTGAGTGTTTGAATTAAACAGGAAATTTTTCGTTAAAAATATGCATTGTACATGTACAAGACAAAATCTGTAAAGATACAGGGGCAACTAATTTGTCCACTGGGGGCGCCAGAATCAACACAAATAAAAAGTTCCTTACAGGAGCTTTAACACACACAACAAAATAACAGCAAAACATTTCTTGTCACATCACTAATATTCATAACACAAAATGTGGTAACACTCAGAGAGGATGATGGTGACGTGATCACTCTTGTGAGACCTGATGTGGATGATCCTAATTATTTCAAAATACCAATAATTAGCCGACTGATTAATCGTTTTTTCCTCTGTGTTCCAGATACTTTTAGACATATGTTTACTTAATGACTCAGTCAGATTGTGGCTCATCTATCTTTAAAGCACGAGAAGTCAGAGAATAAACAGAAAACACTGTATTCAAGGGGGAGAGTATGAGCTGCCCCACTTTGATGAAGCTGTTTGATATAAGAGAATAATAAATGCAAAAAGAAAGAAAATGGAGTCACTACTTCTAGAAGAAACCTTTTCAGTTAGTAAATAAGTACACTGTGTTTATTTCCAATCAACTTTTCAGGAAGTCCTTCATTGCAGAGTTTTACCTGATGAACTGTCCCATCAATCTCCACTGGAACGATGAAGTCTGCATTGCTGATAGGCTGCAAGGAGGGAGAAACAGAGACAGGTTATAAAATCTGTGTTTTGTTTAGTTTTTTTGGCTCTAAATAGGGCAAGAAAGTGGCTACAACTCACACCAACATGTTCTGCCAGACAAAAATCAACACAGAAACAGAAAAGGTAAAATACTCCTGTTCAGTTCCCCCAGGCAATGTAAGGAGTCTTTAAGCAAAATGTGGCTCCCTCTGCTCCACTGCTCTGTAACTGAGTGTTAAGTAAAATTCAGAAGTGAGACTCTGGGGAGAAAGCTGGGAGACGAACAAGGTGACTGACGTGAACAGGAACAGGAGGAGCGCCCCCGTTTTCTTGGCATGACTTGTGTCATCTTTAGAAGCAGGAAAGAGGAGAGGAGAGGTGCAGGAGGTAGAGGAAGATAGACGCCGAAGGGTTGTGGGTGGAAGACAAGTGGAGGGCGTAAAGACAAGGATGAAAGGATTAGGTGGGTGGTACGACGGTGTCATTTTGGAAACGGAGAAAAAGAAAAATAAGCGACACAGACTGCAAAGTGTTTCTGTGAGTTTTATGTTGCATACAGAAATGTTTTAAGCAGTCACTTGTTTGGATAATTTATACAAACAGATAAAATAAGTATGCATTATTAGCTGTAATTCATCCATAAATATTCAAAAATCCAGGTAAATCTGCAACACCTTTCCTCCATGGTGCCGGTGTATTAATTACAGAGCTTAGATTTGAAGTAGTGACGACTGAAGAGATCAAAAATCTCTACAAGTGCTGCAACTTTCCCTCTGAAAGGACAAGGGGCTTTAGGAGTTCAATACACTTCCCTATATTAATTTGCAAACACAAACCACCTTGTTTTGTAAATGTCAGTGAAACTCCTTAACTAAAAAGTATAAAGAGATATTGTGATGAAACTAATGTCAGAGCAGCTGATCTTGTTCTTGAATATAACCCTTCTTCTGTCTGCAGTGATATGAGTAAATTCAATGCTTTATCCTCCAGCATGAAAACACAGCAGTAAATTTCAATTCCATCCAACAGAGGGGGTGTTTGCTGCAAGAATACCAAACACAGACAGCACTTTGACCTTCCACTTGCCACCTGTGTAATTTATCTTGTATGACCATAATGGTGCTGACAGCAGAACAACAGACAGACTGTACTACAGATGTTTGGTTTTGAGTACGATGAAGAGTGAGTCGGTTCACGCTCAAAGCCGACAGACTCCCTCAGACGAGAGGGAGTCTGTAGAAATCAGGTTTGCAACATAATTGAGCTCTGGTTAGTGGAGCTAAAGACTGTAGTGCAGATATTCAAGAACAGACAAATTAGTGACTGGCAGGGAGGCGAGGAGAAGAGGAAGATGAGGAGACAGATGGAGGAAGAGATGCAGAGACAGACTTGGCATCATCCTATTGCTCTTTTCTGCAGAATCATTGAAATCATCATTGGAGGACTAAGCATACAACAGCTGCTCCTGGTGCTGCTCTGTAATGGACCAGGATCTGAGAATGAATGTTCGAGAGAAATGAAGGAAGACTGTTAACCAAATAAAGTATTTTGAATTTTAATATGTGCAAAGTTTGTCTCAAAATGGCAAAAACATTGTCATTTGTAGCTGAACGCAATTTATTTTCACATCCTCATTCAGTTTTGCCTCAACTGCTGATCCAAACAGGCTTTTGTATTTCTTCAATGCTTCTCAAGCTGTGAAATCAGGAACACATACACCTAGTTTCTGACCACCTGTCAATGTCCACAGTGTCTTGGATCTCAGTTGCATTAAAGGACCCTGAATACAAACAGATAGTTGTCTGTTTCACTCCCCTTTTTGTTTCCCCTACTAAAGGGAGCCATGTTGCAGGGTGTTTTGCCGCTCAGTGGGCATGTCCTTGTGCAAAGAAATGTCAGTACATATCCTCTTTATTCTATTACAGACGCCAGATCTAAAAAGACATTGCCAAAGCAGATACGTCAAATGGTTTACTGTAAAAGAATAACAAAGTGAACGCTGTTCAGAATAAAAAAAAAACACCAATTGTTTTAGACTGAAATGATCATTAAAGCTCCCATGAGGAATATTATGGTTGTGTTGGTTTTGGCGCCCCCTTGTGGACAAAGTTTTTGGCTTTGTCCTGTAGGTGTGAAAATGAATGTGATTGAATTCTGTATCAGTCAAACACTTCGTCTGACATCAAGAAACTATGTTATAGAAACAGTCAGTATTTTGTTGATAGTCTTTTCTGCTTTTGTAGGACACAAGAAGACATCAGGATTATTTTCAGTCTTAAATCACAAGACAAAAATTCCTTACAGGAGCTTTAATCTCAAATATTTGTTTTCTGAGGCACCATTCACTATAAAAACTGTTCTTACAAGAGTTTAATATACCGATTAGCATGTATTACTGTGCAGCAGAAGCAATCATATCATCCACTTGTACTCATCCGAAGCACAGTAGATCTAATCCTAGTCTCAGGAATTGTTTTTTCAACCGTCACTCACAGGATTAAACATATAGTGCGAGACATGTTATGTAACATTTGTGTTTTGAAGTCTATGTCCATTTGTGCGCATGATGTCCTTCATCAGCCCTGATGGTTCTTCTGCACTAATTGTCTAATTCATACAGTTAAGTAGATATTTTACCATTAAAGGCCTGCATGTTTTGAACCAAATTTACCTCCTAACCTCTTTGGTATTATTAAAAAAAAAGTAATAATTCAGAGGATATCCTGCCAAAGCTCTGAACGGAACTGAAAATGCTTGGTGTGTCACTTTCTGTTTGCCTCTCTTCCTCTCCCAACTGATTTTTATTTATTGCATTGCCTGGATCCGTTTCATAGCGCATACCGATCCCTCTAATAAACGCATTTTGATGGGCTGTAACGGGGTTTTCATCAAAAGGAAGAAAAGGAGTTCCTGTGAGAGTTTCTGATTTGTTTTGTCAGGAGAGAACACATCCAGGTTTTCTGTGAAATTCAGTCCAGAGTCACTGAAGCAACAGTACACTATAACGGACACACCCTTGAAGGAGTATGTGTGTGTGTGGCCTCGTACTGCTGGCATGTGACTGTGATGGGTGGGTCCAACAGTGTGTGTGTGTGTGTGTGTGTGTGTGTGTGTGTGTGTGTGTGTGTGTGTGTGTGTGTGTGTGTGTGTACATTTTTTCTTATGAACTTATTCCTCACTGTAAAAAAACAACTGAATGTTTCTGATCAGTTTTTTTCAATTTCACTTCTGAGTAAGATGAGCAAAACATGCAATGATTTTTTAGCTTCATTTTGTCACGAATTTCTGAGGCGTTCTCATCTGAGCAGCACTTAAACTGCAGACAAAAGGCACACAGGTACAGTAACAAACAAGCATAATGAGATCAGCTGGAGCTGAGGCCCTCTCTGCGCTGAAGGGGGTCACTAGGTCTACCAGGTGTGTCATTGAAGGGAAAAAAGAGAGGTAAAGTTTTGTCTATTTGCAACATGATTATTGATAATTGCACCTATTCAGGTTTCATAGTTGTCAGTTTATGTGAGCTAATTACCCAGCATGATCAACGCAACCAAATCCCACAGAGAATGTATGGTGCACCTTAAAAGAAAATCAGTATAAGACTTCCCCGCTTCTTACAAAACTCATGTCCTGAAATAACTCTGCTACTGTACACAAGTGTCATAAAAACCCCAAGAGAATTAAATGTACCTGACTTCTTAGCCAGCAGCACAGCTAGCTGAAAGGAAATCACTGTTTCTCTACCCTCTCCTACACCGCTACACTCAAGTGTATCTTGACAACTACAGGAGAGCTGTAACAGTATGTAGACCTGTCAGTTATAGTTATTATGTGTTGATGATTTCGGCTTGATTCTATAGGTAGACTCCTATAGTGGGTGTTTGTGGTGAAAGCTTTATGGCTGTTTTCCCAAAAGAGATGATACGACACCTCATGCTAAACAACTGGATATAGAAACGCTGAAGAATTACATGATTTTCACAGCTGGTGAGGACGTACCGGTTGCCATGCTACCACCTTGGTTTAATATTTATATGTCGCTTTCGCTTTCTCCGCTTGTGACAGATGTATCAAAACAAAACACCCTCAGAATTATTCTTTCCTGGCATTGCATACGTACATCAGTGACACTGACAAAGCTCTGTGGCATAACATGCTATTTTTCACCACGCCATCGCAAACACATTCAAGGCAGAGAACGGCTTCTTCAGGGTTTGTTTTGGCATAATCCTGTTATCCCACAAGAGCTATGGAAAACAAATACATAAAAAAAACCACATGGTCTTAAAATCAAAATGTGTACATGGATGTGTGTGTGTGTGTGTGTGTGTGTAAACTACCTTAAATGAGCTGTGTACGAGGGTTTCGTCCAGGTCGATCACCACACAGTTCTTGCCGTAGTCTGCTATACTGACCTCTGGCAGGAGGAACTTGGCAGGAGGCTGAAAAGACAAAACACATCCTTATGAATATCATGCACACAGTTTCACTACAGGAAACATGTTGCACAACACCCACACACATTCACATACGCACATACACGGAGTGTGATGATGGCTTTGTAAAGATCGTTGGACTTGAAACTTGAAACTTCTAACTTCATGGTACTGATAACTTTAAGGTGAGTTACTGTGAGGCTTGACTGAGAGATAGGACACCCAAAAAAATGGTAATGTGACTTTCATGTGCTCTGTGTGAGTGATTCTGTGTTCAAGTACCCCTCTCTTTTCTTTAGATTTATTAAATTCAACAATTATTGAAAATATTAACAGCGTAGTCATTATGCATTTTCCTCTCGTAGTCTGTTTTCTATCGCTGAGTTTTGTAAATATCCACATGTCCGCCAAAAAGGGTCATAAAACAGTCCATCCACCACAAAGTTAGAGCTGAACTGATTTCAAATTTGTGTGGCTCATAACATTACTCATGTAAAGGGGCAAAATTCACTATTATCAATATTAACCATTCTGTTTTCAGCACTAGATGTTCTGTAATAGAGAATAAAGTTTAGATCTATTCATATTTGTCTTAATAGACACATGTCAGAGGTTATTATAAGGATATTGTAAAATTGAATGTTGTAAAACTGGTGAGTACATCTCTAAGTTAGTGACAGCTCAAGACTAACTAAGGTAGTGACGGCAGCAACAGTGTTAAAAGTTATGACCTTCTCCTCCTGAATTTTGAAAGGGGCGTCAGTGTTCCCCAAGTAGAGACCGATCAGACTCCCTTGCGGTAGAAAAACAAACAGCTAATCTGTTCTTGTACCGTGTCAGCTCTATTTGTGGTTTGACCAGAGGAATCCCTGCTGTTGTTTCCTGTTTGACCTCATGTTGACTGAGCTCTGCCATCGACTGCGCTGCCTTCAGGGTCAGGGGGAGAAAAAAAAGGGAAACGCTTATGTCCTTTGCCAAGCAGGCCTGGGGTTGCAGACAGGCAAGGGGCAGATGGTGTGGCAGTAGGGGGCACACACTCACACACAGTCACACACACATAGATCAATCTAGAGGTGAGAAGCAAGGTCTCCATCACTCTTACACACACGACCACACACACTGTGTTTCTCCTTAGTATGTCAGCTGTTTCCTGCACATATATATATATGATTTCATGTGTTTCCCTCTAACTGTACTTATCAGGTCTTTATCTCTGGTACACATACTGATGTATTCCCTGGGAGCAAGGACACTTAGTAACATCCTGTCAGGCTGTGATCAATGTGATTTACTTATGCGGGTTAAGCAAAGAGAGAAAAATTGACTGGGACCTTGACATTTTAACCATAAAAACTACACAAAGATTACTACAGCTAGAGGGTGCTATCTCTGTTGTCTCTTTGAATCATGACTTTTTATTTAATAACCCTTGATTTATGGAAAAAATGACAGATTTGAATCTAACACTGGATCTAACTTTTTGTGGTGGTTAATTTGAGGGCATGAATGGCTAATACTGATTTATAATACAGATATCTTAAAGCTCTTTTTTTATTTGGTTGTCCTTGTATTTTTTATTTTTTTTTATTTTTTTTTGGGGGGGGATTTTTTATTATTAATTTGTATGTAGGAAAAGAAGTACAGAATTGAGTGAATATTTCAATAAATAAATCAAATTTAAAAGTATTTGACTCAGTAAAATATTGACACAAGGGACTTTTAGATTTTTTATCAAGCCATCTCAGATTATTTGAATCAAGAAAAAAATACAAATTACATTTTGCGGTTAAAATAGAAAAAAAAGACATGATGTTGAAATCACCTGTAAGGGTCTGTTTTTAGTTTGATTAGCTGTCACCGGAGGATTTGGAAAATAGGTTTTCAAAAGAACTTTGTGATATCGGCCCTGTAAGGTTATAACAACATGTCTTTAACTAGCCCCCTTAATTGGTTGACTGATTCATCAACCTATCTCTAATTGTAAACCCACAAAAAAAATTTATAAATCAACATATTCAATTCAGTTTTCCTCCTAAAGGGTTTAATTTTGCCTAGTTTACATAAACCATTAGAATATTCATGTGAAATGACGATATAAACCAGTGTGAAATACATTTTAAAAGTGTGTTCATATTTTTCCATTTTTAGAGCCAAAAAAACATTACTATAAAAAATCAAGTTGCACAATATTTGTTATTGATTGAAGTTCATGAAAGAAAAACAGCAGAAAATGACTTAATATTAAGATCTAAGTACAAAAAAATATTTATGATACTGCAAATGTTTTCAATATACATTTCTTCTTTAATTTGATGAAAACAGTGATATAAGTTACGGAAATTTCATGAAATTTCTTCTTCAATAAAAAAAAATGTATCCTGTTAAAAAGTGATTATATCTGTTACTATAACTGCATACAACCTTAAGCAGAAATATTAATGACCCTTCTTTATTAAATTCCATTATTTGCCAATTGGCTTTGATTGATCAATTGCAGTTTATGACACATTTTTAGAGCATTGCATTGTAACCGATATTTCACTGACGTAACTGCACAGGGCGAAAGTTGAGGAATGCACCCCATGTTGTGTTGATTTTCAAGAAACTCTACTAAAATACGTTGACTTTGTTTTAAATTTTTGGTGTAGCTGTTATGTGTGATGATACCGACAGTGAACAGGACAACCTGATCTACTAAAGTGCTGAATGGTTGCAGAAACCAGCAGTTAAATTCTTCGCTTTTGGCTAAACTATCACTTCCTTTAATCGAGGTTTTTCTTTTGCTTATGAACCACAAAGAGACCTAAAAATGTTTTTAAATAGAAAGTTTATGCCAATCTCTAAAGGGAGAGTATACAAGCCAAACAACGCATTATATCATGTGCACACACGATACAACGGCCACCTCAGCAGGACTTCATAAACTCATTATTGTAATATACAGTAAAATAATCCCATCAGCCCTGTACGAGGACTTTTTTAATCCAAAACTGTCGTGTTAACAGATTATTTTTGTAAAACCAAAGACGAAACTACAAGACTTTACAATGCAGATCAATTCAGAGTAGAAAGTGTTCCAGAAGAGTCTTTTGGTTATTTCTCTCCCTCTCTCTCTCTTTCTGTTATTATATAATTGCTGTAGTGCCCCATCGGTGGTCCACTTTTTAATGATGCTCCTAACACTTCCTAACAAATAGTGACGCACAGGAAAAATGCCCGGGTCAGCTCAAGTTATTTAAATCCCAGGTATTTAAAAAAAAATGCAGCAGGCCTCATCTCAACATGCAATTACAGCCTTTGAAGGGAGGTGTCTGCTGGGTGGTGTAGTTAGAAGCTTGGCTGCGATGTGGGATGCTGTGAGTGTGAATATTCTAAATTACAGCGAACCACAGGCTCCAAATAGGATTCCAAAATAGCTCAATTGAATTGCAGTTTCAGCACAAACACATAAATTCAGCTTTTTGAATGTCTGATGACGTCCATCTTAATAGAGTCGCAGTACTTCATTGACTACTGAGGGCATGATCGAGAAGTTACCTTTCTCTAAGTGGACAAATACCTAATTCGATCGAGACAATTCATCCATTTGTGAATCGAAACTGCGACTTAAAAGGTCTGGTGTACAATTCAATAAATCTGATCCAATAAGAAAATCAATCTCATGTTCTGTTCTGGTAAAACACGGGACAAACGGGCAGAAAGTCAAAGCCATCAATGAAATCCAACCAGAATAAATGGATTGGTAGAACCTCTCTCTGCAGACTGAGGGTAAGGGTAAGAAAAACCAAGCCAAACACTGAAGGCTTCATGATTTTCAGTGCTTTGAGGGCAGAGAACAATCACCTCCGTGTCAACATCCACATGCGGCAAGAATGATGAAGCACAGCAAACGGAGGAGAGGAGGAGGTAACAGCGATGGAGCGCAGAGGAAGAAAAATGAACAATAATAATAATACATACACTGGGGATAGGGATGACCTGGACCTGGTCACACTGGAGAAAACAAACAGAGAGAGAAAAAAAGAGAGAAAGAGTGAGAGGGACACGGTGGAAAAAAACTGAGATAGAAGCAGGAACGTTTAAGAAAAATCTTTGAAAACATCAATAGTGGAGTCAAGAAATGCACAGGGAGGAAAAAGAAAGAGAAGGAGACAGAGAAAAGGAGACACACTGTGAGAGAAAGTGAGAACAACTCGCTCGAAAACAAACAGAGCTGCCATAGTAACAAACACGGATGCCCAGAAATTCAGCAACAGAACAGTGCTGGGAAGGACTGTGGCATAGACCCAGCCTGAAAATCGGCGTTGCACTATTACATGCCTTTTTATAGCAGAGTTCGTCAGGTTTGCTCTTGATTAATTTGACTCATTTTCTGAGAAAGTGGGTCTGAAATAGGTCGGCACTGGCCGCATGTACACTGTCTGTAAAGAAACACACATTCCTCTCCTGAATGAGACATTTGCAGGTAAACAGGAGTAGATATGTGACACGATTTTGCTCCATTTTTAGCCCTGAGTACCTGCCTTGGCAGCAGAATGTCATGTTTGTGGAGGACCTCTGGTTTTGGCGCCTTTTTCCACAGTCAGAACATTCGCTTTGCACGTCCCCACTACACTGGCTGGAGTGAGTGAGTGTGTGTGTGTATGTGAGTATGTGTGTGTGAGAAGAGGGGGCAGGCATGTGTGCCAGGTAATCCATCACACTGGAAACACATAAGGCCCACTTTATTGGGATTAAAGAAGCAAGCAGTAAATGTGTGTACACGTGCTGCTATTGGAGTGTGCAAGTAGTTATAGAAAACGTGTGTGTGTTTTGTGTGTGCGGTTGTGTGCGTAGGCAGATATCGAAGAATGCAAGATGGGAAGCGAGCCCGTATTTTCAAGCAGTGGATGGTAAACAACCTCTGGGTTCAGCGGGTTTGAAGCAGCTGGAAAAATTTGTGGAGGGAGCTCGGTGAGGCTCTCTACAGGGGAAGGCAAACCCCCTAACAAGCTCTCCGTAACAAAACCAAACAAATGTTACTTGTTACTGGACCTCTTTACTCAAGCTGGGATGTCTGTCATACGTTAACCAATCCCCCAAAAGGCTTTTTTTTTCAGCCATGTGGATTCAAATGGTGTGTAATTTGGACTGTGACCAAGTATGATGTGGAGCCTCACCTTGGGAGGGCTGCCATTCTCCTCTGGCGGTGGGGGCAGAGAAAGTGTCTTGTTGTTGGCGGGTGGTGGCTCCACATGGTAGTCATTGTAGTTTCGGAAGCAGCAGAAGAAGGGGCTGAAAATGCTCCGGCTGCGGTGCTTCTTTAGGCTGCTGTTGGACTGGGAGACTAAAGGAAAGAACAAAACAAGAAGAAAAAAAGTTAGGTTACTTTGGGCAGAGAATTTAGCTCTTTATTAGCGGTAGACTTATATTGTTTTTTAATATAATAACAATGCATTCCAGTTGTACTTGGTAGTCTGAATTTGGAAATTCAGACTACCGGGTCGGAAAGTTGGACGATCCTCATCAACCCTGACAATGTCATAATCCAAGATGGCAGCGCAGCGCATCGACAGTAAAGAGTATCAATGAAAGCTCTCGTAATGTAAAATGTATTAGCACTTCTGTTTTGTTTTTGTGAAATTACATAAGCGGTATATGTTGTACTGCCAAACGACTAACCGTGAGCATGGTGCTATGGTGTTTGTAACAGTAAAATCCTGTGTTATGCGTTGTTTACAACTGGTATCGCTAACAACCACTAACAACAACTGACAAAGGCTAACAACAGCTGTCAACTGTAAACAACAGCTGACAACGGCTAACTGTAGGTGTCCATCTTGGTTTTCCAACTTGTTAACTGGAACGCCATCAACTCGGGTGTAACGTCATTCCCAGCTCCGAAATCCGACTTACAAGGTAACTGGAACGCAGCATTAAACTATTATTCCATGCAAATTAACACTAATATATATGGTTAAAAATCTGCAGTGAGAGGAAGTTAAAGCTCCTGTTAGGCATTCTTGGTTGGTTATAAAATAAACTGACCTTAACACTGACGCAAACAAAGCTTTCAGTGTACACACACTGACTATTTCTATACAGTTATTTTTGTTCCCGAAAAATCCTAGTGCTGGGTAGGTATCAGGCTAAATGTCTTTAAAACAGCATTTTGTTTACTGGGGATACATTTGACTCTGAAAGGGAAGTTCCTCACAGGGACTTAAACCACAAATCGCTCTTAAATGAGCTGACTGACTTAACTGACACTTTCAAATGTCGACGAAAAGGGAACATAACATAAGGCAGCAAATGTTCTTGGTTACTCTCTAATTTCTACTCCCTCCAAAGAGGACACTAAGTGACCTCCTAACTTCAAATCAAGTTTTCTTTTACAGCCATTTTACACTGATGCCGCCTCCTCAGTGAAGCCTTCACTTTCATGAAAACATCTCAAAGCGAAGTACTGAGAGATTAAAACACGCATTAAACATCATTGTGACAGAGGAGTGAAGATGTATGTTGTAAAAAAAAGAAGTTCATGCCGTAAGGAGCGCTGGGACAAAAATAGCCATCATCAGCATGCCCTCTGGGAAAGAAGTCGACTTAATTAACATCAAGACAGAAGAAAGAGAGGAAGACAGACAGATTTGTATCACAAATGTGAGATTGAGATGCAGGAAGTACATGAACTTTCACAGTAAATATCCAGTGAAGACTCCAGAAACAGTGGAGAAGTTGACACATTTCTATTTGAGCGTACTTATTAGTGACAGATGTTGAATCTTGTCTTGATGCTGGATCTTTGTAAAATCTGAGTATGGTCCAGACCGGCTCTTTGAGAAAGCATTTGGACCGACAGAAGTAAAGATTGATCTGCTGAGAAATAAAAACTAGATTTTATTTGTTCGGCAGGAAGGTTGATCAGCGGCTGAGTGCTGCAAAGCTCAGGAGAGAAAACAACATACACATGTAGGTCCCTGGTTACATCATTCCTCCTTCACTGTCTCTGAAGCCCATGGCCTACTTTCATACTGACAGAGGAGAAAGCAGGCTCTCATGGTCTGTAGGCCTGGGTAAATGTTCTATCACGAATTATACATTTCGTGTCAGTGAGGGCGAGGGGCTATAAATAGAAAAATTTGGGCAGCTTCAGCACAAAGGCTCAAATCTGACAGTGAAATTATCCTGAGGTGTTCCTGAAGTAGCAATTCTTCTGGTTTAATTGCCTCAAAGGTGATTTTTTTTTTTCAGGCATGGAAATCTTAAATCTGTTCAGGACTTTGAAGTGTCCACGAAACTGACTTTCGCTGGAGTCATTTTCCTGCCTCGGAGCGGCCCGTCACACAGTTTTCCGGCGTCTTGTTAACGTGCTCATACAGCCGTGTGACACAGGCAGCCCAGTTAGCCATGCATGCTGAGGTTGTTCGCAGTCTGTACGGAGAGACTTCAGATTGACGCCTGGAACTGTCCTCGAGTAGCTCCGACTGGATCTGACAGGCTGCGGGCGGTTCTTCTTCTTCTTCTTTGTACTCTTTGTCTTTGTAGTCCATAGCTTGCTGAGTCTCTCTCTTCCAGATAGATGCTCCCGAGGAGTAACACCTCAGCAAACAAACAGTGAACAAATGGGGGAACAGGAAGGTGACATGCTGTGATACTTTAACCTGTGAGGTGTTGAAAGATTTGTTCTGACCACAGCGCCGGTACAAAAGCTCAAGAAAAATACACAGACTAGGAATATGCACCAAAATTCCCTCCATTTACATGAATAAAAAACCCTAAACTAAACCTTTAGGTGCATATAGTGTTAAATAAGGGTCCAATAAAAACTGACTAGATGTAGCTTTTTAAAGTTTACGCTAGCTGACACTGAATGGCTTTGTTTCTCCATTAAATAACCGTTAAAATTACCCATTATTTTTGTTTCTAGCCCTTATGTTGTGTTTACATATTGTACATGATATTTTTGTATCTGTAGTGTCATGTAGTTTCATGTTACTCACTGCTGTATATTTTATTACTCAGTTTATGAAACAGCCCAGCTCAGGACAAGCACTGGAAACAGCTAAAGCTCCGATATCCTAATTTAAAGCATAGGTGTCACGCGTTTGTTTGTAACAATGATATACTGCATCACGTAAAGTTGAAATCAATTAAATTAAATTCCGTTAGCTAGATTTTCTTTCAGTTAAAACAACCAGTTAAAACAAAAGCTGGCTGCTTTTTGTTAACCAACATATGACTTTATAACGACTTTTATCTCAAAACATGAAGATTTCATTTTTATGTCACAACATCACTTTGACATAAGACGACTACATTTTTTTTACGTACTTTTTGTGAGACAATGACTTTAAAAAAATGTCAATTATAAAATTATTTAATTTAATTTGGCCCTAATACTCTACCACAGTTTGCAAATAATTTCAACCCTTTATATAATTGAAAATGGTGCAAAGACACCATAGCAAAAACAGAGACTGTAGGATTTGATTGTTTTGTGTTTTATGTATATCTTTGTGGTGGCCTCAACCACCATCTTGTGTTAGTTTTTGTTTGTCTTTAGGTTTTAACACAGTAAATTTGTTTCAGTTTAAAAATATCACATTACACAAATTTTTTGTTGAAATAAATTCATTTTTACTGCATTTTATGGCAGTTGTTTTCTAATTTGGGTGCACACAATTTAGTTAACAAATTGTCATATGGTTAATTATCTACATCATGATTCAATTTGAATATATCTGTATTTTTTTTGTAAATAGTTGGTTTGGATAATTTGATGGTGTTTTTCTAAAGTTTGTTAGGTGTTTAGTTTGTAGTCACCTTAGTTTTCACCTTGTGTTTATGTTGGACTGGTCCTTTGCCTATTTAAACCTCCGAAATGTATCACTTAGTAGGTCTGTTTGGTAATGTTTGTTGTAACTTTAGTTCTTTTTTTGCTGAGTTGGCCTCTTTTAGTGTGGGCCCAGATTTTGTTTATTTTCTACCACATAAGTTGGAAATTTTGTTATTGATATATATATATATTTTTTTTTTTTTTTCGAGTGAACTTAAAGGATCAAGATCTTCTTTCCCTCACCTTTGTCATTTGCCTGGTTGCTTTGTCCCTTACAATCTTATATAAATGGATTTGAGTTTGATTACTCTGTGAGAGACTGCTCAGAAAATAGTTTGACAATTTCAGAATAATTTCAATAATTTTCAGAATAATAAAAAATGCCGTGATTTCATCATCAACCATCTTAATTAAAAAAAATGAAGAGACTCTACAAAAGGGACAAGGCGAAAATAAATGGCCGCGCTGCACTGTAAACAGACATGACTCTGCAGTAGAAATCACTGCATAGGCCCCAAATCCTTCCAAAAACCACTGACCCTTACCACAGTTTTTTTTTTTCTGTTGCAGTAAAACCGTTCCATGCAAAGAAGAAACCTCATGATCCAAACATGGCGGTGACTTCTATGGACTGGAGCTCATTTAAGATGAACTGAGGGAAAACTGTCGTGCGGTCGGACCAATTCAAACTGACTTTGATGTCAAATTGAATTTGTGAAATCCAAACAGGCTGTCTTCGTTTTAGAGTTTGGTTCAATTGAATTTCAGAGACTTGGTGGTTCATCAGTTTTTATCAATGAATCACTGACTTTACAAAAGTGCTCTTGAATAAAACTGTCAATACTAATGACGCTTTATTTTTCTCTCACCCTCATGGCGCAAACGGTCATTTAAAAAACTTGTAAAACACAGGTTTACCAGAATTAAATGTAGTCCTGCTTTTTGCATTTAATAACTCGACAGAAACAGTTTCAATTAACTAAGTTTATAGTGTTAGAAAATTATTCCTTTATCATTTTTATTTAAGTGTTTCATTTTTGCTCTATTACAGATGGAAAAACCTTTGCGACTCAAAAGTTTCACAAGTCATTCAAAAACTTTTTGATGAAGTGGCACCCAGAGAGACCCTGAGTCTTCCCTCGCTCTGCCTAAAGTCAGCCTCAAACACTTTGATGTCATTCTTCGCTCCTCCATTTTGAGACCGTCTACATTTTCCCGCCCTGGTTTTGCTGCCCCGAAAAAAAGCAGGTGAGAGTGAAAGAGGGAGAGAAAGAGAGAGGGATAGAAAAGAGAGGGGAGCTTGGAAAAGGGAGAGAAGGGCGTCGAATGGGTGGGGAGAGTTACTGTGGTGAGACAGCCTATACTTGGGTCTGATTCTTACTCCACCCCCTCCTGCACCACCACCACCCTACACAAACAGAGCTTTCCTTTCTCTCTTTGATACAAACAACACACACTCACACATGCACGCACACACACACACACACACGCAGAATACATTCGCATGTTTTTGCAGAGGGCCCTGTGTGAAATGATCAACAAACTGCATATTTCTCAGACTGACACAACACTGAAACTTTTTCTTCTGTCTTCTGTTAGCTCGCTGATATTAGCCGTGATAACGACAGCATAGGTTACAAAGTGAACCGGAGGACTGACCTGCACAGAGATAAAAGCAGGCGGAAAAAGTCGGATAGTTCGCAGTGTTTCTAAGGTTTATTATTAATGAATATGAATCAGTCTGAAAATAGTTGACTTGTCATTTCTAGTCATTGGTGATAAGCTTTATGAAAAACTAAGTAAAGTGGTGCAATTAAGTGTTTTTTTAATCAAACAAAGCTCACCTGATAGTGAGAGGGAGATAATAGGAATCTGCAGCCTCTCTAGAGCAGGTGCACACTGTTTACCTACAGAGCACTCTTCATTGACCAGCATTTCCCTCTGATGAGACCGCCATGAAGACAGTCCTCTAAGGCTTCGCCTGTCGATGCACCTCCACAAACACTAGTCCACAGAGATACTGTAGAAGGATTGAGTCAATCAGAGCCAGACCGGGCTCAAGCTTTCTGTCACATGTTTGGGCGCACCCGCTAACAAGGGCGGAAGAGGCAGAAAATGCAGGAAATTCTCAGCATTCCTGACAGGAAGAGATAATCACCCCGTGACCCGCAGCGAGGAGTAACGCCAAGCTCGGAGAGGGAACATGATCCCTGGCTTAGCTTGAGACATTTTGAGGTGGCCTCCTTTACTGTAGCACATAAAGAATGTGCGAGCAGTCTAAACACAACATGCCACATTTAAAATACCACAGCGTGTTTAAGTTTAGCTGCCGCGTCTCTCCTTACAAAGGACTCTCAAAGGTTTATGTCAGGACACTCAACACTCTCAAGCCACATGCTTCCAAGGAAAGCCGCCAGTCCTCGTTTCGAAGTATTGGATAGTTTTTCCAGTTACTCAAACCGTCCAAATTGAAATACTCAGATCTGGGAATAAAACACTACTGCTACTATAAAAACAAAGTAGGCAAGAGCTTTAACTTTCTGTCCCTGCTAAGCACTTACTATGACCAAAAGAAGCCATAACATGGGGCAGCGATATAATTTCATTAAAACCGTCCCTCTTTATATTACACTAATAGTGACAGCTGCCATTAGCTGCAGCAGTTAGTTGACCAGCCAGGCAGGTAAAGTGTATAGTACCTGGGGGGCATGAAGGTGAATGTGAGACCCATCCATGTGAACGTGCGGCTTAAATAATTCAGATGGAAAACAGGTTGGTTTTGAATGGCGCAGTTGGGTACTTAACATACACTAAAATAAAACAGCCAGGAGCCAGAGGGATTATCATGCTATCTGTGCTATACAAAGCTACCGAATGACTGCCAAAAAAATCCTTCATGACACAGTGAGAACTTTTTATGGCTCAGAGACAGCAACAGTCAAAAACGACATGCTGAAACCCTGCCATGGCCTCGGGCGGCTGGCATGATTTCACAGATTATTCGCCTCCTCCCCTCGCTGAGATTTTTTGAGTGTGGGGCGTTTGCATCAAAAGTGGGACCAGCTGTCTGGAGCTTATATAACACCACGTCAGATAAAATACTTGTTCTGCCGTAGCTAAAATAAAGAGCATGACTCTACATACCCACATACACAGACACGTAATCCACGGTTAGCTCGGAAACTCTGGTCTAATGTCTTTGGTTGACAACAGTTGAAGGTAGAGAGGGTTTCACCTGAGGAGGAAGCTGTTTCTGTCCTCAGCTCAGCAGCAAGGGGAAGTCCTCGCTCCGCACTGTGTCAGCAAAAAACACTGGAAGGAATCCCCCTTAGTATTTTATTTCTGAATGAGGCGAATCTTCAGAAAACTTAGACTTTTAATTTTACAGCTTCGAGACAGTCTCTCATCTTCTCATCTTATTTCAATTACCCTGTCATTGTTTGATACGTGTAAACAAATGCAGATAAAGCCTGTCACAATCTACAAGAGTTCAGAGTGACATCCTGAAATGTTCAGACATTCAAGCTCAAGAGAAGCAGTCAGTCTTAAAGGGAAACTCCGGCGTAAAATTAATTTAGGGTCAAACACACCCTAACACCGAGTTAGACACCCCCTCGAGAGATGAATGTTCTTCCTTGAGCTGTGTCACCCCGCTGTAGTCCGTAATGGACAGGCCTGAGATCTCGCTACAAACGGCTGCTGGAAGAGAGCAGGTGAGTATTGTTTAGTCTCTTTGCTAAAGAAATCAGGCAAAGCTAAAAAGATATGTGGTGTCTAGTGCTGTGGCTGGGACCCTATATGTATTGTTGATGAAGTTAGGTGCTGTTCTGAGCATTATTTGTGGTTATAGAGTGGCGTTTTGGTTGAGGTTTGTTGATGGCTCCTTGAGACCGCTGTGTATTGCTATCCTAAGGTTGGTATAACTGGAGAAGCAAGCGGTCTGCAACATTCATCTCTTGAGGGGGTGTCTAACTCGGTGTTACGGTGTGTTTGACCCTTAATTAATTTTACGCCGGAACATCCCTTTAACACTGGAGCAGCAGAAACCCGGGGATACCAAGTGTTAGCCATGATAGCTGCGGCGATCAAACATCTACTGAATAAGTTAGCCATGAAATTTGGTATGCTACTCATCCAAACTCATCCAAAATTATTTATTGTTCCCACACCAGAGAAAATCCCACCATGAGAGAGAACAATAACAAAAGATCTGCTGCCAAAATACACCAAAGAGCATCTGCTTCACACTAGAACTCCACATGTGTCTACTTACACACACACACAAACACACACATCAAGCAGATCGTAACAGCTGAGTGGAGTCAGGAAGCGTCAGATGAGCTGAGCCCGACAGTTCAGGCTGCGTGTGTTCGCCGTGCCGCGGTCCTTGGTGGGTTATGTGTGAGGCCATTAAGGCAATAATAGCACAGTATGATAAAATAAACTCCCATTAAGCCTCCTTACTTCCCCACACAGACAGCTGAGCCTCGGGTGAAAATTACAGCCTGTGGAGGTGAACTCGGCGCAAACAGATGCCTTTAGTCACTGTGGCCAACCCTCAGCTGCCTTTGTAGCTTTATTTCCCTCCTTATTCTGGTGGATTTATATAAACATATGCATCCTACATGACCTTATATAACTGACATTCGCTCAGTAACCCAGTTTTAATAGAACAAGTCAATAAATGCATTTCTCAGTTTGTTCCCTGGTTGTTTAAGGTACTAATTCTCCTGCTGCCGCTGTGAACCCTGACACAGAGATGTGGGTGGGTTTGCCCTGCTTTTCTGTCTCAGCTGTATGGCGGCGTAGGCACTGTGGTGGCGGTGCCAGCCTGCCTGAAGGCCCCCGGGGACGAGTGCTGCTTCTGCTGCTGCCGCTGCTTCTTGAAATGAAGGAGATGACAAGCGTGGGGGAATTAACCCACAGAGAGCTCAGGGAGAAATAATGAGGGAGATCTGACTATTCTGCAAGAGTTACGCAACCAGCAGCAGTGCAACCCACGTTGTTTAGGGCTTCATTATTTATATATCTTTTTATATTCTCATCTACAACTGCGCGCTGACTGCCAGAGGCTCACTGACTGATGGGAAATCCATTTTTGCCTGACTGTTGGTAAAACAAGTTAGTCAAATTACTGTCAAATAAATTAAAGGCATTCAGTCTTTAAGCTTCTCTTAGATATGAACATGCTCATTCACTTAGTGAACCAAGAGGTGCGTATGTGACACCGATCCCGGAACCTGATCCAGTGAGGAGTGAGGGAAGAATTTAAAGGGGAACTCCAACCACTTAGTGTTGATCTTCAGGTTAATTTTAGAACTTTTAAGAGTCGCTTTGTAAAAATTGGTCAAAATCAAAGCAGCCGAAGTGGAGACATTTGTACTTTATGCTTTAAATTTGAGTCAAGCTGTTCAAACTTTGCCTAGTTTTTATATCATTTCTGATTTAGGATGGAGTTTACCACGTCTTAAAATTGCTTTTATGTGATTTTGTCTTCTTTAAAACCCTTTACTCTTCTTATTCATGTTTTATAATCGTCCCATTGGTCTCAGGTTTTTGTGATTGGGTTCCTGTGTTGGCTGGGTATCACGGGTTCTCATAATGTCTTTGTTTTAATGTCTTCTTTTTAATGACGTCTCAGCTCATGTGACACTCATCAAAGCTTTTAGGTCTTCAACCAATTTTTATTTTATTTTTTGCCAGTAATGTGACTTTGTTTTACTGCATGTTAAAGCACTTTGTAAACTCTTGTTTTTAAAAGTGCTATATAAATACAATTATCATTATTAGTATTATTATTGTTTTTGGGTTGTACCAAATTAGATAGTTTCAACATGAGCTTAAGTAACAATTTAAATCTTACACCAAGCCCTGAGTGGGTTTAAAGTCCTCCTTGAATACGGGTTATTATGGCACATCATTTCTAAAGATAGGATAACTTGGAAGAGGATGAGGAGTGGAGAGTTTGACTCGCTGTGTGCAGCAGTGAATTTTCCACAATAGATTACATCAATCAAAAACACATTAACTTTTATCTGTACTCCAGCTGTCATCTTCCACAAGAAGAGAGCTGAATCCCTATATCAAATAAATATATTAAAGTAGGTGCACCACTCTACGTCACTGTCGTTATTTTACAGGCGTAATTATCAGCTTGTCCAACATGTCTTCAAGACCGCTCCCTCAGTCTGTTATGTTTTGCTTTAGAGCCAAAAGAAATTATACAACTATCTTTCAAAAACAAGTATGACTATCTCAGGAGTAAATTAATTAAAGTGTGCGCATGTTTTTCAGTAAATCGCATTCATTAAAATAATGCCTGCTATGAACAGAACAGATGTTAACAAGTGGGTAATTTTGTGCATGTGATGGGTAAACGTATTCCTGTTGCAGTTTCCCACGCCTCTGCCCTCTGAGAGTCGTTCATCTCTCTGTTTCCATACACATCATGTCCTACTTAGAGATCCTCAGTCAAACAGTAATCACCTTTACCTCTAGAGAGACAGAAAAATCCTCTTTGTGTCTTTTGTATCCTCTAAACTTGTGTATTTGCTCATCCCTCGCTCATTAAAACTGTTAAGACCTTTTATGCTCTCTTGTCAAATATCACACAGAGTGGTATGCAGCATGAATCAGTGGAGATGACGGAAAATCATTACAGACAAAACATGATCTCCCTTTTAGAAAGCCAATTACTGGTGATGAATGCCAGCCAGAGGATGGCAAAATATGCAGAAAGGCCATCGCCTTGTCTGAGCCAGTCTGGGATGCCCACAGATGCTCTTCCTGACACAAACACACGTCCGTTCTTTCTTGCTTGACCCCCGTCTTTCTTGTCTGTATTGATCTGTTATGACAACATTCATTCAGCAGAGAAGACGCTCAATTAATCCAGGCTTGTGGCCTGTTGTAAATCAGGCTTTAAAGCTGTATTCAGGCAGCTGTTGAAAGCGTCATCTCCATTTACATTTTGACAAAATTCACGTTATTTCAAATCTACAGCATAATATTTCATTCCAGCAAACTTCAAACTCGTTAATTGCAAGTCAATTACCTATGAATCGTTGTTTCATCAGGTTCAGACCTCTGAAGTCAGCAGGTGCCTCTGTGTGACTATTTACAGTGAAACTCAGAGTCATCTCGACTGAACAGGTGCTACCGTAGGGGGTGTAATGAACCAAGAAATGTTGCTGTTTATTTCGAAGACACATCCAGAGGGGCAACTTTTGCTCCTCTTTTGGAGCATTAATCAACTTCACTCTCACAGACACTTAATGCTGACGTGTTCAGATATACAGGGGAAAGAAAGAATGATGATTTACTCCCACAACAATGCTGCTTAAATTGAAGCATGACAAGACAAGCTGCACAGAGGAACTCGACTGTCACTCGATTGTCTCCAGTTAGTTTGATCCCGAAAAACATTGACAGCAGCAGTCAATTAGTCCGAAAGTTGGAGATGCACAAAAGCAGCTTAGTATGGATGGAGTCCCTCTGTTATCTGGCATTACAATGCATATTTTTTCATTCAAATCAATATAAACTACATTATTATAGTGCTGTCGCAACCAATCACTGCTCACAATGGAGGTCGACTCAGCATTTCATAAAGAATCCACTTAAAATCCTACTGCAATACCCTCTTCAAACCCAAAGTAGACATTTTGAAGTAGTTTTGCTCCAAAACAAGCAACCATACCATATGAGCCACACTTGAGGCAAAATTCAAATATAAAAATTACCCACAAAGCTGTCAAACACACCATCCAAAGGGTCTACCCACCAAGCTGAGCTGAAGAATCAACCAAAAAGATGACAAAAACTTAACCGAAAGCAGACAAATATTACGCAGACACCCATACCCAGAGAGACCACAAGGCTTCTGTTAATCTGTGGATTTTGTCCTCTAAAAATGAAATACTTTTCCTATTCTGTCTGTCTTTGGTTGCTTTTAAAGATGCAAAAAAGATAAACCGATAGTCATGGAGGTCTGCAGTGACAGTCAAGTCAAAATGTGCTACAAAAATCTAGCTTCTCTACTCAGACGTTCATCATTATTTTGGTCTATCTTTGGAATTTGTTGACAAGAAGCAAAATCCAAAATCCAATCACATCCACTCTCTAAATAAAAGCATGTGCAGCTTTCAGATGAACTGTCCTCTACTCAGACTGAGAGCGTCTTTCAATCTTAGGGCTCTATAGGGACACAAACTGGCAGCACATCAATGCTACAAGATTCAACAACAAGTAAAAGTATGATGAAGCTCTTTTGTAAACCAGAGCCAGCATACGAATCCGAGAGCAGCAGTGATGTGAACTCTTTTCTCTCCGTTTCCCAGTTAAATCTGCATTCTGACTGAAGTACTCACAGGCAGCCAGTGTAGGAGTGAAGAAAGTCAACCCACACTTTTTTCCCCTGTGGCCTCTTTGAGGACGGATTGCAGCACTATTGCATCTCCATCACTGTGTCTCACAATCCATAGATCTCCAAGCTGCCTCCTCCTAATTAAGGGCCACTTTGCTGATTTCTAGTATGAGTCTTTATTATGAGCAAATGTGAAAATTTGATGTCGTCCTAATGCATTCAGTGTTAAGAGAAATTACCACCCCCTGACTCTGAAAACACTCAGTCAGCTTTTAAGACACTTAATCAAAACAATCCACAATCCTACATGTTGTCATGATCAGAGTCCACGACTGAGAAAGTGCTTAGAAGAAGAGCAGAAGCCGGCAGCATCCAGCTCAAGCTAGCTTTAAGATATTCCTTTAGCCCGTATTAATCCAGGCTTTTAGAGACTTTCAGAGACAACACCACATCCTATTGAGACAAATAGCAGACAAATATCAACTACCCTTAAAAAACACTTTTTGGGGCATTTTCTTTTTACTGTAGAGACACAGGAAACATGTTGAATAGCGTGAGGAGAGACAGGCAGCTATAGTCATGGCTGAGAGTCGAACTAGTGACCACTATGGTGAGGAACATCCTAACACTTTAACCACAATAGTTTAACAACATTATGGTGACTGTTTAAAAGGACTGAGCGTTATTAAAGTTAGAGCTGTCAATTCTATCACTGCAGCAACACGATACAATATTATCACGATACTTGGGCCACGATACAATATTGTTGCGATTTTAAACATTTTGCAACACAGTGAGTATTGTGATACGATACATTGCGATTTATAAAAAATGTTCTATTTTTTAGCTAATTTAGCATTCGGCTTTCCTTTATGTTTGTCTTATTTAAGCTGTATTTATTACAAACCTTCTATATATTTGTTGTACTGACTTTCTCCTGCTCTGTGATTCAGGGCTTGACAGTGTGTCCGTTTCACTCGCATTTGCGACTAAAAAAAGATGTGTGCGAATTGTAAAATATATTTAGGGGCACATGTGCGCATAGAAAAGATCAGCCGAAGGCAACAAATGTTTTTTTCATGTAACTACCGCGATGAAGTTGGTTTTAGGTTGGATATTCGACGGACATTCACTGCTGATCTACCGGTGTCTTCTCACTCTCCATCTACTCTAAATCTACTCAGCACCCTCGCTGTCAACGTCAGGTGTTGATTAAGGGACCATCAATAAATTACCAGTTGATGTTCTCAAAAAGGCTGTTTACCTTCAATAGCTTCCATGTCATGTAACCAAAAGACCTAAAATTGATTTCAAATAATAGTTCTTATGCCAACCAATAAAACAAATGTTATTTGATCAATTTTCATTGTGCTCCTAAAGTTCTTTGTGTGCTCCTTAGTTTTTTAACTTAGGAGCACATGTGCTCCTTGTGAGTGTCAATCCCTGTGACGTCACCTCTGCCAACCTCACTTGACAAACAGTTGATTTTATTTTTTCCATTATCACTGGTTTGACTTTATATTAGCAATTTATTTGAAAAATCGATACTTGGCAAATGAGACGATACGACATATATCACCAGACAAAATATCGCGATACTATGCTGTATTGATTTTTTCTCCCTACCCTACAATACACATTTTTTGCTACTCTTAGCTGTAAAAAAACAACGTTGCCTGTTGTGGGACTGAATATGTAATTAATACAACGCTCAGATTTCCCCCTCAGGCATGTTCCCTGAGACAGGGGCCGATCCCGCACAAATACTTAACAAGCTTATCAGTCAAGGAGCTTAGGCGTGGATGAAAAACATTCAACTCTTCCCATTTAGCTGCCCAATATGGCATTGGACTAAAGTAATGAAGATGTGTCTAACACTCCAACTCATCCCTGGAGGTGCAGATAATCAGCTTTCTCGGGCTGCACTGGCTGAAATAGGCTCATAAATCTGTAATAAGGACCTGCACTTCAAAGAGTCCCGCTTTCCTCTTAGCAAAAATGGTGCACCCAATATTGACTTGACTGTACGCACATGGCCTTCCAATGTGAATGCTGAGAGAGCTGGAGGGCTTCAAGAATGACATACTGCATCCTTAAAATAAATCAGAGAAATCTACGCCACCTATGACCATGTAAAAGATCCTAATCCTCCTCTACCCAACACTTGAGTCCGGTCATGACAGCTCAGCGCTGTAAACAGCAGAGTTGCAGGTTGTGCCAGAAACTATGGAGCTGCCAAAACTCACAGTAGCTCCCCTCTCTCACTGTGCAGCACACAGCCCTGCAGGTGTGGTCCACACATCGTAAACACTTTATTAATGCACAGCAGCGTGTTCCAGGAATAACCTCAAAAGCCAAGTGTGCATGAAAATCTCAGGGCCTTTCTCCAGATTAATAAATAATTACAGCTTCAGTATTATTTTTTCATTTTCTCTCTGGCTATGCAAAGATTTTCTAACCAACAGGCCTTCAAGGGAATCATGATATTTCAACATGGTATTAGAATAAATCCAAGCGTCTGCTGCTCCACGTTGCCAATGCTTCCACTGAAGTTATATATATCATGGCTGTAACAGACACCCGCATGTAGTAGGACAAAGTACCTAGACCAGTTTCTTTTAAAGAATTAGAGTTAATGGACTCTCAATTTAGTGTTTCAACTGTCTAGACTTATAGCTTCTGTTTGTGCGATGACAGCACAGAATGGTATTTCTGCCGAGAAGAATTCAGAGTACGCTATCGTGGTCAGAAACCATGTCAATAATAATCTTATTTTGTCTGTTGTAGCTCTCGACTGAGTGATCTTTTTTTGATGCTGTTTTTTTTTTTTCTACAGCTCTGGGGGAAAATACTGTTCATTACTGCAGCAGAGGAAAAACAGGCAGCTTATTTGTCCACATGTGTCATAGTAAGACACGTGATTTGTCCAACATGAAAAGAAAAAAAACAAAGAATGTGAATGTGACTTAAATTGTCTTTAAACTTACAGCCTGCTGTTGAAACATCACGTGTTTTATCCGCAACTGAAAATAGTCCCCAACAAATGTTCAATGTACCCTCTTATTTGAAAGCCCCAATGCCCAGGTGTTTTTGTCTTTTTCTAAAAAAAAACAAACAATGAAACTCATCATATCATCCATATTCTTTCACTTATCCAGGACAGACCACGTGGCAGCAGACTAAGCAAGTTAACCCAGACATCCCTCTCTCTAGCAACATTTTCCAGCTCCTCCTGAGAGCTCCTAAGATGGTCCCAGGCCAGATGGGATATATAATCCCTCCAGCAAGCTCTAGGTCTGCCCCAGGGTGTCCCCCCTAGTTGAGTGCTTCTAAAAAACCTCTGGAGGGAGGTGTCCAGGAGGCAACCTGATTGAATACCTGAACCTCAACTGGCCCCTTTTGATTTGAAGGAGCAACAGCTGTACTTGGAGCTCCCTCTGAGCTTCTGACCTTATCTCCAAGCCTGGGCCCTGCCACCCTGAAGCCCTCTGCGGTAAAACATTGGGGTTTATGGTAATTCTTGACCACAAAGAAATCAGAAGAGACAAATCCTCTCGTAAACAATAAATCGAAGATGAAAATATGCTTATTAAATGTAGTTTGTGTCTAGATTATTATGTTCTGGCAATATTTCGCAGAGATTACTCATTAAAATAAAGCACAGTGTGCCACTGCTCCTGCAGATGCATTAACTGTCTTAGTGGAAGGGCAAGTGCACGAATTACTCAGAAAATAATTGGCTGTCAAGCATGAATTAAAAGAACTAAACACAAAGTTTCATTTCTGACTGACAGCTGAAAAGGCACAAAAGCAATTTAAAAAGGTGTCCGAATGGGAAACACCATTAAGGTAATGTTGTTTAACGAAGACTTGGTACTGTTTAAACTGCAGATTTACCTGAGTGTCTGTCATCACTCTCAGTCCAGCGTTGAAGAGCTAAACCAAGATTTGAGCTAATCTGATTAAAGTAAACAGCTCAGCCATTGATACCTGACGGACCGTGAAGTTCTCAAAACAAAGCTTCAATGATTCGCCTGGTGAGACCAAGGCTGGCCGGCCTGTGACTCCCCGAGCTCTGTTGGTCTGGTAGTTACATTTCATTGCATCAGTCCTTGAAAACGGCTGCCAAATGAAAAGCCTAATTTGGGTTTGGAGAGAAGAAAAGAAAAGCTGTTCTCTCAGCCTCTTCTGAGCACTTCTGCTCCTGTTTCTGGGAAATATCTGGTCCTGAATAAATCAAATATTACAAATTCAACACAAGAAAAATGAGAATATTACACAACAAACAGTCTTATAGCCTCAAGAAGTGTGACATTATTGACGTTGTTCTTCTACATATACTCTATCTGAAGGAATAAACCTCCCACATTATGATTCCAGCACTCACCTCATTTAACATAATCCATAATGCATAAAGGGATAATCTCAACCTGACCAAATGTCTAAAAAAAACTAATGAGTTACTACGCCTTTGCTTGGAATGAAACTGATAGGACTCTGAAAATAGCCTGCCAGTGCTCTGAAATATTCAGCACTTGTGTGTGTGTGTGTGTGTGTGTGTGTGTGTGTGTGTGTGTGTGTGTGTGTGTGTGTGTGTGTGTGTGTGTGTGTGATCATCTATGGCCTTAGTGCTGCCTGAGCAGGTCAGAGAGAGTAGCCTTGCTGGACAACAAGCGCTGTTTGTTGTCTGTCTGCTTTGACAAAGGCGGCAGTGAAGGGCAGGGGCTCCATTCAGGAAGCTCCCTGTTGATTCTGTGTGTCACAGCAGCCGTTTGAGGAGCCTCACTGTGTCTATTTGTGTGAGTGTGTGTGTGTGTGTGTGTGTGTGTGTGTGTACTCTCTGGACAGCAAATGACCCCGGGTTTCATCCTGGCAGATTGATTGCTGGATACCACATGTCAACTGGGATTTACTGTACAAGACTAGCAGGGCAAGAAAGTGTGGGAATCCTGTGTGAGGGATTAAAACATGTGCTAAGAACAATTTCCTGAGCGCAACTATTTCTCAGTAATTAGGCCAAGAGCTTGCTGTTTGTGTTGGTTTTCAATGATTAGTTTTTGATGGTTTTGATTATGAAGGCGGCACAAAAAGATATGAGTAATCAAAAACATGTGGTTGTGAATTGATCTGGGGTAATTTCAAGCATAAAGATGCAATAAAAGCAACTCAATAATCGCAAATCAAAGGAAACTAGTCCTGATCTTCATGTCGCTGGTCACCCTCTCATAGGGGTCCATGAATGTCAGTGTTGTTCAGCAGAGGGTGATGCAGGAAGGTGACCTTTCCTCCAAAAGAGCACAGAGTGTAACAGGAAGTCATGGTCCCTGTGGCCTCCAGGCACCCTGTGGTTCTGCGAGAGGGGTTCTGGTGAAAGAACACAGGGGTCCTACCCTCCTGTTGAGGCCTCCCATGAGCATCAGCATATCCCACGTTGCAGCACGCAGCACTGCATGGCCCCATTTTCTTGTGTGGATTTCACAAACGCAACATGGACTCAATCACGTAAGAGTAAGTGACGAAAACCTCTCCCTCCGTGTTAATGAAAACTGGAAAGCTCCCGGTTCATGAGGAGGGGATTTGCTGTTGATGTCATCACCACCACATGGTGAAGTGAGGACGAAACAACAGAGGGGAAATGTGTTTTCGCTCAGCCTGCACTGTAATCTGTGGAGCAGCTGCTGAAACTGCTGTTTTCAAGCAGTTTTTACATATCTGGAGGAGAATTTTTCATTTTATTGACATATCTTGTGTCAATGCTGATTATTTTTATCAAGGAGTGTACATGGGAGTTGAAATATTTTAAGTGTTTTGACTTCTAACTGTAAAGAGGCACAATTTAACATTTCCAAAGCTGGAATATAGGTGTTTTTAATCTGAAATGAGGAATATGTGCTAAAAAGATTGTTTTGAGGCTCAGAAAAGCAGTGTGAACACTGATATGTTCACACTTAAGTAATTGTATTTTTTCTTCAAGTACCAAACCCAAACACTGTATTTTATCCCTTATCAGTGATGGTATTCGTTGTTGTGAGTCCATCATGCATTTCCCAGTGTCAGTGATGCGTTCAGGGATGTCGCCAGTGCAAGAGAAGAGGAGTAACGTTAGAGTACCCGCCCCCTGTAGTAAACCCAGCTCACCTCACAAAGCTTTAGGTTAAAAATATCACATCTTAAGATGCAAATTTTGTAATATTTCAGATTTAAGCTTGATATCAGGACGACAAAGCAGCTGACGATAAAGTGAAATTGCACCATGAACATGATATGATATATGTTGACAGGTTGGCTGAGGGGGCTCTGCTGCCTCTTAATGTTTTTCTGCTTTAGCTAAACAATGGAGGTTTTCCGTCGATACAGTATGGGTTAGCATAGATCCAGCATCCTTGGAGACTGCAGATTAAATTTGGCAGCTGAACAATATAAATAATCCACCTCTGGACATCAAATTCATGTCGCTCAATATTAGAATAGCGATAAATTCTTTAGGTCTTACCTTTATCTTGACTTGAAGAAATGCTCTCCTCCTCTTTCGGATTTGCAACCTGTGTTATTATGGACGTGTTGTCCATGGAAACGGGATGTTCTGCACCTTCGGCTACACCGTTTTATTCCTTGGCAAACATTACCGAGCGTACTACAGTCCCCGGGCTGTGCACAGGCTAGCAGAGCGTCCGCTGCGTGCACCATTAAAACCCCATTTTATTCGAAGCATGCAGTCCCATTCCCCCGGAGCTTACAAAAAAGACGGAATAGAAGCAAAGAGGTGTCAATCCGAGGATGTGCAGGAGACAAACAAAGCGCCAGTCCTGCATTGGAGTCTTGTGTGTCCGCTGTGGTTGTTGCAGGCAGCATAGCACCCCGCCTGCTGCTGCTGCTGCCGCTGCTGCTGCTGCTACTGTACGCTCTCCGGCTCTGAGCACACACTACACAATATCAACTGCGTGATTCGGTTACACTGTTTACCCAGAGATGGCGACCGTGCTCCTGCCACAGGACCATGCAGACTCTCTCCAACAACACGACGGAAATATTCCCATTATCCAACTCAATCCAGGCTGAAAAAACCCTCTCAGTCCGCCCACTCCTAACTCTGTTTGTTGGTGTTTGAGGTGATTCTGAGCCATATAGCTGGGGAGGGGAGGGGGGTTACACGCATCTTATTAATACAGTAGATTTAGCACAGGGTTACACACACACATATACACACACTTCTTTTTACAGATGCATTTTAATACAGTCAACAGTCGTGAAATTTCAGGCAGAGATCAAGAGTAGGCCTACAAAAGAAAACAAAAACAAAGAAATGAGGACACAATTAAATTTCTTTGTGTTTAAATGTTACTTCAATGTTTTAATTTTTTTGTACCGGGTTTTAAACATTTTTATTTTGATGTTAAGATGGGCATGTTAATTGGGTGTGTACGTGGCTTCCGGTGCTTAAGGTCAGCCTCAAGTTGACACTTCAGGAACTGCAGTTTTTCTTTTTATCGACTTTATTTCCCATGACTGGAGGTCGCCTGACTGATTTTGGCGTCCATAAATCTAAGTAACATTAAAACGCAGAGAAATTTACTTGTGTCCTCATTTCTTCTCTTTTTTTCTTTATTCAGATGTATTGCAATACAGTCAACAGTTGTGAAATTTCAAGCAATTATCTAGCAAAAAAAATGAGGATACAAGTAAATCTCTGCGTTTTAAAGTTACTTAGATTTACAGATGCCAAAATCAGTCAAACTCCAGTCATGGGAAATCAAGCCTATGCAGCAGTGCTGAAAACTGCAGTTCCTGAAGTGTCCACTTGAGGCTGACCTTAAGCACCGGAAGTCACATACACACCCATTTAACATGCCCATCTTTACTGCAAAATTAAAATGTTTACAACCCGGTATGAAAAAAAAAAACAGTTTTGGTCTAACTTAAGCAGCAACCTCCAGTCTTAACCAGTCTTAAGAAAAGGACAAGAACTCCGGTTCTCCAAGTGCCCACTTGAGGCTGGCTGCAGTGGCATCTGAAACCACGTGCACACTTAGCCAAAAAAATCCAGTTTGGGGGGCAAAATAAACCCATTTACAGCCTGGTTAAAAAACAGCTTTGGTCTGATTAGCTCCGGATTTCCACAGTTTGAGTTGGCATAACCAACTTGACTGACAGGCAGGCACACTGTAACCATAAGTGTGGAGGTTAAAGGGTTGTCCTTGATAGGTTGACTGAATGTTCAGTTGAGACAGCATTACCAATATGGCGACAGTGGTTCAGAAACCAGTGGGAGATGTCACTGAGGCTACGTCCAAGCATCCAGGCATCCATATATTTTATCAACCATTTGCCCAAATTCTGAATTAATTTACTTTTTTTCCCTTAAGATGTAATGTTTATTTGCTGGTCTTCCTGTGATAGAAAGTGCATCACCACAACGCTAATGAATCATTACTTTTATTTCCAGAGTTGCAAAAGAACAAAACCACCATAAATAAGCTTAACTGCACATCATCATCGTGAGCAATAGCAGGGGCATGTCATGCTCTGTTCTGTCACGACAACTATGATGATCTAAAAGACAAAAAAGAAGCAAAACAAAAAGATCAAATTATCCTTTAAATGAGAAATCCAGCTTATCACAAGAGTACTGATCTCGAGAAAGGACGTTAGATTGTGTCACAAAACTGAAACATAATTGCCAGATGATCTGAAGTAAGACTTCTGCATTCACACAAAAAACATCTTCATTTCAAATTTCATTCAGGGTTTAATTTGAATTACTGAAAGTGATTTCTTTTTTGCAAAAAATTATTAATCCACCTGACACGTGTGGTAGGCCAACATCAATATACTGGTTAAAGACTGTATTTGATGTACAGGTGTATCTTTGTTGAATTAGAGTAAAAGTCCACTTACAAATGTGCAGATTCATGGTTGAGTGGGAGGATGCAGTTGGCATGAAAGCTGCAGAAATGTCCACCAAAGCTGCTGCCTTTCAATTTAATCAAGATTTCAATATCATTGCTTTTTGCAAAACATCCAACAACTGTGGCAATATGCTTCTTTAAAAAGCTACTTATTTTTAATTCTCTTTTACTTCTAAAAAGCCAAATACACGCCTGTGTATGACAATGTTGCTGTTTTATCAAATCTGGCTCTGCTAAACCTGTCAACTGGATGGATTATTTTGGCAATAAAAGAGTCACAGTTGAATACTGACGTCAAAACTAAAGCTGATGTGATGATGAAAAATAATAATAAAACAAAACAAACAAACTTTGTTATCATTACTATAATTAGTGAACTGCCCCTTTAAACTACCACTCACGCCATGAGGCCTCTTTCCCATCTCCTCAGATGATTCCCACCTGTGCACCACCCTCTTCCACCCTCCGTATGCTCTGATAAACAAACATTATTCATACTATTTCAGCCTCACTGAAGCGTAGAATAACAACGGCAGAGATAAAGTGGTTTTCTGGTCTGTTGCCAGCGGTGACGTGCCTGAGAGTTCGTCCCTCTTCACCTTTACTGTCACTTAAATGGAGCCTAGACTCACACGGCACTGAACAACCCCACCTGAGAGACAGGTGTATAATAGCATATGGATGGGAAGAAAACAGCAGTAAGTGCAGGCTGTCATCTGTTGATTCAGCCCATAATTAGTATGTAATCTCCCGGCCAACATGACGCTCTCAGTATGGGTCAGTGCGTCTGCTGTCACTTAGCCCACGATAATGTATGTGTGCAAGTGACACCACAACACAGTTCTGTGGGACACTTCATTCAATCACAATCTCTTCTCTGCACTTCACTGTCAGTCTCAGGTTACTTTGTGTGTAGAGGCTGCACAGCCACATGAAATCTGAGGACACAGAGCCTGTGTGTAACCACAGCTGTGGGGGCTTTACATGGGTGAAATAAATAATTCCTCAGGGGAATGTGGAAGTCCACTGCTGCCTCTTAAAAGAAGAGGGAAACTTGTAAGTCACAATAATGAGATAAAATATCATGGGATTGAAACATCTTTTGTGAAATATTGTGACATGTAATCATTATCTCCTCATTATCCCATATTCTTTTCTTGATAACATGTATTCCACTTTTAAGCTGACAGCTATGAACTCATATGGCATCTTACCTATAAGTTAGATCAGAGATAGGTACGGTAGAAATATTTTTGTGTGTTTTCTTGAATATTGTTTGTCTTCGTATGATTTTTTTTCCCAGAGTTTTATGTTTGTTTTAATGTAATAAAATATTTGGTGTTGTATAAAAATAAATGTATCCTGGAAGATTGTGCCTTTGACCTTCAGGGCCACCTTAGGAGAGGCTGTTGTGATGTCCTTTCTTGCATTCCTTTGGCCTTAAAAAGTTCATAAAAAATACACTTACAAATGTTGGAAACCATGATTAACAAACATAGAGCAAATTTCCTCTTAATATTTGATTGTCCTTTAGGTGGGCTGGCAGAAACAAAAAAAACAAAACAAAACAGAAAGAGCAACAAATGCTACAAAAAAGTGAACAGGTTTTTGTGGAGTATTCAACAGCAAAAACTGTTAACTTACTTTGTGATAGGGGATCTGGTGATTGTATTACTTCAGGTGCCAGGTCAAGAAAAAAAAAATTACACGAATGAATCCCTGCACAGATTTCAAATCTGCACCCAGGGTTCGTAATCTGTCCTTACTGATTTGCAAACCAAAGGCAAGGATTTGTAATCCAGTGCACACAGTTTGCAAATCTGCAGGTACAGATTATAATCCGTGTGCATGTTTTTGCACGTGGCTATTTTTTTTTTCTTGAGTGGGCATGATAAGGGCTCTGTACATTCATCAAGAAACACAAAAATGGATTTATAATGATCCAACACTATTAACATAACATTAAATACCGGGGGTTTCACCTCTTGGCATTATAGATATCAAACAGTGCTGCCCTCTGACATTTGTACTACATGCTGAGGCTCTTCAGCTTCAAATTCTATTGATGAATCATTAAAACAAATGTGGTCTTGATATTATCTTTGATTAGACTCTTTTCTCTGCCTTATACATCTTGTATGCCATCAGACTGCAGGTCTGCTAAATATTTTATGAATGTGGGTGTATGTCACTGAGGAGCTAAAATCACAGTAATCCTCTCTCGCTCTGTCTCTCTCTCTTTCTCTCTCTGCATGGGCCTTCCTCCTTTCTTTTATGCCTTCTCTAGAGGTTGAGCCTTCAAAGAGCGGTGACAGGAAAGCAGTGACATGATGAGGGTTAAACAAGGACACAGTGCTGCACAGATGTGTCAGATATTTATCAATGGATTTACTTTTGCCTTTTAATCATAAAAACTACTCATCCTGGCAGCAGGATATGCATGTTCAAATTGTTTGCATTATGCCCTCATTCTTCCAGAATTTAGGGAATGCAATAATATCACACAATTTGGTTCCTTAAAATTGTTCCAAAGGCCCTGCCACATAACAAAGAGAAAAAAGATATGAAAGCTATTATGAAAAAGATAAAAAGATATGAGAGAGGGCTAAATCTAAATTTGGTACACATACATCTCAACAGAACAGACTCCAAATTGTGTCATTCTGAAATTTAAAACCATTCACCAAACTATTCTTCCTCCAAAAATTAAAGCATGACACTTCCAGACTGCTCTTGTTATACATGATCAACAAAATGAAGCATTTGGTCATTAATGGTGTCCGTTACAACAAAATAAATTTGCCTGTGGTGCCACCTAGTGGACTAGACATTAACTGTCTAAAGTTGTTTTTATGTGGACAGTGGTCATGTTAATAAAGTCTGTCACAGAACTCGAAACATATTCAATCATGATGTAAGTCTGGGCTCAGTTTATACTCACAAGAAAGCAGATTAAAAACATGTTTTCAAGGACACTGATACTTTCTGAAGCGTTTTCTTATGGGCAGTTTGTATTTGACATTAAAAGTAAAGAACAAGAGGACTTGTATATTTCTTCCCCTTCAGATGAAAGCAATGATTAAGATGGGTTTCTTTTCTCCAGTTTTATTAATGACTGCTCCAAAAAAATCAGCCTATTTGTAATGTATCCATAAACATTGGCTTAAGTTTTCTTACACCACTGCAATGCATAAAAACATCAGAAAGTAAGATTTAAATAAATAAAACAGTGTCAAGATTCTTTAACATTTTTGGAACTCTTCAAGCTACTGCGAAGAGTTTTTGCTTGGTTATGAAACAGACTCAAGTGAACAGTTGTTCATGTTCATGATATTCAAACTCAAATAAGATAATTGTTGACAAGATGACAATTAGGAGATTTACCATTGGATTTACTTGGTGGAAAGAATAATGTACTCATCTTAAAAACTCTCACTAATATATATATATATATATATATATACAATTTGAGTTGCTCTCTCTCTCTCTCTCTCTCTCTCTCTCTCTATATATATATATATATATATATATATATATATATATATATATATATTTGTTGTATTTTGTAGGTACAGAAAGTGAAGACTGAATAATAATGGAGAAGGGGTTTGTAACTTTTTTGTTTATGTTTTTGTTTGCTTGATATGTATGTTTTCTTTTTCACATAAATAATCGGATTTTATTAAATTACATTAAATATTTATGTTGTAAATTATTGTTACTGGTTAGCCTACCTGCTCCAAGTATCGTGTTTTGCATGAAATCCCACTCCAGCTAAAAAAAACAACCACATCAAAATGTATTCGTAGCTTGCGTAAAGAGGGCTGCAAACAATGCGACAGACGCAAAAAAAAAAGAAAAGAAAAGAAAGGGAAAAAAAAGAAAAAAAATGAAATTTTAAATTTTTCTATTGAGTGTGACGAATCTGCCAATCTGCTGATAAACCGGTCGTAACGAAAGTGCCTCTCCGTCGCGTACGCTGCCTTTACTTCTTTCAAGAGATTTCATCATTCTCCTCTCGCATTACGGCGGTCCATGCTTCGTAGCGCAGCATCAGCACTGCTGAGGACCAGCACTGAGCTTGCCGCACTCTGTTCGGTGTCCACGGTCCGGTTCGTTCAGCAGTCGCCCCGTTTGCCGCCCCGAAAACGGCCGTTTTCCACGTCGGTCTGCTTGTGTAAGAAGAAGAAGAAGAATCAGAAGAGCCTGTGGCAGCAGCTGGCGGAAGGACAAACCATGGACGGGAACATTGAAGAGATCCTCGCCCCTTTGAGGTTGGCCGTCAAAGAACAGGTAACATCTGAAAACATACGCTGATAAGAATTGGGCTTGTTTGGTTGTGATTAGATATGATTTATTGCTTAAATCTCAGTCACAGTGAGTGTGACAGCTTGGACGGCTAAGTGGCTAACCGGCTTTTCGTCGCTGTCAATGAATGAGGGCAGCCATTGTAGCTAGCTGCTGCTAACGCTCCCTGTTAGTCATGTCTGCGCCCTTTGCCACGTTTCAGTCTGCTGCTGCTGCTGCACAGATTTGTTCACAGGGTGGGGTTCAGGGGAGAGGCCATCCAGATGCTTCTACATCATATTATTCGATAATTATCTCATTTTATAAACACGATCAGACTTTGAACTGTAGGTGCGCCCGGCTCTTGGGTTTTTCTGAGTGCCCGTTTTAAGACCCCGCTCTGTGTTTTAGGGGGACCTGGTGCGGCAGATGAAACAGGATGGAGCTCCTGATGTGGATGTTACTAAAGCTGTGGCTGAGCTCAAAGCGAGAAAGAGGACTCTGGAGGCCAGGGTGAGTCTACTTTCATCTAAATCCTTTTGACTGAACCTAAGCCTGTAAGTGAATTATGGACCTTTTATTGTTGAAGTAATAAACACATCACATCTAAAACCTGCAAGTTCTTGACCACAGCCACATCTACTGTGCTGGAATTATTGTTGCCCTTTCATATTAAAGGGATATTCTGGCGTAAAATTAATTTAGGGTCAAATTCACCTTAACACTGAGTTAGACACCCTCTCGAGAGATGAATGTTGCCGACCACTTGTTTCTTTAGTTAAACCACCTTTAGTAACGACCGCAGGATAGCAATACACAGCGGTCTGAGGAGCCATAAACAAACTTCAACCAAAAAGCCACTCTATAGCCACAAATAATGCTCAGAACAGCAACTAACTTCTTCAACAGTACATATAAGGTCCTAGCCATAGCACTAGCCACCAAACATCTTTTAAGCTTTGCCTAATTTCTTTAGCAAAGGGACTAAACACAACTCACCTACTCTCTTCCAGCAGCCGCTTGTTTGTAGCAAGACCTCAGGCGAGTTCATAACAGACTACAGCGGGGTGATGCAGCTCAAGGAAGAACATTTATGATCATTTCTTCATGGAAATGCAATCAGACCGAGACACTAAGGCAGAAGAACTACCGTGTCTGCAGTGCAAAATGATTAATATGATGATTATTACTTGGGAAATGATAAATTAATGATCAAAAATATTCTTCCTTGAGCTGCGTCACCCCGCTGCAGAGATGGGAATTGTGGAGTCTACAAGTCATCTCCATGCCATGTATTTGTTCTGCTCTGTCACTGGCCCAGCTGCTTCCAATGAGCAGCCAGGAAGGTGAGCTCATTAGTGAAGGCACCTGGTTCAGTAACTGAGCAGAACAAATTCATTGCATGGAGATGACTTGGTGACTCCACAATTCCTATCTCTGCCCCGCTGTAGTCTGTAATGGACTGGCCTGAGGTCTCTACAAACAAGTGGCTGCTAGAAGAGAGTGGGTGAGTTGTGTTTAGTCTCTTTGCTAAAGAAATCAGGTAAAGTTAAAAAGATGTTTGGTGGCTAGTACTATGGCTGGGACCCTATATGTACTGTTGATGAAGTTAGGTGCTGTTCTGAGTATTATTTGTGGCTTTAGAGTGGCTTTTTGGTTGAGGTTTGTGTGTGGCTCCTCAGACCGCTGTGCATTGCTATCGGCTGTTGTTACTAAAGTTGGTCTAACTAGAGAAGCAAGCGGTCGGCAATATTCATCTCTTGAGGGGGTGTCTAACTCTGTGTTAGGGTGTGTTTGACCCTAAATTAATTTTACGCTGGAATATCCCTTTAAACTTCTACTTTTTGATTTGAGCTGGTACACAAAACTGTCTTTTAACTCTCTTTATGACTCAACAGAACTTGGCTCATATGAGGAAACATATATTTTTAACTCTGATCTTATTTTAGGAGCTGTCATTACAACCCAAAGATGACATCGTGGACAGAACCAAGATGGAGGACACCCTCAAGAGGCGATTCTTTTATGACCAGGCCTTTGCCATCTATGGAGGTAAGGTTTTCACAGGGTATATGTTAGGAGAGAAAAGGTCTCACTTAAAGCTAGAATCCACATACTTGCATGTAGCCTTAAAGTACCCTGTTACCATGTAGTAATGCTCCTCAGGTGTGAGCGGCCTGTATGATTTCGGCCCTGTGGGCTGTGCCCTGAAGAACAACATGCTGCAGGCCTGGAGGCAGCACTTCATCCAAGAGGAGCAGATCCTGGAGATTGACTGCACCATGCTGACGCCTGAGCCGGTCCTCAAGTAGGTACCCTGAAAAATGAGTTCAACCAACATTAAATCTTTAAAGAGTAATCACCGTGCTCTCTGTGTGTGTGTGTGTGTGTGTGTGTGTGTGTGTGTGTGTGTGTGTGTGTGTGTGTGTGTGTGTGTGTGTGTGTGTGTGTGTGTGTGTGTGTGTACTGAGCAGTTTTGGTCTATGTGAATGTCATTGATGGTGATTTTGAAAGCTGCTGTAGAGGATGCCTGGTGGTTCCTGCAGCCAGCTCCAAAGTGCTGAACTGTGGGTTTTTGTAAACAGGCGCATATTGATTCTGTGATTTTATGCATGGAAGCTGCCACAATAGCAGCCTTCCATAGCCCGGTTACAGATACACAATTTAGATTGAATTAAACATTTATTGACTTCTTTAATTCATCTTGATATAAATCTCATATGTTCACTGTTGTATTTTTTCGTAGGACATCAGGGCATGTGGACAAATTTGCTGATTACATGGTGAAAGATGTCAAAAATGGTGAATGCTTCAGGGCAGACCACCTCCTCAAAGGTAAGACTGTTACTCATCTGATTTAGTGCATAGATGTGGCATTTTCTACAACTTTGAGGCTACATATCCTTAAAGAACCTCCAGCTAGAGGTCTTTGTAAGTTTTGTTCTTTGCATTATTAATGAGCCTCAGTGGAGGGGAGAACTGGACGTGGTCCAGACTTGTGTCCTCATAAGCTGTTGCTAGTTGGCCGGGCTCAGAGTATCACTGTTGAGCCTGAGGGACAATAGAGGTGATCAAACCGGCTGAAATCTCACAGGGATTTTTTTTTTTTTTTACAGCTGCTGAAGCTGAGCCAAAAAGCTGAGGAGAAATATGAGAAATGATTTGAAAATGTCACTTCTTGAAAGATGGAAAAATAAGTGTGAAAATGATGCTTGAAATTTGTCATGGGAGAAAAAAAGCGTTATGAAATATGTGTCATTTGAGCTCTACTCCTAAACCATGTAGCCTTTATTATCCTGCCGACTGATTTCCAGACAGTACTCACACTCTTTAATGACTAAAATCAGTGTGAATTTCTTATGTTTGATTTAATTTAGTTCATCCTTGCTAGATTGTCTACATTTTTACATAACCGTGGTATGATTTTGTCCTGTAGCTCACCTCCAGAAGCTGATGTCAGATAAGAAATGTGCTGCAGAGAAGAAGGAAGAGATGGAGTCTGTTATTACTCAGGTCAGTGTTTGCGAAAAAAAACCTAACACTCCTCTGACAGATGATGGTGTAAAGGGTTTCAGGTGACTAATGGTCATCTTCTCTCTCTCTTCAGATGGACAACTACACTCAGCAGGAGCTCACTGACCTGTTTGTGAAATACAACGTCAAGTCTCCCACCACAGGAAATGACCTCACAGCCCCCATCTCCTTCAACCTGATGTTCCAGACGTCCATCGGACCAGGAGGGAACATGCCAGGGTAAGATGATAGCACTATGGTCCTGCAAAGAGTGTTTCATTAGTGTTGGTTAACTCTTGATTGACTGATTTTTTTGGATGTGATTCTGCAGCTATCTGAGGCCTGAAACAGCTCAGGGAATCTTTCTCAACTTCAAACGTTTACTGGAGTTCAATCAGGGAAAACTTCCCTTCGCTGCTGCTCAAATAGGAAACTCCTTCAGGAACGAGATCTCTCCTCGCTCTGGACTCATCCGCGTCAGGTAATAGATCCGCCGGGACACCTGTTTTTTTTTTTTTTGTAAGAGATTTAGACTCTCTCATTCAAAGGTGACTCTTGACTTTGAACTTAAATAGAGCTGCTTCACATTTCCACACAGAGAGTTCACCATGGCTGAGATCGAGCACTTTGTGGACCCGACTGAGAAGGTCCACCCAAAATTCTCCAATGTAGCCGACCTGGATATCATGTTGTACTCTTCAAAGGCTCAGACCAGTGGGCAGTCTGCTCAGATCATGAGGCTGGGAGACGCGGTGGAGCAGGTAGAAATCCAGACAACTACTCAAAATTTTTTAACCTCATGCTTTTTCTGTGAAGTTGGGCTGTGAAGTTGATTCTCTCTTTCTGTCTCCTTTTAGGGAGTCATCAACAACTCCGTCCTGGGATATTTCATCGGGAGGATCTACCTCTACCTTACTAAAGTCGGTGTTGCCAAAGACAAGCTGCGTTTCCGTCAGCACATGGACAACGAGATGGCTCACTACGCCTGTGACTGCTGGGACGCTGAAACCAAAACCTCCTACGTATGATCACATCCTTAAATCTCATCACTGAGTCCACAAACTTCTCCACTCTTCTCTCTAACTGAGTGTTTGTTTGCTGCAGGGCTGGATCGAGATCGTGGGTTGCGCTGACCGGTCCTGCTTCGACCTGAAATGTCACGCACGAGTGACTAAAGTCCCTCTGGTCGCTGAGAAGCCTCTTAAAGAACCCATATCCTTTAACTGCTGCTGCCGCTGCACCTCACATTACAGAAGACAATATGAATTCTAAAATCACTCCTGTGTTTTGTAAGGGCTTGTTCATTCTTCTTAACGTCTCCGCACAAAGTTGTAAATGTCGTCCAGTTTGAGCCAAACAAAGGAGCCATCGGGAAGGCGTACAAGAAGGATGCAAAGATCGCCATGGAGTATTTGTCCGTGTGTGATGAATGCTTCATTACAGAGCAGGAGCAGCTGCTAAACGAGACCGGGTAAGTGTGGTTAGCAGTCATTTGGGTCTGAGCTCAGGTTGTGATTCAGTAATTTGCAGTGGAGTTATTGTGTTCTTCTTATGGCCCCACAGAGAGTTCACCATCGAGACAGAGGGCAAGACGTTCAGACTCACAAAGGACATGGTTGGAGTGAAGAGATTCCAGAAAACTCTACACGGTGAGATTCGCTTGGAAAATCTGTCATTTTATCATGTAGTTGTGATATCTTTTAGTCTCTGGGATTTTTGGAGTAAACTTTCCCTAAAACACTGCCTCTGTACGTGCTTTTCATACACAGTGGAGGAAGTTGTTCCGAATGTGATCGAGCCGTCGTTTGGCATCGGCAGGATCATGTACACCATCTTTGAGCACACATTCCATGTCAGAGAAGGTGACGAACAAAGAACGGTAAGCTTCATTCCACAATTACTATAAATGCTCTTTTGATTTAGTTATTAACTAGGTTTTTCTTTTTTGACATTTTTGTTTGTGTTAAAAAAAATTGGCAAAAATCTCAGTTTTGTTTGTTGAGATTGCAATTATTGAAAACTAGTGCTGCAACTAAGGACTATTTTTTTGTCGACTAGTCGTCCGATTAATCACGATTAATCACTATCTTCTTTATTTATAAACACCTATTTCCGGGGTGTCGGCGTTTCAGGTGCTCATGCATCACCGTGGTGCTGCCATGGTAGGAAAGCTGAGCTTTGATCGACGTTTTTTTTTGGTTTGTTCTCCGTAAAATGTTTCCAAACTTTTGAAGTTTTGGGTCGGAGTTTTGGAGCGTCTTTTTCAGTTTGTCCTGCCGTAATGTGTGCGCTCTTCTTCTGTGTTTGCTCGCGGGATGTAAACAGCGAGCGCTACTGCCCCCAGCACATCCTGTAGTGCACTGCAGTTATAGATGAGCATGAGGCGCCGGCATGTGATTCTTAACAACAATAACACGACGCGTCGACGCTTCGTTTTCGTGTCGATGAATTTGTTGTGTCGACGTAATCGATTACGTCGACTAATCGTTGCGGCCCTATTGAAAACAAACTTGTGGTTTTATTTTTATATCACGTCTATAAAACTATAAAGCTCTAAGAGCTCAAATATATTTTAAACTCTTGAAAAAACACACTGATAATTGAAAATATGGTTAACCTTTTTTCCTTTACAGAGGCATGCACGTCTAATTAGTATTACTACATTTAATAATAATAATAATTAGTTGGGCACTGAAAGGGACTATGCTTATTGTTGCAACATGTTGAATTCACGATGAATTTTTGCACTGCTTTGGACTTCCTTGTGCTCTCAAACTTTGTTGTGCATCAATTCAAGCCGTTAATGATGAAGTGAAAGTGAGAGCTGTTTGAGGGAAGAGTCAGAGCACATGCTCTGCTGCAATGGAACAATAGAAAGGTGCACTTTGTTTACCCTGTTGTGCAAAAAGGCAGGCGGCACAGTAATCTGCCTGTCTTGATTTAGTCATAGTTTTGATGATTCTGGAGAGCCATACTCGCAGTCGTCGTTATAATTTGATTGCTCGCCCAGCCTACTTGTATTTTCATCTGTTTCATCTGTACTGGTTGCCATTACATGATTTTTCTTCTACTTCTTTGCAGTATTTCAGCTTCCCTGCGACTGTATCTCCATACAAATGCTCCGTCCTGCCTTTGAGTCAAAACCAGGAATTCGTGCCTTTTGTAAAGGAATTATGTAAGTTCCCACATAATGATAACTCATGTTTTATTTCTGTCTGTAAATAGGATCAACAGTATGCCCTGCTGCTGGGTTTCACTTTTTCCCCTCTTCCTCTTTCTCTTAGCCGAGGCATTGACCAGAAATGGTGTGTCTCACAAAGTGGACGACTCTTCTGGATCCATCGGGAGGCGCTATGCCAGGACAGATGAGATCGGAGTGGCGTTTGGAATCACGATTGACTTTGACACAGTGAACAAGACGCCTCACACAGCCACACTGAGAGACCGAGACTCCATGCGGCAGATCAGGGCTGAGGTACACCACCAGTTTTCTATTCTAGTACACCATCTGCACATCAGAGACCATCCTGTACACGATGTCTAGATCTGATCAGCTTCACACTTCCTCTCTTCTCAGGTGAGCGAGCTGCCTGTGATCATTCGGGATTTGGCTAACGGCACATTGAGCTGGGCAGAGGTGGAGAGCAAGTACCCCATCTTTGAAGGACAAGAGACCAGCAAGAAGGACACGGTTGAAGAGTAAACCCCCACGCCATGAAAACCCACAGACTTGTTATGTATGCATCACCAGGAAGAAAATTGAAACTGTGTTGTGATAAGCTACAAGTGGTGCGTTCAGCCCCCTCTGTGTTCTGCACCGCTGCCATCACTAAAATGTCATGTCTTCATCATATCTAACAGCTGTGGAAAGCTTGCACAGGACTGATGTTTCTTTGAGCAACTTTTCATCCATTTTGACCATGTGGAAATGTTTTAAAAGGGAGAAAATGTGATCAGGGTGTTGTCGTCAGTGGAACGAGGCCTTCGCCATTCCTCTTTTCAGTCAGATTGGATCAAGATAAACAGTTTCAATAAAAACAACCAGCACTTACTGGACACCGGCACTCGACTGGTCAGTTTTCTGTCAAATTATCAAAGATAATGCAACAATTTGTCAGGTGTAGTGAGAGTATCACATCAGAAACACAGAAGTTCAGTTATATTGAACTGACAGACTCCTTCGAAGAAATGAGCGGCCGACAGAGTAAAATGAGCATGTGCATCGAAACATGGTATAAAGGAGTAGCTTTACATGTTTGAAATGAATGGAAATAAGTTTTAAAGTTCAATTTGAAATGTTATATTTTATTATAGTAATTAGAAAAATCTAGTTTGCTTTAGATTTTCAATTGTGATTCTCCTCTACGTCGTGGGGCACACCTTTAAAGATAAGTCGGCCATTTCCACGCAAACATCTTTGAACGCTTGTACAAACATGAAAGTGTACATTTACTGTAATTTCACTTTCATTCTGACTTAGTTATTTATAGATCTATTACATTGTGGAATTCAATTTCACTTTCAAAATGATATTTAAAAAAAAACAAAACTTTCCACTTCTCATTTTTCAGCCATAGCTGTTACCCTGTAGTCTGCCATACATTTCCAATTCTTGATCCCTGGAAACATGTGCAACCTTATAGTTTGTAGTAATAGTTAGTACATGTGAAGGATGACTAAATCTGCGGCTGCTTAACAGTTAATATTGATTATGGCCACTAGATGGTACCAAAATCTCCGTCATTACCGGAGGGATTTCTGGGAAATCCCTCTGACTGCAGGGAAAATCACTCAAGTAACAGAAATCAAGTGTTTTTGGCTACATTTGCTGACAGTTTTATACTATTTTTTAAGCAAATCAGCTACAAAGCATGATATATTTACTTCATTGAAGCCAGATTGAAGTTTGATAATACAACACTGTGCAGCGAGCTTGGTTATGCCAAGCAAACTGGGCAACAGACACAAGCAGGGGTAAACAAACACATTTTATAATTAACATTTCCTTCTTCAGTCCAGTATTAAGATTCATTCATTTAATAAATGTTGCACAGTGAATGCAATTATTTGATCTAATGCAATCTACAAAACTAAACACATATTGTAAATGTGAGTCTGCTATTTAGTGTCTCTTTTGCATGGAAAGCCAAAGTGGATATGAACTCGACATTTATTCTCTCAAGAAACTTCAAGTTGTTGTCTGAAGCGTTTGACTTTTTTGCCACATTGTTTTTCAGGTTACCCAGATTTTCAAGGAAATTATCCTCGGATAAGAAGATGAATTAATCTGCTACAATGAAAAAAACAGCTTCATTATCCCACCATAATAAGATAAACAAGTTGAGATCTCAAGGAAATTGACTCCCAGAGCAAATAAAATGTATGAATGCATTTCAAGAGGGTCAAATGAGTCTCAAAAGCCTAAGATGCCCATGGACCACCAGCTGGGTTAATACAGCCATGCTGGATGCAGTAGAAACAAATTGGGATCTTTGTCCCCAATAAAAGGTCACTTAAAGCGCATGAAATGAAAAGCAATGGAGGGCGTGTGCTGACTTCTGCTTCAATAGCATAAGTAAAGTTTGGTGTTAACTTCCTGGATGGATGATGCAACAAAAAGCCTTGGTTTCAGACACTCACCCTTCAATACAGATGTAGGCTACAGAAACACGCACCTCCCCTTCTTCCCTGGTCCTCCTCCTCCTCTGAGAAACTGAACAGCGCTGAAACAAAACCAGAAGGAGACTGTGTTTGTCAGAGTCGAACTGTGCGGAGCTTTAAGACGTGTCAACATGGAAGAAATACTGGCGCCTTTGAGGGAGGCTGTGAGGCAGCAGGTGAGACAGACCGACAGGTTACACACCTGCGGATATGGGCTTATCTACAGCTGGGCAGCGTCCAATTTTGCAGCATGTAGCCATTATCAATGTAATATCAGTGTCTCGAGAGTAGTTTCGACACTTTTTACAGCATGCTACCGCGGATTTATTAAAGAGTATATCCGGATTTACGCATTTTTCTGTCTTGAGCGTCAAAAACTGCTTTCAAAAGCAAAACAACGATGCCGATTTTTACTCTAGCACACAAATGGCAGCAGTACGGCAGTATTAAACTTCTCGTGTTGTGTCTATAATTAAAAAGTTAGATGTCAAAGATTTTTCCAGCATTCATTTAACGTTGTTTGGCTGCCTTGTCGACAGTATTTCACTCATTTCCAAAAGACAAATCCCGTAGAGCCCTATGACATAAAAAACTAGAGTGAAAGTTTTAAAAAGGGGGGATGGTGGAAACTACATTTAGTGTCTTATATGGCATGTTTAATAGCTAGGTCAGTGGTTCTCAACTGGTGGGTCCCGACCCAAAAGTGGGTCGCAGACACGTTCTGAATGGGTCGCAACCAGCTGGTCAAAAAAGTAAATATTTAATGCGCACCTGATGTTTGACATGTCTATTATTTTGAAAAATAGCTTATATTGAAAGGCACGTGTAATGCTGGGGTCCCCCTTGGTTTCCTATTAATGTGGCCTAAATGCAGTAATAATACATGTTTATTTACTTATTTTTTGGTCTTAATTTTGTGCAATTATTTGATATTTTCTGTAAATGCAACTTTAGTAGTTGTCATCCTCTGTTCATGTGCTCTGAAATGCACTTTACTCAATAAGATGGGTGTATTTATGTTAAAGATTAGAGTTTTAAAGGTTTTTTATTTAAAAAATAAATACATTTGCTGGGTTGAATTTTATAAAAGTGGGTCACGACTTAAGGACCATGTGAAAATGTGGGTCCCAGGGTGAGACCAAGTTGAGAACCATTGATCCAAGCCATACATAAATTACTTAAGCAAACATAACATCAAATTGTATATATTCTCTTTGCTCCATGTTTTTTAAGTACAGTCATATGTGCATTTGGATTCTTTTTTAAGGATTTTGAGGCACAACAATTTCAGATTCAATACCAAACAGGTACAACAAGTGAAAAGGTGTTGTCTGAGGTTATGTGTGTGACAGCTGACTAAAGAGAAGTATTTGTCCTCAGGGTGACCTGGTGCAACAGTTGAAGGAAAAAGGCGCCACAGAGCAAGAGATGAGCAAAGCTGTTGCAGAACTGAAAGCCAAGAAAAAGATCCTTGAAGCAAAGGTCAGTCTTACAGTGACTGGATTGTTTATTTTACTGCCAAGTTTTGGTTTCACTTTCTATATGTGTAGCACAGACTTTTCATGTAACCATTTGCCATCCTGTGCAGGAGCTCGCCCTGCAGTCCAAAGATGACACAGTGGACAGAGTGAAGATGGAGGACACCTTAAAGAGGAGGTTTTTCTACGATCAGGCTTTTGCCATTTATGGAGGTAATTTACATCAAAACAGATCCAAAGGGGAGTCACAGCTAATTCAATGCACAGATTAAACACTGATATGTTTGTTCCACAGGTGTGAGTGGCCTGTACGACTTCGGCCCAGTGGGCTGTGCCCTGAAGAACAACATCCTGCAGATCTGGAGGCAGCACTTCATCCAGGAGGAGCAGATCCTGGAAATCGACTGCACCATGCTGACCCCTGAGCCTGTCCTCAAGTAGGTGACAACAAACTCCCGAGACTTGCACAAGAGCATGTCTTGATATTAGATCTAAAAATTGAGGTTGCAAAAGATTTGTTTTTTAAAGTCACTTCCTTTCATCAGGACTTCGGGACATGTGGATAAATTTGCTGACTACATGGTGAAAGACGCCAAGACAGGGGAATGCTACCGTGCTGATCACCTTCTCAAAGGTGATTTCCACCAACATTATGGCCTTTTCGAGGTTTCACATGAGCCCCACCTTGTGCAAAACTTTCTTTTAACTTTCCTGTCTGCCCCTTCATTACCAACAAGGTGTCATATTTTCACATTTAGACCCATAGGTGTCACGTTCCGGAGTTAAACAAAAAGAGAACCCAAATGCAGAACCAAAAAGAGAATTTATTTAAAAGGAACTAAAAGAAAAAAAAAAAAACTTACTTTGAATGTCCAACTGAAAAATTCCCCAAAACACAAGAAGCAAAATCCAAGGGGCAAAAAAAAAAACACAAGGAGACACTGGCATACACACAGAAATGTATGTATGATATTAGGTCCAATTTTATTCATTCATTTTAAGACTGGTGAATTTTCCATCCCTTTAAATTCTGCTCTGTGGACAGCATGTGTGCAGGTTGTTACCTGCCTTACTGGTTGAACACCCCTGGGGAGCTTTAGGGAAGTGGGGGCAGGGCAGGAGATCAAGTGGGTGACTGGTTTTTCAGGTGTTCCTGTTTCTGGAGTTTGCCTACATGTCTGCCAACGAACTGAGCATGAAAGATGTTTAGTGACATAACTTCATTCATACATCAGGCAGAGACATGCGTAGAAAACCAGCTGAAAAATGCTGATGTGGAGCTTTCACTCTGTATCTTGCATGCATGGATCCCATTGAGAGGCATTTTAACCTTTAAATTATATATATTTGCATTATATTCAGGTCATTTTTTGCCCTTTTTTGACTGTCTGCCATAAAGAATAATTAAAAAGTGCACTAGTTTATCCCAAGCAAAAAAGGACAGCTGCTGTTCAGTTAGACATGAGTGATAAAGACTTAAAAATGCAGGGTACATTTATTTGATTGAATCCTGATAACTGCTGCTTCATATTTTCCTCACAGCTCACTTGAAAAAGCAGATGCAGGATGAGAAATGCTCTGCAGAGAAGGCGACAGAGATGGAGGATGTCATCACTCAGGTGAGCGTCTCTCAAATACATCATTTACGAACACACAAAAATGAGTCATAGCTGAAGTGAATGACTTTGTTTTGAAATGATCCACTCGTGTTTGCTCTCTGTTCCAGATGGACAACTACACCCAGCAGGAGCTGTCTGATCTGTTTGTGAAATACAACGTCAAGTCCCCCTCCACAGGAAATGATCTCACAGCTCCCATCTCCTTCAACCTGATGTTCCAGACGTCCATTGGACCAGGAGGGAACATGCCAGGGTAAAGATCAGTCTAACAGATTTCTGCTTCAAGCTTGTCTAATAACATTTGATGGATTAAAATTGTGTTAAATAATGACTGATTTGCAGGTATCTGAGGCCTGAAACAGCTCAGGGAATGTTCCTGAACTTCAAACGTTTGCTGGAGTTCAATCAGGGGAAGCTCCCATTTGGTGCAGCACAGATCGGAAACTCCTTTAGGAACGAGATCTCTCCTCGCTCTGGACTTATCCGTGTCAGGTGGCCAAAAAACACCAAACTTTTGATAATTTAGCCTCAAATTCAAGTGACACAGCAGTGGCATGACAACTTCATCTGTTTGCAGAGAGTTCACCATGGCAGAGATCGAGCACTTTGTGGACCCCTCTGACAAGGTCCATCCCAAATTCTCCAACGTAGCCGACCTGGAGATCTTGTTGTTTTCTTCGAAGGCTCAGACGAGTGGGCAGTCTGCTCAGATCATGAGGCTGGGGGATGCTGTGGAGCAGGTGAGAAATATTTTTATTATTTTAATCAATACTGACTTAGATACTGAAACATATTTGTCCCTATACAAATAAACATTAAATAAATAATATTATAACTCTTGTCATATCAATAAATCGAGGCTTCAGTAATAAACTTGAATTACATTTATATTTTTTTCTTCTGCTGCAGGGAGTGATCAATAATTCAGTGTTGGGTTACTTCATTGGAAGAATCTACCTCTACCTCATTAAAGCGGGTCTGTCCAAAGACAAGCTGCGTTTCCGTCAGCACATGGAGAACGAGATGGCTCACTACGCCTGCGACTGCTGGGACGCTGAGTCCCTGACCTCCTATGTAAACCTTTTCTTCTGTTGCCTTTACACACACCGACTGAGATATTTAAAGGTTTAAATTTGAGTAAGAACAGGTTTTTTTTCTGTCCCTCAGGGCTGGATAGAGATTGTGGGCTGTGCTGACCGCGCCTGCTATGACCTGTCCTGTCACTCCAGAGCCACCGGAGTCCCTCTAGTGGCTGAAAAGCCCCTGAAAGAACCCATATCCTTTTGATATTGTGTGCACTTCTCCTGCAGAAAGTATATTTAAGAATGAAAACATACACTCAATCACAAACAGTCACTTCTGGGTATTTTTAGACATAAGCAGCCTGCAAACTTTTCTGTGAAACTGCCAGCAGGAGTCACCAAAGTCAAACTCTTTATTTCCCCTTCATTCAAAAATGTGCTTTGCTGTTAGTTTGGAGGACACAGAGTGTTTGTCATTTGAAATTTACAGCAAAGTTTTGGAGAAAAGTGAAAATTAAATCACAAGTGGAGAAGCCTTATCATCATACACAATAATTTACTCAATGGATCAAGAGACTTTTATAAAGTAATTTTATCTTCACATATTTTAGAGTTTCCAGGAAGTAGGATGCACAAATTATTTATTGGTAATGGAGTATTTTCATATATCCTAATTTTCCTTTTTGGTAACTTTTGGTCATCCATTTGCATTAAAGCTTGCTTTTCACACAGTATTTGCAGTGGGGAATAATGTATGGTGAGTGGGTGGTTTCATGTAGACCATTATCCTGAACAGGGTGAGACACCAGATTTGTTGTTGCTGTAAAACTGACCATTTTTGCAAGGTAATGGCCAACCCATAAGACCGTCAGCCTTGACTCACACTTAATATTTAAGCCTGAAGATTCATGCTAGACTGTGGGATAGGTAGTATTTATTAAAAGTACCTGAAATCTAAGGGTCCCCCTGCTGTTATTTTCTGGATTTTTCTGTCACACACAATTAAACATAGCTGTATTTTCTGTAAAATGCTCACAAACTAGTTTCCTCGATTTTTCTCCCTAACTTCTCCAAACATAGTGGTAAATGTTGTCCAGTTTGATCCCAAAAGAGGACCAATAGGAACAACCTACAAGAAAGATGCCAAACTTATTCTTGAGTACCTGGCTGCCTGTGACGAATGCTACATCACTGATCAGGAGAAACTTCTCAGTGAAAAAGGGTAATTTAAAAATGTCCGGAAAAATCACTACGGCTTATTCATGAACATTTTATTTATATCATGAATTTATGTAATGAAGGGATGTATTTTTGTCTGTAGGGAATTCAGTATTGAGACAGGTGGTCGGACATTTCAGCTGACCAAAGACATGGTCAGTGTGAAGAGGTTCCAGAAAACTCTGCACGGTAAGAGCTGACACTCGACCGTCCTCAGAGCTGCAACAGTGACTTGATCATGTGGGAAAACAACCGTCTGTATTTTCCCACAGTGAAGGAGATTGTTCCCAATGTAATCGAGCCGTCCTTTGGCATCGGGAGGATCATGTACTCTATCTTCGAGCACTCGTTCCGTGTGCGTCAGGGGGATGAACAGAGAACGGTGAGCAGACTTCAAAAACAGAGCTACTGTAGAAGTATAAACTTATTTCAATAAGTTTTGATTTTCTTGAAATTAAATTGATTCATTTCTTGCCCAGTATTTCAGCTTCCCCGCCCCTGTTGCTCCATACAAATGCGCCATCCTTCCTTTGAGCCAAAAACCAGAGTTTGTGCCATTTGTCCAGCAGTTGTGTAAGTTTGATACCAGCTTTCACATTCATTTATTTAATTATTTCATTTCTGTTGATATGAAGCTTTAGCCAGCAGGAGGCCAGCATAGAGACTAAAATGAGGCTGAAACTGATAGTTTCACTATCATGCATGCCAACACCTCTTACTTCATGTAACGACATGTTCTGTCTAATTTTTCTGAACTGTCAAAATGTGTTAGTATGAAACATGACTGTATTTGCTTAACCAGTTCTTAGCTGGGAGTATTGAGCTCTCAGACACAGTTGTTGAGATAATGTTAGGTAGCTGGCTAACTAGTATGGTGGCAAAAAGAGACAAAACTCATTCCCTGAGATATCAAACCTGTGAATTAATGCAAATAAATATTTTGAAGAACTGAAGCTCATCTTTTGAACTAATTTTTCTTTTTGCATTTTTCTTCTTCTAAAGCTGAGGCTCTGACCAGAAACGGTGTGTCTCACAAAGTGGACGACTCCTCTGGATCCATCGGGAGGCGTTACGCTCGGGCAGATGAGATTGGAGTGGCGTTTGGGATCACTATTGACTTCGACACAGTGAACAAGACGCCTCACACAGCCACGCTGAGAGACCGCGACTCCATGCGGCAGATCAGGGCTGAGGTAGGACGAGCCTATAATGCCACCTTAATAAAAAAAAGGTTATGTTTTATTTTCTTACCAAACAAATGATAATATTTTGCAGGTCTCTGAGTTGCCTGGAGTTGTCCGAGATCTGGCTAACGACACCTTGACGTGGGCTGAGGTGGAGGAAAAATACCCCATCTTTGAAGGACAGGAGTGCAGCAAGAAGGAGTGATAAAATTCAGAATATCTGCTCATTGCACAGGGACCGAAAAGATTTTACATTCCACTGTCATTATCTATTTGTATGTTGCATTTTTATATTTACACAGAGGGGAAGAAGTTTCTTTCATTGGAAATTGTTTGTGATGCTTTATAATTGAGACTTCTCAAATACTGAAGGAAAACACAACCAGTCACACACAAGCTAATTGGACTAACACTGTCCTCTGTGGCCTTTTTTCTCTCAAGTTCTCACCATAGTAACAGTCTTTAATAGCTCCCAGTGGATGTATAGCACTGATTATAATAACGCAGGAACAAATGAATGGACGGGAGTTTCACAGACATTTTTTTTTACTGTATTTGTGGAAAGTCTTGGAATAAAGTACACTCATTTCAGTTTTTGTCTCATGTATCAAAAATGCTCTCAGCTGAAATGACACCTCTGTTCCTCATTGTCTTTTGTGTTACTGTCACTAGTCGGCACTGTCTGTTGTTTTAGAGTTTATTGTAGAATGTATGTGTGTGTGTGAGGGGGAGAGGCATGGATGTTTGTTGGCTACAGCTCAAAATAACAACAGGCTTAGACCCTCCCAAAACAGATCTGGCAACCCTGAATGTGGAAAATAGCAACAAGACAACAGACAGGACAGGACTTTTATCTGAAATTGTAAAAAGAAATTTCACAAAATAAGCATAAATCCTAATAGGTGGATATTTTAATTACATAAGATGATTATTTACTATTTATTTCATATAATGACTATCATTAATCCCTTCAATGATGAGTCTTACTTCATCTCTACAGGATGTGAGTTGATTTATTTTACTGCATATCAGGGTGATAGTTGATGGGATTAAAAAAGAAAAGATAAAAGAGTCTTAAAGCTGAATGGATGACATTGTGTGACAATGATTTGTCAGTCTTTTTGTTCCGCCCCCTGTGTGTCAGTGGTCAAAGTATAAATACATCATGTCACCTTTAACCGGTGGCAGCTCCCTCACAGGGGAGTCAGAGGGACTCACAGCCCACCCTGGTCACGCCCAGCAGATGCAAAAGTTTGTTATTTCTTTGTTTTGAATGAAACTTAATTTCCCCCTGTTTGACTGAGAGAAAAACTGCGTCTGTAAGCGACTTTCTTCGAGCACGTAACTGCTGCGTTCAAGGTCAGTATCACAACAGGTGCTGCGGAGGACAAACCGGAGTGCATGACCGAGTGGCATTTCAACTGCAGGCATCTCACACAGACACTGTTAAAAAGAAACAGGCAGAGATTTTAGGTCACTTTTAAGAGAAAATCCTACTCAGTTTAAGACTTTTCATTAGTTTTGCATGTATTTTTTAATGTTTTAAGTATTACTTTGCTGTTTAAATGCACATGAAGTCATGAATAATTCCAGTGTTGCTGGGTTAAAAATAGCACGCAGCTGTACTTTGTTAGCGTCTTATCAGCGAGCACTCTTCTGCTTTCATTTTTCCTTCTCACCTGATAATATCAACAAAGACAGACAGATAACATTCATAACTCATGCTTACTTTGAGGACTTGAAACCAGCACGTGAACCACATGATTAAATCAGCAAACTCAGCATAAGTCTGATATCCATTGAGTGTAAAAAAAGGAAAAGAAAACATCAATCCTATATAGATATTTTCAAAGATATATTCAAGATGTGAAAATACTACTGTTGTGGTTACGTTTGGACAGTACATTAAAGATGAAGATGGTCCAGGTAGGCTAGTTAACACCAGACAGTACACATTTTACATTTTATTTGAATTCCTGTTTTACACTCCATAGGGATTATATATGTTTGAATGGAAAAACTTTATTAAATCATGATGTGTGATATTGCCTTTTCTGCTTCATTAGAGGATCCAAATGATACTTTCCCAACAAAACTAAAACAGATATTTTTATTTTTATCAAGTGTAAATCAAATATTTTGAATTAATCATTAAAGCCACAAGGAAAACGGTCTCCAAATTTCTTTCTTTCTTTATCTCAAACTTCAAGAACAACAACAACAAAAAAAAACTAGAAACTAAAACACCGAAGAAAATATTACATATGTATACCAAACAATGGTACATATCAAAGATAAATTAAAACAACATATGTTTGTCAAAAATCAACAGTTTGAGAAGGAGCAGAATGAAGCAAAAAGCTTATCAAGTCCTGCTCCTTCATTGCAAATTAGAGATTTAAAAATAGAAAAAAATCGATTTGTATAAATTACAAAGATCAGTATAAATACGTACATTTTATACACAAAGATACTTGTTTAAACACTCAATAGGTTACTTATTATAATTACTTGCATATTATAATAATAATCAGTGTTATAATATTCAGTATTAATATTACTTTTATGCAATCGAGTATATATAGTATAAAACCATATTTTTTGTTAATTTACTTATATGAATCTTTACTTCTCTATAGTTTGATTTAAGTATTTTTATGTTCTTAGACAGGTATTTAAAATCAATTAAAAGTCTACCAGAAGGAAAATCCTTGAGATAACTAAATGTATTTCTCTTTTGTCACCATCATTTCCAAGAATATGTTCGTGCAAGTAAGTGACAAGACGTAATAGACACCTGAATAAATATTGATTGACAAGTTTAGACATCTATTTTCAGTTAGTTGAAACAAATGTCTCTCATACAAACCCTGAAGTTGCATTGTAGCACTTTCTCTTCTAGTTTAATGGCTGCAGCTGCTGCCAGAGAGCTGCACAGCGTGTTGATAATGTGTTGTCCTCATGTGAGATCCAGAAATTGAGAACGAGTATCTGATCAGGCTGAGGAAGAGAGAGTTTACTGAGAACTTTCACAACTAGTTAGTTATTTGTCTGCAAGATTAGGCAGCCCAGGGTGCTGTAATAACATGAATGTCACTTAAGGAGTAAAACCTGTTTTGGGTGTTCAAACAGTACTTGAAGTGGTCTGTGCTTCCAGGATCTTCCACTGTCCTTCCTGCCCTGGTCACCATGGGGATCAAAGCCGCTCTTCCCAGATATGAGATCTATTTCTACAACACGGTGTTGTGTCTGGCAATGTTCTGGGCTGCCAGCTGGATCTTTGAGGTGTCCAGTTGTGAGTATAAGATAGTACACTCTCTCTCTGTCATACACATAGACAGTCTAGCTTGTGCAAACATGCAAACACGGTTGTGTGCTTTTAAAGTACAGATAATCCTTTGCTTATTTTATGAGTGTGACATGCTTTTATTAAATTGTGCTGAATCAAAAGTGCTTAAAACTACTTCAAAGTTAACTCCACGAGGAGACAAAAGTCTGCAATGAATCCAACTTTAGAGAGCTCTCTCTGATTTAACTTGTGTTTTTGTTTAGTGTCAAGTAGTAACAAACTAATGCAGTGTTTACTTTAGGCTTAATACAAGTAAAAGCGCCTCGGGACACTTGAAAAAAAAATACACAACCTTTTTTTTTATTCGTGCAGTTCATGGGGAAATGATCCAATAGGACTAGATGACACACATTTCAAACTGTTGCACACACAGAATTTGACATTGCTGGTTCAGGTCTTTTCATGGAATTTATGCCAATCACTACTGCTTTTAGCCAATACTTATGTTACACCTGCAAATTATACACATATTATAAGAATAAAAAGCGTGGCCAAGATGTTTTTTTATTAGATAAAGCTCCTGCAAGCTCCTATCCTGTCCTGTCTGTCAGATTAATCACAGCACTAATTTCTGGTTTTATGATCCCCAATCTGACATCATGACCATCAGAGTCTCAGCTAATCTGATATCAGCATTACTCCTACAGGATAAGATCAACATGGACAAGAAAGAGGTTTTTCCACAGGCAGAGCCAAAATCAATCAAATCAAGAGTTTTAATGAGTTGTTAAAAAGAAAATGAAACTACTGAAACATTAAAGGTGTAAAACAGACCTGTATATAAGAAGCAGTCTGTTGATGGGGATATTCTAGGAAGCGAATGGTTCAAACCCTCTTTCTGCATCAAAGGTTCCACTGTGTTAAGCAATGTGCAGTTTCTCTGCATCTGTGTAGCTACTAGTTCTGTAGTTCATCACAACCTACAGTAGCATTTACAGTTGTGAGGTATGGACAGACATCGCCTGCAAGCGAATTCCTACTTCCCACTACTGTCTTTAAAAAGGGGTGCTGATAGACTGGTCTACCCTGCTATGTATACAACATATTTTGCATATTGAAGGACCTCTCTCTGCATCTTACTTACCACACCAGTATAGATTCAGCTCACTTTTTAAATGAACAAAAACCTATTAGAAGTGTGTTTTGGAAAACAATCATCATGGGATTTTATTTGCATGCCAGACATGTGTGTTTTTCCTGCTATCAAAGGCCAAAATTTTTCAGATTTTGTAAAAGTGTTGTTCAGGGTCTGTTTGTAGAGTTTTATACTGTTTTTATAACTGTAACTTTTTTTTATCTAAGGTCCTTTACAATCATTTTACTTAAGTGTTTTTAGAGTGAGAATTGTGTCCACATGCAGACATCACATTGTTCAGTACCCATGAAGGGGCAGTGTCACTGTGTGAGGGTGAGGACTTACAGCTATGTGGACCTCGTGGAGCAGATCAGGTGTCAGTATTAATATCACAGAGCAGAGGAAGAAAATAGGTCCTGTGTTGGCTCTGCTCTCTGAGTTGTAACAAAAGTTTCACATCTGCACTCAAGGACAAGACAAGTTTGAAAAGAGAGCATAAAGTATCATAGGAGTGTCAGAAAATGAAAATGGATGTAGGAAATGAGATACACTTGTGTTCCAAGTTGTTTTCTTGTTGTGTTGCAGTTTTTTTGAACATTTTTTTGCACTTCTCTGTTTTTCAGCCAGTGCAAACAGAAAGACGTTCAAAGGCAGTGTGAGGCCAGGATGGTACTACTTTGGGAGGAAAATGGTGAAAGGACATTCTCGTGTTTTCCTGAAATTTGCTCCCTTCTATTAGCAAAACTTTACTTCATTAGTTTTTTCTCTGTGTGTGTTTTTTTTCTGCAGGATACAGCGGATTTTGAGTGGACGATGTGGTTCTCCACCTTCAGAGAGCACATCCTGTTTGCTCTCTCCGGTCATGTGCTGTTTGCTAAGCTCTGCACCATGTTGGCTCCACAGGTGATTCTCCAATTGATTAATTTAGTAACTGATTAAGATGAAACAGGAGCATAGTTAGGGATGTGAAGGACTTAGGTTTTCATAATCTAAGATGAATCAACGTGGCTGAAGATCAGTCAGATTAATCTAGCTGTGGCATTTGAGATCCCCTTTGTCACTCATTATTTTTACAGCATTGCACAGCAGCTTTTTATATCGTTGGCCAAACAAAAGATGATGAATGGGACCAGGTGGAGAGAGAAAAACTGAGGGAGAGTTGGATGGAGGGACAGAAAGAATGACGGAGACAGCTAAAATACATGTATGATAAGCAAAATCAGTCTTTTCAGTTAGTTCGGTTCACAACCTCAGGATCACACGTCATGTGTCAGCAGATATTTATGTGAAAGTTTGCACTTTACTGTTGTAGTCTGTACCTATGCCTTTGGTTGAATTTAAAACAGAATGGGGGATTTGCTTAAAAGTTTACAGCCCCAGAAAAAAAAAAAACAGATTACTAATCATCAAGGCAGGAGAGGAAAACTAATTCAGGCAGATAAAATAGTTTGCAGGATTCTCAAGATACTGAGACTGAAAAACGAAAAGATGATGATTTACATCGAGCTGAAGAAACAGCCTTTTTTTAGAGTAACAATCAGTGAACCGCTACATGAATGAATGAATGAATAAATGCTTTATTGCGAACATGCAATAAATAAACAAAACAGAATGAATGTAGTAATCAAACACATGCATACCATAAATAAAAGAAAAACAAGGATTGCTGGTAACAACCTGCATGTGTTGCCGAGCTACATTTTCGAAAAGGAGTAGGAAGAACAGACATGAAGTAATTAAGTGGGCCCAGTCATTAGTAGTGGCCCTCTCCAAAATCAAGCTAAAACGAGGATAATCCGATCAAAAATCATGTTGATTTTCATGAAGTGAAAAAGTGAGAATGCACTTAACTCTCTTTTTCTGTGCCCCTCAAAAATACATCAAACAGATGAAAACACTTGAATATTCACGGAGTATAAAGTGCGGGTATTTAGAGATATTTTATTTCTCTCTCACAGTACAGGTCACTGGTGTACATGGTGTACGGGCTGCTGGCTGTGTGGACCAGTATGGGCTGGACCTACGTCACCCTCATGCTGTCTCACTGTATCCTGCTCTACAGCATCTCCTTAGTGAAAATACGCTGGCTTTGCTTTGTCACAGGCCTCTGCACCCTCGCCTCCTTCAAATGTGAACCCTTTGTGTCCTGGCAGGTGAACCACTGGCACATTAAACAGTTACATCCTCTAAAACTAGAGCAGATTTGTTACTGTCTGATTTCTAACCTCCCCTGTTTCTGCTCCACGCAGTCAGGTTTTGTGGAGGGGGACTTTGAGCTGCGTCACATCCTCTTCTACGGAGGCTGTGGCTTCACTATAATGCGCTGTATGAGCTTTGCTCTGGAGAACTGCGAGAGGAAAGATGGGAACTACAACATCATTGAGCTCCTCAAGTACAACTTCTACCTCCCATTCTTTTATTTCGGGCCCATCATGACCTTTGACAAGTTCTATGTCCAAGTAAGTCAAAATAGACGATTATGCTCAGTCTTAGGCCAACTCAGAGCGTTTTAATAGACTTTCCCAGACAGATATGAGCAGTGAAGTCCAATCTGTCAGAGAGAGCACTATCTGCTCAAGAGTCATGGTCAGGGATTTTGTATATGCTAATGGTTTATTACGAGGCTAACCAAAGAATTTCCATGATTTATTTGAATATTTTGTGGCCTGAAGAGGTGAAATCTCCAGATATTAACAGGGAAAGAGAAGATAAAGACGCATTTGAACGTAAATGAATTTTGTTCACAGAGGAACAGTGTGAGCTTTGTGGTCCGGTGAAGTTTTTCCAAAGTGCAAGTATAAATCAAGAGGGGTCAGTTTAGAGAAATCCTCACAAAGATGTACTCTATGTTTCTTGATTCGTGAAGTCTTGGTTCTCGCTGAGCTGTATCAGAGCACTGTGGAGGACAGATTTTGTGACTTTGTATCTGCTGCCCCCTGCAGGCCAATAAGTCCGACCTGACCAGGAAAGAGCGGGAGATGTGGAACATCAATATGCAGGGCTTGATTTACCTGGGAGCCATCTTTGTAGTGGATGTCCTCTTCCATTTTATGTACATCCTCACCATCCCAACAGACATGAAGCTGCTGAAGCATGTCTCAGACTGGGCTCTAGGTCTGTGAAAATAAACAAACTCCCATAAACTCTAAACACATCCATATACAAGCATGACTTTCAACTCACTGTGAGTTTGTAAGTGACAAATGATGTTTTGACTGTTCACAGTGGGCCTAGCTTACTTTAATCTGGTGTATGACTGGGTCAAAGCAGCTGTCATGTTTGGAGTCATCAACACTGTGTCCAGACTGGATCATCTGGACCCGCCAAAGCCACCAAAATGCATCACCATGCTCTACGTGTTCGCTGAAACGTGAGTTTTGTTTACACAGCTGGATCAGATTTGACAAAATTATTAAAAATATGAAAATTTAATCCTGCACTTTTTCTCTGTTTTAGCCATTTTGACAGAGGGATCAACGAGTGGCTGTGCAAGTAAGCGTCTCAAAAGAGATAGGTGAATTATCTTTCTGTTTTGGACGCATTTGAATGCAGATCATGTCATTTTGTACAGGTACGTGTATGATTACCTGGGCGGGAAACACAACAATGTGGTGGAGGAGCTGGTGGCGACACTGTGCACCTTTGGAGTCACCATCCTGTGGCTGGGACCCTGTGAAGTGGTGTTCATCTGGGCTTTCTTCAACTGTTTCGGCCTTAACTTTGAGCTCTGGGCCGCCAAGTTTTTCTCCATGGAGCCTTTTGCTTCTTTTGAGGTTTTTCCTTAAGATTTCTTTTGCATTTCACCCTCACACAGAAAGTCTTCGTACTTAATTTTCCTTCGTTTGTTTGTTTGTTTTCAGACGGGAATGTCAGAAGCAATGTCCCGCCGTATCAGAGCTGTCTTTAATACTTTCAACTTCTGGTGCATCGTGCTGTACAACATCCTGGCTTTGAACAGCTTAGATTTCGCCAAGTTGGTTGCCAAACGGCTTCTTCTCAAAGGTGATTCTGTCGTTGGTATTTTGAGTTCAGTGAGTCCTTTTTTGCAAACTCTATCTGACAATGTTTGGGCTTTTCCAGGCTTCCCTTTCACCACCATCATCGTCATGTTCGTCACTTACTGCCTGGTTCAAGTGATCAAGGAAAGAGAGAGGAGGCAGGCCCTTATCGATGATCCTGATCCTCTCCCTCCTCCACCTCCAACCACCAGCCCTACTGATGCTGCAGCTACATCTGCGACCCCCTCAGCAACCGCTCAGCCAGTCGTAGACCCCAACAAGGAAAAAGCAGAGTAGAGATTTGATGCTACTGTCAAGGTGCTAGTAACGAAGGGTGCAAAGAGAAAACAGTGTTATTTCTAGCATAGCATTTACTGTAAATATTTGAACATCATTTTACTATGTTTGCAACTTAAAAAGAAGAAAATAGAAATAATTCAAAGATATGAACAGTACATGTGCTTTATGCTAACCCTTTACTGTCAAGTAGTGTCTGAGAATGAGTAACAGCATAATTTATTCATTAAAACATTTTAGAGGTCAAAACTAAACTTGATTTTCTGGAAATTTTGTCAATAAACTGTCAAACATTTGATCAGTTTCAACGTCTTGTCAGAGTTTCCGTCAGATGGGAATGACTCATGATTTACAGTTCAGAGTGGTCATGATGGCTATTTTTATGGTGTTACATCAGCAGAGTCAGCAGATACGCTCCAGTCTGAGACCTTTACATCAGAAACAGTTACATTAATATGTAGTGGAGGATCTCAGGTCACACTTGTTTGAATCAGTTTCCTGGATTTTAAAAGTTCCAATTTGGATTTATCGCAATTTAAAATGCATTAAGTCACATTTCTTGCTATACACCAGCTCGTCACTTTCAGGGCATCTTTGTGGTTGTGGTTCAACATAGATTCTCTGAGGGTAACAACTTCGCTCTGTCATAAACTAAAAACAGAATGGTGGCGCCAGCTTGTGGCGTTTTGTAGTATGGCAGAAAAGTATCGTCACTTGGACTTAAGTTATAGTATATAAAGGTCTCTTATTTTTAGAGTTTGAATTACTTTTTTTGTTTTTCAATGGCCCTCATCCTCGTCTGTACAAATAATACAAAAATGATAACCCATCTTTTCTACTACTTTGCTAGCTGTGTTGAATATTTATTCTAATTGGTCAAAACCTTATAACAATGGGAATTTCTCAAAAGCACAGCAATGCCTGGACCACCTGATCCTGATCACATGTCATATCACACCAGTCCACCTAAAGGATCCCTGTTTCCATGTCAGGCTGGTCTCACATGTCTGAAAACAATGTGAGTTAACAGGCATAGAGGTAAGACCACCTGGAGAGCTAGTGGGTGTGAACCATCTCTGGAGAAACTGGAGCAGAGTCTTCTCCTCCTGGATCTTATGATGTGTTTAATAGATCTCTAAGCCGCTGATCACTACGAAGTAACTAAAACCAAAGCAGCAGGGTTAACAACAACCCTGTTAAAAGATTTACCTTATTTATTTTTAAAGGTATGTCATCTGTCAATAAATTACAATGTTCATCAGTGCTGTTTTAATTTGACAGAAAGTGAATTTGACAAATTTAAGCCACATTTTTAAAGCTCCTGTAAAGATTTTTCAGTCAATTAAAAAAATACACCACAATCGATATAGATGCGTTTTTATGATATAGAAAGACCTTAAGTGACAAGAATGATGATTTCTGTAATGTAATTTTTAATCCATCAAACCAGTGTGAGGGGGTAAGTGTCATCCAAGCAGCTAAAGAAACAGCTGTTCTTTACAATTTCTACATAAGTTATTCAAAATTCACAAAGATCAAATTAACTGTCAAAAGTCTACTAAGTTTTAGAGCTCAATGTGGAGAAATTGTGCCATTTTTTCCAGTGTGTGCAAGTACACAAATGTGAGATTTTAAAATAGACCAAAGTGTCACTCAGAGTGTGAGTGTGAGTCATTGATGTGTTTTAGGACAACAATGACTTTTGGCAGCATAGTAAACAGTTGTCGTTGTGTAGTGGTGATTTATTTTCTTTTATTCGTTGAATGAGAAAAACGTCACGGCTATGTCTCAGGTCAATCAATACTTGATTTATGAATTTTTTTTATGATATCAAAACATATGGACCACATTTGAAGATACAAGTTTAATACTTTTGCAAAATGTAAAAAACTTCTTTTCAATAATTTCAACTCACATCAACATTTGAGTGTTTTTTCTGAACCTATTAAAACCATCTGATCATCATGTGAGTGAAGTAATGTAACAACCTGACAGACTGACCCTTCCCTCCACACACAACTGTAATGACTCAGAAACCTCTTAGGGGGTTAGCCTCATACACCACCTACTCCACATCCCCCCATGACTCAGGGCGGACTTATTTCCCATGAAGCCATGTGTCAGCTGTCAGAGAGAGGCTGGACGGTCCTGGGCAGTGGGCCTGGGATCTAAGCGTGGATATTACGTTTCATGTTCCAGAATGAAGCTCATAGCTCCACACCAAGTGCCGGACTATAAATAACCCACCAGTTGGAGTTTGGTTGAAGGGTCAGGACAGCTGAGGAAGTGGGCCGTCCCAGAGTTCAGCTGGCATGGACTGACAGCAGATTAGCTGTGTTCCTGAATCCTCTTTCCAGGCTTGAAACCACTACTCTGCTACAAAAGAAGAACAACTTTTGCTTGTTTTGAGGCCCTGAAAGGCTCTTGAAGCTCCTTCTAGGAACAATGGCACAACCCATAAACCCAACGGATGAACCCAGGATGTACCAGCAGACATTGCTCCAAGATGGCCTGTACGACCTGCTGGAGAATGACAAGCTGATCGACTGTACGCTGAAGATCAAAGACAAAGAGTTCCCCTGTCACCGGCTGGTTTTGTGCGCCTGCAGCTCCTACTTTCGCTCCATCTTCCTCTCAGATTTGGATGAGAGTAAAAAAAGAGAAATCGTCTTGGAGGATGTGGAACCAGGAGTCATGGGGCTGATCCTCAAGTACCTGTACACCTCTAAAATCAATGTAACAGAGCAGAACGTCCAGGACATCTTTGCTGTGGCTAATGTGTACCAGATCCCTTCAATTTTCACTGTGTGTGTGTCTTTCCTACAAAAGCGTCTGAGCTTAAGCAACTGTCTTGCCATCTTCAGACTGGGTTTGATGCTGGACTGTCCCAGGTTGGCCATTTCAGCAAGAAATTACGCTTGTGAGCGCTTCCAGCTCATCTCAAGAGACGAGGACTTCCTGCAGCTGCTCCCCAGCGAGCTGGCTGCAATTTTAACAAATGACAACCTGAATGTAGAGACGGAGGAGTCTGTGTTTGAGGCATTGATGAACTGGGTGTCCCGGGATGCTGAGAGCAGAGAGAAGGAGCTGCCAGGTTTGCTGGATTGCGTCAGATTGCGTCTGGTCACTGAGGATTTCCTGAAGGAGAAAGTAGAGAGCAATAAATTCATCTCTTCAAATCAAGAATTACAGCAGAAAGTGCAGCTGGTGAAAGACGCTCATGCAGGGAAATTTCCAGAGGTTCAAAAAAACAAAGACAAAACAGAAGATGGAGCAGCAGATGGAGAGAATGAGGAAAAGGAGGAAGAGGAGGGTCTTCTCCCAGGCATCCTGAATGATAACCTGAGGTTCGGCATGTTTGCCAGGAACTTGATTCTGATGGTGAACGACGCAGGCGCTGTGGCCTACGATCCAACAGGGAACGACTGCTTCATGGCGTCGCTTTCCACACAGATCCCCAAGAACCACGCCAGCCTGGTGACCAAGGAGAACCAGGTCTTTGTGATTGGAGGATTATTCTATGATGAACAGAACAAAGAGGACCCACTGTCCTCGTATTTCCTGCAGGTAAACAGGCCTTTAGATAAAGTTTGACAAGGAATCAGTGATAAAATTATACGTAACTATGCTAATAGTTATATGACAGTACAATACAGAATGTCTACAGGAGACAGACACAATATAAACATACATTTTTATATTTGATTACTTGGAATTAAAACACTTATCTTCTCTGTTAAACTATGCTTAATATTTGCTTTAGATGAGTTAAAACACAGTCAAAATGATGGGTAATTTATTGAAAGGCAAATTTTAAAATGAATCCTTTATGTTTAAATGATGCCAAATACATCAGAGTGTATCTGCCAGTAAAAGTGCTGGGATAAGATGAAACAAAAACCCACAGGTATCATAGTGTATGTTTCATCATGTCTACTTCAGGTGGTAAAAGCCTGATTCATTAACAAATATCGGACTTCTGTTTTACCTCAGTATGACCCTGTCAATGCTGATTGGCTGGGGATGCCTCCACTCCCGTCTCCCCGCTTCTTGTTTGGGCTGGGCGAGGCTGAGAACTCCATCTTTGTGTTAGGCGGGAAGGAACTGAAGGACCAGGAGCGAACGCTGGACTCTGTTCTGGTCTATGACAGACAGTGAGTACATGTTAGTGTCATATCTGATCAGTGGATGAAGAATTAAAGAAATTATAATAATGTAATTTCTCTTTTACAGATCTTTTAAATGGGGTGAATCAGACCCAGTTCCTTACCCAGTCTATGGACATCAAACAATATCCCACCATGATGTTGTTTATGTGATTGGAGGAAAAGGAGACAGCAAGTAAGTGATAAATGTGACTGAGATATTTCTTTAAAACACATATTTGACTTAAAAAGGAGTATAAAGAGATGAGTCTGGAACGGCAGATCCCTGATATTTTCTGTCTTTCTTGTTAAAAGGAACTGTCTGAATAAGATGAGCGCATACGATGCTCTGAAGTTTGAATGGAAGGAGCTTGCACCCATGAAGATCGCTCGTTCACTATTTGGAGCCACCGTTCATAAGGATAAGATATACGTGGCAGCAGGAGTCATAGACGGCGGCCTCACTGGCACTGTGGAGGTGTACGACATTGCCACCAACAAGTGAGTCCCTGGAAATCAACAAATCAGACATGTCCTTTCTAAACTGTGTAAAACATTAAAAATAAGCCTTTGTTTTTCTTATTATTTTTGTAATCTCTAGACGGTTAGATTGTTTGTAGATCTAGATTGTTATCTCTCAGAGTAACTGTTAGTATATCAGAGGTTGAACTAAACCAACAGGGTCTGTGTATGTTTGTGTGTTTATTATTACTCTCTTCAGGTGGTCAGACTTTGTAGAGTTTCCTCAGGAGCGTAGCTCTATAAACCTGGTGTCTCTGGCCGGCTCGCTGTATGCTGTGGGAGGATTTGCAATGATGCCTTTAGAGGACAGTGACGATGTTATTCCCAAAGAGATGAACGACATCTGGAGGTGAGTCAAAACAAACAGCATCATTCTTAATCCACTGTATTGCTTGTGGGTTTTTGTTGTTTTGATGAGGGCTAGTGTCTACAGAGTCAACCTTTCTTTCATTTTAATCTAAGTTTCAATATAATGTGTTTCTCAATTGACTTGCCTGACAAAATTGTGTATTCTGTATCTATTCTTGATGTAGACAAAAATATATATCACGCATCGAGTCATGACTCACCAGTAAGTCTGTTACCCTCCTCAGATTTGATGAAACACAGAAGAAGTGGGTCGGGATCCTCAGGGAGATCCAGTACGCTTCAGGGGCCACCGTCCTGGGAGTCCGCCTCAACACTCTACGTCTCACCAAGATGTAAAATCCCCAAACTTTACAGGAGATGAACTCAAGAACTCAAGATCACAGTGACATCCAACATGACTGGATATGCTTTAACTCAGCGTGGAGTGTTTGGTGATCAGTTTGTTTTGTTTAATAACACCTAATAACAGTTCCCATTTTCCAGTTTACTGTCGTCTGGTTTGATAATCTTGTCAATCTGTTTTGATTTAGCAAATTTTTATATATATTATTCTGAATAACATGTAAAACTGTAAACAATCTGGCTGGTTGATTTTTCTTTTTTTTTTTTGCACTGTATGGAATTAAATTCAACCATTTCTATCAAAAGTGTCTTGATAACTCAGGCAAATGTGTTGATCACTTCCAAACAGATGGCAGCAAATCCCTAACGTACTGTCCTTCAGAGAGATTAAAAAAGTCCACTCAGAAACAAAAACACAGAAAACATCCTTATGCAATAATATATCTATACTGTTTAATATTGAAATGATTTCATTACACTCTGTTGTGTTACAGACAGTTAACACTAGTCAATAATACAATAAAAGACAGAAAATACAGTCTAATGTTATTAGCACCTCTAGACACTAATGTCCATGTACGCTTTTTAGTATTTTAATATAGCTGAACTTGACAACTACGGCCTACACATGGTCTTTGTACAACAGAGTTAACTAAGACATAGTGTTTACATTGTAAAGTAGAGAATCAGCATATAACAGTACACATTATGATTTTTTTAACACAACTGCAGAATGAACAAGTATGGAAAATGTAGAGGGTATGTGGATAATACTTCAGAATTAAAAATGGCATTGGTTTTTACTGCTTATGGATCCCATTAGATCTCTAAGCAAAAAAGGGGGAAAGTTACCATTTAAAAAATGTAAGGAGCCAGATACTCAAGTTATTAATTGAAAATAAGCTTTACCACAATAAACCAGCGAAACTGAACCGATCAAATGAGTCAAAAAAACTGATGAACAATTTAATAACCAATACTTTAAGTTAGTGAGTTTAAATAGAGCTAGAGCAAGAGGTAAATTCATTTGAAGTGCGGTTATTTTTCTAATATTTCTAAATGTGTATTAATTTCCCTTTTGTCTTTACTACATTTAAAGATGTCAAAACACACTTTATTCAAATCCAAGTGCAGTGACCAGTTAAGATGTTGGTTAAATTAAGAGGCTTGCCTTGCTAGCTGGCTTGACTGAAAATACCGGTGGCTAAACAAAACAAGCTAGACTTGTTGGTTAGCTAGCTAGCCACCTCGCTTATGCTAACTTTGTTTTTAAACTAAACCAGTGAATATATATCTGCTTACTGCTGTCTTATCACTGCCGGGCATGATTAAATGTTGTGACAGCAGAAAAAAAAGTCTATTTGTTGAAAGAAAACAGAGAATGCTAGCTGAGGTGAATGAGCACTTACTGCTCTTTATTTTTTTTTTTTGCTAGAATAAGGCAATACAATGTAATATGCCAATATTCCTTACATTATATCTTGAAATGTGAGCGATGGAAAACGGATTAAAGTATTCACTTGTAAGAACCTGGGACCAGAGAAAACTAACAGCCTTATGACAAGACATCCTCCAAACTAAGCGGCTGTTCATTTACTACTGATCACCTTCAACTTTTACTCACACAGAGATGTTGTTTTACTCCATTTTAAACCAACTACATAAACAGCTAGATTTTTTGACTCTTTTGATGGTCTCTTGTTTTTTTTGCTCCATAAATTTGTGTCCAAACTAAAAGAGAAAGAATAAACAAACATATATGTCCATTTTTAAAAAGGAGACTTTTGCATCCTTTAAAGTGACTAATTTATTTAAATTCTTACCTACATACTAAGCTTTCCCTTCAGTACTATCATGGCACTTCAGCAGTATATACCTACCAATGTCATATTATTCCCAACTGTTTTCCTGACACTGAAGACCACACAATCAAAACCTTTAAGACGCACACTTCAGCTACCGCAGCTTAACTTAAAACTACAATTTACAATTCCCAGTGGAGGGCAAATTCGGGGATCCCTTGAACACTCTGCTTTGTACCGACTGCCGTACTTACAGCTTCATTATGTGACAAACGTTTGCCCGGGGTACAATGAAGAATGCACAGTCACTGTGGTGCCTAGGCACCCACTTAATCACTGACAGACCCTCATTTAAGGACAAGGGCAGGTCCACCTTTGACTAAATTAACTCGAGCCTTTGGCTGCAAGCCTTAGAGTAGGAGGATTTGGCTAATTAAAAGACATACAAACTACGTGCCTACAATAAAAGCTTTGAAAACAGCTAAATTTCCCTTCTCAGTGTCTATAATCTCAGCTTTAACACCATTTCATGTTACTACAATACATAAAAACTCTATCCTTAAATCAACTTGTTATATTCTTTTTAAGCAGTTGGGAGATATCAGGGCTCATTAAGTTCCTGTCCAGCTTCTTAAGGAGTCGTTTAGTCACTTTGATAATTAAAAGAAGGTGTTGTGCACTGACAACAGAATTAAGGAAAGATTTCCCCCTGAATAATAAAAAAAGGTTAATATCAAGTTCCTTATCTAAAGACTCATTACACTTACTCTAAATGGCATGTCACACATCTGTAACAAAGTGTGCAAATTTACCATTTTCAATTAAATTTCCTTTTGAAAATCATCTTCCAAGCAGTATCAACCACCTCCAATATGATTAATCCTCTGCAGATTGACTCATCATTACAGCGACTGATTAATACTCCACTAGAGTGGAGACGCATCACAAATATATGTATATTCTAGTGTTTTATTTCACTGAACCAGTTTTCTTTCCACCAAAAGTTGTTTAAGTAGGCTAAACACCTGCCAAGGACTCATTTCTGTAATTTCTTATATTCTTATGCAGTACGAAACAAACAGAACACACATGCCACCACCAGCAGGTTTAAATCTAAAAAACTGCAACCCATCAGCCGTCAAACCGTGCCAGCTGAACTGGAGAATAAAGTGCTCACGACTATCAACATCTTTCTTTTCTCAGTTTGGCAAATGATTTCTCATGGCATAAAATACAACAGTCACATAACCTTCCAGAAGAGCAAACTCTAAAGACCTAACACTCGTTTCTCTTACAGTGATTCAAGGAGAAACTAATCAGTAACAACCATAGCTGGAAGAGTCAAATTTTTGTTTTGCACAGTGCAAAAAGGCAATCCAGAGCATAGAAACACCAGACTAGGTGTGCTGACTCCTCACAGCTGAGTTACCCTCTGTGTTAACAACCTAACACAAAAGATATTCACTTACACCAGGAAACAAAATCACAGGACAGCCCTGCTACGCCAATCCAACTTGAACAAATGGTACAAATACATTGTTTGCTCATCAAATATGAGCAAACATTTCAAGCATCAAATGTCTGCCTTTGGGTTTAGATTCTTCTGGAAATGTTTAAACTTGTGGAAATTTTTTTCAGTACACATCTATGCTGCCTATTTCTCACCTTCTACATATTCCCCATCGTGGGCTTTTGTGGCAATCAAATTCAAAGTGCATAAATCAGTAGTATTGACTACTTTACTTGATCTCCTCTTTTACCATCATCCCCAAACACAAAACATTCAGTTCCTTCTTTAGATAAGGCAAATACACAAACTCCAACCACAGTATCTCAGTATCGTCTCTCAGGCAAGTGCTTTTTAAAACAGTTAAGTGGGAAAGTACATTTCATATGAACATTTTCAGCCTTACAAATCGTTCTGTAGGCTACGATCAAACAAGGCCTGTCTCCTAATTTAGTGTAAGACCTCTTACAGAGTGCAGTTCACTAAGGTGCCACAAGAGAGCATCAGTCCTTTTGTTTTGCGACTAACAAATTGCCCTCAGTTTGCTTTCTGTCAACAATCAAAAGTCACATTAATCAATAAACAGATTGAACTTTATATGGGTATAAATCATTGGCTGCTATATCAATTTGAGTTGTAGCTCCTCTCTGATGCTGCAGGTAAGTTTGATCAATCACAGCCAGAATATACCCAACAACACAACAGCTCTTGACTTTTCATTTAAAGGGCAGTCTCAAACTGGACCCTGTACATAAGCAGCAAAATAAAAACACAAAACATGTGTCAGACACAAAAAAGAAAAAAGGAAAAAGTACCAATATCAAATGGCATTTAAGGTGGCCCTTACCATTTACCATTGTTTTTAACAAATACATGTAACTTAGATGTATTTAGGTGTAGGACTACACTAAAAGTGCTTCAATCTGTCATTTAAATAAAAGAATGAACAGCTTATTACATTTACAAAAGCTTAACCACACTTTCCAACTTTCCGTAGTACCAGCCATGACACATGTGGGGGCAACATTCATCTGACTCTCCGAATGTAAACATGAGGAATTTAACACGAGGAAGAAACACGTCTCAACTTTATTTACAGGTTAATGCTAAACTACGAGTTGGCTATGAATAGATAAAGTGAGCAGGAGTGCCTCAACAGTGCACCTAGACTCTTTTTGGATCATTATTGATTGTTAATGAATATTAATATTAATGAACCATTTTGGGAAAAGTGTTGCTTTTTGCATTTCTGTGTCGTGAAGCTACTAGAGCTGTTCTTCGGCTTAGCTTATGAAAAAAGACTGAAAAAAAGGGAAATTAGTCTTGTAGCAAGCATTTGCCTGCTTAAAGCTAGGCTAGCAGTTTCCCTGTTTTCAGTCTTTATGTTGAGCGAAAGAATCAGCTGCTAGCTTACCATGCACTCTGAAGTTGTGTCAAATTTTGGATTTAAAGGTACAGTGTGTAGAAATAGGAATATTCAGCAACACCTCGCTGTTAGATTCTAGTTTGAAATGCTCCTGTGCTCACCCCTCATGTCCCGTAAACCCTCCCCTTCTCTTTGTCCTCCAGCTGCGGCATTTTGCACCCCAGTTTATCTGCACTGCACTACAATAGAATCTTGGTGGTGCAAGATTTTGGTGAGTATAAGAGGACCTGCTTTTGCGCAGATATAAAAGGCTCATTAAACTATTAAGCTAAATAATTTTTATATTCGATGATTATACACTGATTTAAACACACCTATAAACATTATTTTCAATTTTTACTAAGTCTGTTCTAATGCGGTGAGTTTTCGACACACTGTACCTTTATCTCTCGCCAAGAAATTTAACAAGTGCATTTCCCAAACTGTAAATCGTTCATTTAAAGAAAGATATTTAGATAAAATCTTGATTATATTCTCTCAGCTCAACTCCAGTTCATGACAACAACTTTCAAAAGTGCCGACACATCTTAGTGCCACATCAAATACCCTAACTTCAGGGTCACCTTAATAAGAAATTTACTAGTTCATATAGCAAAGAGCTTTTTTGCACCCATTGTGCCAAAAGTAATCACCTTAAGTGCTCTTTTAAAGATTTAAGCATTGTATTATAATTGTGATTATTTCATTATATATCATGATAAGATGTGCACATTTAATGAGCTATGTAAGAAGGTATTTTGTTATGACTATCAGATTACTTTTCAAAAGAAATTGAGTTTGGTTGGCCGTATAATATCAACATTAAGTTTTAGGCCGAGGAATATACGGTCGATCAGAGTATATTGAATATACCAAGTCATAAAAAAGTGTGATATTTTCTCAAAGCCAGATCTACAGGAACAGAGCATGTTTGCTTAATATAAGCAGAAATGCAGGTTAACAAATTACTCCATTTCCTGAATTGGGGAAGCTCAAGCGTTAAAATAAAGATCCTCACCTTTCTCTGCTTCAAATCTCAAAAACATTTTCACATACACACACAGACAGACAAAACCACCACATAGAATTGCACCGCTGACTCTCCACATGTCCCAACTTCTCTGACATCCTTACAAAATCGACATAACGTGCCACAAATTACGCACAATCACAATTATAAAAATGAAGACAAGTAGGAGTACATTTTCAATATCACTAGAATTAAATGTAAGGTGCAGGATCGATTATAAATGCTGTATAACATTTTCTAACTATAGCAGGTGAGCTTACAGGATTTGGTTATTGGCAATGCCATATACATGTATATGCTCAAAGACAAATCAGCATTTGGTTATTGCTGGGTCATACCAGAACCACTCGCTACATCTTGGCAGAAAATGACCAAAAATAAAAGATTTTTTCCTTATTGTGTGGTTTCCGATCTACTTATGACCGCTGAATTTAGGAAATCCCTCCTCCCATTTTGTTAAAGAAAGACGCTACAATCAAAGCATTGTGCAAGGCTCTGGAGAGATGCGTGTGTAGTGGGGAAATATTGACACCAGAACAGAACAGAGTTGTGAAATGGATGAAGAGAAGCTGTGGTGACAACATGTCCAACTGGACTCTGAGGTTTTCTATTGTATTTAACAGAGTAAAAAATAACTATTTCATATTGTGGAAGGTGTATGAGGGTTTGTATGAGGCCTCCGTGCAGCCTTCAGTCAGTCCCCCCCCAGTTTAAATCTCACTGAGGTGTATCAGGCTCCTGCTGCAGGAGTCCTCTTAAAAGCTCTAAGAAAAACAAAAGTAACAAAAGTGCTTCAGATGCTACAGAAATTTGTTAGTTGCTGGAGTTCATCCTACCAGCTGAGAACAGGGGAGGCGGTGGGGGTAAATGAGGGGTTGGAGGCAATCCCCCCATGGAGTGCAGCAGGGGAAGAGACAGCTGGGTGCCATGGAGAGGGTGTGGACTGGAGGCAGCGGCGGGTGTGTTCACAGACGTGGCAGGGATCGCCGTCCCAAGCTGCACCTGACCAGAAGAGTCCACAGCAGGTGAGCCAAGAGGATGGTCAAGGCTGAGGGGGTTATTGCCGTCTGTAACCATGGGGTTACTGACGCGGAAGCATTTCTCTCTGTGGGCTTTGAGCATGTTAGAGAAGCGGAAGCGCTGACCGCACACCTCGCAGGGGTACGGCTTCTCCCCGGTGTGGGTGCGGCGGTGGCGCTTCATGTTGGGCCGGCTTGTGAAGCTTTTCCCACAGATCTCACAGATGTATGGTTTCTCTCCTGCACAAAGAGGGGCACAAACAAATGAAAATCACAGCTTCTTGTTGTGTTTTCAGCATTTGTCACAAAACTTAAAGTTACTAAAACCAATATGGTTTTGCAATGTCAAAAGTATTTGTAAATGTAAATGTTCTTTACTGATACAGCCCTTTACTACAACCCTTTCGGTGAACCAAAGTGCTTTACAATACATAGTAAATAAAAAGGAATGAATAGAAACAATAAAAATCAATAAAAACAATGATAAAAGAATAAGATACAATGCAAATTAAATAATAATTATATTAATAATGATAATAATTATAATCTAAAAGGAGGTCACCCCACTGAACACAGTGAGCCCATGACTTAAAGCTCCTGTGAGGAAGTTTTGGTTTGTGACAATTTTGGCGCCCCCTGTGGACAGTTTGCTTATCTTGTCTTCCTCATGTTTGATTATTGTTTCCTGACAAAAGCTCATCTTGCTGACTTTTCCCTGTAAAGCATAACATTGATTGTGAATATTTTATGTGGAAATTGTAAAAACAGGGCTTTTTTTTTCAGCTGTTGACACCTACCCACTCTCACCAGTTTCGGGCATTTAAAATTACAGTCCAAAAACAGTCAGTCTTGTCGGCTGTATTACATTATTAAAAAAAACTATAACACAAATTTCATTTTCTATCAATAATGTCAAAAAACTTCCCACAGGAGCTTTAAGTAATTATAAATGCTAATGATACTCCATGTGTCTGTAGTTCACTCAGAGATAGAGCACAAGAGGCCTCACCAGTGTGTGTCTTCATGTGTTCATCAAAGTACTGCTTCATGTTGAAGTCCTTTCCACACCACTGACACATGAACTGCTTATGTCCGATGTGGATGCTCATGTGGGACCGCAGCTGGTATTTGTACTGGAAGCGCTCACTGCAGTTCTGAAAAGGCAAAAAGTCAACATTTTGAAGCAAAGAGATCACAGATAGTTGTAACGAAAAGAAAAGTCAGAGTTTTTATTGTCATCAGGACTGAAAGAAACCCATTCATGAAAGTACAAAAACAGATGTTAGTCTCTCTTTTGTGGCAGATCTGATTTTACTCAGCTGGGGGGAAGTGTGCTTCTGTAAAACACATTGGGATGGATTTCCATAATAAAATCAACAAAAAAGTACTTAAAATCAAATACTGTTTTATTGGTATGACACAGATGAGTTATGGAAATTGTCACGAGTATATGCCCAGTTGTACAGGAACCCAAACTGAAGAGCAATCAGTGTCTACTTAATAGGAAAGCTTTTACATGAACTTTTTCTGATGAAGGGTAATCGACATAGATGATACTACAATGATATGAGGCTGAGGTAACCTGACTCAGCACACTCTGACTGTCCCAGGACAGGACCGGGCAAAGTGTCCCACCAGGTTTCTCGTCTATATGCAGAGCTAATCCAACCATTTGCATATATGAGAGTGTATCAATCTCCTTATCCAACTCTTGGCTGGATAATGACTTTTTTCCCCGACTATTCTCAACTCTAAGAATCTTGGTCCTCAATCAAACATTACTTCTCCACAAAAAGCTGCAGGCATATTCAGATAGGCAAGCTAAGGACAGACTCAAATATACCAAATAATAACCACATGACTTTATGAGTTTCTCGGGTTGTTTGAACAGCCATTTAACCAATAATCCACAAAGTATTCAGGGAGATTGTTCATAACACTCAATTCGATTTGTTTCTCTGACAAATCTCATCTTTAGGGGCCACATGGCCTCAACACTTTACCCTATCTGCCCATCCAGACAGGAGTCAGAACACCCCTAACCTCAGACACAAACAATCAAAAAGAAGTGAACGGGGATTGAGCCTTCGAACTCCATAAACTAACTGCCTGCAGTAAACAGCTAAAAACCACACCTCCTCCATGTAAACTAGTGGGACATAAAAGAAACTGAATCTTTCAAGAATATCCTCTAAGTCAGTGGTTCTCAAGTCCAGTCCTCGAGGCCCACTGTCCTGCATGTTTTGGATGTTTCCCTGCTCCAACACACCTGATTCAAATGATCAGCTCGTTATCAAGCTCTGTAATGGCTTGATAACGAGCTGATCATTTGAATCAGGTGTGTTGGAGCAGGGAAACATCCAAAACATGCAGGACAGTGGGCCTCGAGGACCTGACTTGAGAACCACTGCTTTAAGTCATTAAAGTTAGCTTTGCTCATGCTCATATACAGCATGTCTTAGTCATTTCCTTGAGAAGTTGGTGTGAGAAATATTTTGAGCAGGTGATTATGACAATTAGAATTGTGATAGTGTGAGCAGGACCCCGATGTGAAGCTGGCTTTTCTCTTACTGTATTATTCAGAATTAGCAACCATTGTGAAGGGGATTTGACTGATCAGGATCAAGTTTTTATAACAGGTGGGAAAGCTGGGTCATAATTCTATTCAGTTTTTTTTTTTCAAATTTGAAGAACTTTGCCTTCATATTAGAGAGTTTTACATGTGTTTGGTTAGAGGAACAGTACAAATTAGACAGGCCCAAGCTCCTGAATGCACAGTGGAGGGAGACCAGAGCATGTCACCCATCCTTGTATAAAGTCAATGATCTGATCAGCCTTGAATCCCACATTCAACATCACGAGTATTTTACAAGAAGAAGCCATGGAGACTCATTTGAGGTAATGTTAGCACTGAAAATTTTCAAAGATTATGGGTTCAACAACAGGTTGATCGGTCCATGTATTATCCCTCCATTCAATTATTCCATTTAATCTAGTATGAAAAATTAAAAGATGAGTCAATATTTTGTTTATTTGTTTTTCTGTATAACCAAAAAAATAAAAAATAAAGTTTGTTTTCGTATTTTCAGCTTAAAACAGAATATATAATAGAGAAGAAAACAAAAACAAAATAATAAATCTTATTTACAATTATTGATTTTGAGTGCGCCTGTTTTGAGCATACATGCATGAAGGCTACATTGGCCTTTTCATGATCTTCAGCGACAGTTACCATGGCGAAAGATGCGACAGAGCGGTTTGAGCGCAAAATCTAACTTGTAACAGAGCTCTGGTTGTAATTTTTTCTACAGTCACATCTTCCTCCTTCAGCGTTACCCTCCTGGTGGCTTTGAATAATACATAGGATAGGTCCATCACCATGACAGCAGGTTAGCCTTTCTCTACCGCCCTGGCCTGGAGTTTTGCGAACAGTAGAAAGGCACCATGGGAAATGGGGACATCAATAACCCGAAAACTAAAAGTAGATTTATTATTTTGTTTTTGTTTCCATCTTTATTATATATTCTGTTTTGAACTGAAGATACGAAAACAAACACTAATCTTTTATTTTTTGGTCATATAGAAAAACAAATAAACAAAATATTAACTCGTTTTTTCGTTTTTCGTTTACCAGACTGAATGGATTAAAATGGACGGATAATACTCAGACCTTGATCACAGTGTAAAAATTACTTTCTTTGAGTTATGTTGGAGAGTAGAAGTGTATAAAAGAAGCCCAAACCTCACACTTGAAGGGTTTCTCTCCTGAGTGCTGCAGAGAGTGAACCTTCAGGGACATGCTGCGCTTGAATGACTTCCCGCACGTCTCACAGGTAAACGGCATGTCCTTTGTATGGGCTGAGTATATACACACACACACAAACACACAAACACACAGCACAAGATAGTGGTATTTAAAACTGAGCCATTCATTTTAAATTCAAAGCAAGAGATCAAGTAAGTCAACAACTCCCCTCAAATAGCTCTTAAGGGAATAGCTGAGATGCTTTCATTGCTCATTTATTACCACAAAGGTGTCTTATCTATTTGATAAGCTGCTTTGTGTATTTTTAACAAAGATAAATAGCACCTTTGACCTTCAGTAATTTATCAACGCTTTTTTCAGCAGCTGACACAAATTTGTAAACAAAGAATGATGTAAGCTGCTTTGGAAATAAGATGCTTATCATCCAAAAAGTGGAAGAGGAAAGCAACACCCAAAACAAATCCTTCCAAACAATTGGAGAGATGTAGTAAAGGAAGCCTAATTTAGCAAACAGGAACAAGGCAGCCAATCCAGGAGCTTGTATTTCCCTGTCACTCACCGACCATGTGCTTCCTGACATGAGCCATGGTGTAAAACTTCTTCTCACAGATCTCGCAGGAGAACTTCTTCTCAGCATAGCCGTGCACGATCTTGTTGTGCTCGTGCAAAGACCACAGCTTTTTGAAGGCCTTCCCGCACGTTACGCACTAGAGGAGAAATACACAAAATGAAAGGAAAAATGTAGTTATCCCTGGAGCTGTTTGGGTATGAGATATTAAGAAGACCATTATCAGGAACAGCCTTTGCAAATACAATCCAGGTGTGTGAGCATACACAGATACTTGAGCGTGCACTGTAGCAAAAAAGCAATTAGAGTCAGTAGATTAAAGCAGCAAATGATCTTCAAAACCACAGCAGGAGTCCAGCTGCTCACTGTGGAGGGGATAACAGTGGAGGTACGCAGATAGAGAATTTATCTAGGCTGATTAGGAGTTGACTGGACTTGGGTTTACTGACCCAGATTGAAACACAGAAGTTTGAATTCTAGTTTCACACAAAATAAATCATCTGAAGTCGTTGCATTTGCATTTTCCACCAAAATTTACTGACTGCATCAGAAGCACATTTGTTTCCACTTTTACAAGCTAGGTGTTCGCTCTGTTTACGTGGATTCACTTGGATCACCAGGAAGTCCATTGGTTTTGTTTATTACGCTAAATAAAATGATTGGACAATCAAACCTTGAATCTGTTTCTTTAGCAGTAATGGTTTAGCCGTACCTGGATGCTCTTCTCACAGTCAGTCTGTTGGTGCAGCAGCAGTTCACTTTCCAGCAGGAAGCGTTTGCCACAGTTGTTGCAGATCTGCATCCGGTTGTGCGTGACGTTCATGTGTTTCTCCAGGTACCAGCGGTTGTTAAACACGCGGGGACACTTCTTACATGGGAAATGTTGCTTCTCCTCCAGCCTCACTTTCTGGCCCGGCCCCTCTGCGTCCAGCGTCCTCTTCCCAGCCTGCCGCTGGTTGGCTAATGTGGCCTCTGTCAGCGTCTGTCGCATGGATGCAGTTGTACCTGCCATGGCGAAGGCTCTGGTGCCTCGGCGTGGTCGATCCAACATGGCCGCCTGCTCTAGCCCTGGAATGTTTAGAGTGTTTTCCTCTTCCTCCTCATCTTCCTCATCGTCCTCCTCCTCACTGCTTTGCCCAAGTAGGTCCCCTCTCTTAAGCTCATCGTCGTCCTCATCTCCTACTGCGTCATCATTCTCCACCTCATTCTCCTCATCGTCCTGTGAATCTCTTTCGTTGTCATGGCAATGACCAAATATGGTGGCTGTGTCCGTGGCAGTTGCCGATTTTCCCTCTGATCCCTTTGACACATTCAGGGTCTGATTGTTGAGGTTGACTTCAACAATGATCTGGTCTCTGTTGAAGGAGGCGTGGCCGTCTGCTGTCTTTGACTCCTCTCCATTGCTTTCAACTTTACACAAAGCTGCCACGCCTGTACTAGCCCCGCCCCCTGGCCCCTCCTCTTTCTGGTAGTACTGCTTCTGCTGAGGGGCCACCTTCCCTGCCTCCTCCACCCTCACAGAAAACGGGCTGCTTCCATCTCTCTTGTACATCCTCCCAAGCTCTGACTCCTGTTTGATCTCTGAATACAGCTGACCGGGGGACATCACTTGATCACCACTGAGCCCCTCCTGATTGGCCATATCAGCACAGGTGGTTCTCAGAGAGTGACTGCTTATTAAGTCGCGACAGGAAGCTGCGATGTCACTCATCTGAAGGAGTGTTGCGGCGTTGAGCACGTCCCGAACAGTGCGGCTGCTCACCAGTAGTTTGGAGGTGTAGATGAAGTTGAGGATTTGCTGCAGACCCTGTGAGGTCAGAGCATCCAGCGACAGGTCCACACGCCGCAGCTGTTTGCTTTGGGCGAAAAGGGAGTGGAAGAAAGGGCTGTAGGCCGCCAGCACACCCTTGTGAGCAGGGAAGGTGCTGTGCTGACGCACTAGAACTATGTCAACGTCACACAGGTCGGGCTGGAAGAGGCGCTGCTCGTTCAGCCTGTCCATCAAACAGGTGAAGTGCAGAGCCACATCCTCCACCAGAGAGAACTCAGCAGAGGGGAAGTCTGTGGTCTTCTCCACTATGAGCTGCAGACAGAGACAGAGAAATTATGTCAGAGTTTATCATTTAGAAGTAAGATTAGTACATTTCTATGGGACTTATGTAGATCTCTGCTTTAAGGTAAGTTTACCATTACAACAAAATCATTATGTTTGCTATCTTTAAAGCTCCTGTGAGCGTTTTTTCTGTTGTTGACATTTTTCAAGTAGACTTAAACTCACACAGAAACCTTTTTATGATATACAAAAACAAACAAAACCATTAGAAGCAAGACCGACCAATTTTTTATTGAAACTTTTGATATCTTAAACTGGTGAGAGGGGGTAGTTTCCAGCCATTCCGCTATAACGCTAGTTCCGCTTTTACAAAACGCTCAGGATACATATATGTTATAAAATTGACTGTGAAAAATCAGCAGGGTGGGATTTTTTGTCTCTAAAGTATATAAAGGACCAGATAAGCAGAGACTGCTTATTTGGTTTGTCCAAAGTTGACACAAACAGGAGCTTTAATGTCTGAGTGTGGGAACCTCTTTGGGGAGCAGGTTTTGAATGATTTTAGATTACCAATCTTGCCCTTCTTTGGCATAAGTGTTTTTTTATTAGCTCTTATTTGGATGAAAATACACCCCCCTCCAAAAAAAGGTAAAATAAATAAAAGCTGAATAAAGAAAAGTTAAAAAAAATTCATCTTAGATTCAAGATACCTGTTTTTCTAAGAAGCTATTATCCACATCTTTACCTGTAGGTTAAGCCCCAGAAATAAGATTTTTGACTGATAGTACATCCTCAGAATTTGACAGAACTGAAAGACAGCTGATTTCCACCCTATCACATTGCTTGTACTCTTTAGTATTGACCCCACAGTCAAGGACAGTACCTGCAATCAGCTCTGAAATAAACTACACATATCTCAATCTTGCCATTCACACTTTATTATTTTCTGAAGTGTTTTGCACAAAGTCACAGACTTTATGCATGCTGCATGACAGGAGTCAAAAGGTGTAACACTCAGCTCTCTGTGCAAGGTCCTCGACTTCCCAAGGTGGGTTTATTTTAGCACAGGAAGGGCAGGGTTTCGATCCAGACGGGATGTGAGTGGGGACAGAGCAGCGAGCAGAGCAAACACACACAGACGCACTCACACGCATATGTGATGTGCAGCCATGCACAAAAAAACACAAATACACACACATACACATACACACACTAACAACAAACACAAACACAGTGTCTGGTCCCTGGAAGGACTGGCTGGTCGGTCAGAGCATTGGTATTCAGCGCCATCTCCATCCCATTAGCCGGCTCTTTCTGCACACCCACTCGCTACAGCGTCCCTGAGGAACGCAGAATTATGCACAAGACAAAACACGTCGGGAGAAATAATTAGGCAAACCGTGCTGAATAAATACTAACTAACCCTCTAAACAATTAATGGAATTTATCATTCTGGGCATCTCTCAGAGGCAGGATTGGACAAGTATTAATATTAGTCATGTTTTGGTTAACACATAGTTAAAAAGATGATGAAGCAGTGAGACATAATTACACCTCGACTTCTCTTTCTGTTTTTCCAAATTGCAGGACAAGAAATGAGACACCGCTATTACAGGACAAAAGAAAAGGGCGAGATAGTACTTAAATAATTCATAAGTACAATAACCATTGTGGCATTTATGTTAAGCTCTAAATGAGCATAAATCAAACTGCTGAAGACAGTTCATTATTCTTTACATTGAAAAATAGTTCTTTGCCTTTTCTTTTAAAGATTGATGGAAATGACTTTTCATTGTTAAGACTAGAAAATGGATTTGCGTTTGGGTCTCACCTTGAAAATGTGGTCTGTTTGAAGAATTCAATTATGGAGTGTTAGATTTATTCATAGTTTTGAGCTGCTAAATTGGACTCAGAGCCAGAGAGGAGTGGAGATCGGGTTATCTCTCCTCCATGCGAGGCTACAGACATCGCCCAAGGGCAAAATGCTGCAGCCCTAATCAGATCAAGTGTAAGTTGCAGACTGGAAGTTATGCAGCTTTAGTGATAACGATCGGCTTCTTTTTCTGGGATTCAAATAGGACAACGCAGACGGAGATAAGATTCTGAGGGGAGAATATCTATAGACTAAAAACATCAGTGATTTAGGGTCAATGTTGGAGTGTTTCTCCATTTCATAATACTTTTTTAGCTTTTGAGAAATTATTTTCCTGCTCTAAAAGTCAGCTGGCCTCCTCATACATTAGTACACACAAAATTGTAATTCCATTTAACCTCCCCACATCCTGAGACAGGAACAAAATACAAAACACACGTGTTAATGATAAAGGGCAATGGCTTGTTTTGTTTCCATGTGATACACACAGACTTTTTAATGGTGAAGGAGAAACTTTGGTAACACTTTACTTGACGCCTCTCTCTCTAACATATTATAAATATATGTATAATGCATTATAATCATGTTATAGCACTGTATAACTACAGTTATAAACAGTCATGAATGATCATAATGCTTTATAGCAATAATCATAACATATTATAAAGCATTACACGGTCAGGTATTATAATGTGTTATAACTGTTAACAACAGCTGCATTGCTATCTATGTGGGCATTTTTAGTGAGTTGTTAACAGTTATAACACATTATAATACCTGACCTTGAAAGTCATGATAAAATGCTTTATTATATGTTATGATTACTGCTATAAAGCATTATGATCATTTATGAGTGTTTATAACTATAGTTATACAGTACTATAACGTGATTATAATGCATTATGAATAAATTAAAAATGTGTTATAGAGATAGGCGTCAAATAAAGTGTTACCGAAACTTTTTTGGCCAAGACATGTAGCCTACCTTTAGCTAAGTAATGACATACATTTCATGCCCTTGAACAAGGTTGTCACAGTCCCTTTGTAGTCAGCCAGACTCTGAATTTCCAGCAAACTCAGGACACTGATGCTAAAGCTAACTAACTAAAACCGGCCACATCCTCAGTTCAGCTGGTTACATTTCTAAATTCCAAATAGAAATTAAAAGCCTGTTTTTTGTTTATTTCGGTGTGAAATATGTCTTGTTTTTTTTCAGTGACTTAAAGTCTGTAAGTAGTCAAAGTTGGAAACTGTACTTGTAGCATCAGCGGCTAAGACTCTCATTTATGCACATAGTTAAGTTTTGGCATGCCGCCCAGCAAATAGCTACCTTGCAAACTAATGAAGCAAAAGCTAACTCATTAACAGCTAGAGTTTAATATTTGTGCCCATTAGCTACCATAGGCTACCCAATTACTTCTTGGCTTCCTCAGAAATAATAACATGCTGTGAACAAAACGACATTGTTCAGAAAGTAACTACTTAATTAATCTGAAATAAATAATCTGAACGGATTAGATTGCAGCAATGTTAGGTTTGACAAAACATAGTTTTGTTTGTGGTACTTTGAAAAAAATTGTTCATGTGTATGCGAAAAGTTTTTGATGCTCAAAAAGATCTCTTGTGTGTGCATCATATTTCTGCAGTCAAAACATTCAGACCCGAATGCGCTAATAGTTTATTTGTACACGACTGAACAATAGAGGGGACTCAATCACTGTGTGATTCTATTATTTTCATCCAAACAGACGCTTTAAAACCATTAAATCAAATTGCAAGTCATTGTAGTTACCCTGTGGCTGCTGCGTTCATCACAATATGCAACACAGACAAAGCCAGCTTGTCATATTTCATCACAAACTGTGGCAAAACAAATCAAGTGAGTACTTTGCATTTAAGGACTACACCCAACTCCCTCCATCTCTGTCTGCCATTATCTCTCTCTCTCTCTTTCTCTCTCTGCCTTCCCCCTTTCTAAGAAATGTCAGGCAGAGAGCTTGTTTGCTGTCATTAGAGGGAGCGCCACCTTTAACCAGCCTCTCAGTCAGATGTCTCCCAATACATTATTCATATCTAGCCTGACCTGTGACAAACACGCAGCGGGGGGATTACTGACGCACCAAACAAGAGGAGTCATTTAAACTGGCTTCAATCAAAGCCATGTACACCCTTTCCACACTCTTCTGCTCTGCAAAACATGAAGGGATCCTCTGGCATTGTCAAAGCCTCAACAGGCCTGTATCCTGAGGCAACTATTGAGAATAATGTCTCTAACCTGCTAAGATATTATTTATTCAACCATAACTGTGTGTTATAACAGTACGCCTCTGTTAGCAATCAATCAGCCAAGTTATTTGACAACCCATGAGCCAACACAAAACAACCATAGACCGTCTAAAATATGATGGCACATCATTATGTCCCGTCAACAAATGTTTAGTTTTTAATCAGCCAACCACTTACATCATCATCTCAATTTAACCGTGAAAAATCAGTGATCATTTTCATTGACAAAAGTAACACTGCCGTCAGGGCAATTTCTTCATCATGCTGATCTGAATGTTCAGCTTTGTTGGAAAAAAAGAGAGGGCTCCTGAGGCGTTTAAAAGAGGAAAAAAGAGATAAAAATGTAACAAATACTTACACAAGAGTCTTTAAACTTTCCACAGTTGTGAGTGTTGACCTTAAATCAACCCAGGAATCTCTTGCTATTTCATTGGGGAGTTAAATTGAGCATAGTGTTAGTTCAGGCAGGCAACAGAGTCAAGCTAACTCATCGGCTGGTCTCTGAATGCCACTATTTCTTCACCAAACTCTGTCAGCGCTTTGATGAAGCTGCAAAGAAAGCTCAAAATGCTTGGCCTGCATTGTTCTGAATTACTGGTTACCTTTCAGAGTAGTAAAACCAGCGCACAGTCTGAGCATAAATCAAAACTTGCGATAAATAAAAAGTGGATTCTGTGAGTTACTTGGTGAATCTTCATCCAGCTCCAAGATGTCTGGGTTAGCGTGGTCTGCACTTGGCAGACAGTTGAGTCCTGAACTTGTGCCAGACAGGGTCTGATAATGAAATCTGTCTTTCTAATTTGACTTTCACTGGTGAGAATGCTCTCCCTCTCCCACACCTTTACTCTGGACAGCCCATGTAGATTTACTACTCTGTAAACTTCAAAGCTTAGCTACAGAGCAGTTAGGCCACCATTTTAAAAGCTGTCTTTTCACTCTGATGATCCAGATGACGTTTCACAGTAAAAGTAAAGGCCATAAATCAGTGCAGCATGTCAATCTAAAACTCTAACTGCAGTATTTTTGCGTTTGTGTGTGCATAATGACGGTTTTACAGGCAGAAAACTAAACAGCATCTACCTTGACTGTCTTGTTTTTGCTCCTTGGCCACTGAACAGATCGAGCCATTAGCGGGGGCCAATGTCAGAGCACAGCGTCGAGTCATGGACGCATCAATAGTGCGAGGGAGGGCAGGTTGTATTCAGGCAGGAGGGAGTCCCTGGGGGAGACCACTGCGGGGGTTAAAGCTTTCTCTCTGTCTGCCTACGAATTGCTCAGACTGAACTCAGTGTCCTCATACACTCATTTTGGTGTCTTTCAAACTGAAACAGGTTGTAAACAGCCAGTAAGATTTTTTAAATCAACATTTTTGGACCAAATTCATTGTAGACTATCATCTGCTCTGCCTTGATGCCGAGCTATATGTTCTTCTGATGAAGTCTGAAGCGTGATAACCTCTAGGTTCTATTACCTGCCTCTCTTATCAATTACCAAGCTGTGTTAAATACTTGATTCTGATTGGTCAAAACCACACAACAGCAGCAATGGATTCTTAATGGCAAAGAACAACCTGAACACACATCAAATCATATCAGTTTGTAGACAGAAGGATTCAGGCCCATTTCACCTCTACCTGTTGACACTGTGGCAAAATGTCAGTTTCCATTAGCATTAATGAACAAAAACAAATGGGACCATTGTTGACAAAGACTGGCAATCTCTATATTGTGGTTTTCAACGCTTGTAGCTGCTATGAGGGCATTAGTACGCTGAAAAAAGTTATTTTTGCCATAGAAATATTCATGATGAGGGATGAATTTCACTAACTTTACAACACTCCCACAAAACTGAGACTAAATCAGTAACAAAAAAAGGGTTACCACTTTGTCCACAGGGGGGCGCCAAAGTCAACACAGGTAAAAAGTTTCTCACAGGAGCTTTAAGTTGAATTAAATCTTATTTATTTAATTAGTTTCTGTACAGAACAGATATGATAGGAGCAAGTAAAGATATTCCAGATGAAGATGCACTTTCATTATTTCTGTCAGAGACTATAACCTGGGCCCTGCTGGAGAACATTTGGGGAGTCTATTGGGCTGGAGTTCCTGGTTTGTCCTTTCACAATAAAAGCACACTTGCTCTCATAACGGGAGATGAAGCAATCAAAAAGGGGAAACAAAATCATCATAAATGACTGTTTTATAAAGAAAGCTCCTCTCCAAAGCCTGTATATAACAAAATATCTACAATATATTTTGAGAAAATTGGATTGTGAGCGCTAGTATCATAATGTGTTTGACATTTTTAATCAAGTGTATTTATACATCCCTTTTTCTGCAAATACTGACATCTCTTTTAAAGATTTACATCAGCTAAAAGTATATCTGCTATATTCTTAATGAAATCCCAAATAAGTGCAGCACTTTATCAGTCAAACATCAAACAAACTGTGTGGTCACTTTCCTGCAAAAGGACTATAAGGAACCATGGGCGATCACCCTGCGATCATAAGGACAGCTCATGAGTTCATGCTGCAGTTCTCTTGTCACTCAGCAGGATGGTGGAGGTTTGGGGGAATCAGTCACTTCAACCCACAGTAAAGAGCACACTCAGCAGCCCTCTGCAGAGCGCCGTGTCACACTGAGGGGTCCAGCCATAGGTCCTGGCGTGACTGACACCCAGAGGAAGGAGAGTGGGCACTGTGTCAGGCCTCATTTCAGTCACTTGCAAGAAGATGGTAGGAGACCTGATCCCCCCCCCCACCACCACCACCACACACACACACACACACACACACATACACAATCACATACACACACATATAGATTCCTGAGTCATCATGAGTGCAGAGGAAAGCAAAGCATGACAGCACACAAACTCTCCACAAAGACAACACCCAGTTACTCCAGTAAGTCAGGCCTCACAGCAACGCCAGGGTGCTTGAACGTGGCAAGAAATAGATCAGTCCCATATAAACACAACCAAACAGCACGGAACAAGGGCATGTCATCTCTGGCTGGGTCCAATCAGACAGCCATTAAAAAGTCATCAGGGTAATGACTGACACTGTGTCCTCTGTGTGCTCACTAGACCTTCTCTGCAGCTGCGCCAAAATGACAGGGAGTTTGAGTCCCAGCAAAGCCGAGCCAGAGGAGTGAATTCTCTTGATGTCACATGTGGCTCTGCTTATCCTCTGGGTCTTATCAGGTCTGGGGCAAGACTGGAATGGACAGAAAACAGCCTGCCAAATTGTCTCCCTGATTTCACCATGGTTGGTTACGGGTGGGTCACCGAACAAACCTAGAAAACCAGGACCTGAGATGAGTGGGAATCCCTGGCCAAGAGGCTCTGTTTATGACACAGTGACTATCAACAATGAATAACTACACTGCGGCACAAAACAATACGAAGAGACAAATAACCATGAGATGTAAATGTCTCACCAGAGGTCTTACAAGATAATACACTAACCAACTTTGTTCTCTAAACATTTTGACTTGATTCTTCTAAAAATGCGATTCTGATCTTGAAACAAACCATTACGACCAAAGACAAAAATTTTCTGTTTTTCGCTCAAACTTTTAAATACACTTTCTAAATCTCCTTTAAACTTAATTTTTTTTTTTTTTTTTTTACAAAAAATGACACATTTGATTGTCAAAAGCACGCAGGATGAGCTTTGTTGTCAAGCATGTGTCGGACAAGATAATCTTTGTCCACAGGAGACGCCAAAATGAACACAAACCAAAAGTTCCTTGGAGGAGCTTTAATGTGGCTGTAATACTATGCTGTCGTAAAACAAGCAACTGCATGACTGAAATACATTAAAGATACAAAAGAGAGAGACAGTGTACTTCTTCAAAAAGACAGAAAAAGACAGACACAAAGTGAACATCATACAATATACATAAAACTACAAACAGGCTCGAAAAAAATATGGAAAGAGATATAACTGAACAGACACAAAAGGACTGCAAACAATTTAAAAAAGACTCAAAATTCAAAAAAGTCAAAGTAAACACAAATAATAACAACAAAGAATCATAAATGACAAAAAAGGGAATAAAGAAAACTGATGCAAGGTGGCTCAGAAAGATACAAAAAAACACACATATGAAAGTGTATAGAGTCACAAATCACACACAAAAACCCAAAAGGACCACCAAGAGGTAATGAACGCCTAAAAAAAATCTCAAAATAATCACAGAAAGACACAAATTGTCAACACAAAGACACACCAAAGTTGCATATTTAACACGCAAAAGACCAACAAAGATACAGATGACCGCATCATACTGGAGGCCCTTCACAGGTCTCTGCCTAAAAGCCCACTAAGTCCTAAGCCGTCTATAGTTCTTGTGTAAGATTTCTCCTCTGTCTGCAGTCTGCACCCTCTCCCCTCCCCATCTCTCTAAATCCAATCAGCACAGAGACCCAGAGCCGACCTTGAGGTAGAAGAAGCACATACAGTAGCAAAAGCAAAAGCACATCCACCTACACGTCTGCAGTCCTAAACGCCTGCACAGACACACACACGCACACACACACCTGCATCATAACTGTGCATTTGTGCCCACGTCAGGAGACAGAGGATAACTAAATGTCTTGTATGTGATGACACTGCTGATGCCTGCAAAGAGATAAAAAGAGGCTCTAACTGAGGTTGGACTCACATTATCCTATAATCAGACATGTTGCTCCAGCAGAGCCGAGCCAGGTTGGTAACAGCACAGGAGACAAGGTCTCACTTTAAACGAGCCCCGAGGTGATCATTACAGCGCTATGATAAAGAATGCTAATAAAAATCAATGTTCAATGACTAAAGGGGGGAGTCGCTGAGCGGGTGGCAGCACACTCACTGCTGAGGTCACAGAAGCACACTCACATGTACATCCACATTAAAGTGGAGTTTAATACCCACTGGGAGGGCAGTGTTTAACAAATCATAATGGTGTTAAGGCTGATGGTGACACAACTGATTAAATTGTCCTCTGGATTGATGGGGGGTGTGGTTCTGGTAAAATTGACCTCAAAATTCAAACACTAGTTTGTGAGATTCTCTAAGATGTCAACTGTGAAACTCGGTTTAACTTAAGAGACAGAAAAAAAGTAAAACTTACTTGATGATCTACAAGAAAAAAGATCAGGGTTCGGCTTCTCTTAAGCTTTCTCAGTGTATCCTATGCCATTGTAAATTTCATATTTTGTGTTTTAGACTGATGGTCAGACATAATAAAAAATTCAAAGGTCTCACATGAGCTTTTAAAACTGGGAAATGTGCTCATTTTATTCTATTAAAACTCAAATATTATTAATAAAAAGAGCCTCTCCACTACTTTTACTCATAAATATCTTTTTACGAGTCATGAGGGAACTGCCGGGCCTGTGAAACAAATGGAAAAGCTTTTACGGGTCTAAGAAAACCTTTCGAATGATGTCATTTATAAATCTGCATAACCAGTTTTGACACAAACTTTCTGCTTCAACATCGTCACAGAGTTAGAAAGATGTGTCCTTCACACTGTGTGCTGTACAGGAGCCCCTCGACACAAGATAATGATGTCAATATTGGACAGACACCTCTGCAAACCTCACTTCACATGCACTATGTTGTCTTTTGGCACTGTGCAAATAAACTGTTGTCAGGACAATAACATCGAAAAGCACTTTCACAGATCCGAAGGCGTGTTTCCGGTTAGTGAGGGAATGCAAATCTGTCACTACATTGTCCTCCTTGTAACTCAACTTTTCGTCTCCACCAGCCCCTCATCAGATTTACCTCAGTAGCTTTTTTAGTCTGCTATTTGCTTCCTATATTTAACCACCTACTTCTCCAATTCAAAATGTAATGATCAGCCATTTTTATTACTTTTGCTACAGTGCTTATATCAAATAGTTAGCATCAGTTTCCATTTTTTCACCATTACAACACTAATTTAAATTCATTACTGTCAGTCTCAGTATTTTTTATCACAGTTACAAAGCTAATATTAGTGGTAAAGCTTTTTGATTCTTTCTGCATCACTTGTTCTTATTCCAAGCTCCATCCCACTGAGCAATAGACGGCTATCAGACGTCTAGTTTTTTTTTTTGTTCAGACCTAATTTCAACCATCTAGATTCTGTATATTTTTAGACAGAATTTAGACGTTGCACTTCAACTAATTATTCAGTAATTTTTTATTTCAAAAAGCAACTGTGAGTTGCATAATTGATCTCCAAGTACTTAACCGAAATAATTATGATAGCTGAGCAACATACAGTGTAGTATAGGTATAGCCCAGATTTAGACTTGGTCTAAACTTGGTCTAAATTTAGACGTCTAAAAAACTTTCATTTTTAGACCAGTGGTAGCCTGATTGTAGACCATTCGTCTAGGCTAAATTTAGACGTCTATTAGACCTCTTTTAGACCAAAAAATGCTCAGTGGGCACATATGGTACCTCAGTTTTATTAGCATGTATGCTATCACTGCTATGCTGTTACCATTATCAGACCTGTTGACTTTAATTTGCCATATACCAAACTAAAGTCTGACTTTATCCATTAACATAATGTTCCTGTAATGAGTACACTGTTATAAATGTAAATCTCTTTGTTTGTTTGCTGTTGTTGTTAATCTCTATCTATCTCTCTCCTCTCTAAACTCAATGAGGTAGCAGCAGATGACTGTCTAACACGAGTCTGTTTCTGCTAAACATTTTGAACTGTTAAAAGAAACTTTCTCCTTGCAATCGAAACCCACTGAATGCTGCCAAGTGTTACACTCATGACTGTGGAGGTGAGACCGGTGTGGGTCTGATCTAACAAGATGGGGCTCAATCCACCACCGTTTATGCCAATATGCCAATATTGAGAGGTGAAATGTGGACACCGTTATTCAGATTGATCTGATGTGATGTGTGTGTCATCAGGTTACTCTTGTCATCACCTTTTCTATTAGGAAAAATTAGTCTAGTTATAGGGATTTGACCATAGACTGTACATACTACAGACAACTTGGTTCTGCCTTCCGCCAGTACAGGGATTTAAGCCGAAAAGCTCTCCGTAATTTCGTGTTTTTTCTCCACTTCATAAAACCAACATTGCGCAGTAGTGTTGTACGCATTCGGTGGGAGAGTCACCGAGAGTCGCTGTGTCGCTGTATCAAGTGTCAATCATAGAAAACATGAACCCCCTAATAACTTTTAAAAACTGAGCTGTACAGAAAAAAAGAGGACCTGAGCACAAACCAGTCTTACAATAACTACATGTCAACATCACAAGCAAGGGGGAGAGAATTTTATATTCTGTGTCATCAATTTCTTAAGTTTGTCCACAGCTCCATAAGCTTTGCTGGAGGAGGCGGGATTTATGACCTATACTGCAGAGGGTGCTATTCTCGCAGTGACTTCACCCAGGGAGGAGGCAGACAGCATCCATTCTATATACAGTCTATGGATTTGACCAATTAGACTCAAGCATTCTACACAGCCTGGTGATTAGTAAAGAGCACAGTAATACACATTGATAGATAAGTATTCAAGCTGTGGCTGTAAGTTATTGAGGAGTGCTTGCTAGCGAACATAAGAGAGTAAACAACTCTATATGACTCAGCTCAATACACTGAAAACTGCCTCAACACATAAGAAGTAAATTAGATTTCAGGAAAGTGTAATATGTTGCAAAAGGCAAATCCTAAATGACTTTAAATATGCTGCTAGTTATTCAGTCCTCTTTTCCTCTACTTTAGCTAATTATTTTATTCCCCTCAGCCTATTAAAACATTTCACTTTCTTAACCACAGCAGGCACTGCTGGCTGCAATTAATAAAGACAATATTATCAGCACTAGTGCTGCTCTAATCCCAGACATCCAATCTCCCCTCCTCACTGTAGGCTTTTTTTCCCCCGTCTTAATCTCAGTTTTGGACTTGCCCCTGCATTGCCCTCGTGGAGCTTCACCAGCTTCCGCCATTAGATTTAAATACATTTCCATCTATATGTAAATGCAACCACAGGTGACAAGCCAATCTACAACTGATACGCGTTTACTGGAGCATGAAATTGGGATGCACAAACAAAAATAAGGATGAGAACAGCATGAGCAGCATCTTGGTGACATACAGTATATTAAAATTTGACAGCATGTGCAGGACTGCAGCAGCTGAATAAGTGCTAAAGTTGTTTTATCAGGTTGTTTTCTGAAAAAGCTGGTTGTTTGTTTTAGCACTGCTAAAACTGGGAATCACATACTGTTGAAAAAAAAGATGGACAACGGCGCTCCAAAATACTTGAAGCTCCTCCTGGTCGCTGGTCATTAAAGCATGCCTCCTCCATGTTAACAGATGGGACACACGTCAAACTTTAAAACCAGAGTACAGGCCTAAGAAAGTTTTTTTTCCACCCAAGTTATGGCTTAATATGTTGCAAGAAAGCCCAACAAACATTAACACAAGAGTCTATGACCTTGGCTTGACCTTGAGGCTCTGCTCTGCCGTAGCCTGAGCCTATGATGTTTTATCAGGAAGTTAAACTTGTGTTTAGGGGTACCAGTCTTGGGTTAGCAGTTAAAGCACACACCACAGGCTGAAGCTCTTGCAGTAGTTGCTGGTTTAACTTCTGGCCCCCTCTCGGCTAAAACCCACAGGATCCGGAATGGCTGCGCTCCAATCTGGCACAGCAGATGGACCAAATGCGCAAGAATTATCATCAATGTGTGTGATTCCGCACAATCAGTCTGTTGATCAGCTCTGGCAGCCTGACCAGACACACAAGACTTCTATTTTTGCCGGACGCCACAGTACGGCGCATCAGTTCGGTGCAGCGCAGCACAAGCAGCAGCGGAAGTTGTATGGGGCTACAGAATAAAATAACCGGTCAATTTTCAAAATAAGATAAATACGTTGAACTGTTCTTCACTTGATTATAGGAGAGGCCAGGGTTGTGGGATGTGCGATCTCGTGAGATCTCGCAAGAAATATCAGTAATCTTGCAAGCTATTCTATTCCGATGGCGGCAGTGGATCAGATTTGGTGGGTGTTGCATGCTTGCGTATTTGATCCGCCTGCTGGTCCGGAGTGGAGCAGAGCCATTCCTGATTCAGTGGAATCCCCGGGTCTCCTTTACTTGATGTTCACCTACACTTACTATAGCCTAGAATTTCATGTGAGTTTGGACCTGCTAAGAAAGATCTGTTTCTTTTCTCTGCATGCCTCTGTCTGTTTACATTTCTTGTTGCTATAAGCTACATCACATGCTGTGTTAATCTGAGAGGCATGGGAAAAGGAAATGAACTGAATAGTGTTCCTAAAGCCAATCCTGAGTGAAGGCCCTGGCTCCAAAAACATCCCCCTGCACAAGGAAAAATTTGACTTTATTTTTGTGCGACTGAAGGAGGTGAAGACAGGTTATGCATTTTTTACACTATCAGTACTCGGGACTGTGTGTGTTGCCCAAGAAGGGGCACTGTAAGAAGACATCAACCAGCAGCAGTCTGGAGTTTAGACGACTCTGACAAGCAGTTGGATAATCAAAGGAGCTGCCTGGAGGTGGGTGTAAAGGGAGGGAGAGGGTCAGTGATGAGGTTAGAGCGTCCACACTGAAGCTCTGCCAGGAAGTTTGTGTCTGGGCCAATGAGCGGGGTGAGGAAGCGCTGAGTCAGGAAGCTCGGCCAAGAGAGAGGCCTGTGGTGCTGGCATCTCCCGCTCACATACACGTTACAACGCGTCACACACCAACGCTCTGCTGGAGTCATAACACACTGTTCCCAGGCGGATGCTGTACAACGCATGTGCACAACGTGGGGGCAAACGCACACTCGGTAAACACAGGGATCTGACGCCAAATACCTGTGGCTCAATAAAGTGTGGAGGGTACAAACAGTATTCTTCTGATTATAAACTACAAACAACAAACTCAAGTCAGAGAAAAACAAATCAGTGAAGGGGCTAAATCTGATATTTTTGAGTGTATGACACAGAGAGTGAGAGGTAAATCTTTGAGGTGATCTAAAAGGATGTTCTGATGCGAAGCGGCAGGCAGGTGCAGACATACCTGAGGCTATTACAACAGATGAAACTGTGATATCTTTATTATCCCTTTCATAGCATGACACACAGAGAGGAGGCTAACACAAGACTCTAAAGAGGTGCTTATCAGGGGAATCTCACTGCTGTGCCAATACTTTCTGTGTGTGTGTGTGTGTGTGTGAGTGAGTGTGTGTGTGTGAAGGGAGGCGGTTGATATGTTTGATGAGAAGGTCAGAGAGGACGGAGAGGAAAAAGAGGTAGAGGAGGAGCATCGGCTTTGTATAGCTGCAACCAATCAATTTGCTGGGAAACGGGGAATATGAACTTAAAGACATAGTATGCAATTTTCAGGAACGGGTTTTGGTCTCAAGGTGTAGAGAGTGTTAAATAAAAGGCAATAATGGAAACTTTCAGTACAAATGGATATTAAGTGTAAGACTCTATGTGTACGCTAGGTTTTACTGCTGCCAGTACAGAAGGACGGTCCAGATCAACCCAGCATAAAAAAAAAAAAACACTTGCAGTCATTTGTACTTTTTAAAAAGCATTACAGCTGATTATCTATGATGACATTATGGTTGCAGAGATCTTCCCCTTGAAACAGACAAAAACAGGTTTGACTGAAAACTATCTGATGTGTATTGCTATTAATAGTTTTACGCATGTCACATCTTCATTATAATGAAGCCAGTCTGGAGGAGGCGCTCTGAATGATGTGACTTCACTGTCATTCAGACTCTGGGCTCAGAGCAGGAGAGGAGGACCATTTGCAGGTTACCATGCATCTGAGTCAGCATAGTTGTAAAGTGACAAAACACACTTTGTAGCACCTGAATTTGCCATTTTAGGATGAGTTATGTTGTGAACTATTTCTTGGCTGGAGACAAAGACTCTCAGGAATCTGTACTTGCTGGTTTTTGACTGTACAAAGCATAGATGCGCCTGTGAAGCAACACATATATATTGAATTTTATATTAAATAAACCAGTAAAAAAAATCAGAGTACTCTTTCAATAGGTAAATAAAAAGATTTCAAAGGAGTTATACTGGTTAATTTTGTTGAACATCTTTAAAACAGAGGAAAGCTGTTAAAGAAGAAGAGTGTCATCATTCTCTATAAAACCCAAACATGAATCTGTGTGTGTGTGTGTGTGTGTGACCAAATGAAACAAATATTCGCGATGACTATCAGATCAAGTATCCCTGCTCTCCTGCCCAGCAAATCTCTGAAAACAGCATGAAAACTCATTTCGATCTGCTTTACAGCTCCTCTTAAGTCTCTCTCTCTCTCTCTCTCTCTCTGTGGCCTAAATTCTGCTAAAAGCTATAAGAACACTCCAGACAGAGCCCCTCAAAAAAAAAACTCCCTTAATATCTTTAAACGTCTGACAATGAAAGGCTAATAGAAATCCTCATATTAAGCTGCACAAGAAGGGAAAAGCTGTTTGGCCTCTTTGATAATAAAGTTCAAAGTTATTTTTAAAGAAAAGCCACAGGGGTGAAGAGACCGAAGGACAGTGAGCTAGCTGCTGAGAAAAAAAAAATTGTAAAAAGTGGATTTATTCCAAAGAACAAAAAACAAGCCAAAATTTTTGAAACAAACTTATGCCATTTTAACCAGGAGGAACAAAAAAGCCCTTACATAAGCCGGCTGAGTTTGACCTTGCTCTCTGCAGCCTTGTCCACTGTTCTTAATCTCAGGGGCATAAATTAGCAGCACCTACAGTACAGTCTGAGTTTCCAAGGAGAGCCGCCTCCCACCAGGGGCCAAAGATGTCTGCTGGAGTTTGTTGCCGGGGCTGGAGAATGGCTGCACTTGTCACAAGGACTAAAGACAAGTTTCCTCGCTCAGCACCCAGAGACAGTGAAGCCTCAAAGTCAAGGGTGGGCAGGAATGCCCTGAATAGGCAGTTACGTAAAACTCACAGCACCCTGAGAGGAGAGAGAAGGAGCTGCTCAGGACCTGACAATGCTCTCTGAAATTAAGCAGCGTCAGGGGGCACAAAGGGTGCAGTGTATACTTGTAAAGGAATTAAGACATTTAAGATGATCCATTTAATTAGAGAAAAAAAAATAACTCGTTATTGCACCAAGGGCACAGAGACACGCAAGAGCCAGAGACAAATGATCACAAAGAGTATGACCTCCAAGTGTTGTCTCTCAGCAGCCACTCTGTGTCTCTGTGTGAGCTGTGAACATCTTTCCCCTTGTTCCCGCATCTCTGTGGGATTGGTTTTCTTTTCTCATTTTAAGTCTGGTTGAAGTGAGTTTTGTTGATGTTGTGGGGAAAAAAAAACAAGTCTTTTATAGTTTTTCCTGAATATTTCGGAGGGAGATTTGCATCTCTTTGTAGTTGTTTTATGTAACATTTCTTTATTTTAGTTTAACGGCATCCATTTGAGGGGATTGGCGTTATTTTAGTTTTTCTGTGTCTTTTTTTTTTTTTTTGGGTTGTTTTACATTTCTTTAAAGTAGTTTGTTTTGACCTGATGTTGTTTTTTTTAATTCACTCATAAATGACACAAACAGGCGACTTTTCGTTTTGTGTCTTTGTGGCTGATTTGCATGTCTTTGTAGTTCACACATTTTTGAGTTATTTTGCACTTTTTTGTATTTTTTTGTTTGAACTCTGAATCCCTTAAATCTCTATTTCATCTATGTTTGTCGCTTTGTATCCCTTTAAATTTTTTTATGTCTGTTTGTAGTAGTATACAAATAGTCACTCTTTACAGAGGCTGTCGTCAGAGGCTTTCTGACCCTTCCGGCCACTGAGCCTGCGCCCGATAGGGCCGCTCACTAATCTGTCCATGAATGTGAAGTTTACAGGATATAAGGTGAGGCTATTGATAACAACTAAATTGGCAGGGGCTAATCCGCTTTTGCTGTCAACAAAGTAATTGCAGAAATTATCTGGGGCATGTTTACCAAAACAGTCAGAAGATACAGACCCTCTAATCACCCGCACAATGCATTTTCAAAAAAAAAAACATGCTTTGCACTTGATCACAGATTACTGTATGAAAAAAAAGCAAATACAAAAAAACAAAAAAACTCCCAGCAGTACCAAAACCTCCCTCTTCCTCTCTGCTCCCACCAGAAGCCACCCAGCGAGCACCAGGGCTAACCCCGCTGACCTGACCCAGATATTAACCCAAGCCTCCAGATGTGAACGCGCGCTGGGATTACTCCACCGCTGCATCAGGCTCCACATGCTTTTCTAATGAGGCATCCTAAAATGACCCTGGAGACAGAGCGGACTGTCTGCCTGACTATCTGCCTCTATTCCCATAACTCTCTCTCTTTCTCTCTCTGTGTCTGTGCACCATCATCTGCATATGTGCTAACACAGGGGGAATAGAAACATCAAGAATCCAGTTAAAAATACAAGTTAATCACAGTCACAGAGGGATGTTGGTGAATCAAACTCAGGCATTTCCCAAAACAGACACAGACCTCATTCTGCAGACAAACACATGTTGTACTGGCACATTGTAGGCTACAATAAAACTGTGATTTGAACAACTACAAATGCAATTTATTCTGTATTCAATACAACTAAGAGGGTTACATCTCCTCATTTTACCTCTACAAACACCTCCTCCTGAGTGTCACCTGCATCAAAGTGAAGTTACACAGAAAATAAAGAGTGGTATCTTCTCCTTTTTACTAATCTGCTCTGCATGCATGAATGTCAAAGCCGAACAAACTTGTCCTGCCATGTCTCTCTGTCTGGCGGTTCAGTTTCACCCATCCTTCCTACATTTGCACCCGTCTCGACCTGAGCCTTTATGCAGAAGCGCCCTGATATGAAAGAATTTAACTCCTTCTCCGCATCAATGTAGCTATTGTAGCCATTGCATTCTTTCAGCAGCTTCAATTTCCAACTTCTGCCTTGTCGGCAAGTTACAAACTTCCCCGCAAATCCTACAAAGCACTACATCCAAAGTGACAGCCGGTGGTCCCAGCACATAATGAAGCACAAGTGTGGTAAGTTTGATCGGCCTGCTAAGTAGCTCAAATTTGCAAGAGATCAAACAGGGACAAAAAAATAAACAAAAATGCAGCGCTCCTCTGTAGCCTACCATTTTGATCCAGCGTTTCGAGGCTCAAAGGAGTCCCAGAATAACTCCTTTCGCACCAGTTTTCCCTTCGCCATGAAAAAGACCGTTGATTTGTCACATTTCCTCACTATTTGCCTTATCCTCAGTCTTTCCCCCCCGTGCTGCTGTAGCATTCAGACAGACAAAAATGCAGAGGCTGCTTTTGCAGGAGGAATTGGTGATTGGAGCTCGGGGATCATATGGGCTTTTTGTCAGACGCTTTTAAAGGGACACGGTACTGTTTTAACGTGGAGTTGGGAGACAGGCGCATTTCTTTGTACTGTACTTGGTTTTTTTTTCTTTTCTGGCCCGAGCAGGAGGTCTGGGAAGGACATGAAGACATTTGGCGCAAAAGCTCGATGCGCTTCCTCTGACCGTGCGCGCCTGCAACCGCGTGACGTCAGACGGGCAGACAGATGCAGAGGTCAGGAAGTTCACCATTTCCTATTTTCCAGACATAATTTCAACTTAACTTAGAAAGGTGATAACAACCACAGTAAATAATGTATTCAAAAGACTAAAAAAGGAAGGTTTAGTTGCATGATTTATTTTAATCTGAACACATAAGAAAGTCCCCACAACTTCCAGGGCCACAGTTAGTGCTTTGAGGCCCTGGGGCTGAGATGGGATGTGGCCCCCCATTGACCCACCCGAACGTTTTTAATGATTATTTTAAATTTCTTAATTGATTACAAACAAATCTTACCACATTTTTTCAGGGAAGTAAATAACAAATACTTCACACAAACATATTCCATTGACAGTGGAAAGAGAATTTTCATATATAAACAAACATTTTTGATTTTTTTGTTTTTCAATGAAACCAAAGTTAATTTTATATACTCAAAAATATTTAAGAAAAAAAAAAACAGGGCAAATTTTGAGAAATGCAAATACATTTTTAAACATAGAAATATTTTGGGAATGTTAGCCAATACTGGAGACAACTAAATTATGAAAACACATATGTTTTTCTGTATTTAATAAAAAATGTTTTGGGGCTTTATTAAATAACCACATTAAATAACTTATTCAAAATACCAAAAATGGAAGGTCAGGTTGCACACTTTATATTAATCTGAGCACATAAAAAAGTCCTTCACAACCTCCAGGGTTGCTTTAAGGCCATGGGGCTGACATGAGATGCGGGCCCCCCATTGACCAATCCTAATGTTTTTAATGATAAATTTCTTAATTGATTTAAGAAAAATCTTGGCACAATTTTTTAGGGAAGCAATTAACAAATACTTCAAACAAAAATATTTCATTGACATTGGAAAGATAATTTTCATAAATCCCCCCAAAAATATGGATTTTTATAAACACAAAAATATTTTGGAAAAAAATAGGGCAATATTTAAGAAATGCAAATACATTTATAAAACATAGAAATATTTTTTTTAATATTTTATCTTTTACAGATTTGCTTTTATGTGATGCCATCTTTTATCTATTCTCTTTTACCTCTATCTTATTTTGACATACTGTTCTTTTAGCCTTTGTTTTACTTATAATCTCTTCTTATTTAACCTTAAACTGGAAATAACTGTCACTAAGAAGACCAATCACAGGGCTTGCAGTTCACACTGTTTTAAAGCGTAGTTCTACTTTATATATTTTATTCATCATCACCCTTTTTAAGCCCTCAAGCTAAGCCCTCAAATGTCAAAACATAAGATATTGGCCTACATGATAAGATTTAAGAACAGCTGGAGTTCACAAATATTTGAACCTTTTTTCTTTCTATGAGGCAAAAAGAGAAAAACTCCAAGGCACTCTCTTCATACTATTAATATGTCGTTATTCAAACGGCATGGTCATGTAGACCTTAAAAACTGACTTGACACGTTTTGGCATCAAGCCTTCATCAGGAAATTATACAAAACTCTTCTGTCTATGTTGCTTGTAATGAGTCAACATTTGCTTCTATTGTCAAAATAGTTTCATTTATTGTGACTTTAGCCTTAGGGACAAAAAACACTTTGCCTGGTCTTTAAGAGAGCCCTGTCTTCAACCCCCACCCAGAGGAGTCCCGAACCCCACTGCTATTTCTCACTCTTGCCATTCAGAGCTGAAGTCAATACACTCATAACAAGGTGGGAAAAAATCTATCAGGACCTGGAGCAGGTCCCATTCATCACTTCATGTCCAGCAGTCAGCCAAGCAGACAACACCAGTGTGGATTAAACCGACAAACGACAACCTGGAGTGACAAAAGTCTTCGGCTCAGAGGTTGAGTTTTGCTTTTCTAATTCTGTTTTACAGCAGATTTGGGTTGTAGTTTTAAAAGTTAAAGTAAAATTTGACGACAAAGGAAAAATTATTTCAGACGAACTTTGAAAACGTAAACATGATCTGTAAATTCACTGAAGCTAGTATATTGGAGAAGTGTATGAGTACACACAAATGTTTGTTTAAGGGTTTTGAGCCCCAAAAAATTCACTCACCACATTTGTCTTTTTAAGATGTGGATCAGAAACCTCTTCAACAGAAACACAAGGTCCATAGATATCATGACTGAGTTATTCATAATATGAAAGCCCTTTACTGAATTTAACAGGATTCATTGAGTCAAGTGTGCAGTCATGGTGTATCCTGGAAAGAAAAAGCTAATTGTTGACACTTTCCTGCTTCTGCATGTTGGCGTGATGAAGTGACCTTCATTAAAGTTTGATTTTCACTCAGAGCTCATCCATACAGAACAGGTCTAAATAGTATAGATGTATTTACTGCCTGCCTCTCTGTGTTTGCAGATAAAACATGGACTGGCACAGTTGCATTTCAGTCGTCTTGTCTAATCTTTGGTTTTCCTGCATGCAACTCAAAAAAAAGTCCAATAGAGAAGGCACAGAAGTTATATACATATATGCAAGTATGAATCAAGGAAACGTTTTCAACTAGTTATGAAAGTGATTTATAACTTAGAAGTCATCACTGGTTTACCAATCGAATGAAGTCCCCTGAGTAAGGAGGGATAATATCTAAAAGCATTAAATCGGTTAATTTAAAAACAAGATAATCTCTACAGTGTGGTTTATTGTATGAAACCTGTAATCACGATTCAGTCACTGACTTTTTACCATGGGCCAAAATACTATTAAATCTGCAAGATGTTATTTTGCAGACCGCACTAGATGCATGCTCCAATCTTAAAACCAGAGGGCGCTATTGTACAGGAACAAAGTCTCCATGTAAGGATTTAACAGAAGAGAAAAAAACAAGCTTTCTTAGTGTTGGTATTTATTACATGTAAACATTCATAACTGTTTTAGTAAAATCAAAACCGGATACACTATACTTTGAGTACAGTTTCAACACTTGTTACATTCATGGTGCAGCAGTCAAACAAAAGGCGCCACAGACTAACAGCTTGAACTGCGGCTAACAGAATCCTCTCCTGCTGACCCGGACTGTACGGTGAAATTAAAAACAAACCAATTCAGCAGCCTAAACCCTCAGAACTGAAAGATTACTGTATGTATAGTTTTTCTTTTTTCAGTGTACAAAACAAAAGTAGAAAAGGGTTACACAAATATACACTTTTAAAATATCTACAGCTTATATGTCACATAGACATAGTTTTATTTTGATACCTTTAGGTGTCAGAAGTTGTTGTTTGTTTTGTGTCCTGTTCGTTGTCACGTCAGTTTATTTAACCAGGAAAATAAGAACAGAATCAAACATTAAAGCAGACTGCTCCTTTACAGGTTTTAGTCGCTGGTCTGTCATGTTAGCAGTAGAAACTGTTGTGTGTTTCTCTGCATTCAGACAGCATGGTTTTGTTCCCTCTTCAGCTGTAACGACTACTGCGACTGTGACTTCTGCGCCTGGAAGAGCTGCGACTGGAGGAGCGGTATGACCTGCAAAAACACACAGAAGTGCACTGAAACAAACGTTTTCTGTTTTTTTTTTTTATTGCCTTGAATTACAGGGAATTGTTGTCCAACTGTAGTCTAGACTGTAGTTAAGCCACAGGTCGTGTGAGGCCAAGAAGGAGAAGCTGATCCAAGACCAGTGAGGGTTCAGAGGGGAAAAGAGAGAGTTACCGGGATCGACGGTCTGAACTCCTGTAGCTGTCGCTTCGTCTGCGGCCTCGTCTCCTGCTCACGCTGCGACTGGAATAACTATCGTAGGAATCTGACCTGTATAAAAAAAACCAGCCAGGTGATAAAAAGAGAATATTTTACATGATATATTTTTTTACTTGTGCTTATTCTACAAAAAAAAGCACAATAGTGAAGGATGTGAAATCTATTGTTGTATACTGTTTTTACCAGTTTATTCAATATTTTCTTGGAACAAAAACACACAAATAAGTCAAAGGAAAGAAACAAGTTGCCAAAAAAACCCTCAATATTTGCTGCTTTTTAGTTATGTCTTTCCACAGAAACCCATTTTAACAACACAAAACTCTGATGGATGACTTTGTTTCATCTGCAAAACGCAGCTATACAATCATCCTTCAAAACTTTCAGCTTATATTACAGCAGCATGCGTCTCATTCTATAAAGAAACTGTCTTTCAGCCATGATAAGATCCTGCTGACGTTAAGTTGCATATTGGTGTTTGTATCTGAGCACTCAGTGACCCTTTAGATTCATCATGTAAACATTATTTGAATGTCATACCTGGATCTCCGGCGGCGATTATAAGAACGACTTCTGGAATGACTTCTACTGTAGGTCCGACTGTAAAACAAACACACAGGACTGAGTGATGAAAAACAACAGAATAAACGACGGGCTGAATCTGAAACAAAGAAACAGTTTTGAAACCATGAATAGCTAAAAGTTACTCCTCTGTCTAAAATACTTCCTCTGGGATCCATTTGTGGATACTAAATCAGTATTTTTGGGTATACCTGTGACTCCTGTAACTTCGATACGTGCTGCTACGAGAGCGCCCCCTCCTGTGTCTCCTCCGACTCCTGCTGCGGCTCCTGAAACACAACACTGGGTTATAAATCACTCTGTCGAAAAGCAAGGACAAACAGTCTTTACAAAGAAGACTGGACTGCCTTCGCCTCTCACCTGGATGTGTAGCTGGAGCTGCGGGATCGACTCCTTGACCGGCTGTAGGAGTGGGACCAGCCTCTGGAGTGGGACCGGTGGCTGGACACAGAGCGGGACTTTCTGGACGGGGATCTGGATTTCTTCTTCGTCTTCGGGGATCTGGTGCGGGCGTCCCCCCTTGTCTTCCCCGCAGAGGGGGACCTCTCCTCGCTCGAGCTCTCCTGGTTCCTCGGACGCTGGTTGAGTCGTGCCGTCTTCCGAACCTCGTCAAAAAGAGACCCCGGTCGGACCCGGCTTTTGCTTTTGATCTCCATCCTCACTCCCTCGGCTTTGGCGTTCTCTTGAAGCTGGTTGGTTTTAGCGGTAACAGGCTGTACGTTTATGTTCTGCAGAGCTGACATTCCCTTCAGGGGCCGCCATTTAAAGTTGATCACAGTCTTAGGGGGCGTTTCTTCATCCTGCAGTCCACCAGGTGTTGTGTTTACCGAGGGCTGATCTTTGCTATGAGGTAAAGCCCCTTCCACAAACTTTGAGGTAGGTTTTAAGGTTAATTCAGCTTTGTTATAATGATCGTCTTTAAGAGAAGGTTCTTCAATCTCAACCGCGTGTTCTGGGGTACAAATGTCCATATCCTCTAACCACTCTTGCTCTTTGATGCTGGGTAAATTCGCACCATTCCTGCTCGACTGAGGGTGAGTTTCAGTGTGTTTTGGATTCCTGCTGATACTTTCTTTCGCTCTTTGCTGCCCTTTTTCTTCTTCCTCTCTGACAGGATTCTTATTTAATGAGCTTAGATTTTGGTTTTCATTCCTACTCTCCACACCGGCTCTTACTTTTGCTCCGCTCGGACTGCGTCTCTCCCTTTTCAATTCATCTTCGTCCTCCTCCTCTCCAAACTCTAAAGGCGGCTGCCAGTGGAAAGTCTCTTTGAGCCTCTGATATTTCCTCTTGGACCTCTTCCCTTTGTCTTTGTGATGTGAGCCGCTTTTGTTCTCACTCCTTTTCTTGTGCTTGTGCTTACGCTTGGCTTTCTTCTTGCTCTTGTGCCTCTCCGGCTCCTTCTCAGGACTTCCCTCTGAAGTTGTGGCCTCTCTCACCGCCTCCGATGTCTTCTTAGAGGGCTCGTTCTCCGATTCAGAACTCGCCTCTCCTTCCTCTTTTTCAGACATGGCTGCAGGCCTGGCGGTGATATTTTCAGTATCACTTTCTGAGTTCCACCCCGTGAGAGCAGACAGCTTCTTCTCGAGGAATTCGCCCGACTGAGCTTCATGTTTCTGCTTTTTTGACAGGACAGCGCTGTTGCTTTGGCTCACTTTATCGCTGTCACTGTCCCACCCTGACCTGCTCTCCGCCGGCGCTGAGCTGTAAAGTTTCATCTCTCTGTCCCGAGAGCTGCCTTTCTCTTTTGTTTTCTCCACAGAGACACTCCTCCTGATATCAGGGCTCTTCTCACATTCTGCCTTGTTCTCTGACCCTGAGTGAACATCCTGACTACTGGTGAGTGAGATGTACTTATCTAAATTTTTTATCCTCTTCAGAGAGTTGTAGTATTCTCTCCACTCTTTGTCGAGTGAATTCTTCTTGTGTCGGCCAGTTTTGTGGGAGTTTTCGGAGCCTGATCTGCTGTAGGATGATGACCTGGACCTGGATCTGGACCTGCTGTAACTTCTACTCCTGGAGCGGCTGTAGGATTTACTTCTGGATGATCTGCTTCGCGAGAGTCCTGCAGGTTTGTGTGTTTTGTCGCTTTCAGACTCACCGAGCAGACGCTTCGGTGTCGCAGTGTGAGCTTTCTCCTCGGCGCTGTCAGCCTCCTCTCGAGTGGAGGAAATGTTAGAGGGAGCTACTTTAGCTTTAATTTCCTGGATGTGGAAATAAGATGGCTTCCAGGGTTTCTGACCAGGTTTCCAGCGAGAGGGCGGAGGGCTGTCGCTTAGCGGGATCACCGGGACGCTTTCAGGAGCGGAGACAGCGGGCAGTCTGGGGACAGCTGCGGTTTTTCCATCTGGGAGCTTCTCAGCTGCGTGGATCATGGTGTTGGCCCTAAGGTTGCTTGCTCTCTTTCTTCTTGGAGATCTGGATGGACTCCTCTTTCGGGACGGGGATCTTGATCGGTGCCTTGATCTAGACCTTGACATTGATCTGGAATAGGAATGAGATCTGGATGTAGACAGAGAACGGCTCCTAGATCGAGACAGGCTTCTGGATCGTGAATAAGACCTGGATCTCCCTCTTGATCTGGACCGACTGGATGTGTAGGATCTTGAGTAGGACAGGGAGTCTCTAAGGGACAGTGAGGACTGCCGTCGCTTCCGTGGTGATAAATTACGCTGATCAGAAGAGGAGCGGGATGGAGAGCGGGATCTCCTGGACTTCCTCTCTGAAGATGCAGACCTCTCTCCCTCTGACAGGTAAACCTCCTCAGGTTTGTTCTTGGAGCTCTTCTTCTTGCTGTGTTTCTTTTTTTTGCCTTTCTTCTTGTGTTTGCTTTTCTTCTTCTCCTTCTTTGGTTTGCGATGTAGGCTGGACCTCTCTGAGCTGCGGTCTGAGGACTGTTCTGCAGAGCGGGACCACACAGATTCGCTTCTGTCGTCCCATCTGCACGAGGAAACAGTTGTTTTGCGTGTTCAGTCGGATTAGGCATGAGGTGAAAAACACGGATTCTGTCAAAGTAAAAGATTCAGTCATACTTGTCTCCTTTGCTCCATCTCTCGATGCTCGGCGGCTGATAAACTTTGGTTCTCTTCATCTCCTCTTTCCAGTGAGGTGGAGTCTCACTGCTGCCACGCTCCTCCACAGACGCAGAGCGAGATTTGGACCTTGTTGGTGTGTGATATCTCTGGAAGAAAAGTTAAAACAAAATCAAATTACAAACAAGGTTGAACAATGAAGAGAAAAAGGTTTTTTTTTTCCCACTTTTTTTGACAATCTCTCTTTACATAAATGGTCTATTTCTGTCCTACTTTATCAAGTTTTATCCCTTTCTTACTTGTCCACTTGTTGACTTATTTTAGTTCTTGCTCCTGCTCTTTCAAAATATAGAACCAGATTTTCAGCACCTGCCAATGAAACCAGATTATACGCCACTTATACTTGGGGTGTTAAATTTAAGCTGTATGAAATCCTATTGGCTAGTAGAGCAAAAGGGCTAACGATGCAATCTGTGTCTTCTGTGTGTGATGCAGAGTTACGACAAACAAGTTTCCACGATTCCTGGAGAGTAAAATCATCTAGAAACAGTTAAACAGGAAATCTACAAACACAGAAGAAAAGTTTGAAAGTGAAGGCTGAGAAATGATCGTCTCTGCTTTGTTAAAAACTACAGTGTTAGCATCTGTAGCAGAGTTCTGGTCAGGTCAGAAATTGTTATGTCCATTTAATGATCCTGAAAAAAGTGCTGATTTTGAAAGATCCAGCTGGCTCCCCCACTCTAATGTAGAGTGTTTTTACAGAAAATCTGAGTTTCTCTTTTTTTTTTTTCTTGTTACCCTCAGCACATTTGTAAAAATTTTCGTTTGGTGGTTTCTTTTTTTTTTTTTCAATTTATTTCTTATTTATTTATTTTTGAACGCAATCTACCAAAAAAAAAAAAATGGGGGGGGGGGGTGACATGAAGCTGATCACACAAAGTGCGAAACATTCGAATAATCGTTTCTGATGATGTTGTTTCTCTCTAATAAAGAAATAATTATATAAAAAAAGAAAAAAGTCAAACAGATTCAATCCAAAGTAAACTACTATAAAAAGACAGAAGCTTAAACGTCTGATCTTCGTGAAGCTCACCATCGTCCCTCTGCCTTTGATCTTCCGCCCTGACTTGGAGATGGCTGGTTTCTGCTCAGCTGATACAGTCATTTCTTCTTTCTCAACTCTAGTGAGAGAAAAGTTAACGTGAACATCTACTGTAATAATCGGAGGTGTTAGCTTTTTAATGTGTCAACTATAAAAGTGACATGACTGACATTGGCGTTTTATCCTCCTGGGATGGCATGTCCCGCCGTAGCAGGAATCGATTCTCCGGCACAGGTGGGATTTCCTCAGGCCGGACGACGGGTTTCTCTCTCTTCCCGCTTTGCTCCTTCTCTCCGTCCACTTCATTCTCTCTATCCAGATTCCCTCTGTCGACAGGGCTGCGAGAGCTTCATGACACACATGCAAAGTAATATTTTGTTATGCAAAGAAGATAACCCTTCGCTCTCAAAGGGACTCATGTCAGTGTGTCTTAAAGGCACAGATCTCACACATCCAAGACACACGAGGAATTATCTGAATAAATAAAACATGAACTGAAAATGATCTAGACCTTGACATTGATCTGGAATAGGAATGAGATCTGGATGTAGACAGAGAACGGCTCCTAGATCGAGACAGGCTTCTGGATCGTGAATAAGACCTGGATCTCCCTCTTGATCTGGACCGACTGGATGTGTAGGATCTTGAGTAGGACAGGGAGTCTCTAAGGGACAGTGAGGACTGCCGTCGCTTCCGTGGTGATAAATTACGCTGATCAGAAGAGGAGCGGGATGGAGAGCGGGATCTCCTGGACTTCCTCTCTGAAGATGCAGACCTCTCTCCCTCTGACAGGTAAACCTCCTCAGGTTTGTTCTTGGAGCTCTTCTTCTTGCTGTGTTTCTTTTTTTTGCCTTTCTTCTTGTGTTTGGCTTTCTTCTTCTCCTTCTTTGGTTTGCGATGTAGGCTGGACCTCTCTGAGCTGCGGTCTGAGGACTGTTCTGCAGAGCGGGACCACACAGATTCGCTTCTGTCGTCCCATCTGCACGAGGAAACAGTTGTTTTGCGTGTTCAGTCGGATTAGGCATGAGGTGAAAAACACGGATTCTGTCAAAGTAAAAGATTCAGTCATACTTGTCTCCTTTGCTCCATCTCTCGATGCTCGGCGGCTGATAAACTTTGGTTCTCTTCATCTCCTCTTTCCAGTGAGGTGGAGTCTCACTGCTGCCACGCTCCTCCACAGACGCAGAGCGAGATTTGGACCTTGTTGGTGTGTGATATCTCTGGAAGAAAAGTTAAAACAAAATCAAATTACAAACAAGGTTGAACAATGAAGAGAAAAAGGTTTTTTTTTTCCCACTTTTTTTGACAATCTCTCTTTACATAAATGGTCTATTTCTGTCCTACTTTATCAAGTTTTATCCCTTTCTTACTTGTCCACTTGTTGACTTATTTTAGTTCTTGCTCCTGCTCTTTCAAAATATAGAACCAGATTTTCAGCACCTGCCAATGAAACCAGATTATACGCCACTTATACTTGGGGTGTTAAATTTAAGCTGTATGAAATCCTATTGGCTAGTAGAGCAAAAGGGCTAACGATGCAATCTGTGTCTTCTGTGTGTGATGCAGAGTTACGACAAACAAGTTTCCACGATTCCTGGAGAGTAAAATCATCTAGAAACAGTTAAACAGGAAATCTACAAACACAGAAGAAAAGTTTGAAAGTGAAGGCTGAGAAATGATCGTCTCTGCTTTGTTAAAAACTACAGTGTTAGCATCTGTAGCAGAGTTCTGGTCAGGTCAGAAATTGTTATGTCCATTTAATGATCCTGAAAAAAGTGCTGATTTTGTATGATCCAGCTGGCTCCCCCACTCTAATGTAGAGTGTTTTTACAGAAAATCTGAGTTTCTCTTTTTTATTTTTTTCTTGTTACCCTCAGCACATTTGTAAAAATTTTCGTTTGGTGGTTTCTTTTTTTTTTTTTTTTCAATTTATTTCTTATTTATTTATTTTTGAACGCAATCTACCAAAAAAAAAAAAAAAAATGGGGGGGGGGGGGTGACATGAAGCTGATCACACAAAGTGCGAAACATTCGAATAATCGTTTCTGATGATGTTGTTTCTCTCTAATAAAGAAATAATTATATAAAAAAAGAAAAAAGTCAAACAGATTCAATCCAAAGTAAACTACTATAAAAAGACAGAAGCTTAAACGTCTGATCTTCGTGAAGCTCACCATCGTCCCTCTGCCTTTGATCTTCCGCCCTGACTTGGAGATGGCTGGTTTCTGCTCAGCTGATACAGTCATTTCTTCTTTCTCAACTCTAGTGAGAGAAAAGTTAACGTGAACATCTACTGTAATAATCGGAGGTGTTAGCTTTTTAATGTGTCAACTATAAAAGTGACATGACTGACATTGGCGTTTTATCCTCCTGGGATGGCATGTCCCGCCGTAGCAGGAATCGATTCTCCGGCACAGGTGGGATTTCCTCAGGCCGGACGACGGGTTTCTCTCTCTTCCCGCTTTGCTCCTTCTCTCCGTCCACTTCATTCTCTCTATCCAGATTCCCTCTGTCGACAGGGCTGCGAGAGCTTCATGACACACATGCAAAGTTATATTTTGTTATGCAAAGAAGATAACCCTTCGCTCTCAAAGGGACTCATGTCAGTGTGTCTTAAAGGCACAGATCTCACACATCCAAGACACACGAGGAATTATCTGAATAAATAAAACATGAACTGAAATTACCTTTGCTTGGGCTGCACCTCATCCTCAGTATCATTCTTCAGTTCCCGCCTTTTCATCATTTTCTTCTTCAACCGTTTACTTGTATGTTTCTTGTGCTTGTGACATTTGTGCTTTCTATCAAACTCACTCTCAGACTCTGTGGAAAGCTGAGAGGACGAGCCATGGGAGTGTTGTGACAAGTCAGCAGAATAGGAGGATCGTTTCCTCTTGCCTTGAAGTACTGAAACAAGCGACACAACAACATGTTTGTCATTCGCATTAAAATATGCTCCTCTCCGAAAATACAACCACAATTTTTTTTTATGCAGTCAAAAACAAAGAGGTATTTTCAGGGAAGTGTGACGTTAAATCAATGCTGGCTTTATGTGGTTCCTGTCACTGCGGTGAAGGCGGTGAAAGCAGCCGGGCAGAGTCAGGTGGGCAGATGCCAACCAAGCTCCAGAGAGATCACCTCGCTGATCCTCATTAAACAGAAGATCAGGTTACACGCCCCGCATGAATGCCAGTGGGGAGGGGGGGAGGGGGGCGTGCTGGCATCTAAATGCCAACCTCTCAGAGAATGAGCACATACAGCGCATTTACAATCACAGGCAACGCACTTTACTGCACTCAGAGATCAGTATCGAAAAGAGAGGCTGCAATAAACCACTTACAAAAGGTGCACACCAAATATTTAAGTCTTAATGCTTGGACTGATGGCAATATATCCTTGATAAACAGTCAGACTGAAGAGGTTTTAATACAACGGAAGTAAAAGAGTAGTGATGTACAAGACTTACTATTGAACTCTATGGCTCTGAAAAAACAACTGAACCCTGACAAATCCAAAAACACAATGCCTAGCTTTCTTGTAAATGAATAAACGTGGGTTAAATGATCTTCAGTAAGAATATCTGGTATTTCTGACCCAATTATTCAGGGTAGGGTTGAGCGCTTTGACCTTTCGATCAGATCTGAGGACAAAAGCAACAACAAATTCAACAGGCAGATCTGTCACTTTGCATACCATCATTAGCAGACTTGGTGAAAAGTTGTCCACAGTCCACCACTCTCACGTCCGCATAGGGTCTGCTGGCTGAGTCGGTCTTCAGCCCCTCAATCTTCTTGATCACTTCAAAGCCAGAAATGACAACACCAAAGACGACGTGGACTCTGAAGGGGAGAGACATTTGACAACTGAAAACCTATCATTTTTTTAAAATATGTTGTTTTTGATATCCAGAGTTGAAATGATCAAAAATGTACATCACGCCTGTTTTAAACATCTTACCACAAAAATTCAAAATTTTTGTGGTAAAAAGTACAAAAAGTAAAGATCCAGAAGTCATCGTTTTTTTATGTGGCAGAAAAGCAAAACTATCATGAACGTTCCCTCTTTTAAGTTCACTACTTGGGTGATATTGCCACATAAATTGAAGTAAATGACTAATTAGTGACAAATGAAAAAAAATAAAGTGAAATAGACGTTTACCCATCAAGATGAGGCGCCGTCTTGGTTGTGCTGTTTGTGGAAAAAACAGTAAAGAAGCCAGGGAAGGTTGATCGACGGAGGGGTTCATGAAAAAGAGAGAAAGATGAGAAAAAGAGTTAGATCAAGTGAGCCGCTTTCAAAGCACTGTGAATACTACTGTAGCGAGGGAGAATTCTCAAAATAAGAAAATATAAAATAAGAAAACTGTTTTTTTTTTGTTTTTTGTGAGATCTGATCCCAAATCGGTCAAGAAAAACGTTTTATTTCAGCTGTTGAATTTTAAATACCCAAAACCAGACATGACAGTTGCTGGTTTTGATCAAACATGTTTGGATTTTCAGCCTGTTTACATTTCTCCCTCTCTGTTATCTGCATTTTCACTCAAAGAAAACTTCTACCTGGACGTGAAAGCCTGTTCTTGTGGTAAACAAAGTTTAGAGAGTTAATTAACATGTGTCACTTGAAGGCATTTGTGAATATTGTTCAAACAATCCATAGTAAACACTTGACTAGGCAGAATTTTTGCATATCCAAACTAGAGAATGATAGAAACAGTCAGGAGAGAGAAACACAGCCTTGGAGACACATTACCTTGGAGGAGCAGGATGCTAGAGATTCTGTAAAAATGTTACACAAAACGGCAAGAGAAAAAATGTAACACATTTGTGGGTAAAAAAGAATGAATCCAAGTTTCTCTGCATTTTAAAATCTGTTAAGTGCACATAGAGAACATAGAGCGTGGATTGTGACGTTCACACTCAATGACTATTTCTTCTCTAAAGGTTTAAAACAGGAAAAAGGAACGGAGCAGAAAACCTAAATAAACAATGCAGGAAAGCGGTATATTCATTAACGCTGATTTCATCATTCAGTCGCTCACATGAAAAACTGTGAACCGTTGGTGTCTTTCCCACGGTTGGCCATGGACAACAGGAAGGCTCGGTCATGTTTGAGAGTGAGGTTCTCGTCTGTTGGCAACAGAGAAAGATGGATCAAAGTCTCAGTGAGTCTCCTCCAAATAAGAGCACAGACATATTCAGGGAAAAGCAGGAAAAAGGGAGAAATATTTCAATCCATAAAACCTAACCACTGCCTCACCGACCACTCCTTCCATAACAGCACTGTGGGTCGTTTTTAAGTCCTCTGCTAAAGTAGAAAAGTGCTCATGCGTTTCTGATCGAAAACTTCAACCTAACATCATTCTTACGTCGCAAAGCATCAAAAAACCTGATTCCCATTCATTTGATGCATATACGCTGCGTGAATTTAAAAACGCAATTGCATCTTCAATGAATGAAACTCCTTCAATGCTTTGAAATAATAGTGCACATTATTCGAATACGAATTTTTGCAAACTAAAATATTTAAATATCTACTTGAACTCTTCTTCATATGTAAGAAATAGAAGCACTTACACACAGTTAAAAGCTATAAAGTACATCGCTGTTGCAGGGCAGCATAGTGCCAATGTGTACCCCTTATAACACTTCCAATTTAGAACCCTATCACCTACATCTGACTACATGTCATGGAAGTCATGTGTCTATTAATACCACATATGTTACATGAAAAGTAACCTGAGCAGTCCGGGCCTGTAAGATCCCTTCAGCACAAATATGCAGATGCAAACATTTGCACTGTTTTGAGTGACAGAGGAAGGTGGTGGGGACAATAGTGACATTGTGTTACAGATCTGTGTACAACTCTTACCTTTTTATTTTGCAAAGACCACTCTATAAATAAAAGAATATGTTGAAAATTTTAGGCAGGAAGATTGTAGCTTTCAATAAAGAGAATGCCTACTCTCCATGCTGATTTGATAAAGCCCACTACGTTTTACTAAATAGAAGACAGTACTACAAAATGAAAAAAGCGAAGGTCATCATCAAATGCAGGATACTTCATAAGAAACACTTTTATTAACGCAATAGTTACATGCAAAATAACTGCTCATGCAAAAGTAGCTATGTTTAGATTAACACTTATAAGCCGTCAAAATTATTGCTGATTATTTGAGAGTTGAAATTCCAGTTACCTTCAAAGTAGCCCCCATATATGGACTCTCCTCCCCTTCCATTTCCTGCACAGATAATGTAAAACACATCCTTTTTACATAAAAAAACACTGAACATTTGGTCACTTTTTTAACAACATTTAAGACATTAGCATTTTGGACAAAAAAAAAATCAAGTGGTTATTTAAGATTGCCACATTCAGAGACAGCATAACCTCTTAGATATCTGCCGCTAAAGCACACAAAGACGATGACAGTTTGTTTACGAGAAAACAGTGTTGTGTTCACAGCTGTTTTTTTCTTTGTTTGCACAAGCTATTACATTGTGTGCCATTGGCAGGGCTAATAGATGAGGGAGTCTTATTGAACCTTCGGATCTGGAGAGATTTTATGTGATTTCATGGCTCTTAACGATTGGCATTTTTTGTACTTGATTGTTGTATTGTTGTTTTTATGTGTGTCTTATCTGGACGGCTGGGTTCCTGCCTGCAAACAAAATTTACCGCAAGGTATAAATAAAGAAACCTTTGAACCTTTGAACTAGTGGTGGGGGATATATCGAATATACTCGATATATCCCGGGTTTTTCCACGTGAGATGTATAAAATGACCACATCGCGACCATCGAGTACAAATTGACACATAGGCTTTATGTTTTAAGGCGTCAGTATGTCCCTATCTTTGGAGTTTCGATCCTCTCACTCTCCTGCCGCTCTTCCCATTGTAAGCAGCACTCCCCCCCTCCCATCCGGGAAACTCTCCTGCGCGCATGCGTGTTGTTGTTTAAGGAAAGGAGGGAGACGAGCACGGGGAGAACGAAAAAAGTTGAGACCTGAGGCAAGTTTTCGAGTGACCAAGAGGAGGGAGGGATGGAGAATGACGACTTGGTGCCGAAAAAGCACAGCACTGGCTCAATCATCTGGCAGTGGTTCGGGTTTCGCCAGGAAGACGTGGAGCAAAATGCGGTTATCTGCAAAGTTTGCCGCAAAACCGTAGCCACCAAAGGTAGCAGTACCACAAACTTATTTCACCACCTGAAATGCCATCCACTACAAAACGAAGAATGCATCAGACTCCGCATGTCCACGTCTCCTCCTACACCACATAAACCGTCACCGAAGCAAATGACGCTGTCCTCTTCGTTTGCCAATTCAGTCCCGTATGACAGAAAAAGTCAGAGGTGGAGAGACATCACGGCCGCAGTGACAAAGCACATCGCCAAAGACATGGCTCCGGTCAGTGTGGTGGAAAAGCCAGGATTCAAAAATCTTATTAAGACACTTGATCCAAAGTATGAGTTACCTGGTCGCAATTTTTTCGCAGAAAAAGCGCTGCCAGACATGTACATCTTAGTTCGAGAAAAGGTGGCCCACCAGCTGACAAATGCGACCCACTTCTCCACAACGACGGATCTCTGGTCCAGCAGAACTTGTGAGCCATATCTCAGCTTAACAGTACACTACATTGACAACTGGGAACTGAAAAGTTCGTGCCTGCAAACGAGCTTTTTTCCTGATGATCACACAGGAGAGATCATTGCACAGGGTCTGCAAGATGCTCTCCTGTCATGGAACTTGTCAGAAGCTCATCAGGTGTGCATCACCACGGACAATGGGGCTAATATAGTCAAAGCTGTGAGCCTGAATGAGTGGACAAGACTGCAATGTTTTGGCCATAGGCTGCACCTTGCAATTGGTGAGTATTTGTGAAGGCTTGCCTTCCTCTAATGGGAAAATAGCAATCACTGTTATTATCAATAATTGTAAATATAACAAACTGACACAACATTCATATGTCACATGTAATTACAAGCTGTGTGATAGTGTTTGTTATTTTGAGTTTTATACTGAGCATTCTTCATAATTTTTGAGATGTTAACATGTTTTTAATTATTTTTTAATGAAGTAAAATCTGTGTATTTCATTATTTTTTAATGCAATTAAAACCTAAATTGTAATTTTTCACAAATTTTTCAAAAACATTTAAACATTTTAAATGAATTCTTGAGTTACAGTATAACCAAGCATCTTTTTTTTCATGTATTAAAAACTATGTAGGAATATTTCATGATTTTTCATGAATTAAAAAACTAAGTGAATTATTTCATCATTTTTTCATGAAGTTTAAAATCGTGAGAGTATTTTTAACTTTTCAGCAGTTACAGAATAATCAATCATGTTTACATTTTTATGTAGTAAAAACTGAGTGTGTCATGAAATTTTTCATACAGTTAAAAAGTGTTTCATGATATTTTTAACACAGTTAAAATTAAGTGAAAATATACTATTTTTCATTAAGTTTAAAACTGAGAGTAGTTTAATGATTTTTCCGCAGATATAGTATAACTTATGTTTTTTTTTTTTTAAATCAGGTAGTAAAACTAAAGGTTCACTGAACTTAACTTGATTGTGATTTTCCCTTTTTGCATGCAAATTCTAATCCAACACAAAAGTCTGCTGAAGTCATTACACTGGTGTTATTTTATGCATCAAAGGGTTGAATTTAATATTTATAGAGTGATTTAGAGGAGATGTCAGAATATCGGGATATTTATCGTGTATCGCGATACAGCCTAAAAATATCGAGATATAGTTTTTTGGCCATATCGTGCAGCCCTACTTTGAACCATTGATGGCTAGTGGAACAATTCACACTGCTGCTTTTGCACTAATTATGATTTATGTGCACGAAATAATTAGTACACAAAACTAAATTATGTTACACATACAAGAAAATGATCTTTTTACCAACTTGTGCAACATAAAGTTAATACTTTATTTATCCCATTTGGGAAATTCAGTCATTACGGCATTGCAAAGAGTATTTTACAAACAGACTATTGCACGAATGATGGCCATTGATGGCTAGTGGGTTCATTATTCCTGTTGCAGGGATAATGAATATAAGATAATCATTTGTGTGCAGAACCTCATTATCTTGTGTGGACAATACCACGACTAAAGCACATGATAAAACGATAACTTTACAGGACCTTGGGTGCTCTGTAGGAAACTGGAACACCACCTTTATCAAAATATGACTTGACCTTGTTTATGTAATTCAGTCAACTTCACAAACACACGTCATGATGGATATCATTACCTTCAGTGAAATCGCCTCCCTGGATCATAAAGTTCTTTACAACTCTGTGAAATGTGGAGCCTTTGTAGCACAGCTTTTTCCCTGTGATTTTGCCGGTTCCCTTTTCACCTGCAATCATATAAATGTCGTCTGAGATTCTTTTCATGCAACACATTTAATAAACCAGCCGCTGAGTGAAGAGCCTAGGTATGTACCAGATGCCTGAAGGTGTAAAGAAACATGAGCCTTGAATGCAGCCACATGGGATGTCTTATAAACACAGGAAAAGTAGTATGATGGAGAAAGATGGGGAGGGGGGTTTCAGTTAACTCGATACTTTTGTCTGAGGAGTGATGCAGACAGCAGGCAGACCACTGCTCCCACGCTTTTCACTCCTGGATTTTCTTACCTGGGAGAAAGAAGAGCCCTGACGATTTCACTACATGCATACATGTTGATGTGTTTCAGTGTGTTTTGAGATGACAAAAGGCTGCTTGTTCTTATAGCCAGCTCAGGTTGCTAATCTTATAGTGTTCTGATTCACTTGCTTCAGCATTGTTCCAGGGTTTTGGTTTCTAACCATGAGGACTGATCCTCACTTAAAGGACACATTAGTGACTTTAAGGAAGCCACAGCAAACTGCCCAGTGAGACGGAGTATCGTGTATTCAGTATATCACAGTGTTATGTTGTGTCTGTGTGTGCAGGAAGGAGCACACTAACAAACTATGGAGGGCTGAAAAATGAGAGGGAGGAATGACCAGCAATCTGCTCACAGATTTATGGCTATCTTTAGTCAAACCAACATAACTACAGTACACTGTGTCCTGCTCAGTGGGATGAAATATCCAGAGTGAGAGACCAGGACCCCCTCTAACTAACCAGTGACTCCATCTGTCATCAGACAATTTACACATGCTCTTTTTTTCCAGCATACCCACTGACCAAAGTAGAGGGTAGAGGATGACACTAAAGCTCTGATTTGAAATCTCCTTTACTGAATCACCGATTGTGATTTTGTGATAGAAGAGAAAAATTTGCGGTTCAATGAAACACAAACCCAGCTTGACTCAATCCCATAAAGTTATTTTGGTATGCAACCTAGACACCTGAACCACTAGTAAATCAACGCAGAACCAGTAAAATGATGCCTCTGCTTTTCATCATGGACAAAATCTTAGAACTAATATTTTTGTTTTGTTTTTAATATAGGTATATAGTCAAGCAACATGACAATTAGTTAAATATACGATTAAGTAAATACTGCAAAAGCATGATAGAGAGTTTAACGTGTTACTCACCAGTACACAAAGAAAGAAAGTTCTTGCTTGTCTTGGGACAAATATCTGAAAAAAGCTGGAAGACTATGCGCCCAACTAGAAAAAAAAAAACACAACATAAGTTTGCTTTAGTCTGCTGCTTTTAAAAATGAGGAGGTTACAACAGGTATTGTCATAAAACTTTGCTGTTATTCAAAACAATTGACAATGGGTTCTAACTTTAATAGGCACTGCAGGCTTCTGCACATTTTAATAGGTTTCCAACAATTAGGAGGACCTTGTGTTGACGCTCCGACATTACAGAAACTTTTCCATAGCCAGGGGCAAAGCTGGAAGCACTCTTAAGAGCATAATGAAGGATTATTTGCACTTCCTTACATAAATATGAATTAAGCACTTTTTTTAAGCTTGAGGCTGCTAAACTGGTCCTACTGTCTTCTCACTGTCTTTACATTAACGTCAGTTGACTCAGCTGCTGCTCTGAAAGTACACAATACTTGATGCTAGTCAAAAGTAGTGCAGGCACACTGCTTTAAGTATCACTCAGTGCTCCACTTTCATCTTGCACAAGCAAATTAAATAAAAAACCCTCCAGAAGAATCTCATGCTATAAACAACCTTCATACATGCAGTTTGGTCGACATTTTTCATGGTATTAGTTCAAAGCAGAAGGATATGAAAATGAACCGAGTCTGTTTACCTGTAAACTAATTTGAAATTCTCTTACCTGGCTCCCGGTTGAGCTCCACATCAAAGTAGCACTGAGGGCGGTCTTTCACCCCCATCGTGATCAAAGTTCAGATGACCTAAAATGTAGAGGAAGTAAAAGAAAAATATTGGCATGAAAAAAAAAAGACTTCCTCTTCTCAAAAAAGCTGCACTTATGTTGCTGTTTTTCGCCCTCGGTGTGCATCTACAGACTACAGCAAATTTAGCAGAGTGTTGGAAAACAATGTGGAGAGACGAACAGACAGTGAGGGTGGTTGGCAGAAGAAAGGGGTGGGGAGCGAGGGATGGGAGGGGAGTTAGAGAGAGAGACAGAGAGAGAGGTCTATAGGGACATGTACCAGCTATGCAAATCCACCCACAGCACTGTACTGCTTCCTCGATGTACATTTTCAACTCCACTCCTACAGTCTGCCTGGATATCACTGTGACAGCTTACAGACACTGAAATGTCACAAACTGCTGATACCACAGAGCCTGAACAAAACAGGCAGAGTGAGTGTGGGGCAGAAATGTAAGGTCTAACAGACAGTGGCCTGTTGTTTTGAACATTTCACTTTGAATTTTTGAACATGAGGCCACAAAAATGTGGGTAATAATGATATTCATAGGAAACCAGCAAAGGCCGTGTTGAGTTAGAGAGAATTGTTAAAGACTGATCAGGTTAGGGCCGCAGTGTAAACACAGTTGCAGCAAAAATGCATGCAGTATACAAACAGACTCCACAAAAATCAGCTGCAGATGCTTTGAACTATTTCAGCATCTCCTGGGAACTATCATGATGACCAAGAGAACTATTTTCTTGATCCTTGGAAAGAGGAAATAAATCAGCACCTAAACTAACCTTCTAGATCTAAATTTAGCCATGAAACTGATGGAAACCACAGAAACAGAGATGTGCTAAAATGCTGCAAAACAGCCCTGAGGAACTCAAAAAAAAGCAAAACAGACTAGTTTGTCTGGTTAATTTGAAGCAGTGTCTGTAAGCATTTAACTTCTGGAACAATGGAGCCATGTTGAGTTTATCTGCATCCCTCAAATCAATAAAACTGTATTAGTCGAAAGTGAAGCCTGATGGGGCTCACCATTTCTGCTGACATCGCTCAACTCAAAGACAAGAATGTACTAGAGCTGCAGAAGGGGAACAATTTGCTCTTCATTGACTATTTTTAAAAATTCTAATAATTAGCTGATCAAAAAGAAGTTTCTCCGTCACCCGTCTCACCCCTACAAAACACACATAAAGGTACAGTCCATCCTGCATGAGTGAACAGGGTGTATCTGATTGTGGCCAGCTAAAAAAAGTTAACGGAGAACTGAGGGAAAGTGATTCTTTTTCTCTGTACAGATTTTCTTCCACATATTTCAGGGGAGTTGAAGTTGAAGAGAAGTTCACAAGAGTTCAAAACACTCTGTGTATTTGCAAAAGGAGTAGTATGTAAACTTATTTATACCTTCGGAGACATGTGCTGAATTGAAATCAGTTGTTGTGGGATTTTGTGCCAAGCTGGCTTGAGCTGCAGTAGTGGGGCGCAACCTGATATCGATTCATGGGGGGCAGAATTTTGAGCAGCTCCCCTACAGCAATTTAATATTTTTGTAGCCTCATTCCTCTCATGTTATAAATAGGTCTTTTTAATGCACACAAATATGTATAGTCAGGTTGTAGAACTTCCCAACCAGGTGTAAACAGCAATTGTTCAAACCATCAACCTGATTTATTTGTTGAAGTACATCAATTAGCCAAAACATGATGATTCCCAATCTAATGCAATCCAATACAACATGATACATCAAACATTTCTGTTTATGATCATAAATAAGCTTTATGTACAATGTGTAATGCTAATCACAGAGACTAGCTGACCTTACACACATTCAAATGTGATCAATGAACTGATCCATCAGATATAATCAAAACAACCAGGTTAATGCTGATATAACAAAGTTGGCATCAACATTAGCCCATATTCAAGATTTACAACGCTAAATATGTACCAGTTAGCTCTTCATACATCACACACTGTACCTATAGCATTGTCGGTTTACTGTGATATCGAAAAACACATATCAAAAGCAAATTCGAAATCAATACCAAGACAGTTATCGATTACGACTCCACAACCGCTGGCTAACTGTGTTTAAACAATAGTTAGCGCAGGCGAAATGGTCGAGCTGGCGGCCAAGCTAGCCTCTGCTCGATTTGTCTTAGCCACTGAACTCTAGTCTCACTTATTATAGCCGTGGAGGTAAAGAAAGGGGTTTCTCAAAATGGAAACGACATTACGAACCTCGGTGCAGTAGCTAGCCAGACGATGTGCTAGTCACTGACGGCCGACAGGTAGCACGCGCTAACATCTCTTTTTAATGCGCGATAGCAATATTCCATCTAGTGTTGTGTCGTTCGCGAACGATTCGTTCAAAAGAACCAAATCTTTAGAGTGAAGTACTGCACCGAATCACTTCCTCGAGTGATTCGTTCATTTCTCACGAACGAGGAACCACATGCACCGACGCCTGAATCACTTGGTGAACGAATCACGCATTGAACTACACTCTCTGGAATCATTTTTGTCAGACAAAGCTACCTTTTTCTTTTTTTTTTTACTGTTAAATTGCCACTGCAACAACTTGCATACAATAGGACACAACATGTAACAAATAGTGCATTAAACCCACAGCATCCTATCATTGCAGCAGTTTGTGAGGGAACGATGCACGTTTAGTGTGAATTTTTCTTAACGTCCAGTGAACAAATCATTCACTGAGCCCACTTAACTGAGCAGATCTGATAAATGGCATATAATGGGACAGTACACTTAAAACATAAAGGCTGTGTCCGAAATGGATCCCTAACCCCTATGTAGGCGACTATATGGGGGTTATTGCCATTTTGAGGGGTGTCCGAAACCTGAGTGATCAATTCCAATGCCCCATATAGGTGACTCAAAATTTCCCATAGAGCATTGCAAAACGTAGTCACTCACTGGTGGTGGGCATCCCGCTGCACATTGCGTCTTGCCATGTAGTGTCCGAAACCTCCAGTGATTGAGCTCACTATATAGTGAAACCCCATATGGGGGTTAGGGGTTAGGGGTTAGGGATTAAGTGATTCATTTTGGACACAGCCCATGACTTTTGCCAAAGCAACACAGCCAAACACTCTTGTCTCCCAGCCCCAGGAACTATGACTTGAACTGAATCCTGAAACGTTCAGCTGTGTATCAGTTTAGGAGGTCGGGGGTCGTAAGTGTTAAGTGATTCAGTGATTTGTGAACGAATCTTTTTAGTGAACTGATTCTAGTGATTCAGTACATCTAAAAGAACTGCCATGCCCATCACTAACTCCAACAGATTCGCAGCAGCGGTTTTTGTCCCTCTTGAGCTTCCGTAGCAGATTTGTTGGGTTTTGGTGTGTATCCGGAAGAAGCCTTCAAGTTAGCTCGGAGGCTAATTTTAATACAACTTGTTACGCATGTACTATCGCAGGTGATCGGGGAGCTTTATATTAATCACTGATAACACAGTTGATTAAATCCCACTCTAACGCATGTTTTAAGCCGACGTGGACTATTTTTTTGCAGTTTATTTCTAAGATATGATGTTGTTGTTAGCTAACAAGCAGTAGCTAAGTAACAAGGTGCAACATGAGAGCCATGATAAAGAGGTCAGATTTTAACTTTACCTGTATTCTTTACCTATATCTGAGATATACTGCAGTCTGTTTGACTGATAGTGTTGTAAATTATGAGATTGTGGGTGAAAAGTCAGTTTTCTCTCCATCTCATGTAGGCAGTGTGTTCGTCATGGACCCAGAGGATCATGTCTCTGATCCTGTTTGCCTTCGTAGTTCGGGTCAGGGATGGACTCCCCCTGTCAGCCTCGACGGACTTTGAACACAATCGAGAGCTCCAGGAGAGGAAGCAGCAGCTCAGGACCATCAGCAAAGCACTGGCCCGGGTCCCCGACAGAGGGAGCATCAAGGGCCAGGAACTCAACATACAGTAAGGACTCAAAGACAAACATACATGTGTGCCACTGCAGGAACAGGTACATGATCCACAGAGGCTTACCGTTGTTCATGAAGGACAGACTGAATGTTGTCCATTTGATTGCAGGGGCCGTGTGGATATCACACTGTGTCAGGCTGTTTGTTTACTAAACACCTTTTTCTCCTCTCACCTGTTCAGCTTCATCTCTTCAGAGGGTGTATCCTACATGACCGTGTGCCACTGCAGCCTCCCTGTTGCTAAGGCCTTCTGCTTCCTGGAAGACCTGCGATGGGAGTTCACAGCATGCTTTGATAGCAATGTGGTTGCCTTGGCAGCCAGGCCGTATCCATTTTTGGAATTTGGTGAGTAGGAAGGCGGATAATGTCATGTCTATGTACTGATGATTAATGAAGACGGAAAGGACAAGCTTATAATAGCATTGAAACTTATGAAATATCAAGCATAACACCCACAGTTATGACTAAAATAACATTGGTTTGTTGTAATGTTACCCTGAATGATGATCCACAGATGGCACCATTCAGAAACTCAAGCAACAGTATAACCAGAGTGGGGGTCCGGCACTGGAGGTGACATTGGCTGAGGTCCAAGAGGATCTGAGGATCAAACCACCACAAGTCATTAATTTTGAGGATGTGGATCTCACCAATGGCACTGCTAATGGTCATGTTGAACCAGGTCCTGGATCCGGTAAGTTTGTTGACTTGACTTGGACATTATATAGGATGTTGAAATACAGTTTTACTTCACTACTCATTGTCACTTGAATTCAAATCCAAATTCAACTTCATTTTTATGGCACTTTTCAGATAAAAAATGTAGTTCAAAGTGCCTCACAGAGGCGAAAAACAACAATTAAACAACAAAATAAACCGGCCCACACTCCACACAACCCACACACCCATCCATGGACCCACACACAGCCACGCACCCACCCTCACTCACCCACACATGCACACACAAAGTGAGAATTTTAAGATATATTGTTAAAGAGACATGGCCTGACACCGAGACATTACTACCTTTGAGAAACACTGGAGATAAAGATAAAAATGGTAAAAAGAAAGACTCAAACCTGATGGACTAAAACAGAAAATAATATTAAATGAACAGACAAGTAAGAGCTCTTTACCATGTAAAAGGGGTAAAAGAAGTAAAAACCTCTATGACGAAATGAAGAAAAAGACTCAGAGCAGAGATAATTAATAAAATGACTTAAAAGAAACATTAAGAACTTCAATTAAAATGAACATTTGCAATAAGAGAAATATGAAAAGGCAATCAATGAAAAGCCTGGTTTAAAAAAAAAGTGAGTCTTAAGCCTCTTCTTAATAAATCTTCGTTACTCTGTGATGAGAAATGTCTGCCAAGATTTCTCCATGTTTGAAGTTTTGAAACTAGTTTTGTGTTCCCCGTCTTTTATCTAGGAGGTCAGAATGTAAGACTGGAGCCAGTGACTGCACCAGGAATCCTGTCTCTGGTCCTAAATATCATGTGTGCGTCTTTGAACATAATTCGGGGGGTTCACCTCATCGAGTACACATTCCAGGTACAATCAATGCCAGAACCCTTGAGTTAATATGTGTAAAGTGGTCGGTAATGTTGACACTTTCAGAGTTTAATTTCAAAGTTTCAGCATGTTCAGGCTTGTGTGAATTTAATATGAAATAAGCGGTCTTCAAAACAGGTTTAGACCTTTATCTATTTTAACATAATTTCTTTATTTACACAGGATGATTATGATGGTATATGGAATGTTGTGTCATTTCTTCTGGCATTTGTCTGCTGCATATTTCAGGTAAACAAACTTCACATTTGTAGCACACAACCTTTCCCTGAAAACTAATTTGCTCATATGAAACTCTTCCTGATCTCTCTGGTCTACAGTGCAACCTCTACCTGTTCCACTCATCTCGAAAGAAGCTGAAGTCCTTCACTCTGTTGACTATCATCATTCTATGCAACCTCTACCTGTTTGGCTTGAGGAACGTTTGGCAGCTGATCTTCCACATTTCAGTGGCCTCCCTCTCCACCCTCCTCATCCTCACCCGCAAACTCCAAGACAGGTCCGGTGACTGTGGGGTCTGAGGGGGGAGAGGAAACTTCACACTGCATCTCTAACAGGGAGGTGCATCTTCAGTTTTCAGTGCAGGTGAGAACCACATAGGGGGAAATACATTTGATCCTAAAAAAAAAATGACAGGGAGGTGGATTCTACTCAACAAACATGAACTCTGTGTCATCATGGAAATTTATAACTACAGGTGAATACTTTCTGGTAGACACTATGTTCTTGCACATTGTGTATATTGTTTCCGGGACTTGAAAAAGTGCGAAATTGCAGTATAGTATGGATCTTTTTATTTGTTTGTTCACATATAAACAAACAGGCAAGTTTGAAGGAGATGTCTGTGTTGAAAACAAGATATCAAATCTCAGTCAGTGCCATCCTATCCCAAAAAACTTTTTTGAAATGAAGGAATTTTTTGTCAGAACTCCTGACCAAAGGGTTTCATGTAGAAACTATGAGTTTTTTTATACAGCCATAACTGTTGTAGCTCTTCATGCTTGGGATTTTGTAACTATAGTGCATTTCTGCTCAGAATCGGCTCAGTATTATCTCTGCAGCTACTGACTATGGATTATATTTGCAGTTAATATGTAAAGTAACAGTTTGTAAACATCAACACAGCGTTCAGTTTAATCGAGCTTTTAGAGGAAATGTGTGTTTGGAGATAAGTGGTGGCGGTGTGATACTTTAAAGTGTTTTGAATTAAAATCACTGACACTCGAGCAGTCATTAATACAGCTGTTTATATCGGAGCTCTCAAGGCCATTTTAAAAACCATTGAAAAAGTGTAAATGTCAAGCTGTAGATTGTTTCATGCCTTACTCTGTTTTTCTAATCGTAATGACTTGCACAACGATACACCAGAGAGTTCTCAGTTTGTCTTTTCAGTGCTTCAGACCTAAGAGTTCAGTTATTTCAGTCACACTGAGGGGGATAATTTACCTGTAAGGCATGGTGTTCAGGAGTACAGGTGCACCTCAACAAAGTCAACAATCATGAAAACATTGCATAGCTTTCACCAGCTTCGTAAGTGATTGAAGGAGCTCCAACCAAGTTTTAATTATATACATGACCGCCATTTTACAAGTTGGACATTTTTATTAACTGATCGTATGAAATATTGTAATAATGTTGAGATACAGGATCACTTACTTTCATGATCTTTTTCATGAAGATTGAAATAAAATGGCGTGAAATATTTCACAACATCCAATACAAACAAAAAATAATGGAAGCCAACTTTTAAAAATAAGAGAAAAAAATGTTCACGGTTTGATTTGTTGAAATGCATCTGTATTATTTTGCTATTTACGACATAGAAACCCAAAAGTAAACCATTAAACTTCTTTTTTTTTTTTTACAATCATAATCAAATGAAGATGTCCCACTTTGAACATTTTTATGCTCTCCTTTTTGAATGTTAACTGTGGGAAGACATGGAAGCACTGATTCATGGGCACTATTGGGTTTAAATTATTTTCTTTTTGCGTGTTATGAAAATTGTTCTTGAATGTGTTCAGCTGAAGTATTCCTAATGGTTTCCCAGTTGATGTTTACCTGGTTCTTTTTTCTCTATTGCAGGGGTTTAAATAATGCCCTCTATTTAAAATCATGTGGTTGTAATTTGTGTTTGAATAGAAAACACAATACTGTAGGACTGCTGGTTAGGAAAGCTAGCCTTAACTCTCCTTTTAGCTAATTTTGTTGAATTTAGCTGTAGCTTAAAGTAGCTAAACAGTTGCACTGATGCCCGTTAAGCTAAGAAAATACGTTTTTACTCTGAGGTGTTAGTCTAAATACTCTTATGTTATAAAAAGGAATTGATAAATAGCTACTAGAAAGGAATTTTGACACAAACAGGTTGCCTCTTATATGAAAAAGTCTCTTGCTGCAGTAATTCGATTATTTCAGCTGTACTTCTCACAGAGAGATGAATCTCTGATATTTTCTCTTAACAGAAATATTTTAGCTGCATAAACAAAAGTGAGCCTCTTATCATGTTGTGAATTTCATCTTAAAAAGGTTGTGGCGTGCAGATATTTTAGCAGAAAGTCAGCCTTGTTAAGCCGTGTTAAACTGAGACAAAGGTTGTTAAAATGAGTTTTTTTTTCTGCAGGATTGACAGGAATTTGAAGACACTTTGCTAACAAATGAAACTATTTTCTACGTCAGACATTGGTGATACTTTTATTTTTGATACTGAGGACAGACTCACTATTTCCACAGTACATGCCAAACTGTTGGCCAAGTAGATTGTACAGCGGCATCAGTGTTTTCAGAAATAATGCGATGCACACTTTTAGATATTTAAAAAGAAAGTGAAGGACTATTATGATTAAATTGAGAGACGTACAAGTAAAACATGTGGTCAACCTTAAATAAGCTGTCACAAAACAGACTTCTTTATTTGTGTCCTTTCAGAGTGGCATAAAATCGGGTTGTGCGTTTAGCTGTTTGTAACAATGGGAGGTAATGTAACAGACATTTGTTGTAACTGCCAAATACACTGGAGATTGCAGGGCTTTACTTTGTTTGATTTCTCTTGGTGGTGAAACTGACATTTCATTAATAAATAGTGACTTTTTCCATTTCTTTTTGTTGATTTTGTGTGTCTACAATATCACCATTAACTCTACATTAAGATAATATTACCAACCCTTAATTATTTACCCTTCGCCTTACTTATTGCTTAAACTTGCATCAGATGGGACACAAACGGTAAAGTTACTGATGCATTTTCCCTTTTGGACACTAGATGGCGCTCTTCCACAATGCAACAACCTTATATAAATTGGTGTCATGAGAGGTGGTTGCTGTAACTTGTTGTATTTTGTTTGCTGATTCAAAATTTTATCAACATACTGTAATTAAAGTATTGTCAAGCTCTTATTAGTATATGATAGTATATTAGTATACAGCAGGGTAAAAAAACTACGCTAAGTTAGCTAGAATTCATATTATTCATATAAGCAAGAGCAGGTGGGAACAGAAGATACTATCATTAGATGGCACTTTTTAGCCATTCTAAAATGAGTCCAATTACCCCCTGTACCTGCTGACCCTGTTTTACATAAGTCACATTAAGCTTTCAACAGCTGGAACAGTGACTTCTAGTAAAATATGAATTCAATCTGACTTGAAGGTTACTGTGTTCATTTTAATTCAAGACAAATACTTCTCGTTCTCCTCATTTGTGAGAGACCAATTTTCTCAGTGACAGCTGAAGTTTAAGTTCTGAGAAAAACGTTTTACTGACACATTTTTTAGATACAAAGTTTAAAGTCATCTTGTTTAATGCTGATGTTCTTACTCTGTAAAGTGATCTTGAGTGTTCAGAAAGGCGCTTATAAATAAAATGTATTATGAAGTAAAAAAAAAAAAATCAACATTCATACGACATTCAAAGACGCCTCAGAAATGTCGCGCTTATAACAGAAAGAGAGGGCGTATGAAAATGGAAAATGTTAGCGTGAAGCCTTTAATCTTCCAGGTAAATGACTTCTACATCAAAAGACTGACCCGAGCTTCAGGAGACGCAACATTAAAGAGAGTAATCTTTAACCTATGATGTGTGTTTGCGCCAGCTCCCCATGCCAATCTTGTGGATTTCAGCTACAGGTCAAGATAGGAGCACACAACCTGGAGGTTAGTTGATAAATTCACTTATAGAATGAAAATAAGGTACTTTTTTTATCATGGTTTATTTTTTTTATTGTGCATGTTTATTGTATACATCTTAATTGTAACATCTGACCTTATCTTAATTCACATGCAGCATGGAGCCCTCTTTTCAGCAAAGCCTTTTAATAACAGAGGAGTCTTTTCCCCTTTTATATACAAATACATCTGCCTTGTGTGACATCTGACCTAAACGTATGTCACTCAGATAGATAAGCTTCTGTATAATGTCTGGAGACTCCCTCCCCCTAAACACTGGAGTCGCTTTGCCCCTCCTTCTCCTTATTGACACTGTAAAGCGGACAGTGTCATGTCATCAGCTGGAGCGCTTGCAGACTGTTTGTCAGCATTTTCATACACATAAAGGAAGGAAAATCGAGGTTGCAACCAGGATACAAAGAGAAAATGTCCCCAAGAGCATGAAGTGGCATCAGTCTCACTACAGTTCATCTTAATTAAACCATCAGCCGCAGTGATCCTCATTTGCAGGGATTAACCTCTTTTATCCTAATTGGCAGAAGCTCCTGCAGATGAGACACTGGCCTCCAGCCCTGAATAAATACAGTTAACAGCTTGGGTGGTCCGGCTCGAATGTTTATGGCTCACATTTCTTCCCCTCGCAGGCAAGTGTGTCCTCTGCTCCCATGAGTACACATAACAGCAGTCCTGTTGCTGTTTTCCATATAAATGTTTGCCTTATCACCCCCTGGGTAATAGCCGAATACAACTAACAAAAAGGAATTTCACAGATGATTTACTTCAGCATTGCTACTACTTCTGTCTCCAGTGAATGTGTCTCAATAGTGTGATGGTTATTACACACACAGATACACAGTGGGCTTTTTCCTGTCTGTACTCTTTATCGTCACTGACTGTGACAGGTCAGTTGCTCAAAGGCATGAATCTGCTCCCACACTAGTCAGACATTTCACAGTAAAGCTAATCTGTGTTTTTCAGCAGTGAAGGGGAAATTAAGCTTTAAGTCTGATATTTCAGACTAAATGATAAATAGAGAGGCTACTTGGTTAGCTGCTGGAGGTGGGCTAAAAGATGGAGAGTGGATGGGGTACTTAGCAGCCAGTGAAGTATAATTTTCACATGGAGGGATAATAATTGAAACATTGAGTTTAAAATAACTCATAAAGGGTTATGCTAAGAGTCACAAATAGAGAATTGAAATAGCCAAGAGGTTCTGGTTGTCCGCTATGAGTGACTTCTTCACATGTCTGCTCCAAGCCGCTGACAAAAAGGTTATGAACTAATGTTCCTTGGTTAAGCTGAATATGACACTGACTGCAGCCAATTTCAACTCACAGAAACAATTCTTGAAGGTCAAACCCTCCGCTGACATTTAAACGTGATGGCACATTGTCTTTGGGATTTCTCTCCAAGATGGTATGAAATTACTCTGAGCCTCAGTATATTCAATCAAGGTGAGTCACTCTGGAACCCACTCTGATCTATTTGATCTTGTCTCAGGTGCGTGCCGAGCCACTTGCTGGCAGCCCACACTTTGGAGTGTCTGTTCATTTTGAACACATCGTTCATCTCTCCGTCTCAGGGCCATGAGTGTACCAGCGACTGTGTGGAGGTCTCAAATGTCAAAAGTGTAAGAGTTATAACCGTGGATAGTCCTCTCTGTGCTTCTCTAAAGCAGAAAAATAAGAACTGATTTGTGGTTGCAATTAGGAGCCCTGGAATTAAACCAGCTTATCCATGCATGCATCTATACAACAACCATCAAGGCTTGACATAAACAGCAGCATTAACATTTACATGAAAATCTCATTTGTGTCCTAAAGATAGGCTACACTTAATCTGGATACTCGGGTTTGTGTTGGTCTAAAACAAAGAATCTGGACCCTTCCTTTGCTTCTACTCTTCCATATGAACACCTGACTGCATTTAGAGATACCTGTCTACTTCAATCCAATCGCTCCACCAGCCAGATCGTTCACGTGTTTGTCTTTGTTTCAAAGTAAAACGTCAGTGCAACATTTTAATTTAATATTCTAATGAAGACAGGAGAGGAAGGTGCATCACATATATTTATATTGTCAAAGACGTGAAGCATTGTTACCACACAAATGATTATTTTTAATTGAAGTAGCACTTATTCGGCAAATTATCATTAATATGAATGAATGACCTTTCAAAACGAAGCTTGTTTTACTATGCTCTGCCTGCATGTGCTTTCTGTACGTTAACAATGAATATTTTGAATGATAACAGCGGGAGTAATGAGAAAACTTTGCATTAACAATGAGTTATAAATGTGATGTTTTGACTCAGTGTGGTTCTGCAGCGCTCAAGGCTGTACAGCATGTCCCTGATGCTTATTCTGATGTTCAGCAGCTCATAAATCCAGAGTCTTTGATGTTCCCCGCTCTCTGAACCAGTGCATGAAATCACAAACCAAAGACAAATCAAATGATAAACTTTAATTACAAAGCTCTGCTGCTTTTTTGGGCAATATCAAAACATAGAGGAATTTGGTCGCCTTTAATACGACGCTCTTACGTTGAAGTTGTGAGAACAATTGATTGAAAAGAACTGAAAGCATTTGCTAGTTGGGATGTTTGGATTTCATTTTGCGCCGTGGGTTGAAAGCAGCCGTGGAAAAGCTTTTACAGGGGGAGATCAGTGCCATGCTGATCCATTTTAGAGGCAACACCGCCTCACAAAACAGGTTTAACTTTTGAAATGTTTGGAGAGGGTCTGCTGACGTGTTTGTCTCCTTCTACAATTATGTATAAAAGGGATGCCGACGTAGGTATACATTCAAACAAAGATAACCTCCACTGAAGATGAACCTCAGCATGAGAAAATACTCTCCATTCATTCAATTGTAATTCTCTTTTCCTTACATCTAATTTTTCTTCTCTGCTCTTAAGAAATTCAAGAACATGGAGATAGCCTGAAATGGACCCTTCTATCAGTCCAGCTCTATCCGCTCCTTTGAGCGCTATCTGCAAAACTCATAATGAAAATATTAAAGAGAGACAATCAGATGGAGGCAAAGTCAAGGTTATTTTCAGACGCCTGCCTTCCATCTTCATTTCAGTCCCTGTTATTCTTTTAAACATGTATTTTATTCATTGAACTGCACTGGAATTATTTTCCACTTTGAGCTTGAGTGGATTCATATTTGATATGTATGCTATAGTTTGAAGACACAGTGTTCTGGACCAGATAGAGCGGTGATAGTACATTGGATTTGAAGGGGCAGAATAATGGACATGCAAAACTTACCGTCTGTTCATAGGTAGAAATTCTTGAAGTAGTCACTCTCTATTTACATGATAAGAAATAATTAACAAAACATAAAGACTGCATCGTGCTAAGTGTACAAAAAAATGTACTATCACAGGACCTTCTGTTTCTGTGAGATACACACTTCCACCTCTCCAACATCACCCTGGAACTCCCCAAGTCAAACCAGTTCAGACTTCAACACAATGCAGTCACTTCACCCATGCGAGGCGGCACTTTGTAATCACTACATGACTTGTATTTTCCCTTACTGAATTATGTATTCATGTCAAAAGTGAGATCAAGCATCCTGTCATTGTGTAAATGTGCAGAACTATTTCCCCGGCTTGTTTACACCCTGGTTAAACATGAATCAGAGTGCAGCGCCACAACACTTTAGTCTGCAGAGTGTGTTGGAGATGACAGATCACTTTGATTTTGTATGTAAGTGCATATGTTTGAGGGATGGCGTTCTAATACAGTGCGGTGTGCATTAATCACCACCGTGTACTTTGGAAATCAAGATGAAAGTGCAGCGCGGAAACAATGCACCATTAGGGTCGAGGAGCTGAAGGAAAAATAACATCTCTGTGAAGCTGCTTTAATTAATTGATTTCTCAGTCTCAGTGGGACAAGTTGAAACAAGCTACAACCACAGGCGCCGCAAAGTCTTTGCATTTAAATTACATAGAAAACCAATAATAGAAATACAGCGGGGTGTTACTGTTCCTGGTGCTATGCAGTTGAGCGAGATACTCTTTTCATACTTCAGTGTTAAGCCAAATGTTTGTGCGTTTAACATTAAAATTATGCAACATACCATAAGTCTGGCTCTAGTAGACTGGCTTTAAATAGTTAAATGGGTAACACTTTACAATAACCATAACTTATAAATGGTAAATAGACCATTTGTAAATGGTTTGCAGATAGTTTATTAATGTTTAATCATCATTCATAAATAGCATAAAGACCATTAATAAATTGTAAATTTTACAATTTTGTGTAACCCTTAGATTTACATCCTGTCTTAACGCTCAGTGGCTGAAAAAAGCCACTGACATTGACTGCTGTAAAAACAAATTGGATTCATATTTTTTCCAGATTTTTTTTCATGTTTCATTAAGAATCCAAATTTTAACCCTTTAAGGACCCATTTAAAACATAAAGTCACTAATATTGGAAAAAAAATGGGAGGAAAATGACAGATTTTTATTAAATTTATTTTCTACCATATCAGTGACATTATGTTTTAAATGGACCCTCAAAGGGTTAAAAAAATGTTTTTAGATGAAACATTTACTAGTTTTGATTGAAGCAGAAGTTAATTATGAGATACATGAAAAAAATTTGGAAAAAAATATTAACCCAATATGTTTTTACACTAGTCAAAGTTAGCTGCTTTTTTTAGCCACTGAGCGTTAACATCGGATGAAAATTTGCCAAGCGCATATTTTTAACCTGGTGAAAATTTTGAAGTCATATTCTCAAAGTGTCTGTCAATATAAGCATCTGCACAAAAAATCATCCCATCAGCTGCAGTAAAAAAAAAAGTTACGTGGAAATCAGTGGCTAAATTTTGCCCCTAGTGGCTGATTTTAGCCGCAGCGTTACATGAGGGTTAAAAACCTAACCCTAACCTTAACTTAACAATAACCATCTAAGTAATGTTTATAGATGGTTTAAAACCAAATATTAACTATTTACAAAGTGCCACTGACACACAATTCAATCAAGATATTTTACAACCAAAATTCAAACCCTATATAAACCTTTATAAATAGTCCCTTAATAATGAATGAAAATTATTAATCCCAATTTTGTAACTATTACTTACATCAATGAACTATCTATTTACCATGTATAAATAATGGTTATTGTAAAGTGTTACCGTTAAATGTAAATAAAGTTCAAAGTAAAACCATTTCTTTTTACTTTTTTGGCAAATGCAAATGTAAAGATAACAGCTGAGTCAGATTCTCTACTTTTCTCTCTCCAATCCAAAAAGGCACTGGAGCAAATTCTGGCAACAAAGGTCAAAAGAAATTAATGACTTTTTCCTCCAGCTCTGCCTTTGAAAAAAGGGCAATCCTCTGATGTTGTTCAGCATGACTCCTGCCTCTATCTGTCTCCTCTCTTTTTGGCATACCGTATGTTTAATGAATTCTGACAGTAATACCTGTAAGACTTTCAAAAAACATTAATTTCAAAGCTCGCTGAAAGGCTTGGCTCAGACAATCCTGACAGGAATGATCAAATGCTGCCTAAAATTAGAATATACAACCTGAAAGCATTTGTATGTATTTGATCTCAAACACCTGGGCTTCAAAGTTAATGTTTTATGTAATTTAATATTTCATGCAGCGGTGTTCAACGTTCAAATCCATCTATTTACCATCATTACAATTCCCATGAATAGTTAATGGTATTATATGCACGCTCATTTCCACCTCATGGTTAGAGCTAATAAAGCCTTAGACCCAAAGCGGCTGATGTTGGAAAGCTGTGTTTGTTCATCAGTTTAAAGCACACAGAGCTTTGACTCGCCTGAACTTATCTTCGTGATACTCGACATTTGCAGTAAGAGGTCCAACACTTTCAAAGGCAGCAAGTGAACCGATAAACCCCGTGTGGAGCATGTGGGTGAACTCAAATATATGAGTTTTGTCTGTTTCATTGAAGTAAAATCAGTGGGTCAAATAATGTAACTGAGGTGAAACTGAAACTGAGAGGGATTGAGAGTGCTTTGATTTCTGACCAGAGGGAGATTGAGCCAGATCCTGTCCACTCTCTCTCTTTTTGCGTCTCTACTCTAGCTCTGAGTCATTTCTGACCTTTGGATTAATTAAGATTTGTGGCTTTATGTCCTTTCTGGCTTTTGATTGATCTCCGATTTGAGTGAAACCGTGTAAACGCTAAATAATCCAAAATGAGGGAGACTCGTTAAGCTTTCAGACACTTTTGTTTTAGTTAATTACTCTTGTTCTGAGCTACTAAGAATGTCTGAATACACATTGTTTCTCAAAGAACAAAATGTTCCTCCTCTGATAATACTACTACATATTTACCAGCTGAAAGTTAAAGCTGTGAACCTGCAAACACTAACGCCAAGAGAAGTCATTTTAAGGATAGCGAAGTGAAAAAGTATGACTAAATACCTGTCACTGACAGGGATGAGCGTATTTGCAAGTTGAGTTTAATAGGAGCTTTTCTGAGGGTGGTGTGAAGTTAGTCATAAGGCAGCAGAGAGCACTCATGAAAATAAGATAATGATAATAATAATGCATCTAATGCGCTTTATCAGAGACCCTCAAAGCGCTTTACATTGGATACATCATTCATTCGCTCACACAGTCACACTTTTTGGTGGTGGTAAACTACCTGCCCTGGGGCAGACTGATGGGAGCGTGGCTGCCATTTTGCGCCTACGGCCTCTCCGACCACCACCGCAAAACACTCACAATCATACACCAGTGGAGGACACACACAGGGAGCAAGGTGGGTTAAGTGTCTTGCCCAAGGACACAATGGACAGACTTGGGATAGAGGGGAATCGAACCGCCAACCTTCCAGTTATTGGACGACCGCTCTACCTCCTGAGCTACTGCAGCCCAAGATTCAGTTAAAGCAACAGTATGCTTCATGTGCCTGTCAGGGAGGATGCTAGTATTGTTTTTAAGTATTAAACTGTGACCACACCACATAAAAACCAAACCTCCACCATCTTGTATTTCTCTAAATAATTTAATGAAAACAGACGGAGTGGAACAATATCAAAAAATGTATGGCAAGTTGAATTCCTGTAACTAACACTCTCAACATACAATGTGCAATAAAATGAATAACAACCACAAGAAAATACAAAAAAAGGTCAAACAAACCCAGGTTTGTTTTTGTGTTCACAAATGTGATCTGATAAATAATACTTTCAGTACACTGAGGCTTTTTAAAGGTTTACATTTCACCTGCTAGACCAAAAACACCTGAACGCTCAAATCTTTATTTTACACAACACAATATCCAGTTTGCAAAAACACTAATCTCTATTACATAACCTGCTTTCTGAATACTGTTAGCACATATAAGAGCCACTGTTCATTTGATATCAATTTTAAATATAGATACAGAGACAATCATGCCAGGTTACCAGAACAAAATAAGATAGTAATACCTGTAACTTCTTTAAAAAACTCTGTACATTTGAATTGTTTCCCTTTAGTATGTACAGATCTATTTACATTCCACAGTTATTAGAGGTATAAGAACAAATTCACATAATTACATTTACCTGTACTGACAACAGAAGACAGACACCAAACAATGTGAAATAAAGAGTCTTTACGGGAATTTCACTCCCAAAGCTTTACATTTACCACAAGGCCAGGAGCTAGTTAGCCTAGCGTTACAAAACACTTTGAAGCAATAAGGAGATATTAGAGGTAAAATGGCAAATTGACATAATTACTTTACTGACAACAGAAGACATACACCAAACAATGTGAAATACTGAGGTCAGATACTGAGGAATTTAACTCCTAAAGCATGAAACAAAGAACTAAAGTAGACGGTAATCTAGCTCAGCGAAATAATGTGTAACACCAAAGGTTAGTAGAAAAGATCTTTCTACTGGTATCTTTGTAGCTTATTTAAGTTATATTTCATTGTTTATCTGAAAAAAGAAGCAGATTTACAGATGTAGCTTATTTCTTGCACCAGATCAGCTAGCTTAGTTGGTTGTCTTGAGTCAACATGGTTCATTACAGTTTATTTGGACTAGATACAAGTTACTAAACATAAAGAACTAAAAGTAACCTAAATTGTGCTGGAAAATAGATTTATTTTTGTTTTAACAGAGCTGTTCCCACTGGTTTCACGTTTAAGTGCCAACCTAAGCTAACAGAGAGCAGTATCTGTCCTCTTTTGTAATCCTTTTACAGACGGTAAAAACATTTATTTTCCACAACGTCTTAGTCACCAACATAACATCCACTATCAAAAGCTTTTTTTAATCGACAAAGCGTGTTTTCTTTTCTCTTTTTTATGCTTAGCTAGCCTGTCTGACCCTCCAAACCTGCACTGGGTTGAGGTTACTCTTTCCTTGCAGGTGACGCTGGACCGTCTGGACGTTCGCTCTTTGATGCACATGCAATTGACTTTCAAGTCTAAACTTGTTAGCAAAAAAGCATCCTGATCGCATCGTTGTGGCAGGGCCAGTCATCCCTGTCACCTTACTTTGCATTTCATACCAGCCCCCAATGTCTCTGCTTTATTATTAAAGTAGGTACATGTTCAAAGTCCTCTGGTGTAGAAGATTAAACCTGACAAGTCAATGGAGATTTCAGCTAACATTTAATCTCCCAAAGACTCAACAATGAAGCTTCTCTGTGTGCCTGTAGTGTGATGAAGTGCGTTTTATTAAGCTGTTAACATTAAGCCACAAACTGCTTCATAAACAAGCCCGTACGAGAGAAATTTATCTCCCTGGAAAAGCTTTAAACCCTACATGTTGCAATAATATGAGCAAACAACAATTACAACAACCACAATACAATCGCTGCAACAGAACAATCCATAATTGTTTTACGCTGTGTATCTGTCTGTACAATGTTAAATGACTCCCTCCATGTTAATGTAAACATTCAAAGGCTGGATTGCTTAAAGGCATTTCCTCTCCATGGTTTCTGTGCGGCTTTAGAGCCAGCAACCATTTGATTGAAAGTATCACTTAAAAGAATACTGAAACAGACTGTTCCCCGGTTCAGAGAACAAAACTGCATGAGCACAAACTTCAACTCTGTTACAGGCCTAGAGTCACTCAAAACAAGAGGGAACTGAACTAATAAAAAGAAGTCTCTCATGAGAGTGATAGTGCAGAAAAGGGCATGTGTGCTCCAAACCCGTCACTGTGAATCAGCTTCACATTGGTCAGCCGGTCTGAAGTCTCAAACTGGCTTTTCTTCCTACAGTGAAAGGAAATCAAAATGCTGCACACTTTGCTTTTCGTACTTTCCTACACGTTGCTAGGGATAGGTGCTGTCCTGTACTTTTCATGTCTTGAAAAGTTGCTGCACACCTCTGCTCTTCTGCATGCTGTGTCTTTGCACAAGTTTTAATCGTGGCCCTGCAGGAATCCACAGAGTGATTTTCAATCAGCCAATAATTACATCAGATTGTGGGGCTAACGGTACGCTTCACATGTGGATTTCTCCACCTGACCCCATTAACATGTGACATTCTCCACTGCCTAGGAAACTGAATCACAAGTGGTCCGATGATTCATGATTATGTGACACACAAGTTTCTCTGTAAATGTGCGCTCCATGAAATAATAAGACGGAAAAAAAAACGGTTATCCTTTAAATGTGCAAAAAAGTGAGTAATGCATTGTTGTTTTTTTTGTCCCTATTCAAGATAAGGAGCAGATTGATGTTTTATATTAACTTTCTTTTGTTCACATGACACTCAACCAAAGCATCAAACAAGAGTGTGCTCATAAGGGAGAGTGTGTGTTTTATTGTGAAGATTACATATGCTCCATCTTTTCTGCCTGCTGTTTGGCATGAGAGCAACCTCAACAGCAGGTATGTCCTCTTCCCTGTGTGTGCGTGCGTGTGCGTGTGTGTCTGTGTATGTGTGAGTGAGTGTGTGTGTGTGTGTGTGTGTGTGTGTGTGTGTGTGTGTGATATGTTTTCATATGCTGGACAGGTCGTCATGACACGAGGACGAACAGCGGCGCGTTTTGGGGCTGCAGCGCGTCAACATGGTGATCTGAGTGCTGAAGTTGTTGCTGCTGCCGATAGACGGATGTTGGTACTTGGTGTCGGAGCGCATGTATCTCTGCAGGTGCCATCTCCGCCACTTCCTCTTGATCTCTCCTTGGACCTGCAGATTTTTTTACAGTGAAGGAAAAAAAAACCAGTTAAATGTAGTCTGAATATTTTAAACATGTTTTTTTTAACAGCTTTGGCCAGAGTGCAGAGAGAACTTGGTCGGCTTGTGTAAAAGCTATTTGGTTGAAAGATTTAAATCCTCCACAAGCTGAGCCTCTGTAACTCGCTATGACACCAAAAGATATGAGCAAAATCGAAGACATGAAGAATTATTAGACATAAATACAGAATGATAGTTTATTTTCCACTCTCATTTTTTAAGCACACAATGCTCAAGCACAAAAGAGAAAGAGACGCATTCAAGGATTGCTCTGAATGTATGATGTATTGTTTAAACCAACTAACCCAATAACGAGAAAGTACTATTGTGCTACTTCATATCTATGCTTGTCTAATGAAACAATGATTTAAATAGCAGAAGAGCTTTAAACAAGATGAATCAGCAGCAAAGCTTTTCTGCTTCCTCCATTGTTAACCCGAGAGACCTTCGCTGTCTTTTGTCCACATTCATGTAAGCAAATTCTGTTTTTGGTGTATCACCGTGTACAGCAACATCTTGATGTACCAATATTATCTCAACAACAATGCACACAATTCAAGGACCACAAACCATTCCTGGAGGCTGGACCAACTTAACAATTTCACTCATCCACACTTCAGAGGACACCTGGAAATTGTCGCAGATTAAAATTCATGCAGCATAGTATAAGGGCTTGCCATCCAGCCCATCATTGTGATTCAATCTGGCCCAACTTCGGGAACATAACTAATGTGCCCACGGAGAGCCTCTGCAGACAGGACTGAGAGTCTCCCTGCCAGAGAGGCTGAGCTTTTTACAGCCCTCCCATCCTGCAGGCAGAGCGCATGGAAAAAAAATATGCCACTAGGGGGGGAGTCAGCCTGGCCGGCCAGAAAGGATGACTCATAATCACATCTCCACCCACCTTTTCAGGACTGTGTGTGAATGTTAATGGTGTACTGTGGGGGACTGTGGGCTATCTGCGCATGGGAATCTTGAGGTTTGAACAGAGTATTTACACAAACAGTGTTTATATCTCAGTGAGGAGGGGGACACCTACCTCTCCGTTGAGGAAGCAGTAAAGGACTGCGACCACAAATCCCTATATGGAAAGAAAACCACAGATTAGAGAGCATTAACGGACTGTCACAGTGAAAGGCTTTGTCTTGACATCAATAGCTAATGCTAATTAAAATGGATTACACAGGCAACAATGCACACAAGTCCTGGTCTATAAGAGAAGGAAGGATGGGAAGAACAAAGGGAAAGCACTGGAAAGAGTCCAAACAGGCTGTAATGCCCTCTGTCTGCGTTCTCCATCACTCCTGATTTTGTGATGAATTGAAATAACTCCAGGGTTTGAAACAATAACGCTGCCACTGAATCAGGGAGCAAAGTGCCTGGAGACCTGCCACAGACTCCTGGCAGGGCTTTCTTTAATAAAGACACTAGCAGGTATTGCCTGACAGGGCGCCAAATCATTACGTTATCTTTAGGAAGTTCAATTTAAAAGTCTGAGGTTTTTCTGAACTTTTGATTAATGTTTCAAAGTTTGTTTGTTTTGTTTTTTTTTAGAAATTTTGTCCTTTATGGATAGGACAGCTGACGAGACACAAGAAATGAGGGGAGTAGAGAGTGCAAGAAGACAGGCAGCAAACAACACTGGCAGTCGAACACAGCGACCGCTGCAACAAGGATTACAGCCTCTATTCAAAAAATCTAAAAAAATGGGTGTCCTGAAAAAGTTCCTGCAATTTAATAAAACATGAAACTTCCATGTATTCTAGATTCATCTCACACAAGGTGAAATATTTCAAGACTTTTTTTGTTTGAATCTAGATTACACTTATGGGTAAAAATAGTATTTTGGGGGGCGATCTGACTTTTTTAACTATATACGGAGTACCCTCAAACCCTTAGGCCAGGGGTGGTCAATCATGTGCCATGGAGCGCTGAGAGGCTGCAAGTTTTCTTTCCAACCCAAAACTCCACCAGGTGATTTCACTGATTACCTTACCTCCAAGCAGAGAGCAGGGACTAATCAGTGAAATCACCAGGTAGAGTTTTGGGTTGGAAAGAAAACTTGCAGCCTCTCAGCGCTCCATGGCACATGATTGCCCACCCCTGCCTTAGGCCAACAGGAACCCAAAGCTTTTCAAACTGTAAAGGACTGGTGAAAGGATGACTTTAGAATCACTTTTTTTAATAAAAAGTCGGCATCATACCTGAAATGATCCAAGGATCAAGTCAAAAACCAGCCGAAGCTCAGTCTTCACCTGCTCTGGGATGAATGCAAACACGATAAAATTGATGCCAAACAGAGGTATCAAAAGCAGCGTTGATTTTGCCAGTCTCCTGAAACAACAAAGCAAAAACAGATAATAATGTCTCCCTCCGCTGACAACCATTTTCCACTCTTTTTCTCCATATGCCAATAATGAATGCATCTACTGAGTGCTGTTCATTTCACGTTTCAGCACAGAGGAGCAGATTGAAAAAATCTCTGTTAAAAGTGACAGAGGGAGAATAGCTCATGCATTATAGTTGGCACATGAGATGGAGGAGATCACATGTAGATCTCCTCAATATGACTCATTTCCTTGAGCAAGGACGTTAAACTTGCTCATAAACCTTAAACACCTCAGAAAAGATTAAATTTACAGCCACAGTTGTACTCATAGAACAAATAAACCCCCTGCTTTCTGTGTTTAATCTTTGTTTACATTTCTAAATAATCATAATTTCTACAGTGTTGTACAAATTCAAGTGTAGGAGGAATAATGATATTTCATATGATGAGTGTAAGAATGAAACTATACTCACGAGTACTGGTTGGACTCATTTCTTCCAATATCTGGGCAGTTGATTTTCTGGCGAAGTATCCTTATAATACAGATGAACAGAATGAAGTTCATCTGTGGAAGATGTAGAAATAGTGTAAACGTGACAGCATTTTCTAATAAACACTGATATAATTTCAAGTTTGATTAAACATGCTTCTCATGTTTGACAGATGCTGAGGAATATTTGATATGCTCCCCACTACAATGTCATGTTGCTGTATTTCATCTCGCATCAATTGGATTATCTTGCTACCCTGCAGGAAAATTAACATTTCTAAATAGTTCATTTGTGTTGGACTTCAGAACTGGCAGCAGAATAAAGCTCCACACATCAATCTGCTGCTGCAGAGGGGAGAGAGAAAGGAGAGAAAAACAGAGAAAGAGACAGACACGGGGATCTGACAGCCAGGCTGCTGATCCTGATCTTAATCTAAAAAAAACACAAAGTAAACGAAAACCTGCTGAGCCAAAAACCGAGCACTGCCAAGAAAAGGCAAAAGAGGACAAAAGCAGCTGATAAAAGCCGACATTATCTCTAAAACTGTCTCTAAAATATGGAGGTAGAAAATGTAGACACACTAGACAGCTAGTATGTTGGATGTAAACTCAAAGGCAATGCAATATGCTAAACTACTAAGTTATCTGTTTTTCTACCTGGTGTTTGATTCACAGAAATAAGTCTTTTTTTCGTTGTTGTTTTAATTTTTGATAATTATGCTTACAGCAATTATAGATTTTACTTTCCACTACAGAGTTTGGCCCAAATCAAAATAAGTGTCAATTAGTGGGTTATGGGTCAAACTATAGCCCAGCTAACTGATACACTTTGTGTTTTACATTGAACCATTTTAGAGCTGCTGTGGAGAAGATCCTTCCCCAAGATTTGGCCTGAGTCAGGCTAGACTTTACACTTAACAGAAATGAGAGTGTTTTCAATCACCAAATAACTTGTGGCATGACAAAAAAATACAAATACTGACACTCATACAAGACTGTCACAAGACTGACTTATTTTCAGCAAAGTTAAATTCAATAAACTTTGCTAATAGACATAGTTGCCATGTTCTTGACAAACAGCAGGCTTTATTTTCTTTAGCTGCCATTTGTTTCATAAAATAATCTAATAATCTTTTAAACTCGCAAATAGACAGGCAAAAGCCATAATGACGCTGGGGTTAAATGAAGATTAGGGCGACCCTGTTATGTTCTTAAAACAAACCTACTTGATCGTGCTGCCAGCCTAAGTGAAGTGAGAACTTTGAGGTCGTGACAACCTCTCAGGGAGAATTTTACACAGTGAGAATACTAAAAAGAAGCTTTCACGCCAAAAAGACTGATGGTAATAGAGGGTAATGTTTTTCACTCTAAGTGACGGCTGATTTTTCTTTGAACAAATTTGGCTTCACATTGCCGTGATGTTGATGGACTGGAATTGAAGAAAAATAACTTTAAAACCTACCAGGATTGAGGCTAAGATTGGGGTTTTAATGATCCACCAGAAGACATCTGTGTTTTCAATTATATCCCAGCACCTGTGAAAACATGGAAATAATATTCACCTTCTAGTTGTTGCAAATCAAAGCTTATAAGAGATCAAATCCTGGCACTGGTCAAGCAGTTGCCTTGAGTTTTTCTTACCCCACATCGTTATAGTAAGCTTTAGCGATACTCCAGGCTGTGATGAAAATTGTTGGACCTCCTGGAGGCATAAAAAAGATATTGAAGTATAAGCATGAGTTATTACATCCCAGAGGTTGGACCACACGACCTGTAATTCATCATCAGAAGAGAAATGCAACATCACAGCTTAAAAGGAAGACACTCTCACCCCAGCCGATAAGGATGTAAGCCCAGAAGTACTTCCTCTCAGAGAAGAAAGAGACAGCCAACAGTGCGTGAAGATATAGTCCCTCCACCAACAGCCAAAAGAAACTGGCCATTATACAGTACTGGAAGAACACAATGACGACTTTGCAGCCAACCTAAGAACACACAAATAACACAGAAGGATTACTGTCCTAATTCTCTCAGTACTGCATACCTCCACAGGAAAACTGCCATAACTATGCACTTAAAGTGTGCAATTTTATCTCTATGGAAGCAGCAACCAGTTAGAAAATGGAAAAGTGCCCTGATTGACCACCTTTACATGAGGGCTGCTTCTATTTAAAAAGTCGATCCCGTCGATAAATGACACGGACAAAGAGTCCCACACCTCCAAGAACTCGAACAGCGAGGGCAGCACAAGTTAGCTGACATGCTGTGCAAACTGCAGCTCAATTAAACCAAGCTCACCTCTTTGCTCTCAGTGCATAGGAAATTATAACAGGCTAATTACAGGGTATTAAAAAAGGTTATTCTCCTAGTTTTACATGGAAAAAGCTGTAGCGAAAATGTCATGTATGTCATGATCAGGGTCAAGTTATCTTTAATTTTTTCATTTCCTGTCTTATGTCTCCTGTGTGTTTTATTTTAAAGTCACTAACCCCAGTGTGTTTCAGATGTGTTCCTGTCAGCCCTGCCCTCTGCCTCCGTTAAAGGTGGGGCTGCTGGGCCACCACCCGTTTTTCTGGCATCTGCCCTCTTTCTGTTTGCTGAGTGAAAGTCTAATATTGAGTGTAGTGTGTGTTAGTTTAATATATGTACATATACATACTGAGAGTTAGTTTAATATTCCTAATCATTTAACGGAACATCATAGAGAGTAAAATTCATTTTTGAGTGTGAAAAGAGCATTTTTAAGGGATCAAACTGCCACTTAATACTTACTTGACAATGTAAAACATGATCAAAATGATTCAAGCAGTTTCCCTGCAACAGTCTGTCATTGTGATGGCACGAGACTAGATTTAAAGATATGCATTGACGCGAGCAGCGATTTCCTCCCAAGCCCTCTCCCTCTCCTTTGCAGCTGCTGCTGTATTGCACTTTCTTCTAAAAACGTGCTGTAATTCGCTGTTGGCTTGCTGCTGCCCCCTCCTTCTCCCTGTTTCCATTGGTTGATCATTGAATCTGCGCTCCACAGATGCTGGCTGTTTATGTCTGGCGTGCACGTGCTTAACTCCAGGTCAAACTACTCGGAGTTGTTAAAACCGTCTCAAATCAGGTGTTGTGAAACCGGAAACTCAGAGTTTCCTAACTCAGAGTAGATCAACTCAGAGTTAAGGATTTAACTCAGAGTTTGTTGAACCACCTACGTGAAACGGACCCCTGGACTGTTAATAAACGTGTCTGCATTTGAGTCTCTAGCCACAGTCAGTTCCTGACAATGTATTTCCCAAAATAAAAGTGTAAATTTACAAAAAATGGAGAAGTAAAATCGAGTGAAAAAGGTGAATTGTAGGTATTGGTCTGTATTTTATTTCAGTGGGAGATATCAGTGGAACAGACAGTTGCGATTGACATGAGAAGGACACAGCAGACCTTTGTGTGCAGACAGGTGGAAGCACAGGTGGAAGTTGGGTTAGGGCGGTGGTTCTCAAGTCCAGTCCTTGAGGCCCACTGTCCTACATGTTCTGGATGTTTCCCTGCTCCAACACACCTGATCCAAATGATCAGCTCGTTATCAAGCTCTGTAATGGCTTAATAACGAGCTGATCATTTGAATCAGGTGTGCTGGAGCAGGGAAACATCCAGAACATGTAGGACAGTGGGCCTCCAGGACTGGACTTGAAAACCACTGTGTTGCTTTTTGCTGGGTCCTTTTTTAGTAACTATATAAAAAAAGACTTTCTGAACTTTAAAAATGTATAATATACCACTCAGTTTGCCAAACTGTCTCTGGTTCAACAAACATTTTAGGTCGCAAATGATCAAATAGAGGCTCCATATCCGTCAGACCAGGGGAGGAAAAAGCCAAAACAAAAAGCCCAGAAATGTCCCAGCAGATGTTTCAGTGAAAAACAGACCAGAGAGGGACATTGAAACAGCCTGGAGAGATAACACAATCAGCTCCTCTCTGGTTTTTCAAAGCGCTGAGCATGTTGAACAAGTATGGGCTTCATTTTTAATGGTTTTGGTGGGCTGTGCTGATGTATTGAGGTCTTTCACAGCCTCTGGTTTATGGAAAACACTCACACTGTATAGGTCTAAGGTTAGCCAACTACAAGCTGTTTTAGGGACGAGCGCTCCAGAGATCCTACAGGGAGGGCATCACTCAGATGAGGAAAAAAAAAATCAATATTGTGCTCATTTGAAAAGGGTGGATGTGTTTACAACATATGAGAGAAGGGATAAAAAGAGAGGGAGGTAAAAGGACAGTGCTGTTAGGATAGACTGAAGCACATTAGTTAGGTATATATTCAGAGAATGATGAGGGATGAAGAAGAACAAAAAAAAAAAAGAGTGAAAAAGGGGGTAAATACTGCAATGTTTGTATTCTGTCAGAGACTAAATTCAACCCATCAACACTGAAGATGGAAAAACAAGTCATGACGTAAACAGGAAAAACACCTCACCATATGTCCCATCATGAAGTGCTCCAAATGATGAATGAGAAAGAAAGTGCCGCATGAAAAATGAACTCAGGTATTTAAAGCCGGAGCTTCTGCAGAAGAGCGGGACACTTCGCACACAAGCTTCATGAATCATGAATGAAGTCTGAAGAGGTGCACCTCAAACTGCATCTCATTCACACCTCAGTGGAGAATTTTTAAACTTTTTCCAGGATGATGCTGAGAGTTATTTCAGAGTATCTTTTGGAGACTGGTTGCTGAAGCAGTGCTGGTGAAAACTATTTTCGTTTTTTTAGACTTCATTTGAATTACAATAAGTTTTTTTTTTTTTTGTCATGAGCTGTTTTGTCCCTTTCAGCGCATCAGTTAAATAACCTTGGCATCTTCCTACTTCTCACTGCTGCCATGATGGAAAATGACACCACTACCACTTTGTGCTTTTGAATGGCACATTTTACTTTAAAGGCTCTTTCTAATGTCCTTTCTGTGATGGTTTGGAGTTACACAATAAGGGAAGGACCCAAAATGCAGAACAAAATTTGATTTATTTAAAAGGAACTAAAAGAAAAGCAACAAAAACTTACTTTCAAAATGGTCCAACCAAAAAAACATCCCAAAGAGAAGCAAAATCCAAGGAACAAAAAATCACAAGGAGACACTGGCATTCACAAAGGTTGACAAACACACACATTCACAATGAACCAACAAAAAAACAAGGGGCGACAAGGGCTGTGTCCAAATGGATCCTTGACCCCTATATAGGCGACTATATGGGGGTTAGCGCCATTTTGAGGGATGCCCGAAACCTGGGTGATCAATTCCAACGCCCCATATAGGCGACTCAAAATTTCCCATAGAGCATTGCAAAATGTAGTGACCATCCGATGGTCACTCACCGGTGGTGGGCATCCTGTCATGCATGGTGTCTCCAGCGGCAGTCTGAGCAATGACGTCACAACGGTGCACCATGTAGTGTCTGAAACCTCCGGTGATAGAGCTCACTACATAGTCAGCTATATAGTGAAATTCCATATGTGGTTTAGGGGTTAGGGATTGAGTGATTCATTTCTGACACAGCCAAGAACTATACACACTCAGGGAAACGAGCAACGAGTGGCAGGTGAGACACTGAGACACAGGTGCAGACAGTTGCAGAGGAGGGAAAACTAAGGAAGTAAAGCAAGACTAGAAACACAGGTAATAACTACTACAAAATAAAACAGGAAACACTGAAAACAATCAAGAATAAAACTGAGAACATGAGGGAACTGGGGTCAGACACAAACTGAAAACTCACAAGACAAGACTATGGGGGAAATTCATTAAGAAAGTACGCTCAAAAGACCAAAACCAGGGGAAAACTAGATATCAGAACATATATCATGTCACTTTCTTTATCTGATGAGGTTTTGTTTACTACCTGACTTTCTGGCATTGCATCCAAGCTGTTCAACCACCAGCTCAAAGCCTGGTGTGCAAACCGCTATAGTGTGCATGTCAACAAAGAGGGTTGGGTGATTTCCAGTTACCCCTTCTGACTGAATCTACAGGGTATCAGGAGAGCCTTTGAAGACTCCTAATCTTATGCAACCCAAAAATCTGTTTACTTCTGCAGCCATCGATATAAGGAAGATCTTCTGAGCCCCTCCAAGACTCCTTGACATCTGCTCTGTCTCTTGTAAATGTTTGCTTGCTAAATCAAACATGCCTGGAATTCTTGTAAAAATGTACACATCCTCGATAAACTAACATCCTGTGTTGGTTGTCCGCATCCACTTCTTGTACAAGAAGGTCAAGCAGCTGGAGCTGAGGCTAACGGGGTTTGAAAGACTAAACAAATTAATTTCTACTTCGCATGTTACAGGGAAAACAACATTGACCTATCTGAGCTGTATAGACCTTTGTACTTGTTATAATGTGTGCAAATCAGTGCAAATGTTCACCAGAGCCTCACTGAAGTGTGTCAACAAACGTGGTTAGGTGTCCTAATTCATTCATATGTTAAAGGCTTCCCTATATGAGGATTATATCATTTATAATCTAACAGGTCATTTCAACATACATCCGCCAGATGGATAACAAACAAAGCATGTAGAGCACATACATAGAAAGTAGCACTGAAAAGACTAACATGTGTAATGACAGTCACATAGATGTCAAGAGGAGGACTCCTTCAGCCTGTGCAAGAGAGCTTCTGGTTCATGTCAACTTAAAAGGAGCATTAACACAGCTGGCCCACTGGTCATGTGGCCATATCATGGACCTTGTGGGCCTATCTGTGGCCTCAGTGGCAGTTTAGTGGCGTTAGTATGTAAAGCTGACAGGAAGAAATCCAAACATTTCGGTTTGATATCTCTCCAAACACATATGAGTTGTCAGCTTGAAGTATACAAGGGCAGCCCTGCTCCTTTGGCTTCACGTCATCAGCTGCTGTTAAATGCTGCTTTCTCTACATAATAATAATAATAACTTTATTTTTATAACACTTTTAAAAACAGAAGTTTACAAAGTGCTTTGACAAATAGTCATACAGCGCAGAACGTCAGCGCATGGAAATAAAAACGAATAAAAGCAAAAGCTCAGTTAAAACAAGGTCTCCGAATTGAAGGTCAGTTTCATTTGTCATAAGAAACCCAGACAATAAAAGAACCCTGCAACATAAAATGAGACCATGAGGACCAAAATAAAAACATAAAATAGGTAAGAAAAGAAATGTAATAAAACAAGAGGGGGTTGACAGTATTTGATGTACAAATTCAGTGATAGCTTTGACTCATGGGTTAACAATAAACTCACTGATAAAGTAGCCTACTGTCAAACACAGAGCAGTCACATAACTGTAAGCAAGGAGGCTATAGGTCTGCCCCATCGTCACCTCTTGGCCTCTTGCTTGATCGACCAAAATTTAGGTGAGTCAAGATTTCTGGTAAGGCGCCACCATTAATTGGCCAGGATGACGTCACTGTAACTGTGTCCATGTTTTTTTTTCCTGATCAGAGATTAGCAAAGGTCACAGCATCGTGTAATTTTCTTTAGACAGTTCTTGTCGAAATAAGAGACAGAGGACTTGCCAGGCCTGTTAATTAAGATTTCTTTAGTGCACTAATAGAAAACGTTGCTCGGTCAGTATCAATTTTTCCTGGAAAAACTCATTAACTGTTTCACATTAGTTAGATTTAAAAGTAATTCCAAGGTGACAGGGCTGCCCGTCTGGTAATTAATGTTTTGACTCATATAAACTGTGTTTCACAGCCAGAATCAATACAACCAAAGCACAGTCGCAGCGCCTGCAAAGCCCAAAACCATCCTGTGGAGTTGAAATCAGAGCAACAATCTGCTTCACTCAAACTCTACAGCAGGACCACTTCTCATCCTGTGGTCATGATCAGCAGCAGATATTAAGTAAAATTACGTTCTATCACTGCTCAGCCTTTCCCCTTCAATCAGAGGTTTATACGAAGGAATTTTAAAGACCCATAAATCTCTCTGGATACAAAGAGAAGCGAACATATTTAATAGTAAGCAGAGACTCTTTTTTTACATGCTTCTGGTAAAAAGTAAGTGTCCTTTATTCTGGTCCTCTATCCTTAAACTTTCTAGCTAATTAACTAAACATTACTTTGAGCAGACATTCAGGACACAATGACAAGACATAACTAATGAGTCTCAAAGCTGGATTTCTCCAAAGGGACCCTCCTCCAGACGTGGCCCCAAGGTAAGGCAACAAATTAGGACCCACCTTTTGTCAGGCAATATTTCTTGAGTGCTGCATACTTTATCTCTAAATCAAAGCAAAGACAGCAGGGAAATTGAGTGACTCGCAGAGGAGTGATTCCCTGCAGTTTCCTGGTTGGAAGCTTTTACTTATTTATAGTAATACTGACGTGAAGCTAAACTTTTCCTTGATCACGTCCTTGTAAAAACATAAATTGGAGTAAGACAGCATCACTTCAGTTCTCTCCCTGCCTTATGTCAAACATCAACGCAATGGAAATCTATCTTGCCATCCCCAGTAGAGCTGTGAGGATCTCTCATTAGGTGGTTTGATGTGGATAATGAGCACCTCTGGGTTACGTCTGCACTCCCCCCCTTTGACACACTCTCCCGCTGTGCGTCCACAAGAGTTGTAGCTCTGCTGCTCTCAAGGATGCTGATACACGCTAAACCATTCATGTGAAAGCCTTGGCAACAAACAGCAGCACCAAAGATAATCAACTCACTGAGCCAGAGGAGCAGTTGTCCACCTCCCCGACCTCGTACAGAACAACATCCTTGACGAACACAGCAATGGCCTTCAGGATGAATGACACGAAGAGATGCATGTGGATGTAGTTTCTTGTGCAGTGCAGCTTCCTGAAGAAACAATCAAGAGGCAGACAATTCAACAAGGAGGGTCGTCATGCTGATTGTGTTTTAAGGGCTTAAAATAACAGACATGCTTAATCACAAGTCTTGACTTAGTTGCTTCAAATCCCACTGAACGCTCAAACAGTCACAAGGAAAACCGCTGAAGGCATAAAACAAGCATTCAGAACCACTCTGATGTCTTTGGGATTAAATTCAATTACTCCAAACTTCCTTTTAACTACTTTAACTTGACAAGATGAAATGATTAGAAAACCGAGTCTTTTATTAGCTCCTGACATTTATAGTCACACATGATGTTTGTTCTCTGAGTAGGAAAGAAATCCTGCTGTAATGAAACACATGCCCTGTCATTCAATATGCCCCCTGGGGTCATTAAAATTGTATCTAACCTTATCTGACAGCCAGGAGAGCTTGTTCACATCCTGTCACAGTTGTTCAAAAAGACGAACAGTATCTGCTCTTACTCAGATCGCGTCTCTATGAGGTTATGACAGCGATAGTTGGTTTTCAGAATAGGAGTGAGAATCTTTCGTAAGAACCAAGCAGAAGAGCAAAAACTGCAGTTCCTTTAGTGTACACTTGAGGCTGACTACAAAAACCAATATATTCCTAATTTGGGGATAAACATCCATCTCTGCTGCAAATATAAACATAAACAGATACAAACAGCCTCATCCAAACAACATATTTGGTCTCCATAACTCATAGCACTCCTCATAACAACTGAGCAGGGCTGGATTTACACTATATTCAACTCATCCTCTAACTCTAACAAGCCTCAAAGTTGTGGGGCTGACACAGCTTTATTAGACAGACACTAAACTTTTCTTTGATCAGGTTTTATGTTGTTGGTGGAAATTTTTATCCAATGTGTTGAAAAGCAACCCGGCAAATCAAAGAGTTTTCTGTCAAATAATGTTGCAGCTTTATACATGCAGTCAAGACACCAGTGGTTGGAGTGATAAGTCTTTGTCCGTGATTTTTGCAGTTAATCCAAACAGAGAAGCTCTAACCAAAGAGGTTTCTGAGACAGCAAGATGTTGTCTTGGTGGGATGTTTTAAAGTGGGAGCAAAACTCGCTTGACTGGAGAACAGGCAAAGTGGCGAACAAAACTGTCAGGTAAACAATGATTTGCGATGTGTGAGTTTTCGTGGTAAAAATGAAAAGTAGATCTAATCAGTAACCAACTGTGCTTCAACAATGAAGTGGTAAACAATTACAAGAAAGAGACACATGAAAAATGCAATTTCCTACAAGAAGAGCTCTCCCCCCTCTTTTCCTCCAAGTGTCCCTGTTCAGGAGGGAGTTTGTAGACAGCAGAGCATGAATTGTTAAATGAAAGCACTTGTTGCATCAAATTACTTCTGCTAAGAAGTCAAGGAGATGAAGTGAGCACACAGGGAGTAAGGGTACTAAAGTGAGGAAGTGTGGCAAAAGAAAATATGTTACTTAAAGAGTTTTCAATGAAAAAATGAAGCACAAGAAAAGAGACACATCCACTATTTTTGATATGAATCTATTTTTTACCTTTTGGAAACATTCTGGGATGTTAAAGGTTAATTCTTTTAAACTTGGTAGAGAGATGACAAACAACAGGAAATAAATTGCATTATTGCATTGTACTGCATTATTATTTAACCTACACACATAAAAGTGTATCTTTGAGTAAAGACAGTAAAGCTGTGATCTCTGCCACTCTTAACGTTAAAAGTGCCTTTGTCTTCGAGGAGCTCCCCAATCAATCCCTGTCTTGTCAAACAGGAACCACATCAGTCATTTTAATCCCACCATCCCTCAGATGAATAATCCCTAAACAGCTGCAGATATGTGCCGTCAAAGGATCAAAAAATGGATGAAAAGAATAATAATTCTGATTGATTTCATTCAGAATGTGTTTGAATCTCTCTTTCGCCTTTAAGCCCTCTGTTTTTGTGTGAAGCGGCACTGAACGGAGGTCATTAAATCCCAGTTCAAAGTGTTTGATGTGTGGCAATGGAACAAATCAACTGTCATGTTGTCCTGATGGTATGGCCCAGCAGGAATAACGCCAATGTCATTGTGTTTTATGGTAAACAGCTCATGCTAATGCTCCCAGCAGGGGTCCTGCAGCGCGGACTGTTTTTTTGTTCTCCTGCTTTTTATTCTTTCATCCTTTTTCCAAACAGTCGACAACACAAGGCCACAAAACAGCTTTATGAATGACGAGTTAGCTTAAAAGTCAATAATGCAAATTCCTCAGCAATCAGGAGCAAAGACATGGATTTATTAACCTTTCAGACTGATTTCCTGAATATAAATATGCACAGTCCGTACGTGCAGTCTCTTCATGCAGCATGTCACAGAGTATAATTCTACATACCTGAAAATGCAGAGGATCACAATAGCTGTGATGAGAGACACGAGGGAAACACTGTGGCCGATGGTGTAGCCGACCTTCACCTGCCAGAAGAATTTGCCCTAAAGAAAAAAAACCAGCATCAGTGAAAGTTGAAGAAAGATATACAGAGAGTTGAGACTGTTTCTGATATGAATAAACATGTTTCCAATATCACTTAAAAAAAAAATTTCACTTTATCTGAAATCTAATAATACTTCAGAAGAAGCTGAAATTGGACAGGGCACAGTCATATCTTAAAAACAGGGAGTGCCCAGGTTGAGTTTGTCTCTCTGAGCTTTATTTTATTTGTATCTTTCATGACTTTAGTATTTTTCTTAAAGACGCCCCGAACAGTCTTTGCCTTGCATTTCAGAAATCAATGAAACAGTCTCCACTGATGCTCATTCACCTGCCCCATCCTTTCATTGATTAAAGTAAGACAGCAGTCTGGCTTTTCAAAAGCTCTGACTTCAGCACACACCCCTGTAGAGTCTTTCAGGGTGGCTTCGCTGTGTTGCTGCCAAGACACAGTGTGCTTTGTGTTTGATGAAAATGTAGATTTAAGGCTCTGCCTCCCGCTGCACATGGAGGTATCAAGTATGCAGAGAGACAGACATCGAATTCCTTTTAGAGTACATCACCAGCCGGGTCCCTGCTGGGCTCCTATGTGGCATACTAATGAGGCTGAATCAGACAGAGAGCAGCAAAGTGTGTACCAAGAAAGCTTTTACCACCCTGTAGCGCACATCTCTTCTTCACCCAGCTCCACCTTCATAATCAGACTAGACTTCCTCAGCATCCTTCAGACGACGCTCAACAAGAGAAACATTTTGATGTATTTATTCCCTTACTGTAGGCAACATGAATAACCTTTGATGACTCAGAACGCCTTATGGCAGAGGCAGGAATTACCAACAGACATGACCTTGTCAGTGAAAATCATGTGTATTGTGCTTCAAAGACATGTGCCTGATGAAAGCTTCGAATAAAAAAGTATTGGAACTATTTGATAAAATGAGGATGTCAGCTGCTTTTCTCTCCGTTTGAAGTCATACCTCACTCTTAAAAACTGGTCTAAAGATGATTACAATTATTAGATCCTGTCACGTTTCAGGGTGACACAGAAAGGGGAGGGATCCAAATGCAGAACCAAAATGATTTATTCAAAATGAACTAAATAAAACGCAACAAAAACTTACTCAAAATTTTCAACAGAAAACTCCAAAAGGCAAAAGCACAAGAGGCAAAATCCAAAAGAAACAAAAATTGCAAGGAGACTCATACACATACAATGAACTGACAAAGAAACAAGGGAAGACAAGGACTATACACACACACAGGGAAACGAGTAACGAGAGGCAGGTGAGACACTGAGACACAGGTGAAAACAATTACTGAGGAGGGAAAACTGAGGAAGTAAAACAAAACTAGAAACACAGGGAATAAACTACTTCAAAATAAAACAGGAAACACTGAAAACCGATAACAGAGAACAAAACACTGAGAACATGAGGAAAACGGAGTCAGACACAAACTGAAAACTCACAAGACAGGACTATGGGGGAACAGGAACAAAGGGGAAAAGAAACACTAGGGAAAAATACACTCAAATCCCCCAAACCAGGGGAACAACAGAACATATCATGACAAGATCTTGTCTGTTACGCTGGGCGTGTCCAGAGTTTTAAATAATTGATAAAGTTAACATCACTATGCGTCATGTGCCAATTTATGAATGTAATTTTGGAATCTCCCCCTATGGGACTACTAACAGAATGTTTTATCTTATCTCTTCAAAGTCACTTTTCTTTTAGATGTCCAGAGGGATTGCTCAAGTGGACTGAACATGAACACATACATTGGCCAAACGATGTGTGTTTCCTGCATTTTCAGCGGCACAGTAGCAGGAGGGATGTGGATTATACCGGCTTTAGTCTGGTCTATTTAGCTAGAAAGTCTAAAATTACAGAGTAAACAGTAATACACCAGCCTGCAAGTGCACTTGACTCTTACGTGGACATTTTACACCATATATTTTTGACAGTTTAAAGTAGTGGTTCTCAAGTCCAGTCCTTTGGATTGTCCTGCATGTTTTGGATGTGTCCCTGCTCCAACACACCTGATTCAAATGATCAGCTCGTTATTTAGCCATTACAGAGCTTGATAACGAGCTGATCATTTGAATCAGGTGTGTTGGAACAGGGACACATCCAAAACATGCAGGACAGTAGGCCTCGAGGACTGGACTTGAGAACCACTGGTTTAAAGAAACCGCGAATAGACCTTTTTCTCAGCAATTTCTTTCGTCTTTTGACCTCTCAAATCACTGAACACTCTATGTCACATTCACTCATGGCTAGGGGTGTAACGGTACACAAAAGTCACGGTTCGGTACGTACTCATGTATTAACAATATTAACTCGCATATTAACAATATTTCTACACTGGCACAAGTCAAACAATTTTTTTTAATACTACCAAAACTTAAAAATATAACAAAATAAATTAGTGTTTCAATCACTCCATCTTAAGGCTAATACAAAAATAGAAGGCTATACAGAGCTGAATAGCATCTCCAGGTGTGAAAACACAAAATAAATAAATATATAAGAAAAATAAAATCTATGCCTTTTAGTTATAAGCATCACATTTGTGATTAACTGATTGTGTACGGTCAGCCATGCACCTCTTGAAAAGGTCACTCAATTTTGATTTTTTTTTTTTCAAAAAATTTAGTTTGTCTACGTTTCCGTGGCACGGGAGGTCCACCCATCAGTAGTGAGGGCAACAGCTTGTGCAGTAGACAGCTCTTGCTGTACCTCTTCTCGTGCACGCTTGTAAATTGCAGGGACCACAGACTGGCTGATATGCGCACGGGATGGGACGCTGTAGCGTGGCTCAAGTACTTTCAATAAATGTTTGAAACCGGGCTCCTCCACTACTGCATATGGGCGCATAGATGTTGATATGTATATGCCAATCGCTTCGGTTATGTTTTTGGTCCGGTCCGTTTTATGGTCAAGAGGCTGCTTAAAAGAAGCAGGGATAAGTTGTTGCACACATATTTGTTTTTTTCTTGTACCGGTGATGGACAAGTCGGGATGGTGTCGTCTGATGTGCGTTAGCATGTTCGATGTGTTGCCGGCGACGTAGCGCACCTCCGTAAAACATCGCCGTCAGACAGTCTTCGTCCGGTCGACCACTCTGCCATCGCTGTTATACAGCACCACAGCTGATTTAAATAAAGCTGGCGGCTCCTCCAACTCCACACTCTCCATCACTTTCGTTCGTTTTGGTTCTTAACTATTTCTTCTTCTGTGGTAATTATGGTTGCTGGCAGCTTTTATGCTCATTACCGCCACCTGGATTGGAGTGAGGACCCCCCCACACACACACACTCAGACGTATTCGTCGTATGACTGCGTGCACCGTCCTGTGATCTCCGTACCGTGACGGTTCGGGACGAATACAAATACCGTTACACCTCTACTCATGGCAGACATTCACACCTCTGTTACACCTGGTCTGCACAAATAAGTGAGATGGCAGGGTGCAGTGGGCTGTTTCTCAGGTACGAACAGAGGCAGAATAAGAGAGAAGAAGGTGGCGGTTTGTAGCGTTGGGATCTAACCCTTGACCTTACAAATGACAGGTGACCAACTTTACCACTGAGCCCCCCGCCACCCAGCAAAGTGGTTAATTTGGGACCAATGATTTGGAATAAAGACAACGGTGCTCTGGATCTGGATGTTTTCGCTCCTTAATCAAAGGTGACAGCACAGGGGCACTGCTGTATATATACATTCACATACAACCAAGATGGCTGCTTCTGCTGATGAATTCCCTGTGGTGGCTGTTTTTAATGAATTGGATGATTTATTTTCGTTGAAACATGATCAAACAGCTGCACATACAGCTGCACTGGTGCAAAGTGTATGTACAGCACTGATTTGATTGGGCGTACTTCTTAATAATGGCTTCCAGTCAAGATGAGAATTTTATGCTCTTATATCGAGTTATTTATTACTTTCATGTTATTATTCTGCACCCTCACTTGAGTTAATCGCATATAAATGAGTTACTTGAGATACTCTTGAGACAACGTAAAACAAGATTGAATGAAGACGTAGAACAAATATAAGTCGAAGACTTGAGTCAAGAAGCAACAATCAATACAGTTACACTCCCACATCCACCCACAGAGAAGAGAAAAGAGGCTTTGATTAAATTCTTCCTGCCCACTGGCTCTTGTGATGGTTTCACACCGTGCTGCTGTGACTTCATACACAGAGGAACGGTTTCTCTTTGACAGGTTTACTCACATCATCGCTTGTGCCGTTGAGATTATACCCACAGTTCACAGCAATGTCAAAAGGATGCATCTCCGTCCAGCCATCAGCTGTGCAGGTTTTGGAAAGGTTCGCTGGGGTGGGAAAGACACCAAAAGGTTAGAGCCACCCAGGAAGTAGTTTCTCTTTTATCTGTTCACCACGCTGGAGAGAAATTTTTATCCAATACTCCAGGCACGGCCGCTGTGAGACAGAGCGACAAAATCTGTGACCTTGCTCCTTGTGTTATGGAAAAAGATGTAAAACCTCCACAAACTCCTGGATGATTTTCTTCCACTATTCTGAGCCATTATTGACACTTGCATTATCTGAGCCCGCAGACAGAGCTCGGCTGTTACAGAAATCGACATACTGATCTTCATCTTGTCACTCACTCGACCACCAATAGAGATTTACATGCTCATTCAAGCCTTGTCGGGCTGCTACTATAGACACATCATTTACCCAAAACTAATCAATTTCCCTCTACTGTAGTGATGTGCTATCAGCACCTGGACAGAAGATGAGATTTGAATCCTTTGTATATTTGAGTTCAAGGAGACAAGAGCGCTGTCAGTTCAACTGTATGTTCTGTGTTTTAACCAGGGAAGCCTTTTTTCTGTAATAAACCAAAACCATGAATTTTCCATGTTATCATTAGCGCTTTCCATAATCTTATTCAACTTTCACCAGACTGTGGTTGCCATTAGGATAGATTACTAATTGCACAATAAAATTTTCTTTAAAATAGATTACTCCATATGTCACTGCCATCGACAGTAATAAAGACAGCAGGCCTGAATCCCCAACACCCCTTTTTGAGATGTGCAGCCAAGACTGGCACTACTACCTTATACTGGTGGGGCCAAGGTGTGTCAATCTAGCTCGTTTCACCCACCAAAATATTCATTTAACTTGCAGATAACACATGAAGATCTCTCAGGTGGTTAGAACAGATTCTTGTGTTGGTTTGAAGCAGACACTATTGGATTTTGTTCAATGTCTCTTGTGTCAATGACTCTTGTGTTAGTGTTTGTTATGTTTCCTCTACTCGGCTAATCTGGTACAGATTGCTGCAGGAGGTGGATTTGTCAACAGAGTGTCAATCAATCATTGGTGAGTCATCAGGGCCCTCTAGGTCCTCAGCAGTGTGGACTTCTGTATTTTCTAAAGATAATATTGTTACAAATCTGATCTAAATCAATTTTATCTGAATATGTCATTTGATAACTCATTTATGAAATGCTCCTGAGAAAATAAACACCACAAACCTGTCTTATTCAAACAGTGTTGACGGATTTAAGAAGACAAGTCTTGAGCTGATCAGAAATTGTTGCTGGGAAGTGGGCCGCTAGCTCTGTACTTGGAGGTCTTGTCACAGAAGTTTAATGGGAGATTAATTTCAAATGACAATAAGTGGCTAGGCTGTGTTGATACTGACTTTATGGCACATTCTGTCTGCAGTATTAGAATCCATTTTCAACAGCTTTGGCTTCATAGTTATGAGCTACCAGCCTTTCTCCATTATAGGAGTTGCGTATAATGCTACCGCTATTGAGCAGGATATTGCTTCAAATTCACAATACATGTTGTGTTGTGGATTAACTTAATAAAACACTGGAGTTAATTGGTAAAGTGATACATTTGATCTGAATTTGGTGCAGAAAACGAAGGTTGTTGAGAAGCATTTCAACTCCAGCTATTATAAGGGTATCTGTAGATGACAAGTACAACCAACAGTAGTGAGATCGTAGAGCCTGGGTAAGGGTAGAGGCTACTTTAATCAATCAATAGGCTTTCAATCATTTTAAGATCAAAGATAAAAACCAACCTTTTGAGCAAAATGAATGTTTGCATCATATACTGTATATACTATGGACAACTTGGTTCCACCTCCTGCCTGTATACAGATTTGAAGCCAAATAGCTCTTGGTATTACCAGGATTTTTCTTCATTTCCTGAAACCAGCACTGCGCAGTAGTGTTGTGCGCATTCGGTGAGAGAGTCGCTGAGAGCTGCTGTGATGACGCTCGGCTCAAACAGCGTATCCCCGGGTGAGCTACGCAATCCCTGAATGCCAATAGGCTGTATCAAGTGTCAATCATAGAAAACATGAACCCCCGAATAACTTTTAAAAACAGAGCTTCACAGAAAAAAGAGGACTTGAGCACAAACCAGTCTTACAATAACTACATGTCAACATCACAAGCAGGGGGGAGAAAAATTTATATTCCGTGTAATAAATTTCTAAAGTTTGTCCACAGCTCCATAAGCTTTGCTGGAGGAGGCGGGATTTATGACCTATACTGCAGCCCATCAACAGAGGGTGCTGTTCTCGGAGTGGCTTCACCCCGCGAGGAGGCAGACGGCGTCCATTCTATATACAGTCTATGGTTTGGCTTCACTTGAGATAGCTGTCCTTGATTTGAAATTCTTTGGTAAATACTTTACTTAAAAATTACTTCATTTTATAGTTATGTCTCCCTGTGCCACTGGAAAAAAAACCAAACTGACTTTAGCGTGTGGTAATAAAAAGGATGAAAAAGTCAAGTTTACAAGTTTTCAGACAAGGTTTGGTTTTTGTGTCAAACTCAAGTAAAGTTTCAACATTTTCAAGCGACATTTTTTTTCCTTCACTTTTTGTTCCTTCAGTTTATGGTTATTCAAGGTTGCTCTCAACAGAAAGATTTTCAGAGGACTTTGTTGACATTGGAACAGTTGAGTAGTTTGTGGATGATTCATCAGTTGTGGCAGAGCAGAAAAAGAATTTTCTTTTAGCATTCAATGTATAAATGTGAGTTTTTTATATATTTTTTAGAGTTTCTACCTTCTATTCCAACCTTTATAAGATATAGGCCTGTGTGTAAAACAGTCTGATGTTATCTGACCTTTGATATATCTCCTGTCATGTCACTATCCAATGTAAAGCGCTTTGAGGGTCTCTGATAAAGCGCTATATGAAATCTGATGCATTATTATTTTTACATTATTGTGTTATCGCAATGACTACATCAGCTTTGCCATACTCTTATTTTTTTAATCTGTTGCTTATTTGCATATGCCCTTTTTCCAAAGCTTATAACTAGGAGGATTTTTTTTACTGAGAGAAAAAATTGACACAAGTAGTCAAACAAAGATAGATTTTCCCTTCTGATCCAGGCTATGAAGAGGCGACTGGAAGTGCTTGGTTATGCGGTTTATTAATTTGCTGGATTGTTCATTTTTGAGGGCATTTTTTGAGATTTATGTAAACAGCCTGACGTAGTGAAAATAGACTAGACTCCATGACCTTTGAAGAGTCTTTCTTCTCTGAGTTTTGTTGTGTTTTTCTTTCATTTGACTTTGAATTGGCCAAACACACCTCTGAACTTTGGAAACAGCATCACTCCACTTTTATCGACACCCTTAACCTTTTCTGAGGTTTTTGAACGTGGTACTTATTGGCCATAGAGGCTGAATCTGTCTGAAGATCCTGAAAGAAAGCATTATATAAAGTAAGTGTGAAGTCATTTTGCAGGCACAAAGATTAAGTGCTCATGTCTTTGCCAAGAAGGCTGTCTTTTCAGCAGATGTATTCCTGCATTGCAGAACTTCACAAAGCGGAAGGACAAAGAAGCATGAGAAAGCATAATGATTTTCACCCAGACTCAAGGATTCTGGGACAAAGAAAAGAAGTTTAAAAATCTTGAAGAGTTTAATACAGATTATAAAAGCCTAAACTGTCTTCTCTTTTTATAATGTGTAACGTAAAGAAAATCCTGTCTGCATGTGGAGCTTTCTATCGCCTTCTGCTTTACATGTTACAACTCCAAAAGATGAGCACATATCATACTGTATGTAAATTATTTATTGGCATATTGAATGACAATACTACAGGTATGTGAATCAATGTGCTTTTGTTATCTTTCCAAGGTCAAGTAAAAAATCAATTTTCATAAGACTAGTTAGAAAACACCTTCAAATGTGAAAATAAGCTGAACAAAATGTGCCAAACAAATACAACTTTATGATCTTCCTGTTGTTTCATTATTGATTTTTGACAGTATCAGCGTGACATTGAACACACATAAATAGATGCTACACACTTTCACTAATACACTAATGATAATGGAGTTTGCCACACTTTGTTTTTCTGCACACAGACAGAAAAGGACCCACAACATTTCATCCACAAACGCCAAGTAAGGAGAGAAGCTCATTTTCAAGACTGACAGCTCTGAGGGTCCCATTACTATTCCAAGGGCTTTGTTTGAATTCTGACAAATTCTGGTGCATTTAAGTGCCAATAATGCCTTTCATGATGCATCCTCTGATGCAAGCAGCTACCTTGACATTTTCTTGAATATGATGGAAGAAGAACCATCATCAACAGCATCCAGCCATTTTCAAAGAAAAAAAACGACCCCTCCAAGCTGGGTCATGGTAACCTGAAGCAACATCTCTTTAGAGAGCACCTTCAGCTTACAGCTACACTTAGAAATGAGCAAAAAGTTACGTCATTCCTGCAGTAAATAGCAAACCTTCATAATAAGCAGAAGGGAAAACCGGACAGCTTCCTTCTCAATCCTCCAGGATTAGGGCGATGTGGCGATTGATGACTAATGGGCTCTGTAAAGGATGAATGATGACTGCATTTTTTCACACAGAAATAGAGTTGTTGTCACCTGCTCGCATCAGCTTATTGGATATTGATTTTTGTTTAACAAGTATTTGTCACTGTCTGTTAAGAAACTCAATAGGAGGCGGAAACAGAGATACACAATTTGCCTTACCAGGTTTCCCCATAATTGCTAGCTTTCAGATACAAGGTCATTTACTGTGACTAAAAAGTCACTTTAAAACTCAAGAGTTACCTGTACTGGATACCTTAAACTTTTCTTTGGCAGTAAAATATTTAAAGGAGAGTTAGCTGCCAAGTTTGGGTCGCTATACAGGGGTCAACAGGTGATGCAGCGAGTCCAGCTAAAAGCTAAATATAGCGACGCAACAACTTCACAGATACAACGCTAAGAAACAGCCATATTGCTATATTTGTCTTTTAAAGTCAAGGTTTTTTTTCTGTTTTATGGTCTCTTAGATTTTCCTGTATGGCCCACCACGTTAATATTAAGTGCTGACAGAAGCTTTAGATTTTCACGCCTTTTTTACTGACAGAGATGACGAGTGAGATCAGCTTATAAAGACTAAATCAAACAACAGGAGGGCAGAACTGTTCGTATTATTTTTTCGTTCAAGTAGCAGCAGTATTAGCCTGTTTTGTTTCTTTTTTCACTAGAAGTTGGTGTTGTCTCCATGAACACTTTTTTTACTTGACGGGAGTAGTTCGCTAGTGAAAACCTATGGCGCTATTCGCTGCTTTGAATTGTGATCAGCAAAGTACAAAAAGTACAAAAATAAAAAGGGGACTGACCAAAGATGCTGAAGGGTTTGAGAAGACTTTTTGTTGAAGTTGTGGATTTAGTGAGATTTATTATAGCCACCGTCTCCAGCTGTAGCCAAGCTGTTCCTGTTTCATTCTCTTTGTCTTGGGTTTAAAGATAAAATCCTGCAGTATTTGCATAAATTATAAGACATCCTTGTTTGCCACTCCATTTAAGTTAATATCATGAAACCTTCACAGAGTGTGCTTCTCTATTTTTGAGATTTTAAAGAGCATTTGTCTTCCTTTCACTGTTGTTACCTCGAGTATTAAAACTAATTCTAGTAGGCATCAATATCCTGATTTCACCTTCATTCAAAATCTTTCTACATTATGCAGAACTTTATTTATTTACGGTAAGGTCTTAAATTTTAATACTTTAGAAACATTTTTCTAGGTTTGTATGCAGCTGAGGACAAATGAGCTTCCAAAGTCACATTTTGCCGATTCACCAAGTCCCTGCAGGATCGAAATGTTTGAGGATTGAGGTTTGACATAAAGTGTGACGGTTGAAAAATGGTCCCCTGTGTCAGATTAATGCATTGTCTTGATTCTTCCATGTATTCTAACAGATAATCAGCATGGCAAAATTTGTTTTGAGTAGAGCTGTTTCAATCCACATAAAACCATGTCTGTGATCCAAACAGCGAATTTTTCAACAGAACTGCAATCACCTCTACTATGATACAGAAAAAGTATCAGATAGATACTATGATTGTACATGCAAATGGTGCAATCACTCATACAAGCATGAAAGATTTACGGCTGGGATGTCTGCTAAGCTGAGTGATCCAAAACTAAATGGGAACAGCTAAAAACCCTCCATTTAGCTGCAAAATGGCTCAGAGTGGATGAATAGTTGATGAGCTCTATGCTGAAAAATGGGAAAGAAACTACTTTTTTTTAATAAATTTCCTGCATGTGCCAGTTTAACAGATGATCTCATAGTCAGGAGTGCAACACATTAAAAACACGTTAGGACATTTAAAGTTCGAATTCATGTGACACTAAAATGAAAATTAGAATAAGAAGATTGTTAAAGTCTCAACAGGAGTACAAAGACTACAAAACCTCTGTTTTCAGTGACACAAACTCAGTGTGTAGACGGGACCTTAGTTACACATTGGGTGCGTGTGTGTGTGTTAGAGGATTTTGCAAGTTTTTCATCAGGAGGGAAAGAAACAAAATAATAAACCCTGACCAAATAGCACCCCTAAACATATGACCAAAAATCCTCTAAGGTGAGAGTGTGAAACTTCTCCACACATAGTAATAAAACACACATTCAAGATTCTTGGTGGCAAGCTGGTTACTGAAGGCTGTGCACTGAATGCTGAGGTGGCTCGTACTGTCTTCTGATTGGCTCCCCTTCAGCTGCATACCAATCAGGCTCCTTCAGCCGGCAGAAGAAGTGAAAGCATTTCCAGCCCTCGGACACACACACACACACACACACACACACACACACACACACACACACACACACACACACATAGATGTCATTGTTTTTTGTTTTGCTATATAATGTCTTGGTGCAAACACTGACTCTGCAAACTTCCATTTGAACGAGGGGAGCAGAGTAAAAGCTTTTGCTCATTCTTAATCAGCATTGCAAAGGGTGAAGCATTCACAAAGAAAAAGAGCAGCATAAAGAAATGCATAGAGAAAGAGCAACCACTGAATACAAAGAAAGGTTATGGACATTTTGTACTCCCAGTGTCTTGATGTGGCAGAGGGTGAAAAAATGAGTTTCAACCAGAAATGATATTTGCCTGCCAGACAAGACGTCTATACAATCATTCTGACACAAGGACGGCTGGTTTAGAAGTCAAGATTTATCCATCTCTGGACCCAGTCATTTGAAAAGGTTGATTGAACTGTAACAGCTTTGAAAAACTTTAAAATTGCTCACATTAAAGCCTAGATTTCTAGTTATCAAAAGAAAAAGCCTTTTAAACAAGCTGGGTACAGAAATGAGACAGGTACATAAAGGAGGAAGATCGATTTTTAAATCCTGCATACTATTTTGGAAAATTAAGACATCTGTAGCAGCCACTTTGACTATTTTCTATGGCAGGTTTAGTCATGCCACATGCTATTTACAACATTTCTACAAGTTTCTGACTCTAAATTCAGATTTAACTCATTCTCTTGGCGCTGCAATCAATACATGTGCAATTTAAAGTGCACCAACTTCACATGAAGTGCCACTTACTTGTGTTTCTGCCTCTCTGAAATACTTATGTACTTAAAGTGCACGCAGTAAGCATGCCGAAGGGGGTTGATGAACACATCATATTTGAGACCCCCCTTGGCTATAATGACAAAGTATTCACTGAATTTGAGGAAGGCTTGAGATCCAAAAAACGCAAGAGTTAAGAAAAGTTTTGATTAAACTTCAAAAACAACCAGAAAACAAAGAGCTGTAAGCCAAACTAGGAAAGATAAACACCTTACCCTACACCTTACTGCTACTGGTTGTCATAGAAACAGCTACAAGAACTACATATGAAATCTATGTAAATTTAGACCCAATTATCATTAAGAAATACCAACTCAAGACTGGTTAAAATGTCGCCAATTCCTCCTTGCAGGGATGTAGATGATAAATTCAGAACCACTTTCACGCTGCTGTAATAGAGAAACTCGTAGCCTGGCTCAACTTCACTAAAAGAACAGGCCTGGCTCTAATCCAAGCCCCCCAAATCTGTTTGCACACTCCTCTGAAACTCAATGTAAACTTACTTCACTTTCATCCCCCACAGATTAAACAGACATTATGATACGCTGAAAAGGAGCTTTAGTTGGAACTACTTATTACTGCTTGGTAGTGTCCTAATAGCCTCTTCTTCATGTTTCACGCAAACCTCATATTTAACAGACACATAGAACAGTGGCATCAAGCTCCTCTTTTTCTATGTTACAGAAGCGTCTGTGTTTTGTTTGTGCAATATGTTTCACCAGGAAGAAGCATACCAGCCCCATCTGTCCCATCTGTTCAACAGTTGTAACTGCTGATTATTACACGTCTTGGTATGTGGTCAAAACGATTTTTGAGTTTGATTTCTGAGTCTCTGGGTCACAGAGGCAGAGTCGAAGCTGGAGGCAAATAGCACAGAGCTGTTGTGAAGATAGAAAAGATATCCTCCAGCAGAAACCTGAAAATGTTTCTGTGAGAGAAGGAAAGTGAAGATACGAGAGAGAGATTCGGCAGCATCACAGAAAACATCCACAGAGGTGTCAGTGCTGATCCGCTCCACCTCACTTTGATGTGGATTCAAATCAATAACCCGATTCTCAGTTCATGTAAAGGGCACAAAAGGAAAACTAGAATCACTGCTTCCAATTTATATTGTTTACAGTCATTCAACAACGTGTTTGTCACAGAAACATGGGGGGAAAGTTTTAAAAGAATTTAGCAAGACAAAGACTACAAAAGAGAGGCAATATAAAAGAAGAGCTATCCCCACACATTTGATTCAAATACACAACACCCGAGCACATCTGGAGCTTTTGTTGGAGTTCTAGGATTTAATGGAGACTATTCCATCACATTGCTGTTCCTGTTTCACAGACAAATAAAGCAATATGGCACAAAATTTCCACCATTTATCTCATCCTTGAATCAGGACGTTATGATGTAGATAGTTCCAGTCTTTTCAATGGATGAGTAAAATTCTGACAAACGGACAAGTCCAATGGTACACTCAGAAAACAGGCAGAATTTAGCACAATTTATTTTATGCAGCTGAACATGGAATCAGAGTTTGCAGATAAAAGAGAGCAAATTGGTTTAATAGGTGTGGCTAACATTAGCAGAGTTAGCACCACCAGCCACGGGATCTCCTGGCAGGTCTACATACCTGTGCTGTGTACACAGACTCAGGATCGAGTGGTTAAAGGCCAGTTCAACCAGGTAGAGATTACACAACACTGATCTCCATTTTCTGGGCATTTTTAACATCCTGTCAGAGCCACGGTTACGATATAACACAATACAATACAATACGAAATGATACAAAATATGAAATGATATGATATGAGGTGATATGATACGAAACGAAACTAAATGATATGATATGAAATGATAGGATACGATATGATATGATACAAAACTATACAATATGATATGACATGACAGGATGTGATATGATATGATAAGATACAATACAAGATGATACCATGTGATACAAAATTATATGATATGATATGAAATGATATGATACACTTTCAGAGTAGCTAGTGGCATTTTTGTCATATTTCAAGATACTCTTTATTGGTGTTACCGTCACGTTCACAAAATTAAGACAAAATTACTGGCTACAAAAGTTTATTATTACAAAATGTTCCTCTCTAACAGCCAGATTCATCTATAACTTTCTGGGTCAACAATGTCATCCATACATGTTTTTATCCTTTATGAGTTTTTAAATGTAATTAATCATATTTGTTTGGGTTTAAAAATGACTGAATGACGTTGTACTTCATAAACTCTAAAAGCACATTTCATTGTTTCTATCCACTGTAGAGGAAGTGATTTATTATTTCAAATTCACCTGTCAGCAACCGGGGGGTATATTGTAGCTGCTTGCATGAAAGCTTGGGGCTCAGCTACCTCTCCTCGCCTCTATTTCGACTGATCAAAGCTTGGGGTGAGTCAGCCTCAGTTAAAACCGTTAAAACTGCTCCCAGTGTTTAGTACAGTGAAAAGGTAAGGATTAAATTCTTTTGAAAGATGCTCTAAAACATGGTTGGGCCTTTCACTATTTGAGGTTTTGTATCTAAAGTTGCTGACGCTGAGGAGTCTGTAATAGACCAGTTTTAAAGATTATAAGAGTACCTTGACTTGGGGTCATGTTTACCCTTTCCATAATAGATTTCAATCATGATTGATATGGCACTGAATCCAAAGGAGGACATAGCCTTTTATAAAATGTCCTGAAGCCCATAGAAAAAGGTTTTACACTTGAAAATGAGCTTATACGATTGACCAAGTTATGTGGAGAAATCTCAAATTACACATCACAGCTGCTTTTTGTCCCTTCTCAAGGTCCAATTCACAAAAAAGCTGCGCTGATGATATTTCAACATTAAACAGGGCCATAAAGTTTTCCAGCGGGGAGCACTTAATGCGTAATGCGTCTAATATCAATCCTCCGTGAAGCAAAGGATAAATAGTGGCTCTTGGCCAACAAGGACACTGAAAGCAGGATAACAGCTGTTCTTCTTTAAAACACCTGCTTTAGAGTCAGTCTGGCATTTCAGTGAAAGTGCCTGTCTACAACTCAAGATAGTCAAACGCACCTCAGTTACTCTCTTAAGATGCTACACTAAAGTAAAATCACGTACTAGTACTATCTTTAAATGAGTGCAAACAAATAGGAAACAGTAAGGGGTTATTAAAGGGGCTCTTGAGGAGCACACAAACCCATGAGCGGCCACAAAATCGGCCTTCCCTTTGAATTACCCACTAGAGAATTTGCTGGTAGAGAGCAACAAAAACACAGAGGTTTGTTATCAGGACAAGAAAATTATGGAAAATTAGAAGATCTGACTCAAACAAGCAAGAAAAACAACTTAAACCCACTGTTTCTAAATACAGCCGATAAAAAGGATTATTCTCTGGGGGTCTGAAATGGAGCTCAGACAAAAACAAAACCCTGCTGATAATGAAATTTGTGTTGTGCTCGAATTTGAGTGAATGTGGAGCTGAATGGCTCATTTGAGGATTGTTGAATCTGGAGAGGGTGAATTACCGCCCACATTCCTGGAGGAACCAAGAGGTAACAAGAGCATGAACCACCAAGCACCGTGTTTTATAGCAACTGGAGTCAGATTTATGGCACCACGTATCCTGATGATGAAGTTAGATATGATGGTGAAGGCAGCTCTGGTTAAACTTTGAAGGACTTTTATGAACAAACCAGGACAAATTGAAAAAGGCAAGAACAAGTTTGGTTTTATGCCTTGTTTCTGCTTATCTATGTCTTTAATCAAACTATTGCTTTGTATTAAGGAGAAACTATCTTATGGTGTGCTTGCTGAGCTAACAGGCTAATTCATTTATCTGTGTTGATTGTCAAGTGAGTTTGCATGATTAAAAAAGAACACATTTATCCTGAATCTGTCTAACCGTTTACATTAGATTGACATTAAATGCAGTAAAATGTATCAGTTCTTTGACAGAAGTAGCTCCTCTTCCACAGTTACAGGTAAATATTATGGTTTTAAACTATCTGTCAGAGACTGCAGTTCCTTAGAATGGCTGGGCCATCCAGTTGCGTGAATTACTTGCCGTTCCTCCCCACAACAGTCTGGACTTCGGCCAATTGGGAGCGTGTATTACAAATCAGAAAATAACCGGGCCAATCAGTGACTTTGTTTCCACTGTTCCCCGGACAACAGGGAAAGTCAGCCCCTGATTGGTCCATGTGTAGTGGCGACGTCTAACACATGCTGCGGGACTTTTCAAAGCGCCGTTCATTCAGAACGCCGTTAATTCTGCAGTTGACTTTGCAAAGTCGGCAGAAACCGTTTATATCCGCAGAAGAAGACGTAAAAGACATCGTTTGCTCGTACACGTTGAAATATTACCAAACCTTTACTTGATGCTTGAGAGTCCAGCAGGGAACACAGTTGCGCACTGTGATGACGTCAGATGTTTGGTTACGGTGATTGGTTACAGTAGTCTGTCTATCAAGGAAAGTACTCCCGCCCACTTTTAGGGCTCCCAATTGGCCGAAGTCCAGACTGTTGTGGGAAGGAACGGCAAGTGATTCACGCAACTGGATGGCCCAGCCAGGCTAGTGGTTCCTTGCATTAGATGCTAGAGGTATCCTTGGTTTATGTGAGGGGCTACAGAGATGTGCATATGAAAAGCCAAGGCAGAACGGACAGCAGCAAAGACCCCTTGGATTCAGAATAGAGCAGGTATCAATGACACTACATATGATGCTGTTTGAATAGAAGAATCTTGACATTACTTGGATGGGTCAAGTGTTAACAAGATCTTAACTTTACTCTGAACTGTTTGAGAAGATGTAAACTTATGTGATGTGTGAAGTTTTGGCTGAAGCTTCAGATTTGAAAGATGAGGCATGTTTTGTTGTTTGTGTTCTGAGCTTTTAAAGCTTTCCATGATAAACATCCTGATCTGTTTTTGAGTTGTCCTGATTGATGGCTTTTCAAGGCACTGTGCAGAGTTTTTAACTGGTCGATAAACAAACTGATCCTGATGTCTTTTTTAAACCCTTAAATGCAAACCAGACCATCAGCAACAAGAGAGAAGGATACTTTTTGTGTTGTAATTTTAATATTTGAAGATGATTGACATCAGCTGAAAGAACAGCCATTCTGATGATTGTTGATGATATATGGTATAAATTCATGAGTGCAGGACAAGAGAAAAGAGGTATCACTTTGTCCACAGGGGGGTGCAAAAACCAACACAGACCAAATATTCCTCAGGACAGCTTTAAGGGGTGAAACATATCCTCCAAAGTGGCTTTTGTAACTTTTAAAACTTAGTACCTTTCTGTGATTTTACATTTCCATCAAGTAATTTATTTAGCTCAGGTAATGTCAACTACTGATGGCTAGGGACTCAAACATTTGAGGTTCAACTTAAAGAGGAGTTAAGTGCAGCTAAAAAGTGAAAGTAAACTTCTTCATTTTACAGAGAACTGAACTTAGAGGCGAGCTCATTCTGGACCTGCAACACTGTACATAATAGAGAGCTGAAGACAGAGGCAGTCAGGGGTCTTGGCTTAAGTAGGTGGCTCATAAAAAAAACTTAAAACCTTGTTCTGTTTCTCTTTCTTATCTGATGTGACTCCTTTTTACTCCTCCTCCTCTCTGTCTGTGCTTCTTCCAAAATAAAGGTTAGGGCATGAGCTGGATTCCCTGCATTTTAAATCTGGTCTTTTGCTTGGCTCATGTAAATGCTGCACATGGTTTACAGTAACCTGGATTAATTTTGATCCTGGGTTTAATGAGTCTAAGAGGACTCTCAGGGTCAACGCTGTTACTTTGGGTGCAGCCTCTGAAGTGCTATTCAGTGACTGTTAGAGAAAACGAGTGTTTCTTCCCACTTTGATGTTTAAAAAAACACAGACAAAATATGTTTTATCTCACATATTAAGAAGTGAAATTGGTGCCTGGTCTCATAAATAACACTGATGGTTTTCGAGAGGATCATGAACTAATATCCAGTTTGCCACAAGTTTTTCCGCCTCAGGCTTTCCACAGGGTTTCTAATAATTTATGGTGACCGTATGAGTAGCAATTTGATGACTCTAAATGTTCATTTGCATGCAAGCATCACATTTCACCCTCAATATCTACCCACAGGCCTGACTGTATGCAAATGCACTTTCAAATATCACAATACTCAAAGCTGGAGTAATAGGAATATATGACCTTACAGAAAATTGTCTGCTTGCTGGGAGATCCAGTGGGCCTGTTTGCCTCAAAATAAATTATTCCTAGAGCACAGCATGACTTTTTTTTCATTTTACAGAAACTTAGTCTTCTGAATGATTTTTGAGAGAAATATCCACATTGTCGTCTCGTCCTTCTGTGGAAAATCTACGTTTTAGCTGGCTTTGCATTACATTTATTTGGTTTTGATAACTTGGAGAATAAAGGTTGATAGTTTTAAGACTGAATATGAAACAGACATATAAATATTTATCCGAAAGAGCATGTTGTTGTATCGACAGTAGCTGATTGGTTACCTCTGTGCTGGTCGCTGAAGTAGCTGAAGTAAGTGGGGCAGGTTATCGTCACCACTTCTCCCACTCTGGCTGATGGCCAGCAGGCGATAATGTCCCACATGCCCTGGCAACCTGCCCAGAGAAGACAATACCATCAACATGGCATCACTCACTTTTACACACACACACGCAAACACAAACGTGCACGCTGACGGAATTAAACCATGCTCTCAACACAGCACGAGTGACAAAATCAATACTGTGCAGGACCTGAGTGTCATTAGATCAACGGAAGTTTAATTTGGAGACAGAAAGATTCATTTCTATTTGTCTGTTTCAACATAAATTTATTCATCACCTTGGTTCTTTAATTTCCCCGTTTTTTAATCTGTTTGCTGTTATCATTCAATCACAAATCATCAAGTTTGACAGCAAAACAAAAACATAATGCCATTTTTATCAATGCAAGCTGGAAGTAACTCATTTGTGACAATCAATAGATGATTTCTTTCTTAACAGGAAATACACTAAGAGAAAAAACTCCCCTTTAATTTGTAGCTTTGATTCTTCTAGACTACACAGTGCATTTCCCCCTGAGACACCACTGCTATGTGACTGTGTGTGCAGCACGTTATTTCATTGCAGGGATTAATTATTTTTAATCTTGATAAAGACAGTGAAGGTTTTCTATCAGTGTATCAGTCTATCATTGTGTTTCTGGACTTTCAGTTTTACTTCCATCTGGTTTTAGCATCAGCATGGGCTGAAAAGTGAAAACCCCACTTCCGTTATTTCTATTGTTGTTTTGCTTCCTGTGACTCACATGCACTAAGACATGTCAGACATTAGTAGTGAAAGCATGTTAATAATAGATTTGTCTCCAACAGCAAATCAACAACAGTTAATAGCAACATTTTCCCAACTTTTAGTTTTTTTTCCTCCCCACTCTATTGAATTTGTATTTTACAATCTTGACTGATTTTGAAAACATAATAAACATGATTTTAGGGTAAACAAACATGGTGGACTTTGAAAACTAAGCCGGTGGTACATGGTACTTTCAAATACAAATTTCTTAGGAGGTGGGCCAGCAGGAGGAGTCTGATAGAAGCACAAAGGCTGTCTGACATGTGAAAGAAGGACAATGGATGCAATCAGAGGGAGTGATGAAAGAGGTTCGCTGAGGATGTAACCTTTACCTAACTCCAGTAACCCCAAAGCCCATAATATCAGAGTGTAGCCTCAAGAAAAGCCCAGTGTACTCAGCGACATAATCAGGTATCTGCCACTGAGATCAAGTGGGGAACTACCAACATCATGCAGCTGGGAACATTCAATCCACCAAGCCAGAAACAGACGCCTAAGAAGGAGCAGCCCAGGGACTGATGATGGTGGATACCAACCAGCAGTTAATATCTTACCTGAGAAAGCACCCATAACCCTTAGACCAGACCTGGTACTCTGGTCCCCTGTGCTAAAGGCATCTTATATCATAGAGCTTACCATAGGACTCTGTAGATGCAGCTCATAAGGATTTGTCAGCAGGATCAAAACACCATCAGACTGCTGAAGAAACTTGTGGATAGACTCCGTGACAGACCGTGAGGTGAGTCTCAGAAGCAGCTGAGTCTATGGTGAAAGGACCCTAACTGGGCTTATGTGACGCCCGCTTTAGTTCTGACTACCAGACTAAATCAAGTGTTGAGAGCTATTTATGTCAGCGTCTGGTTTGTTTCATTCTCTGTTCAACAGGTTGCATGTACACAGGCTGTGAATGTATGGTTTCTCACTGAGGCTCACACACTAATTCATTTATTAGCGATGTGACCTCTGAGAACGGCTTTACTACCTTCCTGTGAGGAAGTAGATAGGGAAGTAGAGAAATGAGGCCATTGCAGAGATAAGGAGCGAAGCTGTTTCAATGCATGCAGTTCAGGTACAATAACTTAATACATAATCCAGTGTGTACGAATGTGCTTTTACTAAGATGAGGTCAGATGGGGAAAGCAGAGACAGACTTTTTCTTTTTGTCAAAGTGAAACACTTCTGCACTTATACTGTATTTCATAATGCATTACAAAGACAGGTCCATTTAGCATTGCCAGTGTTGTAATACCCAAGTCTAGAACTCCAGCTCAAGTCTGACTGGAGTTCTGATTTCTTTCATGTTAAGTTTACTGAAATACTAGCTGCTCAGACCTTACATTTCCAAAGCCAGAGAGGTCGGTGAGAAGCTAAAGTAACTTGCCATCAAAGTGATTCAACTATCAGGTCCAAGATTTTTAGTTGGATTAAGTTCTGATTAAAAGCACATGAGCTGCAGGTAATATATGAATTCATCACCTGCAGTAACCACATCAGAATCAATCAGATCTTCCTCTGTGACCTGGACTTAGACTCTGACACTGAGGACTTCAACTCTGCATTGACTCAAAGTCTGGTGACTGGGCAGTGGTCAGGCTTGAGTCAGGGCCTCAGTCAGACTGAAGTCCAAGTCCTGGACTAGAGTACTACAACAGCACCTAGTGTATCCGCGATGATAGTACTGGACAAAACCTCCTTCTTAGACAGTCTTTAATCCTTTGAGTCTTCACTGTTATGGAAAAATGAATATGTCTTTAGTGAACTATAGGCCTGTTGTTTGCTGTCATATGGAGCTTCAGGGGAGTCTGACTTTATTGTTAGTGAAAGTAATGACTGATGGTTTATTGAGTTTCAATAAGTGGATTAAATCTTATTATAAAGCTGTTTCCTTCCTACTATTCAAGCCTTGACATGATTTCTTTGTCTGACATTGATGGATGACTGAAAAGTTTTTTGTTTCTTAAAGTTTTTTATTACCCCACTATATATTTCCTCCCGCTGTTTCCCAATTTCACTGAATAGCCTCCTGCACAACTCCAATGGGCATAGGGACAGAACAGGACAAAAAGAAATGTTACAAAAATTACCTGAAGTGAGGTTCCCGTAGGTGCTGTTCTCACAATGCTCTTTCTCCAGCTCAATCTGGTTCACCACGTCACACATCTGCAGCAGTGACACCTGTGGAGGAGACAAATAACAAGTTAAGGTGTCCAATGTACTTCTGTCGTGGTGCAAATGAAGCGCAGGAAAGTTCATATCCATTGCCCTGTATCATAGCCCTGCAGCTATAGCCTGGCATTTCATGTTTTATAATTATCTATGTTGTAATAAAGCAGCAAACACAGAGAAATGTTCTCCGCAAGTGAAATTCGACCAGAATTCTTACTCTCGCCTAGCAAATAGATGCTATCATGCAAACATACTAAGGAAGCGGGGAAGGCAGTCGCTGAGTGATCCAACGTGATTGTTCATCTGTGTCAACAGAGGCTGAAAAATGTGAGCTGACAGCCCCTGGCAGAGAGCCGGCGGGTCACTGAAAACGTGTAAGAAAAGCAGCCCAGAGCACCAAAAGGTCAGTGCAAATGAAGTGAAAACAAGAGGAGAGAAGATGTCTCAGAAGTGAAAGAAATGGAGGTCATGAAGAGAAGGACAGAGGACATGATTTATGAACATGTGTACAATTCTCTTCTGTTGTCTAATTGGTCTATTTCATGAGCTACAATCATGCTGGTGTGCAAAACGTGGAGCAATCCTCATCAATCATCCACAAACACCCTGTGGAGGTGGAGCCCTTACTTCACCCGATAATGTTCCCTCAGCAGTCTGCAGCTCACCTTAGACAAGAAAAAAACAGTTTCCCATGAAAAAGGGCTTCTGCCAGAGCTGAATAATACTTCTGCCTGTACTGTTTGTTCAGCGTATGCATATCAGGGTGATGACTCAATTTACAAATTCAGAATACACTCCAAGGTAAGCTGGGCTCATCATTTAAACAGGGAACTGAGTCTTTACTGGGCGTGCTGGGCTTTGTGGTATTACTATGAAGGAATACTCAAGAGCACACAGAGATGAGAACAAAGTTTCACTCTTCGATTTCCACACTGCTGTAAAATCACAGTAAAGTAAAGAGAACTGCTAAGTCGCATATGAAATATTAAGCATAACAGGGAAAAACACAAAGAAACAGTGCAGGATGACGCACGGACATAATTGTTGGTGTCCAAGTTAAAATGAACTTCTCCCGCCAGATCCAAGTTTCCACCCTAGTAGAGGAGCTGATAAGTTTCACTCTAGTTCTGCTGTAGGTTTGAGATGCACAATATCATCAGCATAACATCTGTAATGACCTATTATGGCATCAAAAGTTACTCATTGGTATTAGACTGCATGAAAATTTCTGTTTCTGATTCAGATAAGATTATCAGATCAGCTCCGTTAATTTTAGTCAAAAACACTGTGTGAATATCTCACTATTGATATGAGTTGTTGCTCAAAAGAGTTTGTAAATGTTGGCATATCTACAGAAATCCCAAACTGTGCATCTATAGTTTTATCTCTCTCGCTCAGTTCTGGTAAAACCAAGGTCCTCCGCACTTTGGCAGCCCACAGCTTCTTCTTTATTTGATGAATGCTGGAACGCAGCGTGTCAATCAGCGCAGGACAGATTGAGCAAGCCAGGAGGTCAGACACCAAAACAACATTAAATCATCCAGTTAATTTTTAGAGCAAAACACTCCAGGCTGACGCATGATCCTATTTTACTTAACAACATCAACAAACGTCATAACAAGGGGAGCCAAGCCAGGAGTCAGAGGATTTCAGAGGCCATGAACAACAACAAGATTGACAAGAATGAGAGGACAAGGATGAGAGGAAGCTTCTTATGGAGTGAAATCATTTGATTCTGTAGCTATCACGGGAATTCTCCGTTTTTTTTCACTCCAGATGTCCAGCATTAGATTGACAGTAATCTGCAGTTTTAATGACAAGCAGATCGACTGTAGACCTGATGTCAATAATCCCTGAAAATGTGATGACAGCAGACTGTTTGCAGTCAGTTCTGCGACTCAAATATGATCTCTGAGGTCAAACCTTCAAAAGGCAGTAAAACACAAACAACCCTCAGCCTCCATGGACTGATTCCCTATAAATCCTCTGAGGGAAACTCACTGAAATGATTCCAGCAGCATGATTTTTACATCATTTGCCCCTGTTCAGGTTCACAAATCCTCCAAAGCAATGGCAGATAACTTATCATGGCACTTCTAAACTACACATATAGAAAAACATTGTTGTAAATTATAATTTGATATATAGATTACATAAAAAATTGAAATTGTGACATTAAGAAAGAAAGTGTCACAGAAACATTAAGATTCTGCAAGTTTTACACAAGTGTCTTTGTACACTTAAAAGCTCCTGTGAGGAACTTTTGGTTTGTGTTGATTTTGGCACCCCCTGTGGACAAAGGGGTAACTCTTTTCTCATTGTTGATTTTTTCTGTACATGTTTAAGTTGTGTTTTCTGACAAAAATGTCATCCTGCTTAATTTTGACACTTACTGGACATCTTTGCAGGGAAAATATCAAATACGGCTGTGAGTGAAATCTCTACAACAATAAACAAAATGTTCACTGACGGTCCAGTTTGCTTTTCTAGGTCTTTTCCAGGTGTTTAAAGTTCTCCCAAAGAACTCAAACTATTTTTTGTGAAAATAAATCTGACACAGGTTATGATCCCAAACAGAGTTTTAAAGATGATAAAAAAAAAAATTGGGATGGGGGACTCAAAATCCTCCCAAAGGGGCTGAGAGATTTGCCAAAAGTAAAGGTGAGCAATACTAATGACACTTCTAAGCTGCTGTATCTAGACTTTGCTCATGCTACAGCAGGTGCAAGGATATACTCCAAGGATTTTTCTCCTCAAATCTCAAACATGCTCCAGCTTTAAAATAGAAAAAAATAAAACAAGTGTGCAGGATGTTGTCCAGACCTCCATGTTGGCCAGAGGGTGCAACAAGGATTGAATCTGGTATAAATGGCTCCAAAACTCCTGCAGTCTGACTCACACCTTATTTCATTTAAACCAGGTACTGTCAACTTGCCACTATCACAAAAAAGTAAGAGCTACCTCTGGATCAAAAAGCACCTGCGGAATAAAGTGGAGGTCGTCCTGACATTGTGAGAAAAATCCAAGAACTGAGCTCTCAGGAGTTTTTTTTTTTTTTTGCCTTTAATCGATTACTGCTGAAAAATCCTCTGAAGTAATAGCAGCATAGCAGGGCTAGAAGCAGGAGATTAAACCTCTGACTGCTTTACTTTTGAGCAAAAAGGGCAAAGAGGATAGTATTGTGTTAGTTAGACCATCTTATCTGCTTCACTTCTGTGTTGTCAATAGCAGCACTTGTTCTCTTGACCTTATCTGTTGACCACCAATTGACCACCTCTGCTCTGTCACTTCGACTCACAACTTTTTGCTAAAGATATGTGTTGATCTGTTTCAATCAGCTTACACAGTCAACACTGTAATTTGAGCTTCATTCTCTGCCCTCTAGTGGCTGAAAATGCACTAATACAGAACTGTAAATAACGGCAATAATGAGAGCTCCATTTAGCTGCTTCAGTTTCAGAGACTTGCTGTTGCCTGTGATGAGTCAGTGCAGTGCTGTAGCTAAAAAAAAGCAGCCAGATTGCCAGTTTAATCCTACAAAAAGTAGTGCATTATTATGTTCAGCTTTTGCACAGCAGATGCACACCAACTCTCCAGTTTTTCATTAATGCTGCTTAAGATGGATTGAGGCAGGTAAAAACGAAACCAGAAGGAGACCGACGTAATACAGAAATGTGGACTTTAACTGAAGGCTGCTCTTCCTATTGGAGGTAGTAGAGTTCACATATTTGCCAATATATTGTGAAGCGGGCAGAATATGTGAAAAAGAAAGAGCAACGATGACAAGATAGGATGTTTGATGTATGGCCAAGGTCAACTCTGTTATATTTCTTATTCTATGAAGAGCAGGATGAAGATTGCATGACAGTGATTTATGCTTGAGCTTTTAATACTGGGAACAAATCTCAATTGTTTCCCTCTAGGAGACACTAAAGGCTCACTATTATCCTCCAGACTTTGGACAGTCAGTCCGTAACAGTTGCTGCAGAAAGCAATAAATCAAGTTGTCAATCTATGATAAGTGGACCTCTGTGAATGCTTCAGGGCAGAAATATACAAGCCGTCTTCATGAGAGAAACACAGCATAAATACCTGCCAGCTATGATGGTTTGTTAGTGCAGAGCTCATCACAAGGGCTGCAAGGCTGTTGCTTCAAGTTTTAAGGACTGTTGGTGTTTCAAATTGCTGTCCTTGCCTCGTCTAAGTACAAAATAAAGAGCTGGAAAAAAATGAGGAGGGCTGACAGCACAATAGGAAGAGAAGCTTAAGACTGTAAAACAAGGCAGGTTCATTACAGCCCTACACTCCACTATGAGCTTTACTTGTGGTTCAATGAGTTTGACTTACTTTAAGACTGCAGAGTTTATCAGCTAAACAAACATATCAAACCAATACAGCATAAATAACATTACTTGATCTGGAAACTGATATGTCAAGTTTAGCATAAAGACTTCAAATCTGTGTCACTTCACAGGTACTGGCTTGGAAAGTGTGTCAGATTTAAAGTTTAACAACTGAAGGGTTGACATCAAGCCAAAACTGGGCAACAGTGATTTTCAATTCCGACCATAGTTCAATGTCCATCAAATGTCTGTGACTGATGTCAGCCACATCTCAATGTCTGTCAGAAGTCAGAAATGGCTTCTGAGGTTCAACAGATTTTGGTTTCCAAACACGACTCGATATCCAGCACCTCTGGGTTTTAACATTAACCTGGTTTTCAACAGCTTCACTTTACTGAAGCACCTCCAAAATTTGATTCTGGTGTCTTCTAAACATCAGCTCAACCTGGGTCTGACTTTTTGTCATACTCGAATGTTGGTTATTCAAATGAGGTCAACACAACACTGGGTTTTAATATTAACACAGTGTTTTGCCAAGATAAGCAGGTTGGTGCAGAAGTCCAACGTTAAACTTAGACAACAAACTTGTCATATCTAACTTAGGTAAATCCATCCACTGACGTTGGTTGAAGTCAATCCAACATCAGGTTTAGATGTCAGCCAAATGTCATTTTAATAAGTTGTCAAAATTTGAATGTTTAATGGCTTTCCAGGTTGGATTTGAACCTGTTTCTCACGTTGGTATTATTCGCTGTTTGCAAGCTTCACATTCAGCAATAACTTCATTTGTGATGTACATCCACATCTGTTTGATATTGATCCCGCCATATTACTTTTGGAAACGTTCCCCTGACGCCACATTTTCTCACTGAACATACAAATGAATCGTATTAGCTCATGGTATTGTGAAGCCCAAGGCTGTGGGAGGTGGTGCTGCATGTAAGAGCCACTAAAATATGTCAACAGATGACGTATCTGCTCAATACTTGAGAGCCTCCGGGTGGGCTGAACATGTGAGTGTTGTCAGTGAGGGTAGAGAACGCAGACATTTCTATAATGCTCCTAGGTTTTCACACCTCGTTCGCAGACTTTTAAACTGCTCAGAAATCCATTGCTAATCCTATTATCACTAATTCAAGATGTTTCTATCAAGCTGCACGAAATTTCTAATCCTTCCAAGAGGGAATAAAACACAATGAAAAGTCAGATGCAGCAGCAGGTGACACACAAACCAAATTGCTTAAAAGTTGTCCTTGGCTACAGAAAGAAGACCAAGAGTTTTACTTAGATTGGTCTTTACAAAAGTCTCTGTACAGTAAGATTTCTCCTAAAGTTCTCATGATAGAAGACTATCTATCCAGTGTCTTTAAGTGAACACTTCACAGTAGTATTGAAAGGTTAGACTACCAATTACAGTGTAGGCTTGAACTTGAGCAACCAGAAGTTTTGTCAGGTTACATTTCTAGGAGCTACAAGTCCAAGACACATTTTGACAGATTATATAAACTCAAAAGTGATTTATTTTAAACCCTGAAACAGAAATATAAACATTGTTTAGATAGATAGATAGATAGATAGATAGATAGATAGATAGATAGATAGATAGATAGATAGATAGATAGAAAAGCAATTTTCTTAAAAAATATATCATGACATTCTTCAAAAGTAAAGATAATGACTTACTTTTTGCGGACCCCCACAGAGCAGTAGTAGTAGCAGGAGCAGCTGTGAAGCATCCATTCCGTCTTCAGTTATTGTGTCCAATACTCATCGATGTTAGAAAAACTCCAGTAAAAAAATCTTTGTGAAAAGCACGAGGCTGTATCTGTGAGTGTATCTGTGCGTTCAGAGGATCTGAGCTGCCGCTCCGCTCGTGTCTGAAGGTAATGTGGTGGAGACAGCGCTGTTGTTGCTGCTGTGTCTGCTGCCCCATCGGACTGCAACGCGTCTTCTGTGAGCGCTCCTCGAGCAGGAGAGCCGAGTCTGACTGAACACCCCCACCCCTGCTCCTCCACTCATTCACAACTCCAGTCCCGCGAGTGCCTTATCTGGAAGCAGTTTGTTAACACGCCTGTCAGGCTGCTGATAGACTAACTTAGTGTGGGCCTCAGGAGCATCCTGTAAGTGAGTGTTTGTTTATTACTTTGTTGTTTCACCCTGTTACTACCCACTCGTAACTTAACTAAATTTATGAAACTATTTTAAGAAGTCTGGTCATTTTCATAGTAGGACATTAGAATTCACTGGGATGACTAAAAGCAGAGGCGTGCCAAGGCTGTGTTAGAGGCGGGGTACAACAAAAGGCACCAATGTATAAAATGTTAAAAAAGGGGCTATTTGATCATCTGCTCCTCTGACACCCACCACCAGGGACCTTAATTCAGGCCAGGAGTTTGACTTCATCCAGGCCAATACACATTGATGCGAAAATGCTGGCACCGAAAGTTTTGGACATCTGAAACCGGATTTAGCGAATATCATGTTAATGTGAAGAATTCAACATTGGCTACATAACTGCAAATTTAATATGAAGTAAAAACAAAAATATGCCTCTGTGCAACAGCTTCACAGCAAACTTTATTTAACAAAAAACAAAATTACAATCACAATGTGACACAACTCTGCTTCAACAAAAATGTAAGCTAAAAATGTAAACAATCTCTGAGATGCACCCAAAGCCTACTGAACTAGATTTTACAGAAGGATATTCGTCATGGTTATAAAAACTCCATAATAGGGAGAGGCATAAAACTTAGATTAGCACACACCACAAGCATCGTAGCCGACTTGGTGATGGTCGGCAACCTTATTAAACTAAAAACATTCACATCTTAGAGCGACAGCATGAAAAACACTTACAGATGTTTTTTTGGGGGGCAGGCCAGGTGACGCCAGGCCACCGGGAATCGGCCCGGTGATCCCTGCCTACCACCCTCACAGTATCTCCAGGCTTTATAACCCTATAGAACCTTACAAAAATAATCAGTCTTGTCACCTATGATCTTGTTTGCTTTTGTTGATCATGAAATTTTTATTTAACTTTTTTTTTTTTAATGGTCAATCCACGTGCCGACCCTCACCTATGGTCATGAACTCTGGGTAATGACTGAATGAACGTGATCACAGATACAAGCTGCTGAAATGGGTTTCCTCCGCAGGGTGGCCGGGCTCAGCCTTAGAGATAGGGTAAGGACGACCAGTTCAGTCCTGACTCGCAGAACAATCAAATGGACGGTGTTGTTTGAGTGCAGGGTGTAGTGGCTTTCAGTTCTTTGAAGAAGAGCTCATAAATAAGAAGGAGCTAAGCCAAGAAGAACATAATATATTAGAGTCATCCAGTGAGTGTACCTGCATCAATTTGAATTTCAGCTCATTTTATTACAGTCAAAAAACTCCTCAGAGTCGCTTTAAATTAAAAGTAATAAAAACAGTAGAAAGGCTGTTTAAGCACTTTGTTTTATCTGCCAGTGTTTTCTGTTTAACAGCTGTTCCTGTTGCAGACTGGAGAAAGTAAGAGGAAGAGACGGGTGCAGAGAGAGGAGCAGACAGGGGCTCAGTGTGTCAAGACCCGCAGTAGTATAAACCCATAGTTGTATCACAGGGGACTGACCTAAAGCAAGCCTTATCCAGTATTTAAGTTTTATGTAGTAGTAAAAGTCATTGGGGGGAGCTTTTTAATGTAAGAATAAAACTGCAGAATTTGTAAAGCATGGGTAAATTATTTCATAAAAAGCAGAATTCATTACCTCATGCTTAAGCTCATGATTTAAAGTGCGCTTCCGCATCCTTGCATGATTGGCTAATGCATCTAAATGTGACAGAAGTAATTACAATAAAATGTAGAGCATATCAATATCAGCAATGAACAAAACATCAGGAGAAGACAGATTTAGTTTCATACATGAATTTATATCAGTTTATTCGACTCTAATTTTGGCGCTGACAGGGAACAACAAGGTGGTTTTAGTGGGTTAAAGCAGGGAAAACACAACGATCCACATGCCCTCTCTGCACCCCAGCAGTCACACAAATACACCCATCATCCCTGCCTGGATTACCAGCTGCAACATCACAAGTCCAACCCCTTCATCCTCTGCAGCCACACCGCCACACTCATGCTGTCAGTGTTATGTCTGATTGACCCTTGCTCACAGCACACCGGACATCACAGCACAGTGCTGTTTTCAGTCTCTGTGGCGGGCTGAGATCACCCTGTGAGGAGAACTCTCTGCATGAGCTCGACCATTAATATTGACGGGAAAATGCCTCACAAAACAAGCAGGACCAGAAAGAACACAGAGCTCTTCATGGTCATGGTCCTGGTCTAACTTGAGCAGTAATGCTACCGTGCAACTTTCATGTTTTTATAATACCTTCTACTTATATATTTCTGTGTGCAGCCTCTCTGAAGACATTGATAAGTCTGGAGCATGCAAGTACATGACAACAAATAGAGAAGATTGTATCACATTAACAATGTTGTCTAAACAACATAATGTACACTTATGGAAATGTAATAACATTGTTGGAGTGAAATGATGGCAGCAGCGCACATTGATGTGAAAGGAACCGTTTGTTGTGAAGTCACATTATTATTATTTTGTTGCTTGATGGCAAATAATAGAATACGGCTATTAAGAGTTGCAAGACCCACACTGGGACTGTTCAAGGCCAGGATGTCATGTTAAGTTTCCTTTATTTTGTTTCACATTTCATGTCATGTCTTTCCTGTTTTATTTTGAAATCACTAACTCCTTTCTCTGTCTTCTAGATTTGTTCCTGTCTGGTCTGCCCCGCCCCCCTCTCGTCACACCTGCATCCTGATTGTGTGTTTCCCATCACCCTGATTACCTCTTGTATTTAACCTCATGTCTCTCACTCAGAACGTTTACATGACACTCGAGAAAACCAGACAACTGAAGTGCATATAAACACCTTAGTCTGACTATAATCGGAGTTTGAGAACTCCGATTAAGACACCCAGATAATGCGATTAGAATTTGATTTTCTCTACCATGTAACCAGCGTAGTTGGAGTATGATCGGACAATGCATGTGCATGTGCGCCACACCCCTGTAATCCTGGAACAAAAACACCAGAGAAGAGGAGTATCACGCATCTCATCTGCAGAAAAAGTAGCACGTACATCGTGTTAGACAAAAACAACGCTGTACTGATGCTCCATCTTCTTGCTCAAAAATACTGAGCAGCAGTTGTAGCCACTTCTGACGTCTGGCACAGACCTGCTGCTGTTGTTGACGGTTGTATGGGGTCAGAAACAACGCAGCTGAAAAGACCCATATTGCCCCCTAGTTTTGGGGAGGAGAACACGTTTACGTCCATAATTCGATTTTCTCAGCTGCATGTATACGCGGACAAGGGGAGAAGTCTGATTCGGCGAAATAATCGAATTGTCTGATTGAGCTGTCCATGTAAATGCACTGACTGTCTCATTGCTAGTATGCTGTACCTCACAGTCCTTGTACCAGCACCCTCTTTCATCTTTTGACCTTGTCTTTTTGCTTCTCGATTTTGGATACCTCTGCTTCATCTGACTGCTTCCCTGAGTACTGACCTCTGCTTGCCCTGAACAAACCCTTGCCTATTTTTAGAACTAAAATTGGTGTCGTGTATAAGTGTCCAGCTTATCTGTGCTTCACGTAATGACAGAGGAGGCTCCGACAGAATAAACTCCACAGCTGGCCCTCTATCTTCTTGCACCTCACCTCGCAATACCTGATAACCCTCAGGCCTTTGTCAGATATCTGAGACATGAGCTAGCTCCCAGCCTATGGTGTTGCGAACAAGTTTCTCTTCAGAGTTCCTGTTTAGCTTGCAAACTAGCTGTTTAGGCCACTCATCATGGTTTTGGTGTCAGATTACATTGAAAGTGTCTTAATAGTCAGGTGTAATCCTTACTTTGTACGGTAGTTAGCTTTAGAACCGAGTAAAATGAAAAACACCATGACATCTACTGTACTGACTTAGTAGGAAAGGCGACCCTGATTATGAATTAACCCCATCCCTGCTTTTCAAGATCTGTTTTTAGAAAGACCCTGAATGAAAGACCTTGAAATTTTATTTTATTTAAAGTAATCACAAAAAAACCCTCACTGAATAAAACAAGGATGGCAATTTTTAACTCCTTTTTTTTTATTTTAATACCTGTCGAGGTGAAATTGTCACATTTAAATGAACTGAAATATGGGTGCTTGTCTACTTGAAGCATTTATGGTAAATAAATGCTATTAAAGAATTACTTACAGTCCGTTGGTTGAGTCAGGTAGCAGTCAAACTTTGATCTACTTTCCCGCATCAAACTCCGAGATGTTTTTTTTTTTGCGTTCAAACTTGGTGACACCATATTTCTTTGGCTGTTTGACAGTCACTCAATGTCTCTGCTGCACTCATAACTATTGTCTAAAGTTGGGAAACTTGTCCTACTTTTGTGCAGCTTTGTCCCTTCATCTTCCTGTCCTCTGGTGTGGTAACCCTGATTCATGGCTGGCTTCAGCTGTGAATCAGGGTTCACTCACTCTCCAGAAAAGTGATGCCATCCACTGTCACAAATATTGACATGTAATTTGCTAAACCCCTGACATAAGACAACCCAGCTTTTATCAAATTTATTCCAGTGTAGAACATGTATATTTCATTCAGGTCAATACAGTTATTAGCAAATGTGGGTCCCCCTAACACACTAAAGATGGTAGATATGTGAAAGCACTGCTGTGTCGAGGGTTAGCGCTGTGACTTTAAGCTTAATTCCTCTATTTTGTGGCCGTCTGCAACAGCCTCGCTTGATCCTGATACATATATGCATGTTTTAGATGTATGATATTACACATTTGATTGAGCCAGGGAATAAGGGTCTTTCTGTTCAGGTAGGCTATTGTCCAGAATGAACAGATATACCTTTCTTACCATGGCTTTTCTGTGGGTTCAAGAAGAGCAGCCTTTCATGTTGAAAGACACAATTAGAGGAGCAGGGATCTTCTTTTATCCAGTAGCATTCAGTGGAGATTTGACCTTTACATCCAGCAGGGTGATGCATTAGTCCAGTGGACCATGAACAAGGTAGCAGACCCTCACAGAGGATTTCTATCTTTGTAAGGTCGAACGTCTGTGTT